AAACATTGTCAGCAGGGGGTCGACAAAGTTTCTCGGCGACACCAGCGTTCGGAATCCCGTTCAACGATGGGGAACTAGGATGAATATCAAGCTCTGCGTTGCCGGTTCGTTCCGTATCTGTGTCCCTTTTCTCCTCGTCTGTGTCTTCAGCAACCACCAAGAATGGAGCTCTACCAAGTGTTGACGGAGGGACTGACGGAGATGAACAGATACAGTATGTACAATACAATACAGTACGAAGTAAGGTAGCCGCAAAACGCCTGGAACAACCAGCACGTGTGGATCACGAACCTGCTCGGTGGCATTGGCTTTCACTCTCTGCCCTGCCGTGGGACCTCTGCTCTCCGATCTTTCATCTGCCAGACCCTCGAGCACGCCCCGGACTTGTTTGGCGGACATTCGTCGGATCTTGGGGCTTTCTTGGTAGGATACCCGAGCACGAAGAAACCCCTACCTCCTCAACCCTCCTTCTCCCTTCTGTGGTCTCCCAGGAGGTGGCTGAGCTGACCTTCCTCTTCGCCCGGCACCACACTTGTTCAGACCAGGTCAGTTTGCGCGATGCTACGGATCTCTGGATAACTACGGAGTGCTCAATTCCCTGTCTTAGCCGGGACCTCTCCTCTCATAGCTTTCAACAGAACAGACGGAAGTCTAGGAAAGGGCATGTCTGACGTGGAGACAAAGAGTCGGGAGGGCGACTCCCGAGCAAGCCATATGTTTGCCCTCTGGAGTCTGCAAGGTTTTTGGGCTCCCCGAAGCGAGGAAGCATTCGACCGAGTAACTGGTAGGTAATTACTCTGTGCCGGCATACGGGAAGCACTGTGGACTCGCAATAGTCTAGGCAGGCCCCGAGTACACGGAAATTCGTACCCTGCTCTCTCAACTGGCTTGCCCATCAGAGCTCAAACGAGTGCCACAACTGAAAGCGACGTGTGTCCAGGTGACTGGTATCGCGGCGTCGTATATTGAACCTGGTCTCCGAATTCACGTGCCATGATCTACCTAGGTAGGTACTGTAGTCAGAGTCCCTAGGTTGTAACCTAAAGATGGCTTAGGTCTATGTAAGGTCGCAACTGTGACGTTCCCGAAACTGCCCTCAGTTCAGAGCAGGTGTCTGAATCTCGGTTCATGATCTAGTTCGGAGGCTTATCGTCTCCTTGATACGTAGTACGACACGAGACGTAGCGAAGTCGGCGAACAAACGCCTTGCAGAGAAGTCATATTCCTACCGGCCCGTCTGTCTATCAAGAAGGTTAGACCGATAATATTAGTACTATCTGCATGTGAGTGCACGCGATGCGAGTTTGTCACCTGCGAGATTAAATTAGGACGCGCTCTGCTGCGCGTGCACATCCAGGGTCTGAAACCGGCTATCTGGTGTTTACATATATCCCCCGTTTTCAGGGATGCCGTTGCATTGCATACACATACACGGGTTGGCAGTCTGCAATGGCTTACATGAGCATGCTTCAGCCCGGAGTTCGCTTCGGGTGATTGCGCTTCCCGAGGATAGCGCAAAAAATAATAATAATGCACTTCTCTAATATCGTACCACGTAGACAACGGTGCAGTATTGCAACGCAAAGCTGTAGTCGGCGCGGAAGCGTCTTTCCTTCGGCCCAGTAGGTTGACAAGAGTCACAAGACGGAAGCTGTCTGGTCTTCCTGCGGAAAGCCACAGATCAGCACTGCAGTCCGCAGTGAGGGTGTGTATTCGCTACAGGATTGGACCTGATGTTGGCCAACAGGCTTCTGCGGCCGGGGGAAAGCGACCTGTATATTCTCTGTCCACCTATATTGGCCAGCCATTTCGGTGATGGGAGTTCCCCGCGTTGCAGATGGCCGGGTCATTGGCTTATAGCATTTCAGAAGATACATTCTGCCCAGGGACACAGCCGACATTGGCGCCGTAACGTTTCAGTTCCCCGGACGGATGTTGGTCTCTCATCAGTTACACTTGTGGCTGCAGTTTGGCAGAAGGGCGCGTTGCTTTTTTCCCGCCTGCTTCCCTGTATCCGTAAGTCTTAGTGGTCACAAACATGCCCGAGTTGGCCGAAGTGAGAGGTCGAAACACATTTGCAGGTTTGACAGGCTCCAGTTTGTTCGACGCGATGTCGTTGAAAAAGACGGTTGAGCGCGAGCACCCGCGCAGGAAACATGTGGCGTCTGGGTAAATGAGAGGCAACAGCTGGGCGGACGCTTCGCGTTCTCGAACGCCCTCCAGAGTCTGCGAAGTCGCACAAATTGTGTCGCGAGGCCTGCCGTAGTCCGTGTCTCTCCCACGCGAACCTCTGGCCATGCTGTCGCCCCTAGACTGGGCTGTTCTTTCCACAACGGTGGCAGAGTGTGGTGCCGTTGAAGTTGATGGACGGAAGTGTTGCTCGACAGGCACAGGTTAAGGCTGTTATAAACATTCAGCGGTTCAACAACCGTGCCTTCCGTCCGTATCGCCTAGCAGCACGAAACCTTCGTAGACGTGATTGTTCCTGACGTGCTCCGTACCCGGGTCAGGACTTGGCATCATGACGGCGCCGATGCCAAGCTTTGTCTCTGGAATGTTTGGTTCCATCGCGGCATCCGGTGATAAGGCGCTGGTGGGGCACTTTTCATTAAAGGAGTCTGGAACGGCGCGGTCACAGCCATCACGACTTTCCAACTTCCACTTCGGCTTCGCGAGAGCTGGCCCGTTTGCGCATTGTTGCTCTTTGGTGGCTGGCTTGTTTGGTCTCGCACCTGCGAACAGACAAACCACCCCTCGAGTTGCTCATCTCTCAGATATGGAACTGGTACCTCTGGAATGACTCGAGCTTGTCGAGGTCAGAGACCGTGCACTAAAAAAGGGCTTTGGAGGGAAAGCTGTTGCAAGCTGCAACCCCACGCAGAACCCCGCTGGCAGACCCTGGACGCCGGTGATCGTCAGCGTCCTCTCACATCAGGAAATTGGCTTCACCTGAGGCTCTGCATCCTATTCGCCGCCACACAGCCGTCACAGAGGCCCTGCCCAAGAAGGTTTAGCGCTGTAGTGAGACCCGGGGTCTCATCCCTTTTCGGGTCCCGTCCACTTGGAAGCACGTTGGAGCCATGGCTCTCTTGATGAACCCGGGAACGGCCGTCCTGGGCGGCGTACGCCTCGTGGGCGCTCGCACGTTCGGTTGTAGCTTTGCGAGTCTGCAGTGTGTTGGGTGGTGATACTCTTGCGAAATCGGAGCGAAGAAAGCAGCCGAGGCTTCTAATGGCCGGTGTTCTTGTCGTGCCGTGGTGGCCGAGAGATGGAAATGCTGAGGGTGGCCGGGCGTATTGCAGACTCGGAGACCGGGGAGAGGCCCGTCCATTTCCTTCCTTTCTCGAAGTCCAAATTGCGACTTCGAATCGTGATTCCCTCGGCTTCGCTTCGACGTTTCCCCGTACCAGGCCCTCGGAACTCTGGCGGGCGGCCCGAGTGATCCGTTCCTAGATCGTCGAGGTTCTTTGTGCTATATTTTGTGCTGCTCTGATCGGATGAAATCGAACTCCATAACACAACGTTCACTAAAAACCCCTTTTGTGTCGCAACGCATGTCCAATCCCGCTTCGCACGGACCGTGTAACAATTTTAAGCCGCCAGTGGTTCCTCCGCAGATGGGCCGGTGGAGGTGCGGGAGGCCGGCAGCAACGGCAACCAATCGGCCTGTGTTGAAAGTGCTCGAGCGTGTCGAGGTCTTCTTCGTCCTGCATGTGCTTCGCGATTCGAGCTCCACACTGGATAGAAAAGAGCTGGTCAAAGCGATCGCTTCTGCAGGCCACACGGCCGTTGTTCACCACTTCGGCAGGGCCTTCCATGCTCGAGCCATGTTCCCCACTTTCTGCAGTTCGCTGCACCTGTACAGTGCACACTGCATCGAGCTCTTGATGGGCTCGTGTCAAAGAGTGGAGCACTCATACAAGAGACCGAGCAGCCCAGATCTGCTCAAGGGGGGGCTTGCATCGTGCAATAACGTTACTACAATCTAACCTTCAGCCGGTTCGGGCCATTGTCCGAATCTTCTTTCTTAATTTCGAGTCTGGTGTCGCTGCTGCCCTGCACACCTCTGTTGCCTCTGACGGCGCTGTGTTGCAAAGCCCTTTCTCTCCGCCGGTCGACCCGAGGGGTCAGCGCGTGTCTTTCTGCTTGACAAGTCCTTTCTTTTTTCGACCAAGTGGTGCCGCGATACACCGAGCCTGGGCGCCATTCCTTCTCTTTACTTCTTTTCATGTCACTCGCTTCAACGCCTCTGCCTTTGGTGCTCTTCGTGCTCGATTGTGAACCAGGACTCTGATCTGCGTTGCGACTTATCATCTAGTCCATTCACCCGCCTGTGTTCGGGGCCGAGGTAGGTACATACATACGACGCAGGGTTACGCGGTGGCAGCTCTTCCCAATGGCGCACCCGAAGCATCTATTTCACCCGCCTTGTACTGACCAATGCATTGTGCTCAGGCACCTTAGTAGCTCTGGTATTGCTTCCCAGGAGTTTGAGCTCGATCGGTTTACACACAGCCCACGAGTTCATCTGATCTCCGCCCCAGCCCCACCTCCTCGTGGCAAACCCGGGGTTTCCTCGAGAGCGCCGAGTCAGTATCTCGAGTTGGAAACATTGCCTCCTATTTGGAGACGCCGACTTGCCCATCTACCGCCGTCTCTGCGGTTGGAAGACGGTTGATCTTCTATCTGTGAGTCGGTGTTCAAGCTCGTTGAGCCCGGTTTTCACCCCTTCGGCCCATGCTAGGTGTCACCCACGTTTTCGGCCCCGGCTCAGGGGCATCCCGTTCTTAATACATATGCTATAGCCCCAGCCCTTTCGGCGAACAAACGTGGCAGCAGGCTTGCTAACCGACCAATTACTGCCAGGGATTGACCATATACATACAAACCGATGGATGTCATTTCTGGAACTAGGCCAGATACTCAGAACGTTTGAGTTGAGGAGGACTTGGAAGGCAAGTACGGCTTGGCTCGCTCGAACAGGGATCATCGCAACTCGGCTCGACGACGAAGTACATACAATCGGCTCACCACTAACACGCGCGCTCGACTTTCGAAGCAAAACGGCTGCGGCTCTTTGGCGCCCCGAACGGTGGAAATGAACTGAATCCCTCTTGCTGGGTCGCGCAACAGACCGCCGGTTTCGTCTGTCATCGAACAACTGAGCTGCAGTCACGATGAACGTGTGGGAGACGGAGGACGAGTCGACCGGGCCGGCGGTGCCTCCGCCGGTCCCCGCTGACCCTCCGTATCGTGCGCTCTCGCGCACCGTCTCACGGAGTTCACGAAAATCAGGGAGGTCTGTCACACCACCCGGAAAGAAGGGCAAAAGTCGTTCTCCGCCGCCATTTCCTGGAGACAAGAGTGAGAGGGGGTCGAAAAGGTCTTCCAGAGACGTCAGCATGGATGAGAACATCAGCATCTTAGACCCGCGCCGTTTCACACCGACACTCCATGCGAGCTTGGTCTCCGAGATTCTGTCTCTGAGACGTGATCAGGAGGAGAAGCTGAAGATTATTGAGAGCCTCGAGACGTCGCTACACACGGTACGAGAGGAGTCGGAATCCCTGCAGGCGACGGTATTGTCGACTGGGAAGGAAGCTCGATCGCTAAAGCGGCAACTCTCATTACTGGAAGGGGGTACATCCTCGGCGATTGGCGAACTGGCCCGGGAACGCGATGAGGCGATAGAGTCGGCTGCCGAGACGAAAAAGCGACTCGAAACAGCGCAAAAGAAGCTACGGAGCCAGGAGGAAGATTCGGAACGGGTGCACCAGCAGTGGGCAAAAGAAAAGGACGACTGGGAGGAGGAGAAGCGCAAGTTTGAGCGGAGAATCCATGTCGCCGAAAGCAGGTTAAAGGCGGTGCTTGATGAGGTTGCGGCATTCCAGGCTGCCCAGGCCACTGCGCTGAACATAGTTTCCAACGGTGCCGAAAGCGACGGGGAAGAAAGCGGCAAGGACGACGCGGCCAGTGTTAGGAGCATGAGCATCACGAACAGCATCCGTTTCTCGGTCGCAAACAGCATCCTCAAGGCGAACGGCAACTCACTAGCTGACGAGTTGGGACTCGATGGCGACTATGACGATGAGAGCGACTGGGGCGGTCGGGAAAGCGTCCTGTCGAAGGGTCACTCGCGGAACTTCAGCCGGGACAGCTTTGCTTTCAGAACGCACCGGAGGCACCAGAGCAGCGATAGCATGGTGAGGCCGGGAAGCGTGCTTCGCGGGAAGCTGGCCTTTAACCCTGCTGCTCTTGAACGGCTCGAGGATGGTATCATCAAGGAGGTTGAGGAGTCGGAGCCGCCAGCACCTAATGCCAGCTATGTGGACACGGGAATCCAATACTCACCGCCGCCATCGCCAAAAGTCGGCCCCGTTCCGCCTTCGACCCCCGAACCTTCCCCATTGGTGCAGAGATACGAGAGGCCCTACGATGTCGACAGCCCGCCGCGTACCGACCAAGAGATCGAGGCGAACCAGCGGCGAAAACGGGTGCATGTTGGACAGACGCTCGCCATCAAGACGCCTGGCCTCCATAGTCTGATGGTGAACGGGTCGTCGCAGACCGCCGAGGAGCCGCTGAGTCCGCCGAAGACTCCTAAGACGCCGTTCCAGGAGATGCCACCGACACCCAAACCAAAAACCCCCGACATGGTTTCTGCATCCACCCAGACCGATGACCTGCCTCCTCCGCTCAGTCCGTCCTCGCTCGGACTCCCAATGCCCATTCCCAGTATTAGCATCATCCCTTCAAGCCGTCCAAGCACGCCTCGCGAGCCGCGACTTCCACAGCTGACCAAGGATTTCGGGTGCCAAGTGTCGCTGTTGATCACGACTTCCATGACGTCTTCCGCCATGCAGACGGAAGAGATTCGGGTTGACAAGCGGTTGGATAAGCTGCCGCCGCACTTACATCCCTCCGCCATCACATCCAGGCCCGCCTCGCCCGCTGTCGGCACAGCGGATCTTGCCTCAGAGGATACACGGCAGTTCACTCCTATTCCTGGGAACCTGCCTCCGCGAAATCCGCGACGACTGGACAGCAAACGAAGCTTGACGGAGATACCCTCGTCGCCTCCAAGCCTTCCGTCTCCGATTCTGGAGCAGAGAACCTACGATGCCTACCCTGGGAACAATGACAATGGTCCGCTGTCGAGCCAGAAGGCTCCCATGCGACGGCCGCCACGGATCAGCAGCTTGTTCGCAGGGTTTGATGGAAACAGTACCGACGAGGCCGATGAGTTCATGGAAGCTGATTTCAGCGACTCTGAGTACCGCACTGCTCTCTCAGCGCCGAACCCAAGGAGTGCATCGAGCCGTGCAGGAAAGCGCAACTCCGTAGGAACAGTAACTTCGTCGGAGAACACCCTATCACCCAAGTACAGCGGGCGCGTTTTACCCCGGAATGTCGAGACTCCCGAAAGCCTCGATTCCGCTTACCCGATGCGGGAGGTGCGGGATACTGGCTTCGGCAGAAGGGGCTCGAGGCGCGGCGGGCGGTCTTTCATGTTCGGTACGAAGTCGAGCGTCATGCGCAGGGCTGCCATGATCCAGAGTGGCATTGCATCGCACCAGCGGGCTAGGAGCCCAAGTTTGACGGACCCGACGGAGCCTCCGTTCCCTATCCCGACGCGGGCCAGTTCGAGGAAGCCACCGGTCAGCGTCAGTGCTCCAAGTGAAGGACGGACAAGCCCAAGCAGAGGCCCCGAAGCTTGGCCTAGGCGAGGCTCGAACCGCAGCCACTACCGCGCGAACAGTATCCGCAAGGTGCGCTCCGCGGCTGCTTTCCCTCGGAATCAGAGGTCTCGGCGGCGCGGTAGCCGCTCACCGCCGCCGGTCTCGCTGAGTACCGAAGCGCCCGAGAGTCCCAGGCTGCCCCCCTTGCCAAGAAACGATACCACGACGCCTCGGCATAGGGACGGATACCGGTACAAGACCCACAGGTCTCAGCCGTCCACAACGACAGCGAACACGGTAGATACAGGAGCTGGGTCGCAGGGGGCATCGAATCAACCTCCCACGGTCGTTGACTCCATCGCGCAGACCATGGTCGGCGAATGGATGTTCAAGTACGTGCGCAGGCGCAAGTCCTTTGGTGTTGCGGATACCAAGGGCGCCGACGACAGCAGCAATGATCGTCACAAGAGATGGGTTTGGGTCGCCCCCTATGAGCGTGCAATTCTCTGGAGCAGTAAGCAGCCGGCTTCAGGCAGCGCGCTGCTGGGCAAGTCTGGCCGGAAGTGTAAGTGACATTGGTTCCTCGCCTACTTTTGGTTCTGCACTCGCTGACCTCTTCCAGTGTTGATCCAATCGGTGCTCGATGTCAAGGACGACAATCCGCCTCCAAAGGGCGTGGCCCAGGTGTTCAACAGGTCTATCCTGATCCTTACGCCGCAGCGGGCGCTGAAATTCACAGCCACAAACGCCGAACGCCATTACGTTTGGTTGACATCGCTGTCGTTCCTGGCTCACTCCAACCAAGCCATACCCGACACACTGGCGGTGCCGCAGCCGAAGCCGTTGGTCGAGCAGTATGAAGCGCCGAAACCTAAGCGAAGGCAGATCCGCGACTCAATCCGTCTCACCAAGGCGAAGACGGCTGTGATCAAGTCTGATCCGGCGGAACCACCCCAGATCGACAGCGCTCCTCCCAATATCCCTACCTTCAGGCCTCCGGTGCCGGAGATCTACCATCTCCCGGCACACACAAGGGACATGTCCAGGGACGCGGCCGAGCCGCCGAGCATTCCGCGGTTCTCTGACCGAGCGAACCAGATGCCGGTCCACGGGCGCAAGCGAAGTAACACCGGCGGCCACGTGCCGCCACCCCTTTCCTTCCGCGGATTCTCCGGCCCTGCCGGGAGCGGTTCGTATCATGCCTCAACAAACAGCACGGCGGGCAACAGTGTCATCACTGCTGGCTCCTCGGATATCTACAGCAACACGGGCGCTAGCGCCGTCACGGGAGCGAGCGGCATGAGCTGGGCGACCGGGAGCGTGAGTCGGACGTCGGAGGCCTCGAGCCGGCCGAGCGTCCCCGTCACGAACAACTTCTTCGACGCCATTGGGACGGTGCGCATGGAGGCCTTCATCAGCCCCCATTCGTTCAGCCAGCCCGAGACGCCGTACGAGCACGAAGACTTCCGGTATGTGGCACGACGGCGAAGCAAGGAGCTCCGGCGCAGGGCCAGCCGGAGCCGGCAACGCGACAGCTACCAGAGCCGAGGCACCCGGGGCACGGGAGGCACAGACGACCTGGACGAGTGGTATCTGAGAGACGACCCCTTCAGAGGATTCTAAAACTTACTTTCTCTTTTCGATTTTCTTTTTCTCACATCTAACATCTGTGGCCCAAGCCGCGTTCCACGTCATGACTGACGCGCATCTCTATTATCTATAACTTCTATTTCCTAATTCAAAACAAAGAGCCTGCCGCTCCTGGTCATTGTTTACGACCGGCATATGTCGTCTCCCTTTCCCCTTTGTGACCTGGATGGATTCATTCTCCACCTGCAGAGTGTAGGCTTTTCGCTTTCTACCTCACTGGGTATATATATATTTCTCGGTTGGAGGGGAAACTACTAGTAGGTACAGGTTCTCTCTTTTTTCTTTTTTTTTGGGAGGGTGCGGTATCGCTTTGCTGTTATGCCACCCGTTTTGACATGATACCAATATTTTTTTGGGCTTTCTGAAGCTGGCTGAAGATTTGCGTCTAGCTTCATGTCTGTATATTTATTCTCTTGCTGTTTTCTTAGATGCTCTCATCAGGAGCGCTACAACACCGGGCTTTAGCAGCGGGTTTGCAGTGTTGCACCGCGAGCTTGTGGCATAACTACGGTACTAAGTAGGTAGCTATCTGGATCAGCTCTGGGGAAACCCAACTGGCCCTGCCACGTTTATAGAGAGCCGTTCACGGATAAAATCTCTTCTGACCCGGATGAGTGTTCTGGCTTTCCTTCTGTTCTCGCGAGTGCTATTCTGACGGTCATGGACGATAGATCGTGTTGTATTCCCGGTTTGAAGCTCAGCTCCGAGGGGATGACCCAGTATCGCCGGGTCATGCCTCTCTCATCAGCAATGGATCTGGATGAATATGGATATTGTATTGTACCTATTTCTGTCTCAAGGCCCATGCTACTAGTACTATGTATTGTACTCTTGGGCAAGGCATAACCCTAACCTGCTAGTACTAATACTAGTTTTAGTACATCAACCCCGCCACTGCCCCGCCATGACTTAAACTTCAAAGTTCCGATCGTAAAGTTTGATGAAACCTTTCGGAATCACACCTAAGAGCATATCTAAACTGGCAGTTGCACCCGACGGCAAGATGTCTTCGGCAGAAAACACAGTCAATGGGGAAGTGGAATCCCTGGAGCAGATGCAGGCGCGGCACAGAAAGGAACAGCGAGACCTCCAGTCGCGCATCACCAACAAGAAGAAGAACGCGACCAAAAAGACTCGGAAATTCGTCAACGACGAGTGCGCCGAGCTCGAACGCCAGCTCAAAGAACGGCAGGAGGAGGAGATAAGGAAACTCACTGGCGCGGGCGACGACGATGACGGAGAAGAAGGAGAAAAAGCAGCACTGGAACAACAACAACAACAACAACAACAACAACAGGACGAATCCCAACAACCACAACAACCACCACCACCACCGTCATCATCATCAGAGCCCGCCGTAACCAACCTGACCAACAAACTCAACACCACAACCCTCTCACCATCGACGCAATCACAGCCACAGCCACAAACACAACAGCAGCAGCCGCAAAAACAGAAACGCAACCGCCAGAAAGAGCGCCTCGCCCGGCGCGCAGCAGAGCAGGAGGCCGCCGCGCAGGCGGCCGAGGCCGAGGCGTCCAACATGACAGACCGCCGGGGCCTGGAGCGCGAGCGCATGCAGCGCGAGCTGGCGGCCCACGCGCTGCGCGAGCACGAGATCGCGCCGGACGGGCACTGTCTCTTCTCGGCGGTGGCCGACCAGCTGGAGGTCAACGGCATTCCCTTACTGCTACTACGAGAAGGAGCAGGAACAGGAATAGGACCTGGACCGGAAAGCGGTGTTGGTCGGGGTGGGGTTGGGAATGGGGAAGGGGAAGGGTTCGACGCCAAAACGGTGGTGGAGGAGCCGTACCGCGTCGTGAGGAGGGCGGCGGCCGACTGGATCGCCGGGCACAGGGACGAGTATGCTGGGTTCTTGGAGGAGGGCGTGGATGAGTATGTGGGCAAGATCCGGGACACGGCCGAGTGGGGCGGGCAGCTGGAGCTGAGCGCGCTGGCGAATGCGTATGGGGTGGAGATCAGGGTGGTGCAGGGGGATGGGAGGCCCGTGGAGGTTGTTACGCCCACTTCGCCTGCGACGGGGGAAGAAAATGGGAAGGGAGAGGGGGAAGGGAAGGAGAAAGGGGAGAAGAAGAAGAAGACGCTTTGGTTGGCGTATTATCGCCATGGCTATGGTCTGGGCGAACATTACAACTCGTTGAGGAAGGCCAAGGCCGTTCAGTGAAAGGAGGGGTTGGCGGCCCTGTATCCTGCCTGGCTCAAACGTTTCTTTCTTGCATTACGATGGCGTCAGGCTAGGTAGAGAGCAGGGCCGTCGTCTGAGAGGCTTTGTCTGGGGAGAGATAGAACCCAGGAAGCGTCAGGGCGTGGGGGCTGGCTGGTTCTAACCTGTGCAGGTTCTTCGCCGGGATGTAGCTATTGCTGTGCAAAGTCGGGGTTGAGGTGGCCTCTGAAGGGAGGCGTGGTTTGGGGCGGTTAAGTCTGGCCTGGAGCTAACAACCCGGGAGTTATAGCATGATTTAGAGGTTGCATTAGACGCCATACTCTGCACTGTTGATTCTGGGCACTTGGCGCTGACCCAAGAGGATGAGAGGACATCGCAGAACGGAACCTGGAGTCGTACTGTGCACGGAGTGAGTGAAAAGGTTGATGGACACCTCCTAGGTAAGTACCTATGTACTGCACATACGCCATACTAAAACAGGTTAGCTTCTGCTTATTATAAGCATAGCTCTGGTCTCGGCCAATAGGAGCTGTTGTCGTGCTCCTAAGCTCGGGTCTCAAGATGCCTCGGCTCAGCTTCCGTGAGCTCTCATCCGCCGGCAATGAGATGATGAGCTCAACAACATAACCAGAAAGCAACATATCTAAAGAGTAACACACTCAGATCTACAGAGCAGTTTAAAAAAGCTCGTATTGAACAATAATACCAGTCTCAACCATGGACATCGAATCCCTCTTCAGCGTCAAGGTACAATACATACAATTTCCGCCCCTCCTTATCTTATCAACTCTCTCTCACACACAACCCCCCTTTTCTCTACCCGTCTCACTAACACTGCACCCACCTCCAGGACAAAGTAGTCCTGGTAACAGGCGGCGCCAAGGGCGTAGGGCGGATGATTTCGGAAGCGTTCGTGCGGAACGGCGCCAAAGTGTACATCTCGTCGCGCGACGCGGCGGCCTGCGATGCCGCCTGCGCCGAGCTCAACAACAGCCTGCCCGGCGGCGGTAGGGCCATCCCGCTGCCGGCCGACCTCTCCCAGCTGTCGGAATGCCAGCGCGTCGCGCACGAGCTCACGGCCCGCGAGAGCAGGCTGCACGTGCTGGTCAACAACTCGGGCGCGACCTGGGGCGAGGCCTACGACAGCTTCCCCGACAAGGCGTGGGAGAAGCTGCTGACGCTGAACCTGCAGCGCGTGTTCACGCTCACGCAGGCGCTGACGCCTCTCTTGGAGAAAGCCGCCGTCGCTTCCTCGAATGGGACCGGGACCGGGGCGACGACGGTGCTCGACCCAGGCCGGGTGATCCACATCGGCAGCATCGACGCGCTGCGTGTGCCGCTGCTGCCGACGTTCGCGTACAGCGCCAGCAAGGCCGGCCTGCACCACCTAAGCCGGCACCTGGCCGTCGAGCTCGGGCCGAGGGGCATCACGAGCAACACGCTGGCGTGCGGGCCGTTCCCGAGCAAGATGATGGCGGCGACGCTCAAGAATTTCGGGGACGAGATCCGGGCGGCCAATCCGCTGGGCCGCATCGGCATGCCCAGCGACGTGGGCGGTGCGTGCCTCTTCCTCGCGAGCCGCGCGGGCGCGTTCGTGAACGGGGCCACGCTGGCGCTGGATGGTGGTGTGGCGTTGATGAGCAAGATCTAAATCGGCTTGACTACTAGTAGTAACTCGTTCCGGGAAACGGGATACGGGATATAATCATCTATATATTATGAATATATAGGAAGCCATGTATACCCAAGGTAGAAGAAGATCGTGAGGAGAGCTATAATGAAAGTTATATGCATTATATCCCCATGGTGCGCCCAGTCCGCGTAGTTATTGCGTTCCATTCCCAACCATGCATGTCAACGCCGTAGATCCCCCGTCCCCAAGCAAACCCAATGAATGTCCCCGCGCCGTATCCATATACGCCCATCCCACATACCGGTGGAAAACGAAATGAGAAGACAACCGTCTGTAGAACGATCCGAACCCGCACACACCATCCGATGCTGTGCCCCACGAAAGAAAGAAAGAAAGCAAGCCCCCGTCTTTATCAGGGTATCCAACCAAGCCACCTCTCCCCTCCCGTAGCAAAAATCCTGACTCTACTAACGCGCCATGTGGCCGTTTTCCCTTCCCTTGCCCCGAACCTGAGAACAAATTTATCAAACTGCTTCTGCCGTTTCCACCTGCTCCCCTCACGTTTGAACAGAAGACCAGCATTTATTAAACCACACCATGGATTAGATGGGTTTTTTACAACCCGACACTCTCCATGTCTCGCAGCAGCACGGCCATCTCGGCCCGCTTCGCCGCTTCGGCGAGCAGCGTGAAGTCTTTAAGATAGGCCGCCGTCGAGGGCGTCTTGAGCGGTTTTGGCGCCGGCGGCACAATGTTGCTGGTTGTGGGCGACGGGTGTGCCGAGGACATGGCGGAGGTCTGCGTGGTGTTTATTGCGGAGGTGGATCGGGGGTCCATCTTTGTTTTTTGTTGTTGCAAAGTGACTGCGCTTTTTTTTTTCCTCACTGAGAACTGCGCGGAACGAGAGAAGTCGAGGCCGAAGTCGAGAGAGACTGGGTTAACGACTGGATTGTCGGGGGAAAGTTGAATGGGCGGTCAAAGGGGTTATAGCGACCCGAGTCACGCTGAATCGAGGGAGGGAGAGGCAAGGAATTCTCTGGCCTGTCTATGATGAGAGACCGGGCTCTTTGAGAGATTCGCGCGACGTCCTCTTCGTTTTTTCTTTTCTTTGACCGAAGCAAAGCAGGCGAACCGGCTGCGTTGTAACACCCGTCTCGCTACGATGTCTCCCCAAGGAAAGAGATGGAACTGGATCGCAACTCCCCCGTTCCTAGCGAACGAACCGAAGCGGTTGCCTTAAAGTAAAAAGATGCCGGCAGGAACCGAGTGCAGCAGCCGATTATGCGCAGCCGTTTTTATGTGATAGAAAGGTCGGGCCACTGGGACAGTTCTGGACTCGAGCCAACGGCTGGGCTGGGCTGGGCTGGCTCTCGGGCTCAGACGCAGATGCAGACGAAGACGCGAGCCGGCTGAATGGAGGAGAAGGAGGAGGAGGAGGTGGTGGTGGTGACCCAATAAAGCAAGTAATTTGATCTGAGGGCGGGATATTGCAGACGCGAGATGCAAACTTTCTGGCCTTGCAGACGGCACAACCCTTTCTCTCCCCTCCTGGTTGCTAGCCGCAAGCCGTGCGTGATGCGTCCTGCAAGAGGCTCAAACTGGTGCGCGGTCACTTTAACAGTGCGGTTGCGTACGGTGATCGGCAGGAAGCGATGGCTTCAACCTAGGTCCAGATACGGATGGACCAGACAATGGCCGAGCAGTGGAAAGCAATATCGGATCGGCCTAGTTCAACCTGTGGCCGTGCCGTCTATTCTCCCAAATGTCCTTAGGACCGCGAGACAGGAGCGAGGCGTGTGACAGGTAGGTACTATGTGTAAGTGTCGTAGTATGTGTGTGTGGGAAGGAATCGAGAAGGTGGTGTGTGGGATCACACCGTCAAATAACGAAGAGAAGTTTGGGGGTCAGCGAGATGAAGCGGCGGAGCACCATGGGCGTCCTTCCCGTTGATAGAGTTTGCTCGCGCCCGCCCATTTCTTTATCTCTCGCCATGGAGCAGGCTAGAAGACGGCGTCATAGACTTATTAGGTGTTAGTGTAACCCCTCGTCCCGTTTGGCCGAGAATGGAGTGACAAAAAGGTACTTCCGCCGAATGGCCGGAATAAGGACCGATTAGCCGCTTCGCCGTGGATTTGGCGGAGACGACGCCAAAGGGTCTGGCCCCTCCAGGTACCGCCGAGTCCCTCAGGCTCTGCCTCCGTGTGCGGGGCATCTGGTGATGGTGGGGTAAGGTCCACGATGCAACCTGATGGACCCGAGTTGGACCCCCACTCACGACAGATTGGTGCTGTTGATGTCTTGATGAGAATGTGCCTGTTGCCCAATGCCCAGCGCCCTAGTTCCATGAAACGCGAAAGCAGACCATTCTTATGTGAGAGCGGGCCATACCCGGCAGATATTGCGGGTGCATAATGCTGGGTAGTCCACCACACTCGATAGTTACAGCTTGTGGATTTTTATCGTGATGGGAGAGAATTTCCGAGCGGAACGTGCTCCATCTTTGGGGTCCCGTAAGCCTCGAAGACTTCGGCATCAAAGCCGAGGCATCCTTCCTTTCCATAGTGTAACTTGCATCTGTTCGGCCGCTTTTTAGCCTACTGTACCGATAGCCTGCCTGATAGGGCGCTACTCGGCGCATCTCGCAGTCGGCGGAGTGTTCGACGAGTGAGCTGACAGTTGCAGCGCCCGGAAACAACCGTATCCAGGGGCACGGTGCAGGATCGCCGCCAAGAACTAACAGGGGATACATGGCGACGGGTTTCTTCGGAGCTCGACCTTCCACGGTTCCGGCGCATAACTGTTTCCTTGATCTTTTGTCTCCTCGATCAAAAGTCGCAAGTGTGCCGTGGTCGCCAGCCAGGCCAGAGCAGGCGGCGGAGCCTCAAAACGTCCGCCTCGGCAGGGCGGTACATACATGCATGCGTAAGGTTAAGGTGTGGAAGAGCCGGGCTTCAACTCGTCCCAGCCTACCATCCCACCACCCAGAATGATTCTCGGGCATCCTGAATGTCTCTTCCATATGCTATCTAATCCGATGAGTAAGCCCAGTCAGCGCCGCGACGTACAACCTGTCCTGCTACATATGTACCGCGTAGCCGTCCGGAGTTCGATAATAAAATGATGACAGCCCAAAGTCTCTTAAAATAAAGGCGGCCCTCCTACCCTGGATTTCAACAATTCGGATTTCGGAAGCACTGCAAGCGTCTTCGGCGAGTGAGACCGTCAACTCGACGCTCCCCACTACGCGTGCCAGGGCAAGGCTCAGCGGATGACCGAAGGTCGCGAGAATTCCTCCCGAAGCATTTAGCCGCGGATAACTCGATATCAGCCCACGTGTCGATGGCAAGATCTTAATACCGTGTTCAAGATCTACACGTGTAGAACGGCGAGGAAGAACGGAGAAATTCGAGGCGTGTCCGGAACTCTGGGAATGTCCTCTTCCTTCCCTACCTAACTAGGTACCTTAGTGTACCTACTGGGATTGAGAAGAGTGTTCTGACGGAGACTGTTCCGGGGAACCGATGTTGCTATTCGGTCAAGGTCGACGGAGAAATCAACGTTACTTCGCGTAGCTGACTGGGACTCACTGAGCGAGTGCACCTCGACGGTAGGAATGTAGAGCGAATCCAGAGCCCACCACACCAGGGTGTGGAAGGTAACCGTGCCGAAGAGAATCCCTACACATAAGGTCTTCTGCTCGGTGGAAGGGGTCTGGATGGCCGGGCCGCCTTGTAACCTGGAAGTACATCACCAAGGCTCCTTCCTACCTATCCATGTCAGCGCAGCGAAGACGGCAAGATGATGCAAACCCAGGCGAAATTCCGAGTTCGAAGAAGCAGGGAATCCCGCTTCAGTGTTCCGGCCCAGAGTCCAAAACTGGGCCGGAAAGGAAAGGGAAGGAAGGAATGCTGCTGCTGGGCCGGCCTCCACGGCACTATCCGAGATCTCCGGCCGTTTTATCCTTATGCACGGACGGGAACAGGCCCCACCCCGGTCTATGCAGGTGCAATTCTCGGCGCGTCATGCGGAGGTGCGGTTTGCATGTGCGCGTTCCGACGCCGAACGGCGATGCAGTGCGAGGAAACAGAAACAGCAAACAGAACGACAGCACAAGGACGGGGGCCCTTTTTTTCTGTTTCTCCCTCAGACAGCATGGCCTCGACGCCTTCGTCTGCACCGAGCTGGCACAAGATCCAGATCCCGCGACCTCTCCAGCGACTGTTCGACCGCTTCCCGCTGCGGACTTACGAGCCCAATGACCTCCCCCAACGGTCACAGCAGCTCACTTCAAGTGACGTTGCCACCCTTTATGTGTTTTCTACAGATGAGGATGCCCGGATAGGCGCGCCGAGCTTCAACCCGGGCTGCCTCAAGTGGCAGGTACGAGCCAATCACCCCACTGTCTTCCTTCCTTCCCATGGCTCCCATCCTCACTAACACTCATTTTCTCTCTCTCTCCCTTAGACCCTCCTCCGACTCACCAACCTCCAATTCCGCATCCTCCCATCCACAAACCACGCCTCGCCGACGGGGTCCCTTCCGTTCCTCCTCCCGCCGCGCACATCATCATCACCCACCTCCTCCTCTCCCCCCATCCCCGCCGACAAACTCCTCTCCTACGCCGCCCAGAAATCCACCACCACCACCAACAGCCCCTCCCCTACTACTACTACTACTACAGCAAAACCCCCATCACCAAAAAAATCAGAAGCCTACTCTTCGCTAATCACCCTCTCCCTCCGCAACGCCTGGCTGCACGCGCTCTACCTCGACCGGTCCCGCACGGCCCTGCTTCGCGCGCTGTACATCGCGCCGTGCTCCTCGTCGCGCGCCGTTCAGACGGCATTGCTCTACCAGCTGCGCCGCGCCGCCGCAGAGCAGATCCTGTCCTCGTCCGGTACGACCAAGGTCGGGACGGCAGTTGGTGGTGCTGGTGGTAGTAGTAGTGCGGACGCGATCGACGAGGAAGGCGTGTACGCCGAGGCGTGGGACGCGCTGTGTGCGCTGGCCAGTTTGTTGGCGGAGAGCGAGACCGGTTGGTTCTTTGGGGCGGAGAAGCCCGGGACGTTTGATGCGAGTCTGTTTGCTTATACCCATCTGATGATGGAATATATGCCGGAGGGTTCGTCTACGGAGGAGGGGGAAGGGGGCAGGATGGCGCTGGGAGCGATGGTGAGGAAGGCTGGGAACGGAGAGCTGGCGAGGCATAGGGAGAGGGTGTTGCAGGCTGCGTGGCCGGGGTGGGAGGGGAGGAGGGAGGGGGTTGAGAGCTCTTGAGATGAGAGGTGGGTAAGGTGGTTGTCAGTCGAGGACTCGGGGAAGTGTGGTGGCATGTGGCGGTCCATACACACATGTAGTCAAAAGAAAGGAGAAGGAGAACCCTAGACCAGGTCATGAAGATACCCAAAAGAAACGACACCGTACCTCCAGTGTTATCGCTCGCACCTCGGGTTACGATCTACCGACTGGATGCTAGGTAGCTTCTAACCTCCGGACCTCATTGTCACGTCTCCTGACAATCAACCTTACACTTAACCCATAACGTTGCAGAGAGAAAAGAGGATCCAGGGCCTTAGGTACCATCATCTCCTCCAACTCAGTCAGTTGCAGGCAGGCAGCAATTCAGCACGCCGAACTCCACCAATGACAACCCATCCACAGTCAAAATAAACTAGTGAAAGGGAGAAAATAACGATGAACCGGGAGACACAATCGATCACACTGGATGCCTCCCCGCGATTGTTGGTACGATGGCGAAAACTACCTTACCCTTAGGAAGTGCATCCAGGCAGAAAAATAGCCCAAAGCAAGGCAGTTCCAGGTCCAGGTTAACTAGAGAGAAGAGTTTCTTTGCCAAAGCAATCAGTACCTACCTTACCGTACCTTGAGAGCAAAAGCAACCTGAGCCATTACATAGACCACAGTATAGTAAAGTGTAGTATAGTGTAGTAGTGTAATGCAATGTAATGCAGTGCAGTGCACCCAAGAAAGAAAAGCTCGGGACAATACTACTAGTAGTACTTGCCCGGCAGAAATCCCAACCTGAAAGAAAAACCACACCCGCCCACTGCAACCAACCAAACCAAACCAAGCGGCGAGAGAGAGAGAGAGAGAGAGAGAGCGAGAGAAGAAGGAAGAAAAGCAACTAGAAGTCAAAGCCAGAAGATTATCAACCCAGACCAGACCAGACCAGACCAAACCAGCCCAACCCAACCCAACCCTCCCCACAGCCAGCCCCGAGAAATGAATGGAACTCGAATCGAATCCACCGACCGGCCTGCCTGCCATGTCTCAACGCCGCATCCTTGTGTCTGACCTGTTTGCTGTGCTGTGCTGTAGTATGATAAGATGATATAGTCCAGTACCTAATGCATGCCATGCCAGTACGAGAGCGCGTATCCCTCCGGGCCCTCCCTGCCCTGTCATCCCCATGCCATGCCATGCCATTCCATGCCTTTGGCTATGCCTATGGTGCGTATATGGGGCCCCCGATCACCTAACACCTAACACCCCACGGGGCCCATGCCGGACACGCCCCCAGATGGAAAACTAGCGCAACCTCGAGGGCGGAATCCAATCCACGACGTTCTGCACCGTCACAAACGCCCCGTCGCCCCCGTCTTTACGCAGCGTGTCTAGTAGCACAACCGTCTGGGCATAGACGTTTTCCAGGGCGGCGCGGGACGATTTGCCCAGCGAGGCTTCATTTCCACAAGTTAGCGTATGTATGTATATTTACTTTCATCTCAGGGAAGGGAAGGGGAGGGACGAGAAAAGGGGGGGGACAGGATTTGAGCAAGAGAGAGAGAGAGAGAGAGAGAGAGAGAGAGAGAGAGAGAGATTGGGGGGATATTATGAAGACTCACTCAGAATAGCGCTGTTAAGTTCCTCCGCCACAGCCACCCGTCCCGTGCCATCCAGCATGTGCGCCACCTCCTTGACTTTCAGGGGATTCGGGTAGGCAATCAGCGAGAAGATCTCGTCCAGCTGCTTGGCCGTCTCACGGCGCGGATCGTCCTTGAACTCGGCTCGCAGCTCCATGCCGTACACCAAGGCATCCTGCGAGAGCTTGCTCACCCCCGGAGCGTCGACCGTCTCCTCGGCCATGGTCATGTCCATATCATTATCGTGGTCGCGGGGCGCCGCGATGTCGGCTTCGAACTCGGGCGGTTCGGCCTCGAGCATTTCCTGGTCGTTGTCGTCCGCCTCCCGGTGCGGTTGTTGGTGGTGGTGGTAGTGGTGGTTCCTCGCCGCCACGCCTCGCCGCTCCTCGAGGTGGAGATTCAGCTCCGCTTCGCTGCGGATCATCTCGATGAACTTGCGGCAGCGCAGGTGGAAGTAGACCTGCTCGTTGTCACGGAGGACGGTGGGGTAGTAGGTTTCCGTGTCTCTCATGGCGCGGTCGATATCGCCCTCCAAGATGGCGCGGCGGATGCGCTGCCGGTTGTGCGCGTCCTCGTCGTCTTTGATGTTGATGCCCTGGACGGGCTGGGTGGGGTCTAACCGGAGGGCGGTCTGCTCCTCTTGAAGCTCTTCTGCAAACGCGCGTGCCGTCTCGACGTAGCCGTCGTGTTGCAGGAACTGGAGCACCTGTCATCTTTGTTAGAAGCTGGTGATATGCAGTTCTTACGGGTGGCACGGCTTACGAGCTGCTGGATGAGGTCCGTCTCTGAGAGCCCAGGCACCAGCCGCGAGGTGTCGGTGCTCCGGATTTCTTGCTCGATCATCGATTGTTGTCTCTGTCGTTCGTACAAACGGATTAGCGACGCTCTCTGGGGGGCCCGTACGTCTGAGAGGCGAAGATCCATATCGAGCCAAAAAGGGCGATAGCGCATAGTGATACAGGCATCCACGACATGGACAGTGACATAAAAAGTAAGGATGAATACGGGGCGAAGATAAATGCAGTGGCGATGCTTAAACAAGGCAAGACAAGGTCCTGACAGCCAACCGGGCTGTTCCTGCACTCGCAGAGTCCCGGCCGCTTACGGAACGGCAGCTGCAACACTCATCGCATATAGCCCCTTCCCCAAGACAAGAGGAAAGAGAAGTGTCCACACGATGGAACTGGGATGTGAAGTGAAGCAGGAACGTACCTTCATATACCCGTCGATATCAAACACGAAGGGCCGCTGGCCAAAGTTTGCCATGATGTGGTCCTCCTTCTTCTTCAGGCCGACGATGGGATACAGCTTTCCCTTGACTTCCTTGAAGTTGATGTCTCTGAAAGCGATCGCTGCAGTGCCGTTAGCATGCGAACTGATGATGAGTCTAATAGACGCATATCAGGAGCAGGAGAATCCCAAGAGAGTAAGGGGTGGCGGCACCCGTGTAACACAACAGCTGGCAGAGTGAACGGGGTGAATGTCTCGTGGAGCCAACTTACGCAGTTCCCTGCCGTTCTTCGTGAACAGCGCATGGTTCAGGCGGAAGTTCACCAGGCAGCCGACGGTATCACCGGCTCCGAACTGTTCGGCGTAGGGCTTCCCAACGTTCTGAGATGCGAACGAGTTCCCGTCGTCGCCGTGGTAGCCCCACGACTCTGGCTCCCAACCAGGCGCCCGGTTTATCGAAGCCTCCTTACTCGCAAAGCCGATGGCGATTGGTGGTGTCCTGTAACAACAGCAAGTCCCGGTCAGCCCAGTGCTCGACAAGACAGAAACCCTCCCGTGGCGGTAAGGCTGCCTACTTCATATTATCCTTCTTCTTGTTCAGCACCGTAATCTCAAAGTAGTACACCCCGCACGAGGGCGACATGTGGTGATCCGCCCGTACGGCGCTCGCCTCGTGTTCGCTCGACGCCCTCCCCGTATGCCTGACCTCGTACCCGTCGCCCAGCACCTCCAGCGCGGCCTCCTTGTCGTCTTTGTTCCATCTCGACGGCAGCGGGCTGACGGTATCGTCCTCCTCGGCGGGGTACATGGGTTTCTCGACGATCTCGTACGCCACGCCCCTGTGTGTTGAGCCGGAAACCTTCGTGCCGATCGCGGGGAGGTGCGAGGCGCTCCCGTTGCTAGCTAGCCTCGAAGAAGAAGCCGCGGCGGCCGGCCCCGTTTGTGTACCGCTTGAGGCGCTACCGTCCCGCTCTGCAAGGACCTTTGCCCTGTGCTTTTCCTCCAATTTCTGTAGGTAGACTGTCCCCCTCAGGTATGATGGGGCCAGGAAGCCGGTGCTGCTGACGTTGGGCATCGAGGCGCTCGAGAAGAAGCGGCCGTCTTCCGGAACGGCAGAACCGGTGGGGAGGAGCGGGTCCTTGCCCATGTAGAGATCGAAGGCGCTGGAGAAGTAGGGAAACCTGGCTCCGAACTGGATCGGCCATACGCCGTTATCGGTGCCCTGGTTCAGGTGGTACCTCGCCGCACTGTCCTCACCTGAGGCCCGGATCCGAGCAAACGGCATGTCTGGGTCGAATCGTACGTTTTGTGCGGTCGGGTGCGGGTTACCGCCGTGCGCATGCGCGTGCTGTTCGGAGTCGGGCGAGGGGTTGAGGAGATGTGAAAAGCCGGAGCGGCCGGGTCGACTCAGCGCTGATATGCTGCCGGAGACTACGGATGCGTATGAAGGCCGCCGCGCGTTTAGGGCTGGCAATCCGCCGGAAGTTATAGAGTCTCCGCTGATGAAATTTGAAGGTCCATGCTGCTGCTGATATGGGTTCGTCATGGTGAACAAGTGGGGAGCTGCCCGGAGGGAGGGGCGGCAAAGGAAGGAGGTCACGTCACAGCGAGGCGAGGTTGAGTCGTGGCGCACGCGGGAAGGGTTAGGGCGAGCGGTTGTGTTGTCGTGTGATCTCGCAGCACTCTGTCAAGTTAACGCGGTTTCACAGAGTTGACTGCGGTGTATGGTTGTTCTGGTGGCCTTAGAGGACTTTGAGTTGAGTCAAACTTGGGGCCGGATACCTTGAGTCCGTATCAAGGTCGATGTCTCGCTGCGACCTCGTCGCTATGTCATAGGTGCTCGAATCGGCATTAACTAGCCCGCCCAACTCCTGCGACGGAAACGAGAACCGGAGGATCTACTGAGATCCGAGATGTGGAAAGGTTATGTGTCAGCTACCTAATCAGTCAGATAGCTGCGGTTTCAAGTTATCCTAACAATACGAATAGATGGTGTTGACGTCCGTTCTCCAACTCAGTTACAGTTATGACGGGAGTTCGGAGGCCGGTCCAGTTCAAACGATACGTCGGCAGCTCCTCTGCGGGTCTCTGGCATCCAGTGGAGTCATTGGGGGGAATTGTGAGCCAAGCAGATCAGAGGACCTTGAAAGGCGACGCTAGCTCGAAATTGACCCCACCAAGTCTGCGTGGCATTGGAAGGAAGGGCACCCCAAGTTTCCCTGGCCAGAAAAGGCCGTACAAGCAGCAAGCCCACCCGACAGCCCAAGGAGCCAGGGAGTAAGATCAAATCAGAAGGGAAAAAAAGAGAGAAAGGGAGCAAGAGAGAGAAGTATAGAAAACAAGGCTAAGGAATTTAAGGAGAAGTAAACGATGAAAGAAAGAAAACAATGAGAGAGAAAAGCGCAAGAAGATGCTGGATCAGCGTCCCACCGCCCAGGTCTATCCGGCTAACGTAGTCGATGGTACCTGATGTACCTATGTACGGCTTCTTTTGGTCCCGGGGAGCCAACTAGAAGCCGTTCAACAGTGCGCTGAGGCGACCTGCGCTGTTTAAATCTAGCCAATCAAATCAGTCGGGGCGAGCATATGTGGGGCGCATCGACTTGTCGTCGGTCTCCTTCCATCAGGACCCGGAGGGAACTTGGAAGCAGTTCCTGGCGAGTTTGCTGTGAAAGACTCGAGCGTTGGGGCTGGGAACTTCCGACACCAGCAGAAATCTGTGCCGGTTGGTTTGCTACTTTTCTTTTATAGTAATGAACCGTCTCATGAAACTGTACGCAAATACGGTAAATCTTGCCGTGGAAGTCGCGCAGTGTTACTCGGTCCTCTCGAGAGTCAAGAAGACATTGGAAGTTGATGTGGCCCTCAAACGGCTCATGGGCGAAGGTATTAGTACAGTACATTTCGTTTCGGCGGAGTCGAAGCAATCCAACGTATTGAATGTTTTGGCACGAGGGTGTAGATGAAGATTTCCCTAGGAGCACTCAAGAACCGGATTCGAGTGCTGGCCGAAGAAACAACCTGGCTCCCCGGCGCACCCAGAGCATCCGGGACAGGTATTTGTGGGAGGCATGTGAGAGACATGTGGTAGGTATACAAAACAGACTTACTGCCTTCACTGCTGAGAAATATCCGCATGCCGGATGCTTGCAGAGACTAACCCTGCTCTATTGTACAATAGCTGGGGGGCCCGTAGGCGTCAGCAGACCTTCTCTACTCCCAAACGCCCTGGGTTTGCCCGCCCAGTACCCCGTTGAAGCCAACGATGTGCTCACTCCCTTTTCCGTTGACCCATTGTACAACGCCCGAACTCCCCTGTTGTACCGCCCGAGTGAACTTCCCAAAAACCTGACAACCCGAATACAGAAAGCTGAAGTGATAGAAGCATTAGACCCAGGCGTAGTCGCCTCAGTTAGCGGTGAGGGCCAGAGGTGCTGGCGAATTATCGGCAGCGAAACTTGCGGCACTCTGCATGTCGATATCCCCGCCATTGTTGCTCGCCTCACTCTTGAGCTGGCTGGCGTCCTCCTTGTTCTCCTTGTTGCTGCTGTCAACAGATGCAGGCCCGGACCCTTCGGCCGATGACTCTGGCTGAGGCTTTGGCGGTGCCGTCCATCTCGGAATTTCCCAGACGACGCCCGTGAAGCTCTTCAGCTTGAAGCCGCCTCTGGTCCACTTCCGGCAGGGTTTGCCCGACCGGTCGAGCGCCCGGAGGCCGGCGTTGATGGCGCCCTGATTGGCCTTAGGACCGAGTTTGTGGGGGGCAACGGAGCCGCGCCCGCCTTCGATGGTCCCATCATCGCTGTTGCATTGTTAGTATGCTGTATGGGACGGGGCTCTTCCTTCGTGGTAAGGGATGCGACGGGTGAGTCCGCGACGGGAACAGCCCGGCGGTAACAGGTAGGGTATACGGAAGTCGGGGACTTACAGTCTCTGCTTCTTCTTCGGGCCGGGCCTCCCCCGCAGTTTAGGTTCGCCGTTGCCATTCGCAGCAGCACCGGCACTTCTCTTGACCCCTTTCTTCTTGGGACCTTCGGCGGGCGGTCCCATGATGGCAGACTGGGCTGCAGGTGTGCCAGCCGGAGGCGAGTTGAGAGTTGACTCCGACGCGCTCTCCGTATTAGAGTTGGGCGCCGCAGCGGGCGACGGCTTGGCCGAAGTCTCGTCTTTGACATGATTCGGGTCTACAATAGCCCGCAACTTCACGCTCGACACCTTGAGCTTGACGATGCGTGAAGGCTTGGTCGAGCCTGCACTTGAGATGCTAGTTATAGGCGTGCTGTTGTTCGACTTCCGTCGGTCCTTGGACGCAGCAGCATTCTTGCTGGAGGGCGCCATGTCTACCGGCAAATAGCGTCGAGCGCTATAAAGCAATGTAGCGATGGTGGTTGCTGAATTTAGGGAACGACGACGAGGTAGTGCAGCGACTACTGACAAGAGAGATGTGCGTTGTGACGGTGGTGATGCTTTGGTAGATTTACGCTGTTGGTGCTTTTGTCCAGGCTGATGGAACGAGCGATGGGCGACGGGAGATTTGTGTGTTGTGCTGGCTGGGCGTGCAAGGTCAGGGCGCAATCAGCTTATTAGGGTGAGCGTCTGCCGTAGTGACGATTTGGCGTCGCACTTTTATTTCGCGTTGGTGGGAATGGACACGGCCTATTACGCTGACGGTGGTGATGTTGGGATGATGCAAAGCGCGGTGGCCATTCGGTTGGGGTGTGGCATTGGAAGATGGGAAGGAGAATCATGGACGGGGTTTGGAGCCCTCGCCATGGTGACGCGGCGGTGGGCGTCCTGTTTTGCCCTTCATACTGCCAAAGAAGAACGTTGGGCTGGCAGTTGACTTGCTCGCAGGAACCGAGGGGGACACTGCGCGGAGTCTCCAACAAGGGAGTCTCATCTTCGAAATTTGGGGCCCATCGCGCTTAACCCCAACCCTAAGTATAGTTGTACTCTTTCAGCCGGGCTGGCTCGCCAATGGCAGGCCGTCCCGCCGACGAGCCCTGCAACTGCAAGCGTGCCAGAAGGACGTCTGTACCTCCGTACCTCCGTAAAAAATCAACCGTATGACCATCATCACTACTCGCATACTGGCACAGTGAGTATCCGTAGATCAACCGGCCTCCTTTCGGCTTAGCCGCGAAGTCGAGCGTTTGCAGCAAAGCGCATGCATTTCCGGCTGCGTCAGAAGCACAGAATCGATGCGAGACCAGACGCAAAGACTGGAGCATAGTATATGCAATTGTCAGAGAACCAGGCCAGGACTGGCTAACTACTCGTTGGGCCTCCTAAAGCGGCGAATCCAAGCTTCCAGGTTGCTGGGAAGGAACCTTCAAGGGCGCTAAGGCGAAAAACAGGCACGGTTTATTTAAGCTGGGTTGTAGGGGGGTCCATTTAGAGACATCGCTGTAAATTGCGCTCACGCTGATTTCGGGCTTTCCCACGGTCGTGGAGGGCTCGTCCCAGTGATCTTGCCCGTCACTTGACGGAATGCGAGCTCAGAAGATCAAAGAAACCGAGCTACCGTAGTCGCCAAACAAGGGGCACCGTCTACTTCGTACAGTAGCTATCTCTGCACACAACTCACCCTCCGTCCGCCCAGTTTACCAATCTAAGGTCATCGCAAGCTGAGAAGGCAGAGAGGCAGGCAGCGATTCGAGGCGATAAACTTGTGTGTTCCGACCAACCGCATTTTTATCGTCATCCACTGCGCCTCTCCTCCAAGACTTGGGACTGGACGCAGGTGCATCGGCACAGGCCCCGGTGCCAAGCTGTTTTCGGCAATGGATCAAAAGGGGATGAGAGAAAGAGCGAGGGCTGGGGCCTCGCTGGCCTCGCTGGTTTCCATTTGCGACAGTGTGGCATCCATCCGCCTGCTGAAATCTCACACCGTGCCGACGCATCACTCGGAATGCTGACCAACCCGGCCAACCGCGGTCAGACTGTGAGACTGACAGCGATGCAATTACCTATCATTCTTCCATCCCGGAATTGACGAGTTCCACCCAAAGTGACAGGAATGAGACTATTCCTCTCTGGTTCCCGCTCCTTCACGTACCGTCGGGTCCGCTACACCTCGGTTGACGAGAAATGCCAAAGTACGGATATACATAAAAGTATGTCAGGTCAGCTCCGCTCTCATGGATACGGACGCTCCGAAGTGCAAAAGCGCATCCACGCATGTGACATCCGCGGATGTGCAAGAGCGCCACCAGCTCACCAGGTGCTCGCCGTAGCTGATCAGTCCCAGTCTACCACGCACGCTGTCTGTTTCAGATACGCCCATGATGACCTTTTGAAACCGCACCTGAACGGCCACGCCTCACGCTGCCGCAATCGCACATCTTCCCCGTGGTCACTAGCGACTCTAACAGACATGCCCATCTAGATGCCTGCTTGTTCCAACGCTCGGTGCATTGAGCAATCTACTGTATGCGCGAGTCGAGTGCTAACTACTAGATCGTGAAAGCCGGACATTGTTTGGCTCGTCTCGCCCCATATCCTCCGATCCCCAAGTAAGGTCATGTTAAACAATGAGAGAGACACTCCCTCGGGCCGTCCCACATTCTAAATCCCCGGGCCCTGGCTGGGTATGTGAGGAAATGGATATATTGAGCTGACTCGCCAGCAGCCGGCCAATGACCACTATGAGCATCGTACTAGCAGTGTCACAGCGCAGAGACAAGCGTTATGGTCTCGAGGACCTTGATGGCCACGGAAATGGTACCCGCATGGCAATCCACGTGGGGAGCTGTGGGCAGATATATATTTACCTAGCCAACCTCATACGACTTCATTCGAGAGCATACTACTGTCCCAGTTTCCACATGCCATCTTCTCGCCATGTGCATACAACGAGCATCCATTCTTCCCCTTTGGGCCTCATCCTCCTGCCCAAGGACCATGAGCTTTTTTACTGCGGCATATGCTCAAACGGCTTGGCCAGATGCTCCTGGCAGAAAGGCAGCTTGCTAACAGTCCAGATCTCGGTATCCTGTTTTCCCCTGCGTCAATCCGGTTGTTTTTTTTGTGTCATTCAAGGTCTGACCGTCTGTCTCCCCATGGAACGATGAAGAGGGGAAGGGAGAGAAAGAAGAAGAAAAGGGAGAATAAAACGCAAAAAAGGAAAGGACCGAACGTACGGGCTTCAACCCCTTCTTGATCTCCGTATCCAGCGACCCGCCCTTGAGCGCGATGATATCAGGCGCCGCCTCCGGCTCGTGCGCGATGGGCGACCCGCACTCGGAGCAGAACCACCGCCACACGGCGTTGCCCGAGTCGGCGACCCCCTTCCACTTCTTGACCGGGCCGTTCGTCCTGAGCTTGTCCTTGGGCACCACGCAGACGAGGGCTAATTTGACAGCAAGCGGAGGGGGTTAGCTTGTCAGTCCAGTTCATCCATGAAAGGTCGACCATACTGGTACCACCAGGTTGGTTTTGTGGTGGGCGCTGCAAAGGTTCAAGAAGAGCGTTTGGGTGCGGGGAATGGAGGGGAGGGGAGGGGAGCGGGGTTACGGAGCATCATGTTGTTGGGTGGATGGCTGGTCATGATTGATGATGGCTTCGACTCAGGGAAGGAGGGGAAACGCACAGTATGTTGAGCCCGATTGTCTCTGACAGTCGTCGCAGTGGTCATAGCCCGTGAGCAGCGGGGCGTCGACGTCGGCCGTGTAGGTGACGGCCTTGCAGAGGCAGTGGCCGGTGAGGGGCATGTTGGATGTGATTCTTGGGAGTTATGGGTCAGGATAGGTGGCGATGACAGTTGTCGACCGGTTCAAATGGTGGAAGAGAATTGGGGATTAAGGCGACGGGCTTAGTTCGGCGAGGATTCAAGTTGGATGGTGGGTGGAACGAGTCCCAGGCTTTATATATACAAACCTCAACATGCAGACGACAGGTCTCCGCACGGTGATCTATCTCGAGAGTGGGAAGGTATGCTAGCCCCGAGGTAGGTAGGTACACTAGGTAATCAACAATTACCTACTCCGACCGGTAACTTTCATGCATGAGCACTACCTTACATTCCCGGTAGGAGCTCGAAATCCACTGCCCGCAAATTCCAGCTTGTTCTACGGTACGCAGTCAGCTCGCTGGCCGATGTGGCTCGGAGCTGAGGGGCTGGAAGGGCCACTCGGAAGATTGGGTTTCGTACTGTACATACAATGTGGATGCTCTCCCGTTATGAACAGCCGTCATCTTATTAGTCTCAAGTTTCTTAATTTGGGTCGTACTGTGGTTTGTATTGTATTGTATAATGTCCACGTGCTTAGACCGCGAGCTAGAGTCAAGAAAGACGCAGCACCTGACTCAGCAGCAACCACCGTTCGCCGGTGAATGACGTAGATACTTAGGTAGGTATCATGACTTCCACATCATCGTTCCTATAGTATATATATTTCTTACATGTAAATGATGTATCGAAGTGCCCTGTCTCAGCTTATCTTTCCAGCATCAAGTGCCTCTACTGAGGTAGGTAGTGCTAGGTAAGACAGCGTCACGGCGGGGCGAGCCGTCGCAGTGCAGGGCAGTTGCCTACTGCGGAAGAGACTGCGGCACACCGAGTCCGGTAGCTCTCGGGTTGGAAGATCCAATCCAGACTGGAAGCAGCAAATACTGTGGTAAGGTGCTGCAAATTATCCAGAAAGAGCTGCACGAAGCTGCAGGTCGCGGATTCGGCGGGGCAGCCTCACCACAGTATTTGTCACAGGCCCCACCAGTGCTGTCCGGACCCGGCCCAACTGAACCGGTTGGGGGAAAGTATTTGGAATTCCCCAGATGCTCTTATACCCGATATGTAAAGGCGCCGGAAACTGCGTCTGTGCCTCTCATCAGGAGTCAGAGGCCCGAAACGATGGCCGCATCGAGACTCAGCAGGGTGGGACATTGTCTCAAGGGAACCCTCCGAGATCCGTGGTCAGGACAGCCGAAATGAACCAGGCAAGGCACGCCTTCACAACAAGCCGCTGAAGCTCGAGCAAGAGCATGGACCCGAACGCAAACCTGTCCGCGACGAACAGTTTCAAGACGCAGCGCTTGTACGTTTCGCGGGCCGCAGAATCCTCGTGCGCCGAGACATAGGCATCCATGGACGATATGCGGAAATTCCGGATGTCGACGGGTTGAGGCTGCGCTGGAGGCTTCGCGACCGATGTCAGCGGTCGCACGATCCGCTCTGGCCGGACGCGGAGGTGCTGTACCATCTTGAAGTACGCATAGTCGGAAAAGTCGGATGTCTTGAGAGGTGGTGGTGGTATCCTCAGAGCGAACATCGGCAATAGGTCCGGGCGGGACACCCAGATCGTGCAGCTGTCGTGGAGCTCGCAGAAGAATGCCTCAAAGTCGTGCGCATAGTACACAAATCGCCTGTAGAAGAGCGGAGTGAGCACCCTGAACTCCAGCTCCTCGGGCCCGGCCCCGGCCCCCCTTCGAGCGGCCCGGGACTTCATCATCACCTGCTCCGTGCCGCCCGACGTGCCGCTGGCGATATACTTCACAGCCAGAGCAGCGGGCGACTGCTCGACAAGGTGTTGGAGATACCTCCTGAAGATGGGCTCTAGCTTCCGCTCGGTCGGATCTGCCGTCCGCGCGATGGTACCCTTCAGGGGTTCCGGCCTGTACCACACGTGCAGTTTGCGGCGGAAGTTGAGCCCAAAGGCTTCCTTGAGGATCAGTGGAAATGTCGCGAACCCGACCCACCACCAGGAGGCCAGGAACCTGAACTTCTGGTACGTTGACATGGCATAGGGATCCAAGGCGGCGCTTTCCGGCCGCAGTGTGGCTACCAGCTTTGGGTGCCCTTTGGATGAAGTCAAGGTGATGGTGTTGGTGACCGAGCCGGTGCCTTGCATGAACGGGCCCAGAGGGTCACACGCTGACAAAGTATACGAGCCTTTGCGAGAGCTGAACGGCGAGACATGGAAGTCCTTCGGCCACGACTGCTCGAACGTGGCTCCTTCGTCCCCCGGTGATTCTAGAGAACAGTCGGACTGGATTTGTCGGTCACTGCTGGATGTCAGGAAATACAACCGTCGCTCGCCAAAGGTATTGTTAACATCCAAGATCATGGCAGCGAGGCGCTTCCCGGCATCGTACAGGTACCAAAAGGAAGTCGGGTTGGAGTTGTAGCCAAGGAAGGGGGCAGCCGTGACGAAATAGGCATGCGGGTAGGTCGCTGGGTCGACGCCCTGGCCGAGTTAATAGCCAATATCACCGACCGGGCTGCGGGGACACGCACCTGGCTTCGAAGGTAGCGGTCAAGCTTGCCCCGGAGACCCAGCTCGGCCTTGCCACGCTCCAAGTAGTCGCCCGGATCGACTGTAAACCAAGCTTTCGGCACGTCGGGCAGGAGGGAGGACCACGAAAAGAGGCCCGATGTTCTTTTGGTCCGGACCGTGACCATTCCCCCGGCATTCCCGTCAAAGCCCACGGGCACGCCAACCGCAAGGTAGGGATAATCAAAGGAGTGCTGCTTCGGGAACAAACGCGAGTGGAACGTTCGACATGGGAAAAGGAGGACTCTGCCTGGCCCATTCCATCTTTGGGTCCCAACTTCTTCCCGCCTTGTCCGCAATACCCACGAAAGAGCGCAGATGGACCAGGCAAGGATCGAGGAGAAGGCTAGAGTGGCCATGAAGGCCTCTCGGCTCGGCATGAAATTGAGAATACCGGCAAATAGGTACCTTTGCCGGAGGACCAAGGAAAGGGCCAGTAGGGCCGCATCCACAGGCCCAGAGACCGGGAAGCAAATGGCCGTAAAAGCCGCCGCTGGATAGACCAACTGCAGAACGTCCATGGTGTAGCATAAATGAGACTCGAGGGTTAGGTGGGTGGCAACACCATATAGTCGATAGGATAAAAGCGGCTAATGCTAGGTGCCTCGTACTGCCATATCCGTAATCGATGTGAGATTCTGTTCGGAATTGGTGGTTTTGTTGATCATGTTCAGGAAACAGACCGATGGATGTAAGTGCTCCAAGAAACGCACACAAATTCCTATGCATATTTTGTCCCGCTGCTGGTGGGTCAGCTTTCGAGGCCTGGCTCCACGTTGCGGCCCGGAATTCGCGGCCCAGCCTCCCGGTTTCGCAGCCCCAAATGTGGCTCAGCCGGGATTCCCGCCGCTCGCCGCTCGAGTCACTGACCAATTCGACGGCCGCCCATTGCCTTCCGCAGCGGAGCCAACTGGCTTAATAAATCCCCGCCAAAACCGTCTCGCCGTGACCGCATCATCATCTGCGCATATCCCAGTCATCGGCGTCCCCGTCTCAGCATTGCCGCCGTATATAAAAGAAAACCCAGCCAAGCAAGCAGTAAAAGCTTTTCGTCCTTTTGGCATCACTCTCTTTCCAGCCCTCGCTCACCGGCAATTGCTCAGCGTTTAAGCGCACAGCCGAGCCTCAGCCCGCCTTATCTTGGACAACTCCCATCACCAGCCAAGCACATCCATCCTTTCAGAAATCAATAAAAATGTCTGCGTGGGACGTTTCGGACGTCAAGATCGGCAAGAATGTCCGCCGGGGCGGCGCCGCCCCGCGCGAGACTGTCGTTCGTGGCCAGTCCGCCCTCAACGCAGCGAGGAGAGCAGGCGCAACCATCACAACGGAGAAGAAGTTCACCACAGGCAACCCAGTACGTTTTTTTTTCTTTCCTTTATCCTCCCTCCTCTTAAGCCCAGCCCCTTTTCCCTCAAAAACTGACCACCATACTTTCCCTTCGCAGGTCACCAAGCCCGGCGTGGAAGGCCAACGCCTGACGATGGTGGACCGGGCAGACGACATCGTCAAGCCCAAGACGGTGGGCATCGAGGTCGGCAAGGCGATTCAGAAGGCACGCAACGACTACATGCAGGCCAACGGGACCAAGGGCCTGACGCAGAAGGAGCTGGCGACCAAGTGCAACACGACACCCACGGTGGTCGCCTCGTTTGAGCGCGGCGATGCAGCGCCTGACCAGAAGGTCCTGGCCGCCATGGAGCGGGTGCTCAATGTCAAGCTCCGCGGGAGCGACATCGGAAAGCCCAAGTTCGAGAAGAAGGACAAGAAATAAAGCGGGAAGGAAGCGGCAAATTCAACGCTTCTCTCTAGTTACCACACAATTCTTTTTTGGGGGGCTGGATACGCTGGGTTATCTGGGCTGGGGAGGTTCGTGCTTCAGACGCGATTACTAGCCCAGATACCAGAATGAGATACCAGCATCACTCGCTGTATGATGGATGGATGGTCAAAGCAGCACGAGAAACGTGCTCGCATATGGCTCTTGGGATGAATTTTAGCGAGGACTGGGGCAGATCTGCTTCTCGATAGCGGCGTTGCATAGCAAGGGGTCACTTGCGGATAGACTCGCCCTGCTAGGCAGAATAGACCTTAGGTCTTCGGATTAAACTATGCTAGCCCTTCTCAGGGGCGTTTTCCCATGTGCTATCTATGCAGAGTGATGATCAGCCCACCATGCCCGACTATGCCCGTCTCAACGCCATGAACTCCCACCAGAGAACCTGAAAAGAGAACAACCCAAATGGAACCTTTACCACCCAAGCACCAGATACAATCCCGAGCCATCCCAACACCAGTCATCCCTCCGTGTCTCATTATCCAGTTAGCACCCCCACCACGCTTCTCCTTCACGTCAAACCAAACCAACCCAAGCCACGCCATGCAAGCACACACAGACTTAACAACAATCAACAACCTCTCTTCCCGGCCTGCCCTGCCCCTTACCCAAGCAAGGAAGCCACCCGCTCCTCCAGGGCGGCCTTACTCGGCTGCGCCGCCACCATCACCAACACATTGACCCGCCCGCCGACGCTCAGAACCCTCAGCCACTCGGGCGCCACCTCGCCGGCCAGCAGCCGCACGCAGCACTCGCCGTCCTCCTGCGAGATGGGCGTGCGCACCGAGTCCCGGAGCTTGCCCAGCAGCGCGGCCATGGGGAAGGACACGCGCGCGGCCTGGCTGCTGGTCGTCGCCTTGCACAACATGCCGATCACGGCGGCCACGTCGGACGCGCGCTGCAGCGCGGCGCGGCGCTGGAGCTCGGCTGGCGTCGGGGCCGAGCTGCCCTGCGACAGGGCCTGTTGTTCCTTGTGCCGGATGCGGTCTAGCAGGGACATCTTCTTCTGGTCACCCTTGGGGGTTTGTGGTGGGGTAAGGGGCGCGGCTTGTTCTTGTTTCTGTTGTTCTTGTTCTTGTTCCTTCTTCTTCTGCGCGATGGACTTCTTGAAGGAATCCAGTGTGGTTTGGCTGCTGCGCTGAGCGGATTTGGTGGCGGCTGTTGCGGATGCGCTCCGTTTAATGGGTGCCTTGGGGAGCGAGCCGATGAAGATGCTTGCCGGCTCCCCGTTGCTGTTGAGCCAGAGCGTGCGCAGGTTGGCCTCGAAGTCCATGTTCAGCTTGTGCTGGCGCAGCGGGCCGGGCTCGGCGTCCGGGTGGAACTCGAGGCAGATCTTGTCGCGGCCATAGTCGCAGAGGAAGTACGGCGCCTTGGCCGTCTCGCTCTTGACGGGGTCCCACGAGAGCACGCCAACGCACCGCTGGATGTCGACAAGCCCCACCATTCGCTTGCCCCAGGCGCGGGTGACGCTGGGGTAGAGGGCCTCCAGGTCGACCGGCGTGGTTCTGCCGCTGTGGGCATACTGCATGTCGAGAGTCCGCAGGAAGGCGACATGCAGGTTCAGGAGGTCGTTGAGCTCCTGGGGCAGGTCGAAGAATTCGTCGGGCGGTGTGCGACGGTGGACCGTCGTCTTCTTCCGCTTATAGGCGGAAGGTGACTCGAGGTTCAGGCGCTCCAGCAGCGCCTCGGTCTGGCTGGTTTCGTCCGACTCGCAACGGCGCTTCCGGCTGGCCGGCAGAGTCGCACAGCTGGATGGAGTCGCCGCCAGACGGGCCGGCACCGGCGCCACTTTCCGGTTCGGCCTCGGCTTGGCCGGCGGCGTCTCCGGGTCGGCGAAGCTCACCTTCCTCAGCGCCTGTGCGAGAGGGGTGACAGGCGTAGTCGACTGCACTGCCGACTCGCTCCGGAGCTTCTTGGCTGTGGGCACCGAGTCATCCTGAACCTTCCTTTTCCTCGAGGGGAGGACGACCTCGATGTTGGTGGAACGCGGGGTGAGGGTGGCGACTGTCTTGGGTGATTGTTTGTCGTCGGAAGGCGAAGCCAGCTTGCTGCGCGTTCCGCGCGTCGAACGGGCGATGGCACTAGGCATCGTGCTTGCTACTTTTCCTACTAGATTGAGATTGCTAGTAGTGGCGCAGGTATGTGAAGATTGGAAAGCGCCGTTGAGGAATTGGTTATTCAGGTTTGTTTTGGAAGTAGCAGTTGAATTGGAAGTTTGCATGTGGAAAGCGTGCAGTGGCAGAGGTGGAAGGTGGAATGGGTCTTGATATGCTGGAACCAGCAAGACATCAAACGCGTCTTACACGTCGACGCGTAAAGTGGGCGCGTGACGCGTTGCTGTACATAACTCGCGAAAATGGGGTAGCCGGGGTACAATGCGCGGTATCCTAGAGGCTGACTGCAGCCCTTCCACCTCCTACAGTTCGGCTCTTGTGTCACGTGCGTCACCTTCAAAAGAACTGCCACAGAAAGAGCGAAAACATTACCGTAACCAGGGGAACCATTACCAATGCATCTCCCAATGGTACATATCACGGTACCTTCCACGGCCAGATGCGGCAGTGGCCTCATGAGTTCAGCAACTTGCGATCATTAATATCAGACGGAGTTATTGTGTCAAAGGGATAACCCTAACCCTATCTTTGATAGCGGGATATTCGTATCATACTATGTTGGAGCTCCCATGCAAGGCACAGTTGTCCGCGGTTCGCTTCCAAGATTCATCCCAATCCGCTTCATTCACTGTATCGTTCTGTTCAAGTAAGCCCATCATGGCAGAACCAGACGTAGCTACCAAGGCTCCCGAGAGTGATGCGCAAGAAACCAACAGCCCGCCAGTCCCCAGCGACTCTTCGGCCCCGCCAAAGCCACCGCTGATGGGCGAGCACTGCACCTCCGACAGACCGACGCCCGCCGGCCAGTCATCGACAGGCGAGCTCAGCAAACTCAACGATGTCGACGTCAGTCATCCTCCACCAAGCTCCACCTCCTAGCATATCTGACTCCCCCCATCCCATCTCCAGGTCTACATCTCCAAGCCCGCAGACTACCCCCACACCCCGTCGCGCCTCCTCCTCCTCCTAACGGGTGGCACCGGCCTGCACAGCGTGAACAACCAGATCCAGGCCGACCGCTTTGCAAGCGAGGGGTACGTGGTCGTCATGCCGGACCTGTTCGCAGGCGACCCGGCGCCCAACAGCCGGGAGACTGTCGACGAGTCCCTGTCGACCGGCTCGTCCCTCCTCGACGCCTTCAAGATCAAGGCTGCCGAAGCGGCGAAGAGCTTCCTGATCGATATGTGGCTGGCCCGGCATACCGAGGAGAAAGTGCTACCTATTCTGCATCGGGTGTTGGATGCGTGCCGGGATGAGTTTGCGGATGCGGTGTCGCATGGCGGAGGCGTGTATGCGGTTGGGTACTGCTTCGGGGCGAGGTATGTGTTGCTTCTGGCTGCGGAGCGGCCGGCGCATGGTCAGGGCCATGCCGCCCAGGGGCGGGGTGCTGGGGGTGATGAAGAGGCGAATAGGCCTAGCACGGTCGGGCCGCACATCAAGGCCGGGGCGCTGGCGCATGCTACGCTGGTGTCGAAGGGGGATTTTGTTGGGTTGAAGGCACCGCTGAGTGTGGTCTCTGTGGAGAACGACCCATTGTTCCCGGACGAGGTGAGGATTGCTGGGGAGGAGTATATGAGTGCCAATGATGTCGAGCACGAGGTGCAGGTTTATCCGGGGGTGCCACATGGTACGTTCAGTGCTATCCAAACGGTTCTGCAGCAAATCGGCTGATGACAGCAACAGGCTTCGCCGTCGTCGGAGAGTACGAAGACCCCAACATCAAGATTGCGCAGGCTACTGCGTTCGAGCAGATGTTGAAATGGATCAACGAGCACTGAGCAAACGTCAAGCATTTACTTACTTTAGGCGTTCCGGTCTTGGGTTTGGTCAAGGCGGTTCAATCGTATGGCACGCGGGTATCACTGTTTAGTTTCTCATCTGCCCGAATCTAGGGGTACTCCCAGCTAGGATGCCTTAGGGAATAGTGCAGATGATCTTGCCCTTGGTCTTGTTCTCCTCCATCAGCTTGTGCGCCTTCACAATATCCTCCCACGGCAGCACAGTATCAATCAAGACCTTCAGCTCGCCGCTCTCAAATTTGGGCAGGTACTCTTCCAACTTGTCTCTCAGCCTGCCCTGATACTCCTCATCGCGGCTCCTGAGCGTACTCCCTTCCACACGCGCCCTCTTGTAGAGCAGCTTCCCGATGTTCACACTCTCGGCAACTGCCCCGCCCATCAGTCCGAGCATGCAAATCCTGCCATCACGGGCCACCACATCCAGATTCTTCTGGAAGTAACTGCCCCCAACAAAGTCCACGACAAGATCCACCCCCTTCCCGTCCGTCCTCTTCAACACTTCCTCAACCCAGTCCTGGGTCTTGTAATTAAACGCCGCCGTCGCGCCTAGTTCCTGCTCGACGAAGCTGCACTTCTCCTCCGACCCGGCCGTGGCAAAGATGCTGCTGGCCCCGGCGAGCCGCGACAGCTGGATCCCCGCGATCGACACCCCCGACGCGCCCGCATGCCACAGGATACTTCTACTACTCCTTTGTTGTCCAGAGGAGGAGGAGGAGGAGATGCCGCCCAGCACGAAATGCAGCGCCTGCGTGGCCGTGATCCACGTCTCGGGGATGCCGGCCGCCTGCTCGAACGAGAGGTGCTCCGGCTTGTGCAGCAGCATCTTGCGCGAGACGCAGATGTACTCTGCGTAGGCGCCGCCGTAGGCCAGGCCAAAGACTGCGTCGCCTACCTTGAAGGTATCACTGGTGGAAGACGACGACGACGACGAGGGGGAGGCGGAGTCGCCGAGGGCGGCGATGGTGCCGCTGAACTCGACGCCTAGCGTGCTGGGTGCCTGCGGAGGTAGCGGGTAATGCCCCTCGCGCTGGATGAGGTCCATCCGGTTTAGCCCGAAGGCTTTCACCTTGACGAGGGCCTGGCCGGGGCCCGGGCGGGGGACGGGGGTGGAAGGGTTGATGAAAAGGGCGTCGGCGCTGCCCGTGCCGTTTTTGATGTCTGAATTTTGGGTGTTAGTGAGAGGCGGGGGGTGGGTGAGTGAGTCCGTAGGAAGCGGGAGGAACATACCGACGGCTTTCATGACGTCCGGCATTTTGGCTGTGTTGGGAGATGTTATACACCGAGGCAGCCGAATGCAGCAGTACTACTCAGACCGCCCCTCTTCAAGGTGACAACGGAAGTATGGAATTGCGTGTACAGCTCGGGAAACGGCGAGAAGGGAGCGCACACGGTCAACACTCGAGCTGTGCTGTCTGTTGAAGCTGGAGGTACCTAGGTATTGAAGCTGGGACGGCGGGGTTCACAACTTCAGATGAATGCGGAGCAATGACGTTTTCCGGCCCCCACTGACATCCGGCGCCTCCGGGCCGGGCCCGACTACACCGGCCCGGCAGTTGAACGAAGTCTAACCTTCAGGAGCGATGGATCGCCAAGCTGATACATATGTATGTAGGTATAACTCGACCAGTGTATGTACGGATTCTAATAGAAGAATAAGGCGGACAGTCCAGCCCTGGGGAAGTGAGGGCTACAGGAAACAATCCCTGCAAACGGGAAGTCAGTCCGTGCCGACCGCTGCCCCTCCGGATACGAGTCGCATAAATTTCATGCTGCATCCATTGTGCTGCGAGGTCCACCGAAGGTACGGGATAATGGCTGCCGAATCATGGGATTGACATGTCGAGATTGAGAGTTGAATGCTGCTGTTAATAGCGTAATACGATACCACGCAGCGACTTGGGAGCAGAATTGATTGATCTGATATCTTACTGGATCTGGTACAGCTACCGAGTATGTAGACCGTGCCGTTCCCCCATTCGGAAAGGCCGCATGTTGAGAACACCCCTGAAGCGATCGCCAAGTCTAGGCCCTTGGGATCTGAACGAGAAGTGATGATTGTCTGAAAGCGATCTTGGGCTGCTTAGCGGTAATACGCCACCGCACACTACGGAAATGATACATATTGACGGATAGAAGGATGGCCGAGAAACTTACTGTGTAGGTGTGAAAGCCGGACGAGGAAAGTTACAGTTGATACTGTGTGGGATTCAGTTATGAGCATCACAGAACGATACGAGAAAAGAGTGGGTGGGCTGCTACCTTATCTTGGGTTCCCTGACTCGGTCACAATGCACTCCCACAACAGTGATGGATCAGTCGCTTGCCACCGTGCTAAGTCCCGACGGTCGCTCGGCTTCTATAATGTAGGTAGTCAGTGCTGTACGGAGTAGAGACGAAGCGGAAATACGGGTACTGGGTACTGTGTATAACCAACCTAGGACTGCGCACTGCAGAAGACCGCTGAAAGCAAGGCTAATACTCCGTAGGAAGGCAGTTAAGCTTCTTCCGAGCTGGTCTTGGTCATCCGAACTGTTAGCGCCAAAATAGTTGGTTATCTGCAGGTTCTGGCCTCCCACATGCAAGGCACCTCCTAACTTGGCAGTCATTTCCATGATTTAACCGACGCCATATGCAGGTACAAACTTTCGCCCCTGGCCGCGCCGCAGCCCTCCCGCCTGGGCAGATAGAGGACGGGATACAGCGGCCTCATCACACTCCATCCCGGACCAATACTTATCCCGTAGTATCAAGAGGACAATGTCAAGCATCTTCGTATAACAACTCGCCAGATCCACATACAAGTTGACCAGCTGAAGCATGAATGTTCTGCCCAAATCAGGAGATGCATCAAATGGCGGAGAAGAGACACGAGCGGGACTGGCAAGGCGGTCTCCAGATCCGCTCAGGTGTAATCCCTGCAAACCCCCCGAGCCCGGGAAATTGACATGCTCGTGGACGCCGTGAACAGCGCGTTCTTGTTGGCTGCCGCTTTGCCCGCCCGGCCCACACCGTCCTTCGCGCGCATCCTTGCATCGACGATGATTTGGCCATTTTCGGTCGGAGGCATGGCGGCATCAGGGCGAACCTGGAAAAATTGGATGCGCGCCGGACATAAGGGGTCCAGGGGGTGGTAGCGGTGGACATTGTTGACCCATTGACCCAGGATGTCACCCCAGCGGCCGTTGTGTGCTGGCGGCGTTCAGGCAGGGTCGTCCCTATAAAACAACAGTCCTCTCGCACATTGCTGCGCCCCTTTCCTCCCTTTCTCTCCTCACCCTCACGCTCACTTAGCAACCTTGACTTATTAGTCAAATTCCATTCGTTACGGATTAGACAACGCCAAAGGCCCTTGTGCTTTACGAGACCTCATAGACCGAACATACTCACCGAGTACATAATCTAATACCCGAACAAATCAGCCAAAATGAAGTTCTCCGCTGCCGTCCTTGCCCTCGCCGCTGGCGCCATGGCGCACAAGAATGAGACCGTGGCCTACACCACTGAGGTTGTCACTGCCTACACCACCTTCTGCCCGGCGGCCACCGAGGTCACCGTTGGCACCAAGACCTACACCGTCACTGAGGTACGACCGGACCGGTTCTCGCGTTATCGGGGGGACGGGAGAGCGGATGGGACTCGGGAAGCGGGATATTCGGATCAAGGCATCTCCGAGCAACCGGAGAGTCCCTTGGTCTAAGAACCGCTGAGCCGCTGCGTCCCGCTTCCCAGAAAGCCCGAACCCGTAGCTTCAGAACTACACCGCTAACCATCCCGTCACACAGGCCACCACCCTGACCATCACCGACTGCCCGGGCGGCTGCACCATCAAGCGCCCCGTGACCACCATCTCGTCGGTCGTCTGCAGCAACTGGTACGTTTTGTTGCCCCCTTTCTCCTTTTCCCTCTTACCTGGGTAACGAGCCAACAAAAACAAACTAACCCGCCAATCGCAAAAACAGCCCCTCCTACCACAACAGCACCGCCACCGGCGCCCCCTCGACCCCGGCCACGCTGACCAGCGTCGGCACCGTCACCGTGCCGTCCCCGACCAAGGGCCCCGGCGGCGGCAGCCCCAGCTCGCCCTCGTCGCCCCCGATCGCCACCGCCGGCGCCGCCAAGGGCTTCGCCCTCTCCGGCCTCGCGCTTGGCCTGGCTGCCCTCGCTCTCTAAATTGCGCACACCTAGTTTAGGTCGTTGTAGTTTAGGTGAGAGCGGGTCGGTATGCGTGGGCTGGTGGGTGGGGTAATGGTTAATGGCTTAATGTCTTGACTAAATCTGCGCGCGTTTGTGGGAAATGGGTTGTGGGGGAGGAAAGGAAAAAGGGGGGACGTCGAGATGGGGGAGGGGGAGGGTTAGGTGGTGTGGAAGAGAGGGATGAAAGGAAGCGTTGTATGGGGGTTGGCTTCACTCGGACAGGTTACGGGGGACTGTGCGATCTTCGCGCGGGTTCTCTGTAGGCCTCGCCTCCTTTTTTGGCTTCGGGGGAGGGTTCGTTTTGATGCGTTCCCTTTTTTCGGGGTGTCGTTACACGTTTTGAATAGTGTTCCTCTGGACAAGATACCGACACTTATTCAACCTCAAGCTGCTTTTGCTGAGTGCTAGCAATTGTGATGCGACATGGGGCGAGACAAGACGATAATTGAAGGTCTCGGATCTCTGCTTGAAGCAGCGAGTGAGTCAACAGAGGCGGGACCATTCCACGGAATTGTTTCGGGAGCAGCCGTTTCCGGCGTTGTCCGTCCTTCCAAGATACCTGCCGAATGAATTGTTATCATCTCACCCCATACCTATGGACCAAGACTTTACGGATAACTCTGTGGCCTAAACTAATTCATTTGTACATCTCGTCTGCGCATTCAGGTGGATAACAGTCCCATAGTTTGAGCTTGTGATTTAGGGGCTATTCCCCGTGACGTGACGACCTTGTGATATTGATGCCAATGTCCGGTGGGTAGGCCAGTCGGGTGCGTCCCTTGCCCGGCGTTCCCGCCGCAATTCAACCTCGCACTTATCAACAAAGACCAGGCGCCAACAAACCACGGCCCCGGCAAGCCAACACGATAACTTGAATTCCAAGCGAGATTGAGTGTGACCTGATAAGGGGCTCAAGCGTCAAGCACCTACCTTACCTTCACGAGCAGATAACGTTAGCAACCTAGGTGAATACTGAACCACTGAACCGGTTGAACATTGAGAGCTCGAATTCACTGAGGGCTGTTATTAGTAGTAGCTTCGGATTGACTGGACAATTGCACATATCCGAACCCTCTTTCTATGCCGGTGGACTCAAGCAATTTGTTGAAGGTGAGATGTGTCGACGGCCTCCTATCTACATCATCCTTTTCTCCAAGCCGTTGAGTGGTCTGTATCAATTCGCAGCAGTCCTCTAAGGGACAAGCAGATTTCGATCGAGGCACTGGTGGGAACTTACGTCGTGGTCGCTCCTTTCCGACTGACGGCCTTGTCTCATGAGGAAACTGGACAGAGATCAACAACACAACATGCCACTTGAGATGGCACCCTAGGTAATCATCGACATATGCCCGGAGCAAAACAGTATCACTGCTCCAGCTCTCCGTTGGTGCTCAAAGACTCGGCTTACGCGGGCCAGACTTCGGCAACGCAGCGCGGGCGGCCAATTGTCGGGGACCCCGCGCTGATCCCCCGGACCCCAGCCGGAACTCCAGGTGTCGGGGTAACGGAATGCGGGGGGGGACTTACACCGCAGCTTTCACCATAACCGACCCTGTACATTAGCTTAGTACTTGACAATCATCACAAGAGCCGATCTGTCGTGGAAAAGCTGGTATTAAAGCTGCGGGCAGAAACAGTGCCTTGCGTGTAGTATTCACAAACTTCATGTCGTTCTTGCCTCGGGCTCACTCTAGTACTGGTACCTCACCACGCCTCCTTCTTTGAAACAAGACGCTCAACCAAGCCGTTGGTCGATTCTCTTACAGACCGCCTCCAGCTAGGTAGTTATACTGCAGGTATTGTACAATACACAATACAGCAACCATGGACCACCCGCAGGACCAAGCGCACCGCCGCTCCCTAACCGACCCGGAGTCGTTCTGGGGCCACCAGGCCGAGCAATTGCACTGGCACAAGAAGCCCTCGTCTGCCCTGGCCCGGACGACCAAGCGGCTCGCACGCAGCGGCGGCGGCGTGACACACGCGCACTGGGAGTGGTTCCCCGGCGGCGAGATCTCGACGTGCTACAACTGCGTGGACCGGCACGTGCTGGCCGGGCGCGCCGACCTGCCCGCCATCCTCTACGACAGCCCCGTCACGGGCGGCACCAGGCAGCGCCTCACGTACGGCCAGCTGCTCGACGAGATCGAGGTGTTTGCGGCTGTGCTGAGGGAGGAAGGGGTTAAAAGGGGGGATGTGGTGCTTGTTTACAGTAGGATTTCTCTCTCTTTTTTTATTTTTATTTTTCTTTTCTTTTTACTTGTTGTCTTGACTAACTGACTCGTCCGCCTGCCGCAAGTGCCCATGGTCCCCGCTGCGCTGATCGGCATCCTCGCCATCAACCGGCTCGGCGCCATCCATGCGGTCGTCTTCGGGGGGTTTGCTGCGGGTGCGCTGGCCCAGCGCATCGAGGCGTCACGGCCCGTCGCCATCCTGACGGCCTCGTGCGGCATCGACGGGAACAAGCCGCCCATCCCTTACCGCGAATACATCGACGAAGCCATCCGCATCTCTTCGTGGAAGCCGCCCAAGATCATCGTCTGGTGGGTGTGGGCCCCTCGTTTCTTGTTATAGGTGCATCGTTAACCGTAGGAACGTAACTATGGCATATATGTACTAGGCAGCGCGATGAGCTCCCCTGGCGCCCCATCCGCAAGCTGCAAGGCGAGAGGAAGTGGCAGAACCTGGTCAAGAGCGCCCGCGCGCGCGGCATGAGAGCCGAGTGTGTGCCCGTGAAGTCGACCGATCCCGTTTACATCATATATACCAGCGGCACAACCGGTCTGCCCAAGGGTGTACTGAGAGAGGCGGGCGGCCATGCCGTGGGCCTGCACCTGTCTATCTCCTACCTGTTTGGCATCCATGGTCCAGGTGATGTGGTGGGTACCATGTCTACTATCTACATGTACCTTGCTCAAGGAACTTCCCTTAATGGGGCACGTCACTAACATGGACAAACAGATGGGCTGCTTCAGCGATATTGGCTGGGTGGTCTCGCACAGCTACACGCTCTACGGACCTCTCCTCACCGGCGCCACCACGGTCCTGTACGAGGGCAAACCGGTCGGGACCCCTGACGCATCCGCTTTCTGGCGCATGGTGGAGGAGTACGAGATCAACACCATGTTCACCGCGCCGACCGCTCTCCGCGCCATCCGCAAGGACGATCCGGACAACTCGCACATCGCCCGCATCGGACAGCGCGGGGGGCTGAGGAGTCTCCGAGCGCTGTTCCTCGCCGGCGAGCGGTCGGAGCCGGCCATCATCACCATGTATCAGGACCTGCTCAGGCAATACGGCGCCGAGAACTCGCTCGTGGTCGACAACTGGTGGTCGTCCGAGTCCGGCTCCCCCATCTCCGGCATCGCCCTGGTGCCGCACGCAGGCCAACGCCGAAAGACAGGCTTCCTAAAGCAGCAGCCGCCCCTGCCCATCAAGCCCGGGAGTGCGGGCAAGCCGATGCCCGGTTTTGATGTCAGGTATTGTCTTGAACACCGGATCCTTCTCCCCGACTTATGCCGTTCCGGTTAACTAATGCTCACTCCACGCAAAGAGTTGTCGACGACGCAGGCCAGGAGCTGCCCCGCGGCAAGATGGGCAACATCGTGCTCGCGCTCCCCCTCGCGCCCACCGCCTTTCGCACGCTCTGGGAAGACGAGGAGCGCTTCTATCGGGGCTACCTCAAGCGCTTCAACGGCAGATGGCTCGACACCGGCGACGCCGGGATGGTCGATGCCGACGGGTACATCCACATCATGGCGAGGACAGGTTCGTTCCTCTCCCCCACCTCCCCTTTATCTCTCAAGTTCTCAACCCCCCTTCATCCATCCCACCATTCTCTCTCACAGGGTAACTAACATCACGATGCAAAATCTACTGCAATGTAAAATAGACGACATCATCAACGTAGCAGCCCACCGCCTGTCGACCGGCGCCCTCGAACAAGCCATCACCTCCCACCCGCGCGTAACCGAGGCCTGCGTGGTCGGCATCCCAGACCCGTTGAAGGGGCACCTGCCTTTTGCCTTTGTCGTCACCACCGCCTCTTCTTCTTCCTCTTCTCCTCGCTCATCTCCCACCGCCGCCGGCCCAGATCCACATGAAGAACAGAAAGAGAAAGAAAACCAAAAAAAGCTCTTCGCCGAGATCCAAACCCTCGTCCGCTCACAGGTCGGGCCCATCGCCAGCCTGGGCGGCATGATCCAGGCGAGCCAGCATCAGGGGAGCCAGGGCCAGGGGGGGATGATGATCCCCAAGACCAGGTCGGGCAAGACGCTGCGGCGGGTGCTGAGGGAGCTGGTGGAGAACGCGGTGCGCGGGGAGTTTGACAAGGAGGTTAATGTGCCGAGTACCGTGGAGGATGCTAGCGTCGTGGAGGTTGCGAGGCGGAGGGTTAGGGCGTATTTCACCGAGGGGGAGGAGAGGGAGAAGGAGAGGGAGAAGGAGAAGGAGAAGGCTAAGCTTTAGCATCAGTGTTGATTGACCCCTTGATGTAATTACTAGTAGTACTACTTCTCTCTCTGATGTGGTGGAGAGGGGATGGTTCTTTGTTTTCGAAGTTACTACTAGTATATGTCAGTTAGTAGGGCTGCTAGAGTAGAGCGGATGTTCTGGGATGGCGTGTACCAAAATCACTTTTTAAAAAGGGGATTTTACTTCAAAAAAGAAGAGATGCCATTATGTTGTCGCGGACGTGGGTATGCCTGAACCCAAGCAAGCAAGCAATGGTACATACTACGGCAGCCACGAAGTCATCCTTGGCAAGGCTAATGAACACACCATATCCGGCCCCTTGGAAATGCTACGTAGCCCTCAACAACGGCAACGCAGTATCTGAAAGAGGGACTGATTAGAATGTGTAAGGTAGTCCACCCCACTTGGCCTTCCTAAACATGAGAACCGCGCCAGCTGGGTTTATGGACCTTCTGCTTTGCTTTGACTCCATGCTTTTAGTTACTGTGCGTACATTGGGTGTGAGAGATGCAGAGCAGTTTCTCCATGGTACGACACTCATCTAGCTTTACCTAGCTTGTGAGTACCTATCAAAAGGGCGTTGATGGCATATGCTACCCCCTGTTCATCACAGTCAAGATTAACTGGGCCGCGTTCTTTTGGTGCCTCTCTCTCCGTCTGTCCCAACCCCTCTCTCACTTTCACATCTCTTTTCCCTTCTACTCCCATCCCAATTTCCTCCTCTGCAACGCCGGATCGTTCTTTGCTGGACTGTGTCGTAGTTGTCATCATGATCTCGGGAGCAGAACGCCGGAGGAAAAAGGGTCGCCAACCGGGGCCCACCAAGCAATGCCCGTGGATTTATATTGTCGCATGACACAGGTTTATCGATACACATACCATCATCAGTACCACATGGGCGGATAGTAATCCTCGTATTTGACATTTGGGTGACCTACATTCATTCCCGTGCTCTTTGTGTACATGCTTCTTCTTCCTCTTCTTCTTCCAGAAGGGGGAGGGAGGGGTAAAGGAGACACAGGATCATCATCTTTCGTGGACGATCTTCTTTTTTGTATCCGGGAGCTGACCTCCGACTGGAGAGAGAATTTTGACTTGAGGAACCACCTCACTACTGTTGGGCCGTTTTTCAGGTTCCACCAGAACAAGTGATGTCGGTGAAATACAAGCGAAGCCAGTCCTCGTTTCTCTTGTCACTGTGCAGCCCCGAAAGTGTGCCAGGTCCCATTTTACCCAAGCAAGCATCGGAGGATGACTCGGGCAAGACAGGTCAGACCCGACGGCTACTCCGGGTTATCATGGACCAGTCATGTTCTCTCATGTCTTTCGGAGGAGATAATAAATGTCCCTGACCGGGTCAAGCTCCCGCCGACTCTAGCTAACCCCCCATGTTTTTTCTCTATTATTCCCCTCCCCTCTCATAGACAGCACACGCATTTAGTTCCAGCCTCTTTCGAACCCGACTACCTACCTATGGTATGCATGCCCAGTGTTTCCCCAACAAAAGTGTCAGCCCACATCAGGGGTCCCACGACTGCCTTATGCAAGGTAAAGTGACAAGCAGGCTGACCGAAAAAGCCTGTTGTGCGTTCATTGCGTACCTTAGGCGCAAGTTTCCAACGCAGCATCATTCCTGGTAGTTAGCGTCGTCCTCCCACATTCACCCTTCAACCTCCCAACGGCGCGGCATCCGGAGCCCGTTCTTAGCCTATCGTTTTATTTCATCTAATACATCTATATACATACATATATAGACGTTTCCTCTCAACAGAGTCACCTCACACGCAAAGCCAAGTTCCACACCATGGAATCGGGAGCCAGCCAGCCAGCCAGCCAGCCAGGCAAATAAATGGGCAGCGGAAGAAGTTTGAGAAACAGAAGAAACAGGGCCACAACACAACACAGTCCATCACGAGGGCTTGGCCAGCTAGTATTGTATTGTACACAACGGTACGACCACTGAATTGGAAAGGATGGAGATAAACCCCCGGCCACGCCCAAATCTCCCTCCGACTTTGCGCTTGCTCAGTGTTAGTCGGTTCTAATTCTGTGTGACACAACACAGAAAAGTCATTCATAGCTGTAGTTTGAGATTAGTAGACGTGTATAAAGTTGGAAAGAAGAGAGAAGAGTCCGGTAGTTGGCGGCTCTTCGCCGCGGGAGGGGGGAGGTGGTTGACGATGCGAGGGGGGAGGAAACACACCGACTGGGGCCCAATTTGCTTCAGGGTAGGTAGGACAGGCAAAGCAAAAGAAAAGAGAAAAAAAAAGGCAAAGGTTTCGGGAAGAAGACGAGGCCCGAGAGTGAGGGACGCTTCCTTTGCCTGCCTCTTTGGGGGGATCACAGTAACACACAGGTGGTGGAGGAGGAGGAGGAGGAGGCGGAGATCGCCGCCTCGGGAGGTGACACGAGCGCCTCAAGACTCATTGTGTGTAACTCCTGGATATAAGGGGGGACATCTCGATAGTGCGGCTTGCGGGTGCGATGGGACTGGTGTGACCCCAGCCGAAAAGCCGCCTTGCTGACAAGAGCAGCGGCGTATGTTACCGAGCACAGGAACTGTCCGACGATACCACTGCAGAGAAGGGTTGCAGCGACTCGAACCTTCTAGGCGCGTACTGCGCAACGGTGGACGAGCTCGGACTGCGGACCGGCCGGCTTTTTGGGCTACCAAGGGAGACACCGGGTAGCAGCTGTGGGGAGACAGTTGGGTTGTTCGAACGTTGTGATGGAAAGATAGCTGAACGGCCCCAAGTGGTTGCTAGCCTTCATCCATCCTCGTCAGTTCGGCTAACAAAGGAAGGACTCTCCGCTGATATTCCAACGCATGTGTTTGTTTTCATGTCGGCGCAGCCACCATACGATGGTGTCCCAGGCCCATGGGCCCAAGGGGGTTCAGGATTCCAGAACATACCCCACGAGAACACAGATGGCCGAAGTAAACAAACACTTAGCCAACCAGAGATCTGGGCTACCGTCGATCCTGAGCCCAGAGAACCACAAACATGCATACCACCATCACCTAGCGCCGGCCCCTCCTGTCCAACCTCCCAATGCAGAGAACGCAGAGTGCAGATGCGACGTCGTGATGCAAATACCCGTCAAGTGCCCCGTTTCATCGTGCGACCAGAAATCCATCAAGCCTATCCAGACGTTCCTCGGCATGCAAGGCAATATATATCTGCAGTTGTCTGCAGTTAGACGTGGCCGTGGCAAACAATCCAGCCCCCCTTACACCGTAGCCTTGCCCCACACCGTGATCGGCGCGCGTCTCTCAAAGACCGGAAAGCAAAGGCGGGGGAAATGAGCAGAAACGAGGTGAGTAAAACGCTTACCACAAAGGGGCGGTGTGTGTCAGCTCCTGGGGGTGGCAACGGCTGGCTGCTGCGCGCTTCCGTCGGCCTTCGAGAAGGCTCCGAGAACACTCTGCTGCGCCCGAGCGGCGATTTTGAGATTGGCGAACCGCGCCTCGGGAAGTCGCTTGCCGGCCTCGACGCTCTCCAGCACCCTGGGAGGGCGTACCACGGTTGCCCGTCGGTCAGCCAGCTGGTCCTGCACAGTATCCATGCGATCCGAGACATACGGGGGTTGCCGATAGGAGGGGAGATGAAGGGGGAAGAGGGGGGTATGTGTGGATGTCATGCGGATGCAAAAAACAACAACTCACCACTCGACGCCGACAAACTTGATGCCGCAGCCGCCGACCCGCCGGGTCTCCTTCTCCAGCTTGCCGCCCGCCAGCCCACCGCCTGCACCTCCGCTCGGCCCGGACGGCTTCCCCAGGATGACGTGGGTAACCTGGCGGCGGCCCAAGTGGAGCGACATGCGCGCCCCGTGCTCCGCAAGCAGGTGCTTGAGCTTGTGGTCCGACACGAGCGGGTGGGTGCTGCCGCTGACGTAGACGACGACACCGTCAAAGATCCTGCGCTCCTGCGCCCGCTTGGCCTGCTCCTCCTCGCGCGTCTCGTCCTCCGCCTTGCGGGCTAGGGCAAGCCTCTCTTCTGCCGTCGTTCGGCTAGCATTCCCGGTGCCGGCCTCTTCCGCCTCTACCCCCTTCCCTGGCGGTACACCGGTCCGATAGGCAGAGGCTGATGAAGACGGCGGCGGCGGCCGCCGCGACGCAGCCCGCATGGATCCGGGATTGCGCAGCATATCGGCCACGCTGTTCATGGCGCGGGCGCGGACCTCCTTGGGCACCAGCATGCCCAGGCGCTCGTCAAAGTCTGCGGACCCGACGCCGACTGTGTCTGAGATGCGCTGGCCGCCCGAGTTGCCCGCCCGGAACTGGCTGTTCATCTTCAGATTGCGCGACTCGCGCCATCCCTGCGGGCCCCGGGTCTCAGCACGCTGATGGCCCGCCCCGACCGAGTTCCAGGGGTCGAAGTTGCGGCTGTGTCGCGGCTCGGCGGGCGGAGGTAGCCTGGGATTATTACTAGGCGGTGGCATTCTGATGTGATGAAAGTGAAATGATGGAAACGGGATTCATGTACTCAAGTACAACATCCGAGCCGAGTCGTTTGGCAGGAGCTTGGAGTCGATGTTGATGTTATCATGATAAAAACCCCCCCAACAATGGGATTTGAAAGTGGCTCAAGTGACCAATCGCAGGTCCACCGCGCATAGGGAAGGCACAACTTCGCGTCGCCACCGGGCAACCGTCTCACGTTCCTGCCTCGAACACGTCGCGAAATCACATGAGCGCGAGCCATGCTCCGCTTTTGCGTGAAGCCAACTCTGGAGCCATTCTCTAAGCAAAAAATGCCCTTTTTTTATTCGTCTACATCGGCCGATGATCCGTTGTGTTTGCTGGTAAATTCGAGGGCGCTCCTCTCAAGCGCCCTTGAATGTTTGCTGTGTCGCTCGAGACCGCTTGAGCTGGCCGCCCTCCGGTCACAAAAAGGGCTCGTTTGCACGACCAACAAAGACGACCCGACCTTCCCCTGGACAGTGTCCCGAACTTCGGTTCGTCTGTGACACCTGACAGGGTCGCATCATTGAGGGCATTTTTGGTGCCTCGCTGGGAAAAAGGAGAAAGGAGTCGAGGACACCACCTTCCTCCTTTTTCTCGATTATAGCCGGCCATTGTCACCCTGACGGCCTGAGCCCTGAGGCATGACAAGTTTCGAACCCCAGATTGCTCTTCGGGATCGTGCGCTATGATCGGCGTCGACAATTAGCGCTGACACTGCCCATGTTGCTCGTTACCCGCTTCCCGTTTCTGTTATGCATATTTAACCAATAATTGCCGGGGGTATTGGAGACCGCGAGTGAGGTGCTCGGGACATTGCCCGCTTGGGAGGTTTCTCCTCTCCAGTTGTGACTGCTCTGGCCTCCCCTGGCATGTCGTCCTCTCTGCGTCGCCTTTTTGGACAGATGCGATTGTCTACGCGACCTAGGGATTCATTACAGCGGAGCTCGATAGACCCCTATCTGCGTGCTGATGTCTGCGTTGAAACATCGATGTATGCACGGTTAATCTAGGACGATCTGATCTGTCAACAGAGAATCATAACCGACTGCTGCTAAGACAATGCAAGCTCGGGGTTTGTATGTAGCTGCTACGGTAATTGCCCTGCGCCGCGGCTTCTCTACGCACTTGTTTCTGCACCCCCGTGCAGACAGCCACAGCGGTTCATGCACAGCTTGTGCTTGCCGATGCGCAGTAGCGCAGGCGATCCGGGAAAAATAGCGCGCGGCGCAGTTTCTTTGCAGCCATCCCACCCGCCTCCCCTTCCCGTATCCACCTCGGTCAGATGTGAGAAAAGGACCGTTCCCCATAGTTAGTGTTGGGCCGAGAGCAAAAGAGAATGTCGATTGTTGTCTGTGCTGCTGGAGAGACTGAGGTTCTCCGGCCTCCGGAACGTATCCCCCGTCCCGCTCGACTTGTCCGTAAGCACTTGGGGCTTGTTTCATGACGCGACATCACATATACGCCTCTTATCACACTTGTTGAACATCACGATCTCGCTTTCGGGAGTCTCCCAAACATGCCGCGGCCCGTTGGTTCGTGCATCGCATCGCCTGCCCGGGCCAGCGTGTTTCCGGGGCTGGCCCTGCTCAGCAGATTGCAAGTTTGCGCCTCTCTCTTCCCCCGCTTGGCGCCCCCGCCACTCCATCCGAACCTTGCCCCGCTCTCTCCACCTCGAACACCAACCACCCCACCGGGATCGTCTCATCTCATTGTTCTTCAGTTACGTACACAGTGTAAGCGCTACGCAGTTGCAAGATCTCTGCAAGATATCGTAACGAAAATGGAGCAACGAAATATATGTAGCAGTGGATCTCCAATTGGCATCAAAAACTGGGCGATAATTGCGAGGGGATTCCCGGCCGGGATGACTCGGGCCTGCTGCTTGTGTATGTACTAACTATCCGAACTTCCGAAGTCGTCCGTACCATGGGTCGGGTTTGTTCTCTCATCTCGGTGAAGCGTGTGGCCTGATGACAGGGGAAAGTTGAAATAAAAAAGAGAAAAAAGGGAAGGCGCAAGAGCCACGTAGGGGCTGCAGCTCCTTGCATGAAGTTAGCTCAAGTGGGGAGTGAGTGACGGCGGGGGGGAGGATTTTCGTATACTATGTAGGCCGAGGTTCGCAGATGATGAGGAATGTGCCGGCCGTTGGCGACCCGAGCCTTCAGTTGGCCGTCTGCTGTGTGCAACTGTCACTTTCGAGGAATTGATACCGATAACTAATAACTACGTACGGATAAAGGATAGGGAATTGTTTCCAGTACCTACCTCCTTTGTCTCTTGCCCCTTCCTTGACCTCCTCCTCACCGATCCTAGGCGTGGGGCGCAGAAAAAGCAAGCCGGGTTCAACTCTGCGTTGTCTGGGTTCGGCTAATAGGTTACAATATGTCTATATGATCAAGCTGTGGTAGGGTAGGTATTATTCAGGGGGTCAGCACACAGAGGATGGCAGCTGCAAAACAAGCTTGTCTTGCGTCCGGTTGTGTCGCCTGCGTCGGGTTCGGTGCCGCGCTTGCGTCTTGCATGCCGTCAAACTCCCGTCAGAGCCAACACAAGCTCCATACTATGGCACGTATGGTAGGTAACTATCCGTACGGAATACACTCGTTCGTTCCATGTTAGGCCCGTTTTTTTGGGGCTGACCAATGTTTGTTACCGGAGGATGCACAGATTACCTACATGCTATCGTTGACCGTTGATCATGTCAACTGCGCTGTCCAGCTTTGAGAACGCGAGTCAGGTCTTGTTCTAGAATACTGTGTCCAACGTACTAAACATCCTGCGCGATCTCGGAACGAGAAAGATCTCGCCCCGTTGCTGCATGCTGCGTGCGCGAAGCCAACCACAAAACCTGGAAGACTTTCCGACAAGCCTTCCATGCAGCGCTACCCTGCTGCGATATGCTGATCTGGTGGGCCCGGCCCTCTGCTTGATCGGGTGGCAGGGATGGCGCAGGCGGGGGCTTGGATGAGAACCCTGGTCGCACTCGAGAACTTCTCAACAATGACAGTTGAACCACACAACCTGCGGTCCTCGCTGTGCCGTGCGGTGGTCCGGCCGCGGCGGAGCGATGGCTCGTCCCTTCTTGTTCCCGGGCTTCGTTTCCTGGACGTGCATGCAGCATGCACAGCGTATAACCGTCCTAGCGCTTGTCGGATCTTTAACAGACGCAGCATTTGCGCGCGCCTGTGGTGCAGTCCATGGTTCCCTGTGCGGCGACTTGTTGTGTATCCCGTGGCTAATAATGTAAGCACCTGTGTATGACAGCGCTTCGGGAAGAGACAGATCTTCCAGACAGCAGCACTCGAGTCCCGAGCCGTCCCCGCTGGCGAGGGTCGAGCCTCCTCTCAAGCGCGGCCACGACAGGGAGGATGGCTTGGCAAGGGACTCGAGCGCTCGAGGTGCCATCAGCCCGCGCAACGGGCCTACGGCGAGCCAGACGTTTTTGGCGCTCCACAAGAGGCAACCAACCGCGTCGAAGGAGCGATTCAGACCCGCCGCGGCAGAGAAGCCGTTCCCAAGTTGAGCGAGTTGGTTGTTTTGGGGGTCGACGTATTCGGCGCCAGACGTACGTACAATATCTCAGCTGAGAGATTTACCATGTAGAGGCTCTCTGTGAAGGGTTCGTGATCGGTATTTCCTAATTATTCGCTTTGGCTTGTGAGCACTCTTTGGCTGCGGTTGGAAGGCCGAGCCGGAGCAGTCGATGTGGGAGCATGATACGGTTGAGGTTTGATGTCATTATGATCCGGAGTTGACGGGCGAAAGAACGACCGTTGCTTCAATAACCCGAGCATCTGAAGTCTCGATCCGGCTTCATCAATCACCACCATGATGATCTGATTTCCATCTGAGCAGACAGACGCTAGTACCTAGACGTTGGAGGACTCTCATGAACACAGGGAGCGTGTTGCGGAGTACCTATCACGGTGCTTTATTGTTAACTTCAATATTGGAGCAATGGGAGTTGTTAGAGAAGGTCGTTTTGGAGGTTTGTCATTGGCTGTAGTTTAGGGTTGCTGACAGTTCAGACCGCGACTGGATTGAGGGGTAGGTGAGGGGTGCTCAAAGGGTGTTGGTTTATCACTCTGAGAGTGGCGGTGAGGCCGCACTGGTGCCCGGCACAGTGTGAGAGCGGTCGAGCTCGGGGGTTGTACCCGTTCAGGGCCGTCACGCTAAAAGTAAGGTAAGGTACCTTCCCCTAGGTACTAGTATGGATTCATTGATTGTGAATTTATGTCGAGAATGGGTAAGCTTTGGGAAACGAGGTGTGTAAAATCTACCTACCTTAGGTAATATAGGGTGAGAGTTGCGAGAACGCAGTCGAAAATACCGTAGTCTGGTCGTCCTCGCTCTCGAAGTACCCGACGATCTTCACCAAGAGGCGAATTCGATGGCGGATAAGATCAGGGGGAAATTCTAGGCATGAAGCGAGAAGCGGACATCACTCAAAGAGGGAGGCTAATCTCTCAGCCTGTCTGGCTGAGAGGATATTGAGAAGACTCAAGGCACTGATGGAAGCTCACCTCAGGCATACCTACCTTAAGCTTTGCAGTTCAAAAATGAAGACTCTACACTAGAGGCTCGAGAGGGCTTGAGAGGGGTTCAGACCGAATTCTGAGTGGACGAAAATGTCGCACTATATGCCCTCTCATTTTTGGAGTCTGTTCCTGCCACCCCACTCGAGCTCCACCGCTTTTCCATCCTGGTCCGCCATGTAAGGCGGAAAACGGTCCGCACATGCAGCTTATTTCTGACGAATAGGAAGCAGAAACAGCGGTGCAAGAGAGTTTGCAAATGTCTTATGATGTGCATGAGCATGTTCGTCCTCCCGAAGGATGGAGAAGGTAGTGAGTGGCTAGGGCTGAGGCATGTGTGGCAAGTGCATACGCCGGCATTTAGGTAAAAAGACAAATGTCGAACGGAACTCATTTGTCCCTTTCCCGTTGACCCTCCGCAACTCTGAAGAGTTGAGATGACAACACACAGCTGGGCATCGGCGAACGAAGGATGAAAGATTGGAATGGACGACCCCTCAGAATTTCCTATTGTGGGTGTGAGCCTGGAGACGTGGTGCGCTGTGATTGGGCGACTGAAGCCCGGTTTCTGTACCACCACCACAACCCACCGGAAGCTGACGCGGGGAGATAGGGCAGACTCGAATCATACATTATCTTGTTGGATAACTAACGCTAGGCGTGGGCTGCTATCGAGACACCCACCACATCTTAGAGCCTTCGGTTCTCGCTCGCCGATGCCTACCATGTGCAAGCTCAGTCTGTCCGATTGCCTTGCGGGAAACCAGTTGTGCCGGGACGGTGATGAATGGGTCAAAGGGGGGGGAAGGGGGGGGGGAGGGGAAGATGGATATCCGGGTGGCGGCAAGTGCCTCGTGCTGGCCCGCGAAGAAATAGCGTGGAGGTCGAGAGCGTGCGGAGAATGAGCACGCACCGTCCATCTCCAGACGGAGTGCGCCTTGCCGAAAGCAAGCGGCTGAAACGTAAAATGGCACACCCTCCCCAGCGTCATCCCCAACAACCAGCAGCCATCTGCTCGATCAGATCTGATATTCATTGGTCAGCCTGCTCGTTAGAGATGGACTGCAGAAGCACCTAACCGCTGTGCATTGGACGCATGCAAGTGTTGTCGAGCCTGGGGGAGTCTGGATCGGAAATCCCTGCATGCCGAGACCCAGTTCTGATGGGGGGAAGGCCTGTTTGCTGCTCATCCAGTCTAGATTTTATTTTTGGAGCGAGCACGCGAGACGCGGGTCTTTTGTTGTCGACATGTTGGGTCGAAAGCGAGCGGCCCGGGGAGAGCGGCTGTGGCGGGTTCGCGTGAAGCGGGAAAACTCTCCTTGATGAGCAACCCGGAACCCTGAGAGAATGTTTGCACCTCCCACAGTGCGAAGCGTTGGTCGGTGTGGCTGCTGTCTCCTTCCAGTTACACGCAGGCCTGATATTGGATGACAACCCAATAGACAATCGTTCTCTTGTTTTGCGGCACAGTTGGCCTCCCTGTAGCACTGTTCTGTTATACACCAGACGCCCGTCACGTCTTCGTGTCTGCGCCGCAAAACTTTAGATTGGTTCGCTAGGCTCGAGCTGGGTTATCCTGCCAGGAGAGCCAGAAAGCTCTCAGAGGTGTGTCGGGTAAGCCGAGCACAGGGTGATAAAAATGTGTTACCTAGCACTGAGTCCAGAGGGCTGGCGTATCAAGATTCTCATGCATGGGTAGGTATTGTATGTACCTATTGTACAATACAAGACATACAGCTTGGTGGAGGTAGAATTGGGCGAGGCGTTGAGGCTCAAGTGTGCTGCATGTCATGGCGAGTGCCTGACGAAGGCTTGTTCCGTCGATGGCCTGCCGTACCGACGTTGATCTTCATCTAAATCGTCTACTGCTGCGCCCCCTCACCACGTTCCCGGTGCAGGTTATACATACATTCGCCGCTCCGCGGTCACGGCAGTTGAGCGAGGGCACGGCGTGATAACTAGCCCGGCTACTCTGCTTACGCCTAGACTTGCAGCTGGTATGTTTCTATGCGCTGTGCCGCTCCGCGATGCACGGCACGAATCCGACTTGAGAGGACAACTGTCGGTGCAAGTGGTGTACGGAGGTAGTTCCTGTAGAAAACAAGAGTCCAAATAGGTGGAACCTGAACTTCCTCAACCGTGAGCAATGACTTGGGATTCCGAACGAGCAGGGGTTCAGTTCTTGGATCGGTCACTGTCGGCCAGTGAGCAGCCTCCCCGGGCTGAGATATCGGGTGACCTTCTCTCCAGCCAGTGCTTGAAAGCCACGACGGCTCTAGGGGGTGCCCGCTTGCCACGCTGTCATCGTCATCTTTGTGTAGTGGGTTTCTGGACCCTCGGCGACCGCTCCTCTTTCCACAATTCGAGTCCTCCTCCTCTCCTGCTTTTCTGAGAGCACGGTGAGAAGTGTACCTATTAAGCTCTTCATCAGTGGATGCTGAGACTCGGTAACCGAGCCGGCCTCGTGAGCAGTGGGCTCATTAACCCCCGTCAGTGGCCACAGTACACTGTAAACACATTGTCATGGATGGAATCGGTGGATGGATCGGCTAGAAACGATATAAGAATTAAGAAAGGGATTACTAACTTTTGAGACCGTTGAAGGCTTGCACCGGCGCGGCCCCCAGAAACTACCTTGCTCAGATCCGAGTGGAGATTTCGCAGCTCGCGCCACGTGTGGTTGGGAGCACGACAGACTTGGGCCGCTGAGCAGCGCGTTCATGATGCTGTTGCGGCTCGCCCACTCAGGGCGACAACAACTTGCCGGGCTCTGCATCACGTTGCAGTCTTTGTTGGGCACTCAGTAAATGGTCGACGCGTTTCCCACTGCCCGAGATGTCTACAGCACGGCTGATAGGCTACAAGCTGTTCCGGACAATATATACCTTCCCTTGCCCACAGCGATTGTTTATTACGTATCTTCCCAGGATTGGTACACTGCACCTGGCGAGATTCCTTTGCATCGATCGTGCATTGCAGGACATACTTCAATCGGAGGATTTCTGTCCTCAGAGCATGGCTTGCAGTTGCAGCGTCCACCACAGACATCTGTGCTTGCTGCAGCTTCACCCACGGGGCTCACAGAAATGCAGGTCCAGAGCTCAGCGAGGCGCCTATGGAGTTGTAAATCATGTCTATGATCAACGAGTCCGTCAGTCGTAACGTTATCAGCCAGCGAGCCGAGGAGACCCCATTGGGCTAGTAGCACCCGTTGCGTCCGGCAGTCATGAGATTCATTGACAAGCAGTCATATACAATACACTGACTTTGACACCCTGTTGTAGGCATCGCAAACCAGTTGAGGCCGCGTTTAGGGTGAAGTGCACCTACTAGATGTTGACTACGTTTTCGATTTTGGCATGGGTACCTGACAATCGGATCCCGAACGGTCTTCTCGATAATTGGAACGTTAGATGCCACTTCTCTGGCAGCGCACACAAAAGAAAATAGAAGCGAACGCCTTGTGTATGTCGACATAACTAACCGCTTTGGTGAGCTCAGAATAACGACGGAAAGACGAGGGAATTTGAAGCACTCCAGCTGTTCTGTTGGCAACACGCTGTTCGTGCCGGATTGAATCTCTACCCCACCTCTCAATTCCCGACCACCGGAACCAGGGCCATCCACAACAGTGTGGACGATTGATTTCTCACACCTCTTGTCACCTCCACTGCCCATAAATACACCCCATTCCTCATGCTCACGCCCCTTGCCCCCCCGCTCATCAGATGCGGATGACCCTAGCAAACTGAGCTCCCAGTCTGGCCCCCGAACAAGCGACATTATTTTCGATTGCGTTATGAGAAGAGCAGACAGGAGGTAGGTACCTAGGTATACAGCACGGTGTTGGCGCGCAGCACAGCAGAAACCCAGTTGCGCCCACAGATGCCGTTGATAGCGGGTTATGGACGATGCAACCGATGGAGGACGAGGAAAAGGCCTCGCTCGCGTTGGCTACCTGCCTCATCAGCCAGTATCCTCGCGGTGGAGGTTGGGACCAACGATGAACTGCCCTGGTTCTCGCTCGGCCGTGCCCTCACTCTCACAGTGCGGATCGAAGGTCTTCGTGCGAAAACTGCTACCCTGCCAGTGCCTGATCCTATCGCGGTTAGCGGGACCCACCCGCAATCCCCTGCCTCCAGGCGTGTCCCGTCCTGACCTTCGGCCCTTGACTGGCTCGCCAAGCTGGCGGCTGGCGAGCGAACTGGGGCCAACTTGGAGCGGCAGGCAGGTACGGAGGCATTGCGCGGTGCCAGTACGGGATGAATGGCACAGGCCCCGGCGTCCCGTACTGGGGGCTTGTGTTCTGTTTTCTTGCTCGCTGATCGGCCATTGAACCGACCTCTCTTACCACCGCCGCTCCACCTAAATCAAGCCGCTTCCCTTCTCTTCCCTCCTTCTTCCCTCTCCTCACCACTTCTCCGATCTGTCCCAGTTTCTCTGTTACGAGGCGGGGATCTTTAGAGGGCAAGAAGGAAGAAGGTAAAGTCAGTTTGGCTTGTTCTGTTGCTTGTTTCTCCACCTTACCGCCCCCTCTGTGCATTTTGTTTTGCCGTCTGTAAAATTTCCCCATCCGGCTGCACGCTCTCTTGGTCACGGCTGCAAAAGGGTTCACTCGGTCAGCATAACCTGCTGTGCAAAGGGGGCATACATGCTAACGAAAAGTAGGCGGAACGGCATCAAGAGCTGTGGCCCCTGGCAGACTCTCCATCGTGGATCCCAGCTTGAAGACAAAGCCATCTTGAAGACGAGACTCGCCGCGAGACTCGTCTGTATTCAGCTCTTACGTCGATCATTGTTTTTCAGCCCTCCCACGGCGGTCGCGGAGTGTTAGCTACGCTTCGCTTCAACCCACAAAGTCGCAAAGCTGGATCTCTCATCGAATTCGCAGCCGCAACCCCGCGGGTCAAGCGACGTGCAGTACTATAGTTCGGACGTGGCGCGGAACTTGTATTCGAACGAGAGATTGCCATCCCTTCCCCTTCCCCTCCCTCATCAGGCATACTCGTCGAGCAGTTCGTCACCCCGGGTCAGCTCCATATCGTCGGCCTCGAGTTCAAACCTCAGTACCCAGTCGTCTTTCACCTCGGCCGCGTCATCCCACGGGCCAAAGACTCCCGGTTCGCAGTCGCCCTCGCTCGCTGGCTGCCCCCCGACGCCGCATGGTCAGACGCCCTCGTACCTACATTATCCAACCATGAACCAGGCACCGCACGACATGTACTATCAGTCGCACATGTCCACCGGCCAGGCGCCGCCGCCGCAAACGGTCACGTCCACGTATCCGCATCCGCACCAACAGCCCCAGACCCCCTTATTACAACCGGGTCCGGGCCAGTACGCCCAGCCGCAATACGGGAACCAGTACGGGTATCCGAATGGCCTGACTCCTCCGGGAGGACCCTCGGCAGTGTCCGGCCCAATGGCTCCCGGGCAACCGGTTCTGCCACTTCCAGGGGTCAGTCAACCGGCGATGGCCCCGTCCTTCTCACCCGGATTCGACACCACAGGCCAGATTCAACCTCCAGGGATGAAGCCCCGCGTTACCGCCACGCTGTGGGAGGACGAGGGTAGTCTCTGCTTCCAGGTTGAAGCCAGGGGCATCTGCGTTGCACGCAGGGAGGGTACGTTTTGTGTTCGAGCCCGTCCCGGTGTCGTTGTGGCTCTTAGTTCTGACATGATTTCCTCTAGACAACCACATGATCAACGGTACTAAGCTGTTGAATGTTGCGGGTATGACTCGCGGCCGTCGCGACGGTATTCTTAAGAGCGAGAAGGTTCGCCATGTGGTTAAGATCGGGCCCATGCATCTGAAAGGGGTCTGGTCAGTTCTTCCCCTTCATTTGTTTCGCCGCGTGTTCCCCCCACTAACTCGGGCCTCAGGATTCCGTTTGAGAGAGCCCTAGACTTCGCCAATAAGGAGAAGATCACCGAGCTGCTCTACCCGTTGTTCGTCCATAACATTGGCGGTCTCCTTTGCCATCCGACCAACCAACCTCGCGCAAGCCAGGTCATGGCAGCAGCACAGCAGCGGAAAGACGTGCGGCTCGGCCAAGCCCCGCCACTACCGTCTTTGCAGCAACACCATCCCTTAGCATTGCCTGGACCTCAGCCTCCGCTGCCTCACCCGCAATCTATGGGCCGGCCATCGTTGGAGCGCGCCCATACGTTCCCCACGCCGCCGGCCAGTGCGTCGAGCGCGATGGGCAGCATGGGTTCGTCTGAGAACTATCCATGGAATCAGCAAGGAATGCCCAACGGCCAGCAGACAAATCAAATCTCGATCGACACCAGCTTGAGCAACAATACTCGGTCGCTGCCGAATACGCCGGCAACCACCCCTCCAGGCTCCTCCATGCACGGCATCCCGAATTATCCCCCGGTCAGTCAGCCCTACGACAATTCTCGACAAATGTATCAGCCGCCGCCCGCCCAGTCTTCTCCCTACCAGACATCCAACTCGGGTCCTCAGGAACGACCTGTATACACGCATAGTGGCTACGTGAAGAGCGAGATGGGCCCGCCAACGACTCGCTCAAACGGCCCCAATGGTGACCAAGTGGACCCGAAGCCGCCCAACGGCATGCATCACGGCCAAAGCGAAGCGCAGCCCGGTACCAGCGGCGAAGAGGAAGCCGACCACGAACATGACGGCGAGTATACGCATGATAGCGGGGCCTATGACGCCAACCGAGGCTCGTATAACTATAGCGCTCCTCCCGGCAACACGCTGTCGAACGACCATTCCCACCTGTCCCCCGAGTTGACAAACTCGCCCCATCAAAACGGGTCAGGGCGGGCGACGCCTCGAACAGCCCCCGCGCCGCAGTCATATTATACTCCTCAGGGTTACAACACGCCGCCGCGCGTGGGACAACCATCGAGCAACGTTTACAGCGTCATGAGCAACGACCGGCCCCCTTCGAATGGAGCGCCAGCCAATGACGTGTATTCCACCCAGGGTGATATGACCGGCTCTATGCCGAACGGGTATGCTCCGCAGCCGAACGGAACTACGTCGATGAAGCGCGGGAGAGACGACGACGATGACCGATCGGATATGAAGCGTCGTAAGGCGATACTGGATGGCGGCTCCATGCCATCCCCAACCTTCAACCACAACCAGATGCCGCAGCCGGTGACCACAATGGCTAGCTCGCGCCGCAGGTGATTTGTTGCAGGCTTCGATAGACTTCCTTTCCCCCCCTTTTTGTATTCACTTCAGAACGACCGCCAAGCGAGGTCGAGTTTGCAGGACGCTCCTACGAGCTACGATTCTCTTTGTTGGAATGTCCTGATAAACGGCTGTATACGGCGACTTCATGAATGATGGTTTGCATGGGCTGGGTCTAATCTAATTGGGCTCTCGGGAACGGCCGAGCTACGGTTGGTGGCTCGGCGGATTACGACCTTTCTCCTTTTTCTCTAGCCGGAAAGAAAAAGATGCGGCGCCTACTTACGATCCTAGGCCCGCAAGTCACGACAACAAGAAAACAGCATATGCTTTGCAACTCTATCAAGCGGTTTTTGGATGGGCAGAATCATCCTTTCGGATGTATCGATACGCCTTTTCTTCTCTTGGTTACCGTACTTTTTTTTCCTTGCTGATGACGACTTATGACCAACGACGCTTTCTCACTTGATTTGGACAAAAGTTGTGGGGGGCCTGAAAGACGAGATCAGAGGTGATGTGCGGTGTGTAGGTAGTTGGGCGGTCCAGGTGCGAGGAGCGTTTCGGGTAACGACTTGATGAGGCAACTTGATAAAAAGGGCCTTCACAGCTCAGATACAACAGGAGGCTGTTCGTAGACTTTGGAACTTTGGGCTCTCTGATTCCAGTTGGCATGAAAGAGAGAGACAGGAAGTATTCATAGTGTAGTGTTTCCAATTGTTCTCTGATCACTCCGGTGGCGTGCTTTCTCCTGGCTCCCCTCTGAATTTGTGTTTTCATTTCAGCTGTGTATATCTTTCCTTCTATGGTCCACGCTGGGATTCATCATGATCAGAACCAAATCACAATGCAAAGCCCGCTTAGCTACATTTGCATATCATAAAACAACACTGTCATGAAAAACTAAGGAGCGTTTTTGTACTTGTTTCCTCTGGGCTCTTCTGAGTGAATGTGACTGGCTGTTCACCCGTAGCTGTGGGGACTGGAAAAGGGGTAGTAGAGTCACGTGATTTTGTGGTTGCTCGGCCACGGACGTAAACAAGGGGGTGGCGCTGGGCCGTTCATTGGGCAGGCTCGGCAGGGTCTTGCGCGATTGTAATTCCGAATCAACTCCCCAGAAAGGGAGAAACACACATCCACTTTGGCTTGTTGCTCACACCACCGAATCGCTAGCCTCTAAGCTAAACAGACAACCGACCTGTGTTGCCACGATCGACCTGAAATTTGCTTATCAAGACAAATTGTAATTGGTGTTGTTCATTTATTTAACGATTTAACAATCATGGCCGCGCAGCCATTGTCGCCGAGCCCGAGCGCGGCGCTCAATTTCTCGACCCCAACGGCCGACCTGCGCCACGAAACATACACCGAGAACCCCACTGACGATGTCGATGGCGACAGCTCGCCGTTTCTTTCGCACGTTAAGGACGATGTGACCTCTCCGACCGCTCGGGGCCCGTCACCGCCAAAAGCCCGCCCCGGGTCGCGAATATTTTCGAGCAGCGAGCTCTCACCGCTCAAGATTCTCCAACAGCAGCAACAGAGCCTGATCCAGGCTCAAACACAACAAAACAAGCCCCAGCAGCAGTCGCCACCCGCCAGCGAAGAGGTGTCGTCGTCGCCTGCCAAGAGCATGCCGCCGCCGCCATTACTGCAAAGCCCCCGCAAGTCGGTCCCAATCAAGCGATTTCCTGTGAAGGTCAGCCAGCCTGGTACTCCCGCCAGCGATTCGCAACGCCGGTCGCTTGAGGAGCGTCGATCGTCTTCCGAGAGGAAGAGTAGTCTGGAAGTTGTACGGGAGAACGAGGGATTGAAACACGCGATCGAGATCTTTGAGGACGAGGTTAATGCGATGCACGACGGTGCTGACGACGGCGATATCGACGGCGACCCCACACTGCCACCAGCCCATGACGCGACCGGCGGGCAGAATCCGATCGCTGAGGAGGAGCCATCCGGCGTCGACGACTCCATGATGAGCACCTTCAGCGCGTTCAACCTCACAACGCTGGGGCAGATGCGCAGCGACAGCCCGTCCAAGTTCTCGGCCTTGGGCGGGTCGACTACTCCCCGGGCTCCTAGGGTCAACGGCTCATACGACGGCGGCAGTACCGCGAATCTGATGGACTTCACCCCACAAGTACGCTACGGTGCCTACGGGTTCCAAGCAACTCCGGCCCTGCACGGGGGCGCCAATGTTGCCGCTACTCCCCAGCGGCCAAACGGCAACCTATTCAGCCTCCTCGATCTTGATGTCCCGCCCGCGCCAACTCCGCGCAGCGTCCCTTCGATCACGCCGCGCGAGCTCGAGTCGCTGAAGTCGGGATTCCTCTCGGAAATCAGCAGCCTGAAGGCGTCGCTCAGCGGCAAGGAAGCCGAGGTCCTCTCGCTGAAGACGGCGGTAGGTGACGCCGAGAAGCGGGTGGGCGAGTGCATGGAGCAGCTGCGCGAGGTCCAAGGGGTGCAGGAAGCCCTGCAGGCGGAGAAGGACAGCTGGGAGCGGCGCGGGCGCGAGATGGAGGCGGTGCTGCGGAAGGTCAAAGAGGAGATCGTCACCAGCCACCGCGAGCGGGAAGAACTCGAGTTCAAGCTTGACGAATCGGAGAAGCGCCGCGAGGCGGCCGAGATGATGGCGCAGGAGGCGGAGAGCAAGATGGCAGGCATGCGCGCTGGTAAGGCCAGCGCCGAGGCCGCCGCTGCCGCCGCTGCCGGCGGGGCGAAAGCACCCGTTTCGTCCCACAAGGAGGTGGAGATGGCCGTCGAGCGTGTGGCGCGCGATCTGCATGCCATGTACAAGGATAAGCACGAGAACAAGGTGGCTGCCCTCAAAAAGAGCTACGAGCAGCGCTGGGCGAAGAGGGTGCGCCAGCTGCAGACGCAGGTCGAGGACCTCCGCCGCGAGAACGAGCAGCTCCGCCACAGCCTCGACAACAGCACCCTCAACACCGGCATCGACCCGGCCAGGCTGGCCGAGATCGAGGAAGAGCGGCGGGCGGAAAAGGCGCGCGACGCGTCGCAGATCAGGGAACTCGAGGCTACCGTCGAGAAGGTCGAGGCCGTGCTCAAGACGGTGCAGGCGGACAATGCCGAGCTGCGGGTGCTGCTGGAACGGGAGCGGGTCGAGAAGGGCGAGCTGGTGATGCTGGCCGAAGAGATGATGAACATGCAGAGTTTCGTTGCCTCGGCGCCGGAGGAGCGCGAGCCGGCACCCGCACCCGCACCAACAGCGGCCCCAGCCCCAGCCCCAGCACCGGCACCGCAGCCAGCACAGAGTGCGGCGAAGACGCCGTCTAGGCGACAGTCGAATTCCCACGCTCTAGCCACCGCGCGGACTCCAGGCACCACGAATGGACACGCCGCCGGCAACAACAACAACTTCCGCATGTCCGTCAACGGAGGACCGCCCAGCAGCTTCCGGGCCTCGGGCCTGCGGGCGCCGGGCGTGACGGGAATCAAGGCGCCCTCGGGCATCGGGCGGGTATCGCACGAGCGCACCAAGAGCGCGGCCGTCACGGGCAACGGTGGCGGGCACGGTGGCGCCAGCAGCGGGATGCCACGGCCGCAATCCGGGCAGGGCTTTGCTGCGCGGAGCGGTATCATGAGCTCGATCGAGAAGATGGGCAGTTATTCCAGTGGGTATGGCCAGCGACATTAAGTCGATTAGCTAGCCCACGTTGCAGCTTTGCTACGGAGCGATGCTGTGTTTAACTGCTGGCCGATTGGAGAAGCAAGTTGAAGAAGGGATGGGGGGGCAGGTTTAGCATGGGAAATGATTACGTGGTTCATCGCATGAGTCGACGAAGGAATGAATGACCATGGTTTTGGTTTGTTGGGGTTTCTTCACACATTTGATCTTTTTGTTCTTTTTTCCTCCTTTTTCGCCTTCTTGTTAGAGAGGCAGGCAGGCAGGCAGGCAGGCAGGCAGGCAGGCAGGCAGGCAGGCAGGCAGGCAGGCAGGCAGGCAAGGCGCTTTTTTTTTGTTTTATGGTGCGGCTTCATTGCATGCATGCATGCTAGGTACCAGGTACTACTATGCTATGTTTATACCTCTCCCGTCTGTTTTTGTCGGCCGAATTGGGTGATGTCACTACTACTATGGCACTTTGAGCTTACTCTCTTTCCTCATGTTGGCAATACCATGCTAGATGGAGTATGCGTTTGTTGGAGTACTAGCATAGTAAATGCTTGTCTTGTCTGTCCGTGTCTATCTTGCAGAGTCTTGTGAAAACTGTGTGTGTGTCTGTGTGGGCGTGGGTGTGTTTGTTCGGTCGGTTTGGTCAGTCTGGAGGTTGCTAGGTTGCCTAAGAAGGGTCTCTCACTTCCAGTTGGTTGACTGTGTGAAGTTGTTAACAATGGGCGCAGTCATGGAAAAAGCGCCATCACTTAATATAAGTACCTACTGAACTTGGGCAGCAACGATAACACAAACTTGTCCCCGATGGCATCGTGGTATGTCGAAGGCCGCACTGCAGCGAGCAGCCACAGAGGACAGTGGTAGGGGGGTGGTAGACAACACCATTTCGCACTAGGAATTCATTATTGGTATAAACTAATAGCACACAGCCTGATAAAAATGGCAAACTCGCTTTTATCGCCCATTTCCCCGCCCTTTTCCCCTTTCCCCTTCCCAGCCGATACCAACCTACCTACCCACTTACTACTCCAAAGGCAACCTCTGATGCAGAAATTTCCTCTTCCCCTCCCCGGCACCATACGCAGCCGTCACTTGTCCCTTACCCCTAAGCTTGTACTTGTATATCATCAACCCGTCCAACCCTACAGGCCCGCGCGAGTGGATCTTGTTGGTGCTGATGCCCACCTCGGTGCCGAAGCCGTAGCGCATGCCGTCGGCAAACCGCGTCGACGCGTTCCAGTAGACGCCGGCCGAGTCGACGGCGGCCATGAACTGCTCGGCCTGCTCGGGCGACGACGTCAGGATGCAGTCGGTGTGGTGCGAGCCGTGCGTGTTGATGTGCTCGACCGCCTCGGCGAGCGACGAGACCGTCTTGACGGCCAGCGTGAGGGAGAGGAACTCGGTGCGGTAGTCGGCGTCGGTCGCGTCGGCGATGGTGAGTTTGGGGATGATGGTGTCCTGAAGAGCGTCCCTGCTGGCGGCGTCGCAGCGCAGTTCGACGCCCTTGGCCGCGAGCGCCTCGGCGACGGTCGGGAGCACGGTCATGAGGGCCGAGTCTTGGACGAGCAGCGTCTCGAGCGCGTTGCAGGCGGCCGGGTAGCTGGTCTTGGCGTCGACAATGACCTCGGCGGCCATGGTCGGGTCGGCCGTCTGCTCGAGATAGATGGCGCAGAGGCCGTCGGCGTGGCCGAGCACGGGGATGCGCGTGTTGTTCTTGATGTACCGCACCAGGTCGTTGGACCCGCGCGGGATGACCAGGTCGATGTGCTCGTCGAGGGCGAGCAGCTCCGGGATGACGTCGCGGGTGGTGACGAGCTGGATGGCGCCGTTGGGAACCTGGGTCTGCTCGAGGGCGGCCGAGATGACGCGGGAGATGGCGACGAAGGACTCGGTCGACTCCTTGCCGCCTTTGAGGATGGCGGCGTTGCCGGACTTGATGGCGAGGGCGGCGATGTTGGCGATGACCTCGGGGCGGGCTTCGAAGATGATGAGCAGCACGCCGATGGGGCAGGTCACCCTCTCGAGCTCGAGGCCGTCGTCGAGGCGGGTGCGGAGGGTGACGCGGCCGACGGGGTCTTCGAGGTCGCGCACGTCGAGGATGCCCTTGAGCATGTCGTCCCACTTGCCCTTCTTGCCCAGGTCGAGTCGTGCGACGAGGCTCGAGCTCAGCTTCCCGTCGGCGGCAGCCTGTTGTGCCAGTTCGAGGTCCCGGGCATTGGCGGCGAGGATGTCGTCACGGGCTGCTGCGAGCCCCGCGTGGATGGCCGTGAGCGCTTCGTTGCGAGCGTCGGTGGAAAGCGTCGCGAGCACGTGGGAGGCCGATTTGGCCGCCCGCGCGGCGTCGACCGGTGAGGCGTTGGTCAGCGACATGTCTGGAGCTCAATGTTCTCGATTGTTGCTGCCCTGCCGCTGCTTTCCTTGCTCCTCTCTGATTGGCGTTGTTAGTCACCGTCACTTTGTGAAGCTCAGCGGGGTCCGGCGCCGGAGCTGGCTTGGAGCTCCCGTCCCGCATCGAAAATAAAGTGGAGCTGCGGGGGTGGGCTCCATGCTCCCGACATCTGAGTAGTGGGCACCAATTGGTTCAAGCTTCCTTCCGCGTCACTCACCACTATCCGTACCCTTTCGCGACCTGTGTGACTCGACTGCCCGGTGTTCTGACGCCAGTCGACGATAATGACCCCCTCTTTCGATCGCCTGAACAGTATCTCGGCATTCCGGTTCTCGCCAAGCTTAAGGCTGTTTCAAGCCGACTCTCTGGTGCGGTCCCGATTCGATTGAGCACCCGCGATGGCTAATCCGTGAGATGGCGGTATGTACACTACTAGTGTAATGTTGGGCCTGTGGTTCATTATCCGGCAACTCCATCCGGGCTGCATCCGAATGTGGAGAATTACGCTTGCTATGTAGGACACAAAACTCTGAGCTCCCTCCTGCCGCTTTGAAGTGTCGATGGGCGTGGAGCAGTTGATAGAGCATAGGTCAGTGCTCCGTTACGGTCACCGAACTCCTTTTTTTTCCGCATTCCATCGGTGCAATTGGTCTCGGAGGGGTGTTTTCCATTTCCTCGGGAAGCATTGTTTCATTCTATCCCCGATGTTGACTGTTAATTGTCGGCCGCTTCCGACGCGAGGATCGAGCCCGGACGGGCCTGCCATCTTTCCCACCCAGGTTTTCGAGCGGGCCCGTTCCAGCCGAAGGGGCCCTCGGGAGTCGGGAGCGAAGGTCCGACTGGCTTATTCCCGACATGACTGTCACCTCGCTCTTAACATGAAGCCGCGAGGGAGTCACTAGGCGGTGACTCGACGAGGTTTCTGCTTGGTTCTGCAATCTTTTTTTTTTGTTTCCTTACGAATACCAACTTACTGTTTCTATGTTCCAATGGGAAAAAGTCGCGGTGTTTTGCTAGCATCAATTAGCGTGTAAATCGACTCATTGCTGCATCCATCTTGTGTTCCTTTTAACCACTCCGGCTTCCATCTTTCTAGGGCTATGGCAGTCGGAGAAGCCAACCCGGTGCCGGCCGGGGATGTTGCCGGCCCAGACCCGGACCCTCCCCGCTTGGACGGAGAGGACTCCGGCGGCGCAGCACCAGACCGGGTCCGCGGCGGAGAGAAGGAGAAGCCTGTGGTAGACACCAGCGAGGATGAGCACGACGCCAGTGTCGAGGCCGAGGTTGAGGTCGGCCAGGGGCGAGAGCAGTCGAACGGGGAAGAAGCGAGGACCACCACTGACAACCGTGCACCGAGTCAGCGTGCTTCTTCGTTTGCTAATACTAATACGAAAGCCGTCCCACGCGGCCAACGCAGAGGCCTGCTTGGCCGCTTCACCCTCATACCGGAAGTCGAGAAGCCATATGAGTACAAGAACACTACGAAGTGGATGATTACTGCCGTCGTAGCCCTGGCGGCCGCAGCCGCTCCGATGGGTTCTGCTATCTTTCTTCGTGAGTGGCCGCCATCTGCCCCGGTGAGCCAAGCTCTTCGTTGCTGACAGTAGAGCTTAGCTGCGCTTCACGCCATGTCGGTGGATCTGGGGGTATCGGAGACGGTTACCAACCTCACAATATCCTTCTACATGCTGGCCATGTCCATCTTCCCGCTGTGGTGGTCTTCCTTTTCCGAGACGCTCGGGCGCCGGACCATCTACATGGTCTCCTTCTCGCTCTTTCTCGTCTTCTCGGTCCTCAGCGCGGTGAGCGTCAACATCGGCATGCTGATCATCATGCGCATCCTTGGCGGTGGCGCATCGGCATCCGTCCAGGCCGTCGGCGCCGGCACCATCGCCGACATCTGGGAGACGCACGAACGCGGCCGTGCTATGGGCATCTTCTACCTCGGGCCGCTGGTGGGCCCCCTCTGTGCACCCATCATCGGCGGCGCCCTGGCCCAAGGCTTCGGCTGGCGCGCCACCATGTGGTTCCTGGCCATCTACGGCGCCGTGATGCTGCTGATGCTGCTCTTCTGTCTCCCGGAGACCCTGGCCAAAAGGAATAATCCGCCACCGCCCGCTGCCTCTGCCGCCGTAACCACGACCACCATCACTACTACTACAGGTACGCCCCTCCAGCGCGTCACAACAACCCAATCCATCAAACGCACGGCCGCCCTACTCAAGCGGCTGCTGCTCGACCCGCTCTTGGTCATCCTGCACCTCCGCCAGCCGCCGGTCTTCATCACCGTCTACTGCGCCTCCATCGCCTTCTTCTCCCTCTTCGTGCTCAACATCTCGATCCAATCGACCTTCTCGCGGCCGCCTTACTCCTTTGCGCCCATCCCGCTGGGCCTGTGCTACCTGGCCCCATCGCTGGGGTACATCTTCGCGTCCTCCTTCGGCGGCCGCTGGATCGACTACATCATGGCGCGCGAGGCCCGGCGCGCCGAGCGCTACGATCCCCAGACCGGCGGGCTGGTGTACCGGCCGGAGGACCGCATGCGCGAGAACATGTGGCTGGCGGCCACGCTGTACCCGGGCGCGATGGTGTGGTACGGGTGGACGGCGCAGAGGGGGGTGCATTTCATGGTGCCCGAGGTGGCGAATTTCTTTTTCGGGCTGGGCAGCATGCTCGTGTTTGGCGTCACCACCACCATGTTGACCGAGTTCATGCCGAGGCGGAGCAGTAGCGGCGTGGCGGTGAACAACTTTGTGCGGAACATCTTCTCGTGCGTCGGCAGTGTGGTTGCGCAGCCGCTGATCGAGGCCATGGGCAATGGCTGGCTGTGTACGATGGTCGGCTTGTTTGCGTGGGTGACGGGCAATGCGGCCATCTGGGCGCTGAGTAGGTATGGGGCGCGGTGGAGGGAGGAGATGGATCGGAAGTTGAACCAGGGGAGCTAGGAGAGGTGAGCTTTAGAATATATATATATATATATAACGTTATATATATGATTATATATGTATAGCCGACTTCCATCCCAGCGACGGTGAGAGTGTTCTATGTACAGCTTCCGCAACACTATCTACATCCAATTTCTCCAGAGAAGCCACCTGAGCGCTCAACATGCCGGTAAGTGGCTGAGCCAACACGCATCATCCTCATCTTCATGAAAGATCATCCAAAAAATGAATATATACATATCAAATCGCCCTCTCCTCCCTCTTCACCTGTACCGGTCATCGATCGGTGGACTTGGTAACCCCCCGTTATATGGCGACGGCAACGAGGGCGATATCTGGCCGATGTCCGACCCGTACAACTCATACCGTTCGATCTCGGCATCGTTCTCCTCATGCGACCTGCTGACCGGCGACGCGGTGGTCAAGCCGGCGGGCGCCCTCCTCGCCTCTCTCAGCCGCGAGTCGATCTCGACCGGCACGGCGATGTCGCCCGGCTCATGCGGCTGCACCGGCACTCCACCTCGGTCGACACCGGGCGTCGTCAGCCCCGAAGTGCTGTGGGTCTCCGAGTACGGCCCCACGGCGGGCGCAGGGCCGAAATAGTCCTGCGCCAGCCCGTCCAGCCTCCTTCCCCCACCGCCAGCAGCACTCGGGCTGCTCGAGAGCACATCCGAATTCGCCTCCGACATCTCCCTGCCTCCTCCTCCTCTTGCGCCGATACCACTTGCACTTGTACTGCCACCCAGCACACGCCCCACCACACCGCGGGGTCTCGTAGCCCGTGAACTTTCCTCCCCAACCCCATCACCGTGGCCCACCCCTTCTTCACTCCTCTCCCTCCGTCTCCGAACAAGACAGACCCAGGTGGCCGCGCCAACAAGCAAACCAAACCCGACCACGACGCCGACCGCAATCCCGGCCTTCGCACCGGCACTCAACCCGGGATCATCCTCCACACGAAAATCGCTCCCCGCGGGCGGCGTCGCCGGCAGGGCCGCACAGTGCGCCGCGCCCGCGACGAGCGTGCAGCTCTGGCTGGCGCCGCAGCACCCGCCGCCCAGCGAGGCCGCGCACGAGATCTGGCCCGTCGTGCACCCCTCGGGCGGGATGGTCATCACCGAGCCGGGAGGGGAAGAAGAAGAAGAAGGGGTGATGAAGCACTGGTTCGCGGAGCCGCATGCCGCGCCGTAGGGACAGCATCCCGTTCCGAGCCCCGTCGGGCAGAGGTAGTGGGAGGGTTCGGTGCAGACGCGGCCGCAGCAGGCTGGGACTAGGGAGGTGGTGGTGATGGTGAGGGTGGCGGTGTTGGTGTTGGTAATAGTCCCAGCGCTGGTGGTAGTGGTGGTAGTAGTGGTCGTTGTTGTGAGGGTAGCGGTGCTGTTGCAGCGATATTGGCTTGCGTTGCAGGGGGATTGGCAGACCGTGTTGCCGATGAAGCAGCACCCTGGCTGGCCTGTGTCGTCGATGATGCAGCTGGATCGGGGGAAGGGGAGTGGTTAGAGAGGGGGGTGGAAAGCATGCGGTAAAACTGACGGAGCCAAGAAGTAGGTAGAGGGCAACACGTACTAGTGACTATTGGGGCAGCAATGCCCGACCCCGAGTGGTCCGATGTCGTTGCCTTGTGTTTTATATTAGCATGCGGCGTATAGACAATGGCTTCTGAGTGCGACTGGGAACTACCAACATGGATGACTGGTTGGGCTGCAACCCCCCTGGCGCTTGTCGAGCAGTTCCGGCGGGTGGTCATGATACTCTCGGGGCAACAAGATGACGCCCGTCGCTACCGCCGCGAAGCGCTCATGAGCAACGGTGGCCGCGCCGGTAAGCAGCCAGCCGACGGCGAGCAGAGCGTGGGTGAAGGCAACCATTGTTGCGCGCCCGTGTTAGGTAGGTCACTGTACTAGGTGTTAATCGAGGAGTGGGCGCCGACAAAGACAACACAGACGGAGCAGATTCTCCGCCCGAGGAAGCCCGAGAGAGATGCGCCGGCCAAGGACTTGCTTGCCGGACGGAGAACATCTTCGTCCCGAGAAAATAAGGCAACCGGCGACATTTTGAGCTGTCAGCAGCGCTCGCCTCGTCTCCCGCTCTTATTAGTCTTGTGCGTCCTGCAGAGTCTCCCGCCCGAGCAAGCGTCTCATTCGGCCATTGACGATTGCCCCACCCCAACGTCGCAACCCAGAGCGGGATGGCAATCATGGGCCATGGCATGTGTTTGTTGCCCGCCACCATGCCAATAGGCCAGGCCCAATGGCGAGGCCATGGCTTGGGGCTAATGCCTCCAGGTGAGTGGACAAAGAACGGATCGCAGTCGCAGCCTTGCAGATTCGGATCTCGTCGGCCGGTTAGAGAGAAAGACAGAGACCACAGAATCAGATAGAGAAGGAACAAGATGCTGGCCATGAAGCGACACGGGAGTGCTACATCCATTATTATTGACCCATGCCTGCCTGGCAATGATGGTATAAGATCTAGAAAGCAACCCCAAAGCAACGCCGCGCTTCTTCATATATATATAACGCAACACAAAATGCCGGTCTGGCCCCAGCGAAACGCAGCGTCTAAATCTTGTCCCGCTTTCCCCCAATGTGCCAGTAAAAGAGAAACACCGACCTATGCGACGGCGGTAGCACAGTATGCAGAACAGGCCCATACCCCTCATGATGTGAGCCCAGAAAAGAGAAAAGGAACCGATGAAGACAACGCCCACCAAACATGACCCCCCCCCCCCCCGGCGCGGTGACTTCCCCTCAGCTCAGCACCCCCCCAAACGGCTTGTACGTATTCAAATCCTTCAACAACTCGTCCACCACACCAGGCAAGTAGCGATCCACGAACCGCTTCTTGGCCTCCACCGACAGCGTCATCCCATTGCCACCACTCTCACTAGCGCTGCTGCTGCTACTACTACTCGTAGCAGGCCTCTCCTTCTCCCTACCACCACCACCGGCGCCACCAAAGACCTTAGCGAGCTTACTAGGGCTGCGCTGCAGCAACAGGCCCGGCCCGCCCGCCGCGGCGCTCATCTTCGCTTCCGCCCGCGGGATCGAGATCGAGGGGCCGGGGTTCTCGGGCGTGAGGTAGAAGTAGAGGAACTCGGTCAGGCGGAACTTGACCTCGCGCCCCGTCTCGCGGCTCTTGAAGAGCGACGTCACCGTTAGCAGGCCGTCGAGCTGCTCGAAGACGCGCATGTTCTGCGGCATGTCGAGCAGCGCGACCACGAGCGTGATGATGGTCGCCGACTGGATCGCGGGGCAGTTGATTGGTTCGAGGAGGTCGAGGAGTAACTTGTCGGGTGAAAGCAATAAGAGCTGTTAGTTGGTGGGACCAAGAAGGGGAAGGGGTAGGGTAGGATAGGTAGGGTAGGGAAAAAAAGAGGGAGGGGGGAGGGGGGGTCGAAAAACATACGTTCATGTGTACGCTCCGCGAAAAGAGGATCTTGCTCGGTGGATGGAGCAGGAGCACGCCCTGGATCAGGTCCAGCGCATTGACGATGAGCAGGTCATACTGCCCGTCGCCGCCGCGGACGACGAGCCAGTCGAGGGTGGTGAGCAGCCGCTGGGCGATGTTCCATTCGAAGCCCTCTTGCAGTTTGAAGAACTCGCGGAACGCAGGGTCGCTCGAGAGGTCGGCTAACACCTTGCGCGACGGCAGTTCTCGCTCTCTTTCTCTTGTTGGGCTGGCGCTCTGTTTCCTTGGGCTGCTCGGCCCCGAGAGGCAGATCTGCGCGAGGAGCCCTTCCACTTGCTTCAGCCCCTTCTTGATCTTGCCGCCGTCGAATGACGAGAGATTGTCGAAGGCGAGTGATAGGAGGGATTCCATTGTGTGGGCGGGATCCGTGGTCGCCAAGCGGGATATGGCTTTGTTGCACCGGCCGAATGAGGCGCCGATCGCTCGTGTTTTCGTGCTGGATCACCCCCAGACCAGCCAGGCCCGTTTGATTTGTCTCGGGTCGCTGAATATTGCTTCGAGTGATGCCTCAATGACTGATATGCGATCAAGGCGAAAGTATGCCGATAAACTGCTCGTAAGACGGCTGGAAAATTTGATCATGAAAATGCGCCGGCGCAAACGGCGAAGCCGAGATTGGTTTGTTGACCTGCCGAACAGGGGACGCCGAATCTTGCGGCGGCGAGTCTAAAACGATGAAAACGCCATGGATACTGAAAAAGGACAACCAATTATTGAGCGGGTATCACTGGAAGCGTCCGATAAGTTGGAGCCGGAAAGCAAGCACACCCGACTCGAGATGTTCGGACGCAACGGTCAAGCTCGGTGCCCCATTGACCCGGATTCGCGGGTTTGCGTTTGGACTCGGCAGCTGTGCCGATGCCACAGCAACGGAGTGGCAGGACCCTGCATGAAAAGAGGTTGATAAGATAAGGGTGTTCCTTGCTCAGTGGAGCAAGGTCAGTGGCATTGTGGGCCTCGGTCGAACTCCATCGGCGTACTGTGTACGTTCCTGAGTCCTGACAGATACCCGGATACTTATGTCACAAACTGAGGCAGATGCAGGAGATGTAGAGGCAATATACTTCGAAGACATACTGGTACTATATAACTATCTCAATCTCAGGTCAGGACTTGCTTGACTAACCGAGCGAAATATGCCCCGGGCCGTCTTTTTGGAGCGGGCTCCATTACCTGTGATTTTCTTTTAACGAATAAATACTAGTGTCGGGTTACCGATCCTGAGTCTGACCGCTTCCTCTTAGGACGAGTTGTGCCCTTGTGCCAGCCACGGGTTGTCGTACAGTCCTCGAGTCAGTACTAGCAAGCCGCTGAAGCTTGTGCGAGCTTGTCAACACATTCCGAGATCAACAAGGTCAGACCCAGGGTAGGATTATGCATATTGCAGTACCTGACGGCATTGCCAAACCGCGCTGGTATATACCGGCGATGCATCGACCTTCTCCGACGTCTCGGGTTACAGCTCCGTGGTCGTCCTGCAGGAAGCAAGCAGAGCCTAACTTAGGCGCAGCGGGTATCTGTGTCCTTTTCCACACAAGAGTTGAAAGCCCCGAAACCTCGAGTTAAGGTGACGGGCGACCACTTTCGCCCTACACTTTGACACTCGAATAAATACAGCTGTCTCAAAAGGCAGTCCCCTCTATTGTCGATTCTTCGTTCCAAGTACTTGGTTCAGTAAGTCAAGACATACAGTTTCTGAAGAATGGATTATCATCGTAGTGCCGTCGGCTTTCCGCCGTCGTTGCGATCGATGGATCAGTGTTAGCATGGGCATTGGTTTTGTGCCCCGCAGTGCCTGCACTCTTTCCCCGCCATAACTTGGATGACTCTGTACTGGTCTCGCAGGTAAAGTTCCCACGGAGTTCCAACAGTCGAATCTGTCGATTATGGACATCGTCTGGCCTGGCACTGGGCTGCTGCACGACAGCAGGCAGCCTCGGGCTGCCATACGCGTATCGGGGTGGGACTGACGATTTGTTGGTGACGACTACCTAGGGCAGCAATTGCTAGGAGACTCCGACGAAAAGCGTTGAGTCGCATGTCGTCACATGCACCAGCTCTCAACACGCGACCCCACCGCGGCACCACCGCCAACCCGAGCGTCCCCTTCGAGACAGACCTAGGACGCGCGCGCCACTTTCGCTGGCCGCTTCCCTTGACGGTCCCCATGCTACATTTCAGGCGGCCATCCCAGAAAGAACAGAAAGAACAGCCTGTCATGGCCGATCAACTGTCCTCGTCCACTGCCACGGCAGGTCCGATTCTCAACCACAACGCCTTCCTACAGTCACCCTCGCCCATCCCGCCGCGGACGTCATCAACGCAATCGACCGCTGCTGGAGCTCTCTGGAGCGGCCCCGGGGCCAGCTTGCCGTCAGGGTCTGCGACTGCCGGCCCAGCCCACAAGCGCCAACGCAGCCGCAAAGCATCAGCAGGGGCAACGAGCTTCCCCTTCATGTCGACGGCCATGTCCGCTCCTGCCCAACCGCCACCCGACCCGAATCGCTTCGCGACCGAAGACTTCATCCTCACCGCCCGGCGGCCATGGTCAGAGGAGAAGGACAAGGTGCTGACGGGGCCCTTCGACTACCTCAACGGCCACCCGGGCAAGGATTTCCGGTCCGCGCTGGTTAAGGCCTTTGACGCCTTCCTAGAAGTGGCCCCGGAGTCGCTCGAAGTCATCACCAAGGTCGTCAGCATGCTCCACACCGCGTCCCTCCTGGTCGACGACGTCGAAGACAACAGCCAGCTACGGCGGGGCTTCCCCGTCGCCCACGCCATCTTCGGCATCCCGCAGACGATCAACTCGTCCAACTACGTCTACTTCTGCGCGCTGCAAGAGCTCCAGAAACTGAAAAATCCCAAAGTCATCTCCATCTTCACCGAGGAGCTGCTCAACCTCCACCGCGGGCAGGGCATGGACCTCTTCTGGCGGGACACGCTGACGTGCCCGACCGAGGACGACTACCTCGAGATGGTGGGCAACAAGACGGGCGGGCTGTTCCGGCTGGGCATCAAGCTGATGCAGGCCGAGTCGCGCAGCCTGGTGGACTGCGTGCCGCTGGTCAACATCATCGGGCTGATCTTCCAGATCGCCGACGACTACCACAACCTCTTCTCCAAGCAGTACACGGCCAACAAGGGCATGTGCGAGGACCTGACCGAGGGCAAGTTCAGCTTCCCCGTCATCCACAGCATACGGTCCAATCCGGGCGACATGCAGCTGCTGAACATCCTGCGGCAAAAGACCGAGGATGTCGAGGTCAAGCGGTATGCGGTCGCGTATATGCAGAGTACCGGGAGCGTTGAGTACACCAAGAAAGTGTTGGCTGTGCTGATCGAGCGGGCGAGGAGGATGGCGGACGAGCTGGATGAGGGAAGGGGGAGGGCGCAGGGGGTGCATGGGATATTAGATCGGATGGTTGTCGAGGACTAGTCTCTTGCTTTTTTTGAGTCTATGTTCGATGAAAATACCCCGTGTTTTTTCTTTGTTTCGGTTCCGGCCACGGCTGACCATCCAGATATGGATCCTAACTGTATCCTGGATTGCATGACGGCTTCCATTGATGATTCTGTGTGGGCATTCTCTGTATTTGCTGGTCTGCGGCTTCAGCGAAGGTTGCGGGCCAAAATAAGCTCATGCTCAAACACAGTGGCGGCCTTGCTGGGAACAGACGGAAGTCGGGACAGAGCTTTTGCACACGGTAGCACCCATCCGCATCAAGAGAGCTATGGGGTAGAGATAACAGACTTGATACCTGCTCGTCGATATTCACGAACTGCATAAAACCCAACAAGCCAGGACAAAGGCATCGATCGAACCAGCTCACGAACCCTCGGAGCTGACCTTCTTCCGCTTCACCATCCTCACCCACCTGCGCCTCCTCCACTGCCCCCGCCGTCCCGTCCCCTCCTCCCCTTCCTCCCAACTCACACCCGGCCTAAGCCTCCCCTGCTGCTGCTGCTGTTGCGCACTCCCCGACTCCTCCCCTTCCTCAACCCCGGCCTCCCCACCACTCCACATGTCGTACACCCACCTCTCCCCCTCGGTCTCGACCTCGACGCCCGTGATGATGCGCTCCTCGACCCACTCGCGGCTCCACAGGTCCAGCGCCCACTTCTTCTCGCTCCACTCCCACCCCTCGGGCGGCAGCACGTCCTCGAAGAAGCGCGTGCCCTGCGGCCGGTCGCCCGCGATGCGCGCCGCCGAGAGGGGGTCGTAGGGCGAAGGGGAGAACAGCCAGGGCTCCCACTCCCCCGACGACAAGGAATGGGACAGCCGTTGGAGTTCGAAGATCTCGACCTCGCGGGTTTCCGGGGAGAGGTCCAGGTGGATGTCTGAGAGGAGGGTTTGGAGTAGCGAGGAGGGGTGGTACCATTTCGGTTGTTTCTCGGTATTATTGTCTTGCTGCTGTTCTTGGGTTTCTTCTGTGTATTGGCGCTGGGCCTGCTGGATCCAGCGTGCCACGGCCGGGTGGCCGGAGCAGATGCCTGCCCAGCCGCCGGCCAGGGCCAGGAAGCGCAGCGGTAAGAGGTGCCCTGCGATGAGCATGACGAGGCAGGCGGCGGACAAGAGGACGAAGACGGCGGAGGAGAGGGCCTCGTCGGAGAAGTTGGTCTTGGGCACCACGAGGGCGACGATCTTGTCGTGGGCAACGCTGAAGTCCTCCATGACGTTCTGGAGATCGCCCATGTTGCGGAAGAAGTCGCGCGAGAGCTCCTTGGCCGGCTTGACGGTGCGCGCCGGGGCGAGCGGCGGACCGCGCGGGGAGTAGCCCAGGTTGCGGACGCGGTCTGGGTCGGAGGATGGTGCCGGGTGGCGGGTGACGAAGGAGGGCACGAGAATGCCGAAGAGGGCGATGGCGAGGGGCAGCGCGAGGAGGAGGTAGGGGTCCAGGCAGACGAAGGTGTAGACGGCCAGCAGGGAGAGAGTCTGGGTGGGCCGGCGCCACGACAGCAGGCGGAAGACACGGGTCTGGAAACTAAACACAACGCCGATCCGGGCGTTGAATCTCCTGAAGTTGGCCGTCATCAGCGGCAGGGAGAAGCCCGGCCGCTCGGAGGCGTAGGCGGGCATGTCGCTGCCCCGGAGATCGTTGAGGTGCTGGCCCTGGCCATCCTCGGCGGGTATCACTTGGGACAGGAGCCTGCGATGCCGTGTCAGCAATGATGAGTCTTCACGGTATCCGGGATAATCACAAGTCAAAGTTACTTCTCTAGGAGGCTGTCCTGGAGGTTCGCGGCGCTGAAAATGCCACCGCGGAAGCCCCTCCCTTTCTTCGTCGGGTCGGGCTCGGCCTTCTGGTGTCCGTCATCCTCGCCGCCATCGCATTGCGGAAGGGGAGCCTCGTTGATGGCGGTCAGGAAATTGGATGCGAAGTCCTCCATGGCATTGCGCAGTGTGTCACTGCCGTGCGGAAGGGAGACGAGGCGGGTTGGCCGATAATGACCACTCCCTGTCGTTGATGACGCCAACGGCTTGACGGTGTTACACAGTCCACGCGGAAAATAGTGGGGCCAAGGAATCCACGAGGAACATACAATACCTCGGCCGCCGCTCAACGCAGGTTTAGGTTGCTGGGATCAACACCTTGTCTCAGCATCGTCGTTGCACCTCATGTGCTACGCATGCCAAATTGTAGGGCAGACATTGTCTCAACCTCTTCCACATGGCCTGGACATGTGCTGTTCCTGGATCAATTGGATGCGCACGGCGGTAACCTGCAGCGGCTGCGTGCTGCATGCAGAGTGTTGCGAGCATGTGCCTCGAAATCAACACTCTGCAACTTGCAAGTTACACGGATAGGCAGAGCTGGAAACGACGGGAAATTATGACAGCCATGTAAACATCAAGACTTACTGCCGATCTAGGTCTGTCCGAGACAGGCGCTTGAATTTCTTTTGATCTGATGGGTCTTGATAGATTATATGAATCTCCTTCAGTCAATGCGTGGTCCTTGCAACCATGCGGAGTTCGTGTCTCTGAATGGCTGGCTGGACGGCTCGATCCAGGAACGCATGTTATTGTTTGCTTAACAGACCCATTAAGTTGGAGGATCTTGAAATCCGCCTCAGTAAGTTGCATCCATTGCGCTCTGCAGCAGTTGATGAGTGCCAATTTCCTGTCGCACGCGCCGTTGTTTGGAGACGGCTCTGTGCCTGGCGCCGATAGATTGGACTTGTCGACTTCAGGAAATCGGACGGGACCGGTGAGCTGCACAAGGTAGGAATGCCCTGCCGAGCTGCATACCTACACGTGTAGGTAGCTTTGGCATTGCAAAGCAGACATCCCCGCCCTCGACAGCTGTAGACTGGAGCTGGTCCTGCATCGAAAGCAAATCATCGTCAGGTTGTCATTGTCAAGTGGACTTCCCTTCCGAATCACGGTATTGATGAGTTGGCTGGTGTATTTCCTGCAGTCAGGGGCATGCGATTGTCTGTATGCAAGGGGTCCAGCTCTGTGTCGTCTGCTGGCCGGTTTACAGGCGACAACTGGAATCCTGACCTCTTCATCTGAATCCAAGTCTTAACTTGTCTGATGAGATGTGAGGCAGAAGATAGAGATTGTTTATTATTTATATAGAAAAGCCCAATACTGGATCTGGAACCTTGAAAGTTTTCGGCTCCTTTTCTCGTCCCCACCCCATGTTGAGGGTGCCCCTGAACGAAGTTAACGCACGAACCACAAAGCCGAGTCCCTGGGGTAAACTTCGCAGGCCTGCGCCTGTTGCCCCGTTGAGAAAATCGTTTCTCGGCCCGGTTGTTGAGAGCATGGACCTGTTCGCGTTCAGGCACACTCTCTGTGGTGCAACGATTCTGATCCCTCCACTCGGGCGTGCCCGCTGGCTGCCACCTGCCCTGCACTAATAACTACCTAAATAAGGCAAGCCAAACAGCGAAAACACAAGCTGCGATTGCAACCAGGGGCCGCTTCCGTCGCTGCACATAACCCCATCACGCCTTGCTGGCCACCGACAACTGTCAATCAACGTGTGAAGTGATTCAGGATCACGCTTCGGCTCTTTCCCCCACAAAACCGCGTCTCGGACGCACTCAATTGTTACATCGCATTCCCGGAATGAGGTAGCCTTTCGATTGTTCTCAGCTCCCTGGCCGGACTGAGCCTGATTTGGGGGTCCGAATCCGCGCTGTGTGAATCGATCGAGTGAATCGAGTGAACCGAGTGGATCGAGACCGACCGGGACAGCAACCGAGACTCGGGCAGCCTCCTCGCTGCACCATCGCCATTCCCGGCTCAAAGCTTCCCTGAGGCTCTCACCGCCGTCCCGACAATTGTCCCGCGCCCGCGCGCCTCCCCTATGAACAGAGAGCGTCAGGTCCCCGCTGGCCCCAGAAGGGAAAACCAGTCGCCCACCAGGTTGTCGCCCCATTGCATTGTCATTGTCCATTGTCCAAAACCATTGCCCCGTGTTCCCGTCTTACCATCCCCCCCGGACCCGCTGCCCTAAACATCGAGTGATCTGGCTCCCCTGTACGGCGAGTCCGCTAACCTTGCTTTGTTTTGCAAATGCAGACGGTCGCTCAACGCCAGTCCCACGAAGCCGGGCTCCATCCACCGGCCCACAACCGACGCCCCAATGCTGAGCGCTTCGTCCTCTAACAACCACTCACTTTTCTCTTTCGGCAGCAGGAATGGCGCGCCCGACGACGTAACCGATCCCGCCACCTCGTTCGACTTTCTCCCGTCCGTCAGCTTTGACGATCTGCAGAGCAGCCTGGAGTCGGCCTCGACAGACTTCAAGCTGACGCAGTTTCCCCTGCCGACCGGACAGGGATCGATTCTGGGGGACCGCGCTCTGGCTGCAAATAACATTGGGGAACGTGCCGATATGGCGCGTCACACTGGTGGCAGCCATGCTACCGCCCAGCAACCGCCCGTTACGCGTCCGCGGGCCGGTTCGATTCTGCGGAAAGCGAGCACGTCGACTCGGCATGCGAGTACAGCGTCCACCGCGTCAAGCAACCCTGGGGTACCAAACGCCCCGACCGCCCCGGCAGCCATGCGCTCGCGCCGCCAAAACCACTACCCGCCCGTCTCAAATTCCAACGTTGTGTCAAAGCCCCCAGAAAATCGGCTGGAGACGTCGAACTGGGAGCAGGGTTTGAGCCCCGCAAGCGGAGACCAAGCGTGGCGTCCTTGTCAGACCGGATTGGGCTGGAGCCTGCAACGCGGGCCTCCATTGATGTTGGATCCCATCCTCCGGCCGACTTTTTGCGGGCTCACGCTAGTTCGCGGAGCTCCAAGGCGAGATCAGTGCAGCCTCCGCCGAGGGCTAGCCAGGCCACGTTGACCCCAGATACAAGTTCCATGTCATTGGATCCCGGTCATGCACCGACCGCAGCGCCTCGTTCGCCCCGGGCGGCTGCCAAAGGATCAAACGCGGTGCTGGGGAAGCGCATATCGGTGATGCCTGGGGCACCTCAACTGCCACATGTTACGGGCCTCGGCGCGAGGACCATTAGCCCGACAGACACGCGACGGATGAAGCGTTTATCGATGCATCACACTCAGGGCCAGGCCGCAGCTCATGTGCTACCGAATCCGCCGCCATTGTCAGCAGCCGAAGCTCGCTCTCCCTCGCGCTCTCCTTCTATGCTTCCGCGCAAAATATCCACGCCCGTTTCCTCTCGCACAACACCCGATCCAAATCGAAAGTCGTATACTTCGGGTCTTTCTGTCAACTCCAATGGCAGCCTAAGTACCACGGGACGGGCATCGACCGCATCGGTTCAGCAACGCAACCCGCAAGGTGTTGGTTCGAGATTACCTGCCCCAAAAGCTCTGAGCCTTCGCAATTCTGCGAGTCTCGATGATGAGGAGAGTGTCCCACCGGTGCCGGCGATACCTAAGGCGTATGAGTCCCCAAAAGATGCATTCGGCGAGGCGGCGTTTCTGGACAAGAGGAAGTCGAACTTCCCCTATGATGCCAGCAGCATTCACAGCAGTTCAACCGGGAGTGTGTCTGGGGGCTTGAACGAAGCGCCTTCTTCCAAGCTATATCGCAGGCCTAGCCAGCGCAAATCCGTCCATACGTCGAAGTTGGATTTGGAAACGAAGGCTGCCGCATCCCAGACCAAGAAGGCACTTCAACCCTTAAGGCTGCCTCCCATCACCCTTGGCCCCCTCAGCACGCCAACCGCTTCCAAGATAGCCGCACTGCAAGAACAGGGCTCGTCAGAGAGGAATCTCTCTCCCATTCCCACGAGGCAGATCCTGAAGACGCCAACGACGCCCATGACGGCGTCAAAAAGTGCCTTTTTCAGGACGCGAACCGAGGAAAGAAACGACATTCAACATCTCCGGAGTAGCAGCTCGGTGTACCGGGTCAGAGGCCGAGAGAGCCCTGCCCCCCCCGAGCCAGTGAGCTCAACCGAATCATTTACGGCCGTGAAGAACGGCAACCAAAGATCTGCCCCTTCACCGTTTACAAGCTCCTCGTTACCCAAGGGAGGTCATGTGGAAGCTGCATTCCTGAAGAGGTCCAAGACAGGCGGCGACTCGACTGCTCCGCCGGAGCCAGCCGCGGAGTCGGTAACACATCATGCGAAACCGTCAGGGCCTCGGGCCCAAAAGCATGCCTCGACAAAGACCAGACATGCGAAATCACCCCCGCCCCCTTGCAGTTCAGACGAGCCTCCGACTCCTTCGTCAATGAGCTCGCTTAGGAGGAAGTTGAGCTTGTCTTGGAAGCGAAGTGCCTCAAAGGGCAGCGGCAACCAGACTCAGGCAGAGAAGGATGAGCGCGTTAAGCATGATTCGATGCCGCCTCCTCGAATCCCGGCCTCTGCAACAATGAGCAGCATTACCAAAGCCAAACCCCCCAGCCCCGCCCCGTCAACTAAGTCTACTAAGTCCACTAAGTCTAGTGGGACGGGGACATACCTGGAGACGAGAAGGCGAAAGAGCTCGTCCTCGAGCTTGAATGCCATCGTTGCTCAGGAGCAGCGCGGCCGCGACGGTATGAGCACCGCAAAGAAGGAGTCGACACTTGATACGGTTGCAGAGCGCACTCCTCTCCCTCACAATTCGTCCGTTGTGCAGAGAATTCTGAAGCCGGCACGCTCATCGGCCGCGCTGCGACACCACGATGTGTGGACAGCAGAGCTCGACAAGGACGACCTGGTTGCCGAGGAGGAGATGAAGAGGTTGGGGCTGCGGCGCAAGGACACGGAGCTGGCCGCTCGGACTCTGGATGCGCTGCGGAAGCGTGCTACTGCCAAGGAGCGGGTGAGCCCACAGGAAGCAATCCGGATTGCCTCCCTCAATATATACGAGCGAGGCGAGATCGTGGACTATAAGGACGTCTACTTCTGTGGTACTCAGAATGCTGCCAAGGTCATCGGCGACCCTCAGTCCGACGCTCCCAACTTTGGATACGACGACGAACGCGGAGACTACACCATTGTGCCTGGCGATCATTTGGCTTACCGGTACGAGATCATCGATGTGCTCGGAAAAGGGAGTTTCGGGCAAGTAGTCCGCTGCATCGACCACAAAACGGGTGTTCTCGTTGCGGTCAAGATTATCCGGAACAAGAAACGGTTCCATCAGCAGGCTCTTGTGGAAGTCAACATTCTACAAAAGCTTCGCGAATGGGTGAGTACATCTGCTTCAGACGGTGTCGACGGTGTCTTGGTTGCAGTCAAGGCTAATTCGGCACAAAGGATCCCCACAACAAGCACAGCATGGTCAACTTCACTCATAGCTTCTACTTCCGTGGCCACCTCTGCATTTCTACCGAGCTTCTTGACATGAATCTCTACGAGTTCATCAAGTCAAATGCTTTCCGGGGATTCTCACTCAAGATGATCCGCAGGTTCACCAAGCAGATGCTCAGCTCGCTCAACTTACTCAAACAGCATAAGGTCATCCACTGCGACTTGAAGCCAGAAAACATCCTTCTCCGACATCCTCTACACACCGAGATCAAGGTCATTGACTTCGGCTCCAGCTGCTTCGAGAACGAAAAGGTGTATACATATATCCAGTCCAGGTTCTATCGCTCTCCGGAGGTCATTTTGGGCATGACGTACGGCATGCCAATCGACATGTGGTCCCTCGGCTGCATCCTGGCCGAGCTCTATACCGGTGTGCCCATCTTCCCGGGGGAGAACGAACTGGAGCAGCTGGCCTGCATCATGGAGGTGTTTGGGCCCCCGGAAAAGCACTTGATCGAAAAGTCCACTCGCAAGAAGCTATTCTTTGACAGCATGGGCAAGCCACGTCTCACGGTTTCTAGCAAAGGCCGTCGCCGACGTCCATCGTCCAAAACCCTGCAACAAGTCCTGAAATGCGATGACGAGCCCTTCCTGGACTTTATCGCCCGCTGCCTCCGGTGGGACCCAGACCGACGCATGAAGCCCGAGGAGGCCATCCGTCACGAGTTCATCACCGGCCAGAAAACCTCCGTGCCTGTGCCGCGCTCCGCCATCCGAGACTCCTCCCCCAGCAAGCGAGTCAACAGCAATAGCGCTGCGCCCAGGCCGCTACCAGAACCGCCGGCAGCCGCCAAAACCACCACGTCCCTGCGGCCGCGCGACACCGCGTCCTTCAGCGTGCACACGTCGCCCCTGAAGCCAGGCACCGTCCCCTCTTCCACGACCCGCAGGACCTCCGGCATGACTGCCAACACGAGCAGCCTCACGAGCAATTCTCTCACCGGCGTCAAGCGCACGAGCACGGGCCCGACGGCTTCGCATTTCAACGCCTCGTCGGCTACGCTCAGCGGCAGCAGCCTACCCCGGGCATCGATCCGTACCGTGAGCAGCGGCGGCCTGGGCGGTGTGAATGGCGTCAAGCCCGATCTCGCTGCTGCGGGGGCCACTGCTGCCATGAGCCGGCGTGCGTAGGAGAAGCAGGTCGACAGCAGGCGGCGGTGGATCGTGCGGCGCGTTGCTCTTGCTAGGCTGTGACCTGGACGAGGCGGGCGGGCGGGCTGGAAGTATCGGGTGTGATGGTGAAGGGATTTGTTGGACACGACGGTACGAAAAAAAAACGGGTTCTTTGAGGGTGAGGTGGATAAGACACAAGGGCCGGTTGTATAGAACTGTGTGTGGATATGGGCTGTTCGCTGCTGCAATGGGAGGGGACTTTACACAGGCCCCGGTCAACGCTGATGCTGGTTCAGGTTCCGGGACGAGACGGACTGACGGACGGATGATGATACCACATTTCTTCTTTCGAGAGCCTCTCGCCTATTTTGTTAGCTTCCTTGCATGGCACTGCGCGTGTTTCGTTCTTTTGTCTGTCTGGTCTGGTCTGGTCTGGTCACTCTTGAGTTGGGGCGGGCGTTTGCCGGGTAGAAAGCTATATTGCTGCTGCCGACTACACATACACTACAACAACTATGATGCGCTATACACTACCTACCTTATACACTACACTACACTGAGCTATACTACGCTGTCCGGGGGTATACATGTCTACGTTATGATCTTCTCTGGTTTCAGCATTGCTTTGCTTCCATGATAAACCTCTGTTTACCTAAGGTACTTAGTAGGTAGATATGCTGTTCAGCACCCAGCTCGAGAAGGAGGCAACAGAAACTTGCACCGCTATCAATCTAGAACAGCCAAGCAAGTCGACAACTAGGTAGGTGTGTTACACCACCACCTTGGTCGACATGAGGAGCACCAAAGCGATCATGAAGATACCGAAGAAGGACAGTCCTTGGGCAGCCTTGAACCCAGGGTACATTTTATGAGCGATTAACCACCCGCAGTGTCCCAGCCACAAGAGGCTGGGCTCTGGTACAGTCAGTCAGTCTGTTTGCTTCTTTGGAGTGCCAAGGTCTCTGGAGTTGGAGTCATTTCCAGATAGATGGTTTGGAACAGGGTAGGGAAACATGAATAGAGGCCCCGGACAGTAGCGTCTTGCGTAAGCACGGTAAGGTTAGATATCCATCTTAACCAGGAAAGTGGCGTATACAACATGAATCAAGGCTGGCTACGATAGGTAAGGTAAAATAAGTAACTGTTACTAGAGGGAGATGCTTCGATTTGATCAGGGAACGTAAGGTATACAGCATGAAGCAGGGCTGGACATCCATTACCTACTAGTAACCTACTTCGAGCGTAATGATGGTTTATGGTTTAGAGGAGAGAAAAAGAGAAAATCCGGGCGGTATCTCGGACTCTTTCTGAAACTGGCCGGTGGCGGCAACAGCATCACGCCTTGACCTCTTTCTGCCGTTGGGGTTTATTTCAGAAGTTGTGAGAGGAAAGGGGGTTGCCCTGAGGCGTGAGTCACCCAGTGATACTCTCTGTCTTCTGTTTTACATGCCCCTTGTGTGTATGTATGTGTGTGTGTGTGTGTGTGTGTGTGTGTGTGTGTGTATGAGTGAATGGGTGACAGCAATTTGCGCTGTCCACGGCCGAATTCCCTTACGGGACAGATTGCAAAGTCAAGGCAGTACCTCCGTACGACGTTCACCGAACATGAGGCTCTGCTGGTGACACCAGACATCTGATTAGATCCTTCAGGATCTCCGGGTTACGGAATTCCGTCTTGTTCCATCTCGTGCCGTTCCGCCCGTCTGGCTTATTGTCCTCCACGGTCATTGATACTCTAGTTGGGGTCTGTATCTTGCTGTACCTGTACTTCCCCTGGATGGAACATGAAGGACCTAGGTCTAGATCAGACAAAAGAATAGCAAAAATGTCACACACATTGTGAGCCTTGTGGACACCCCCTGGACGTCCATCGCCACCCCCGGGGCTGTCTGCCAGTAGAGATAGGTGGTAACCACGACCCCGATATAGCTACCCGCATAATGGAAGCACTCGAGATACTGACCGAGGAGAGTAAGGGGTGCCCCACGGTAGACGATGGAACCGCATAGGCGGAGTATAGCAGGGGACGTTCAGTAGCTAGACAATATTCAGGAGCGTCTTCTATAGATAGTCTAGGCATCTAGTTGCTAGCTGAGCATCCAACATGCAATGGGGTCCGCGTCCGGGCAGGCACACACCTAGGCTGTCATTTAGTCCGTGTCAAATAATGCAGAGCGCTGAACTTACATGCCCCCCCACCCCCGTCCCATCGGAGGATGGGTCTTCAGCGCCGTCGGGACACACTCCCAACCGGGACCGAGCGAGCGACTACGAGGACCATATTTCTCCACCAGCAGATATCAAGACGCCTTTTTCGGTTATAAACGTGAAACACGGTGATTCCGAGCCCATACGGGAGCCTGAGCATCGCGGAGGACCTTGGGGGCAAGATGGGGGCTCAAACGTAGTTCAGCCCTACCGCGGCTCAGGTCGTTTCACAGAACTGTAAGCCGAGGTTTGTGAAACTGCTCAACTGTGCAAAACCTCAGCAGTAACACCCTTTGCTATCTGCAGTGTCCGCGGCGACCGGAAGGGCACAAATGAGTCGTCTGGTACAGACTGGAAGTTCTTAGGTTCCTAGGCGGAAGGTCGTATTCGACCCCTCAGCGCAGCCTTACAAGGCAGGAGAGAATATGGGCCACAGGGCGTCTGCATCTCAATTAATAGAAATAGAATGTTTCAAAGGGCAGTGCACCTCTTCTCCGGGCAACAGAAGGGATGAAGCACAGGCAAGAGGATTTGACAGACCGTGGCTCGTGGTTGTGGCTCGGCGTTGGTGAAACATAAGCCGGCCCGGTTCGTGTACCGATGCACCTCATAGGGCTATTCAGCTGTCTTCCGTCGGACTTGCTGAACCACGAGTTGGTGTTACACCGGTAGGTGGCATTACAATCCGGGGCAGCACACGGCTGGGCAATTCAACACCCCGCCGGCAGCAGGAAGACGGAAACCTCCCATGATTCAGACCGACCGGCGACACAATTTTGCCGGACCCGGAGCAATAGGAGCCAACCCGTGCACAACCCGTGCCTGCGCGTTGCGATCAATCGTCGACTGCGACGAGAGCTTGGAATACCTGCACGCAGCTTCGGTGTCGGGAGACGCCGGGTCCAGGACCCTCATGAACGTGCCAGCAAGGTCTGATGACCGGAATGAGAGACGCTTAGTTCAGAGCGCGGGAGGAGATGACACAGAGACGGGAAGCAACTATGATCAAGACAATCCATGGATGTCAATGGGGGTCGTGGGCCGGCTGCTCGGTAATCGGGCAGGTGCAATTGCGAGTCTCATCGGACAGCATGATGCCGCGACCAGCTATGACGTGCCTTCCCCATGAGTAGCCCGAGGTAAACATGGGATCATTGATGAGGCTGCTGCCTAAGGTGATAGGTACCTAGGTAGGTAAGGTCCCTGCGAATTTGGCACAGCAGAGCGAAGACTCGCGACTGCCAGGTTGAGGTGGTCATGCGCGCCCGTAAACACCCGCGGATAGGTCCTGGCCTCAATTCGGCAGTCTCCACGCCATCGGGCAATTCAAGTCTCATTCTTCCGAGTTGTTTTCTCTCCGCCGGAGACTCCGTGATGCGACGTCGACTCGAAACCTTTCAATTCGCTGTGATCTCGACGCAAGCGAACCGACATGGTGAGATACCGGCTAGTTAGTCAATCATCGCGAGGCTGTGCTAGCTAGGAGCCTGTAGACAAGTGGTGGTTGGGTCAATTCCAGGTCCCATTGCCAGCAAGCCATGCCGGCAAGGGTTCGCCCCGCCTTAGTGGCCCAAGCGATTGGCTTGCTCCCGAGAGCTCCCCGTTCACCGTTCCCCACAACATACCGCACCGCATGCCTACCCCGGCCCGGTCATCGAGGACCGGATCAGCGACGCCGGCAAGAGAATAGGGAAGGATGAATAAAGTTCTCGCGATCCTGCCAAGACAGGCAGATTGGTAAGGCTTTTTAAGCCTACGGGCTCGCATTGATGTCAGTGAAACAGGAATTCCCATGTGCATTGCAGCGCTCGCCGTGCGGATACTGAAATGACAATTACGCCGCACTGTTTGTGTGGACAGCGTGATCCCCCGGGTCATATACCGGATCTCGGCATACGTGGCCGTTGTTCGTCATGGCCGTTTCTGCGAGGAACCCGAGTAGCCAGCAACGGTCTTTCGGTTGCAGTTACAGATTTTCCCCGCAGCTCAACACTACCGGCCAGCTTTTGGGCGATGCTGTGTTACAGCCTCAGGTGATTATCCTGCCTGCGGCCACCCGGAACAGGCAGCATGCAGAGATTCATATGAATGATTACACACCGGTATCACTGAACTGGATCGAAACCCTGTGCTCACCGAAGTCCAGAAAACAGCGACGAGCAGACCGTTGGAGCGTGATTTCTCCAGACACGAGTGGTGATTGACATGCACCAAAGATAGGTGGCCGTTGGGAAAGCTAGGGTAATCTGTTGATCTGCCGAAGGCTGGTACTGCGTACTAACGTAACATACCTGTACGGTACGTTATAATGTCGCCCAGCGCGGAAGTACTCTCTCCCTCGTCCTTTCCAGATCGGGACCGTGTCCCAATCGGACGGTCCAGGAGGGCGGCTACCGGGCGATCACCGCAGCCTCCTGCAGCCTGCTTTGACCGCACATTGGCCGACGTACGGCATTGTCCCGAGTCCTCAACACCACGTTTCGGTTTGAGGATATTCATCAAAGATGATTGCATTAGTTCAGTGGAGCACGCTATATCCACTACCCAGCGGTTGAGGCCTCTTGGATGAGATCCCTGGATTTCTACGGTAGTTGGCGAGATCACATCTCGTCACCTTGCGGAGTGCAGCAACCGTACCACGCCCAATGATGGTATCACAACCGTCAAGGACTCAAGACGGCCGTGTATGTCGAGCCGGCTCCGGGGGCCCCACCCGGAGTTCATCCGGCCCCGTACTGTCATATGAGGCCGCCATCGTTCTCGTGGACTAGTAGGAATGCTTGGCAATACCACATGGCCGAGAGGCATCCCGATCAGGGACCCTGGCCATGTCTGCCGCTCACCGTTTTCGATCATCTCTTGGCGACTGTTTCGATTTCGATCTCCGCTCACAGGACCTGGTCGGATCGTAGGCCATCGAAGACAGCCGATATTCCACATCAGTGTCCAGGGCCTCAAGAGCGGCCCGCTGGCGAGCGCAGAGTAATTTTTAACAGAGCCGTCTTACACTGGACCCGCCCAGATGGAGTACCCTGTCGGCGACGTCCCTACACATTTGGTGAGGTAAGGGTGTCTGTTAGCTGTGCAATTGATCGTTGAGAAGGCGACTTGTGGGCCGGATGGGCCTAATGCACGGTTTGGCGCTCGAAACAAGCCGGCGAAGTGGAAGTGTGAACCTGCCAGGGAAAAGGAAGACTGGCGGTATCCGGCGGGGCCTCGCACTTGATCGCACATGGGCTATCGCCATGCCTCCCGTCAACACGGGCGAGCGGGCGGGGCCGGTCCGCCAAAGGAGCCGTCCGAGACCCGTGGCTCTTCGGGAGAGAGGCACGGAGACTGGGCCCTCTTCTTTGCCCTCTTTCCGGAGACGGCACTTTCTTCCATACACCAGCCGTGGACTCCGAGTGGAAACGGAGATCTCGATACACGTGCCATTCTATTTCAGAATCTCGGGCAGTTTGAGGGTTCGTGGGGCGCTGCTTTGCGGCCATCCTTGGATCTTCTTTCGGCACCATACCGAAGATGCCAATTTAGCAAACTGTACTCGGTCAGTGCCTGCGCCAGTATACGTTCCACTCTCCCGCGCTGTAACACATGAGTGCCTGCGGTATGAGTCGACGGACACTTCTGTTGCTACTCCTGGAAGGACGCAGTTTAGAAACCAGTACGATTCGACTCTGCAGTTCACCAGCGACATCCCGACGCAGTGGGCGGCTCCTGCCGGGCGTCTTGCGAACGCACCATCACAGGTTCCAGGTTTAGCTTGAGTGCAACGTCAAAGTACACACACAGTCTACTTATTTTGACGTCAGCGTTCTTCCTGTGCCGTTCGCCAATTCCGGAAGACGTTACAATACCTACAATAGGATGGCACGCCTCTAAGCCACATGATTCGACGACTTCCATGGACGACTGCTTGTCTCGAAGTCACGTTCTGTGTTAGTCACGCCGCGGCGGGCTGTCCCGGATAGCCCTCCAGTTACGTTGCGGCGTTTCGTTTCCACCTCAGGCTGCGGCACTGGCAGCACCAATGCCAAGGTCGGCTTTTAGGCGGCTTTTTGGGGGCATTTTCGGGCAATGAGTGCTGCGCAGCCCACTAGGTCGCAGTGGAATCGCCAGGGGCACCTTGTCGGCACCCGTTACTGTGGACCTTACCTTACCTGTAACCTAGGTACCTAGGACCTGGCCCAAGCGTCGTGCGCACCTGCGGACTTGCACCTCAATCAGACCTCCAACGCTGCAGAGAGCTCTCGTTCCTGGCTGCTTTGCAGGGCGGGCCCACACCCTCCCGGCTGCGCCCTCGCATCCCGCCAGAACACCAAACCGGGACCAGGGCAGGCCAAACGAAGTCACGTACCGTACAGTCCCGGTTCAAGGCACCATGGGTTCTGTCGTCCCTGCGCCTTCATCGTCTGCATTAGCCTGCATGCCGCAGAAGATGCCCCAGTCATCAGTCGTTCGGATGTACCTGGTTCCTCACGGAATCTGCAGTGAGCGGTCCGCCGGCGTCATTGCTGCCTTCACGCCGCAGCGACCAGATGACGCCGCGAGGACTGGGAAGGCCATTGGGGCCTATAAGGCTGCCGTGATGCCCTCCTCGGTGTGTTGCGTTGACTGATGAGTCGACACCTCAGTCCTCGCGTTTTGTGCCTGAATTACTCATTTTCCTGTTTCCTTGTTCCGGTTGCTCAACGCTCGCTCGCTTCCACCTCGTTTCTCCGGCTCTGCTCGGCAGTCTCCGTCCAGTTGCTTCCTTACAGGTTGTGCCTAAGCCGTTTGTCATATTTAGTTTTCCTCTTCTCGCTCTCTTGTGCGAATCGTCCTCAGGCAGTCAGACAAACACTTTCACATCAGACGAAGTCCCAAGGACGTCATAGGACTCAACACAACACCCACATCAGTTCTCATCTTGTTGCCCTTCTTGCCTTACAACAAACACGTCGAGTACTCGCACGGAAGAAGCCGAGATGTGCTACCAGTTGGTTGAGCTCTACTCGGCATGCCGATGCCTCTACTACCAGCATGCTGTTGACCGGTGTGCGGCCTATGGTCGGCCAGGCCACGGCATTCAGCGGAAGACGATATTAGTTGGCTACGCCTGCAGCGAGCATTCATCACACGCCCCTGGAGGATACGACTACTCGAGCTCCCAGTACTCGGACTCGGGCTACTACTCGGGCCGGTCATCCAGGAGCTCCCGCGGCCACTACCGGTGAAGAGTGTTGTCTTCGATGATGGGCTGCTACCCCCGGCATCTACCAGCACTGGAGCGCTTTGAATTCGGGCATTGGGTGGCCTATCTCTACTCCTTCCGTGGAAGACCCTCGATGATAACCCAGCGCCCTTCCCTGCTCTCACATCTCTTCACGGCCCACGACCGCGCGGTAATGACGTCGATACCTCCTGCCTTCCGTTGACCGGCGGTATGGCAGCACTTGGTCGCACCTCCGCTAACTATTCGACAACCGCCGGACCGCCGGGAACAGCAGCTCTGTTATCGAAGACAGGAGATTTGGTCACAGTGAAGGCCACGGACATGAAACAAGCGCAATGGCAAACCAGCAACGAGAGACGACCTGGGGACGACTAGGGACACGACACAACGATTTCACCACGATTTCACCACGAGCAACGACTTCCCATCTCTTTTTTTGGGTTCAGCTTGGAAAATCGACTTCGGACTTGGAAGCATGGCGTGGGCATTGGAATGCATTACGGATATCGGCGATTCATGTACAACACCATTTTCTTGTTTTTCTCTTGTTTTCTTTTTCCTTTTTTTCTTCCTTTGGCTTCCACCTCCCTTTCTTGGGCTTGTCATGAACTTTCGGACGAGTCATGTATTCGGTTTACGATACCAGGCGTTATGGACAAGAGATACTCCGGGCAACTGGAAGGATCTGGGTACCTAGTGTTTTTCGTTTCTGTCTCTTTTAGCCTACGGGCATCATCTGGGTACCGGTTTCTTTTCAATGTTTTCTTAGAGTTCCTATATTTCCTTCTCTGTTCATGTCTTGGTCTCGAGATGCATGTATGGGTTTGGATGATTCACCGCTCACTTATGTCTAATTCCTGCTCTGGTAGCAGCGACAGTCACAGCAACAGCCACAGCCACGACGGGTCCGAGCAACAGGACAGATAGAGAAGGATTCTGAAAGGAGCAGCATGAGGTCTGCTCCGCGGGACATTGGGCTTTGTTTTTGATATCTTCTTACTCGTCTGCCCAGGCTGGCTTGGCCCCTCCCTGGCGGGATTTCCAGAGGGTGGGAGTACTACAAAAGACATTTTGAAGACACTTTGAGGCGGGGGAATGCTAGAAGTTGCACAAGGAATAGCGCAAATAGAGGCGGATATTCTAAACACACCACTACCTATGACACTATTGCTACATTAACCGATCGCTGTATACTGTAGGCTGCCGTCAACCACTCGAAAAATGATTCCAAATGCGGTAAGAGCTTTGTTGTTCGCTCCCAGGCAGTGCATCATCCATCTCCATAACACGGCCACCCATAAACAGTTCCCCCTAAATTTTCGTGCCTCTTCGAAGTGCTTTAGTCCCACTACCACTATGGATTTGTAAGGCCTTCGAAGACTTCCTATTGGAATTAGAAATCAAGTGCAGTGTCATGGGGACGGACTGCGGTGCAACAGTGCGCTTGAACCAAGTTGGCGGAAGGGATCGCGATTGGGTGACCAAATCACCAAGGAGAAAATACCCCTGAGCTGCCTGGCAGCAGCCAATTGGGACGTGCCGTAACAATGAAATTGACAAAATATCCCGTTTCGGGGCAACCAAACATGCACTTTCTTCGAATGCGGATTGGAACAGACGGACCACAACAGCGCATGTTTCACGGATCTTGATAGCGTGGTGATGCGAGTTTAAAATTGGGGCGCGAAGCCTTGATCCAGCCGCGGTCAGCACCTTACAGCAATTGAAGGCTCAGCCCGCAACTCAGGCGCCCAATACCAGTTAAGGGAACGATAAAAATAGAGGGGCAGAACCAAGCTGGCGGGGTGTAAGGAAAATAACAGTACGACGATACATACGAGGCTAAATGTTGGTATTCCCGGTTCAAGTTAACTATTATGGAACAGCAGGGTGGGACCCAGCGGCTACACCTTGGTTGCTGACCACGAGATATTTCCAGCGTTTCTTGCACACACACCTACTTTTAATGTTGCTGGCAATGCAACGTGAGGACTCTATTACTCAGCACGCGATTGCTAATCACCATGGCCTTCTCCCGGCAGGAGCTTGGTTCAAATACATGGAGAAAGTCGCCGGGCAGCTCGGGGCCGGATCGGATCGCAGAATCTCGCCGGAACAACCTGCCACGGGCCCGCGGATGTCGAAATGCAGCCGCCGGAGCCGAACCGCAGCGGGGGCTACGGACAGCGCCGCCGCCACGCCGCTGCCCTCGTCTTAACTTGACTAGAGCCGGCAGACATTATCCCAGGCTATTCCCATTGCATCATCGGTACAGGCGTGAGCTGGGTGGCCCAGGCCTCGCCGAGCTTAGGAATGAATGGGTACACAGTACATGCCGCCCTTCGACACCAAGCGGCCGGATCACACGTGGACTTGGGTCCTTCACTATTCCGGTCGTCCCGACATGGCGGCCCAGGTTCGTCACCGGTTTGCGTAACCAAGTCCCCTGTACTGTATGTACAATACATACAATGCATATACTGGCAGGACACTGCTGTCACATGCAGCTGCATATACGCAACTCATTGCATGTCCTCACTACATCTCTCCATGCAGTGTACCGGTGTGAGGCGCTTGACCGTTAACTAGCTCGTGCGACACACTCTTTTGCTTGCGCGATGTACTGGCTGCGCGTTATACGAACACATAGCTGTTTACTTCACCCGCACCACTCGGTTAACCAAACCTGCAAACCACCTGGGTGGTGGTCGATGATACCCTTACGCCGCAGGTTAAACAACCTCTGCCACGAGAGCACATGGGAAACTTCGGACGGTCCGGATCCACGTAAGCACTTGTGTACCTCGCTCTTTGTGCGACACTCGACAGTGATCGTCATACTATTCTAGAACGATACACAAAAAGACCTGCAGCATGCAGGTAGGGTTGCTTTCAGCGGTTGACAGAAGGTTCGCAGGCAGAATGTGACCTTAGGAATCGGGAAGATGTGGCAGGTCATGTTATCTGTCGAAGATGTATGTGGATGCAAACCAGATCTGCGACACACGGCGTGGCACTGCGATAGGACAACACCACTCCAGCGCGCTGTGCTGTCTTGGGATGAAACATGGGATGGGCCTAATTGAACGAAAGGCTCGGGAGAGCCGATCAACAACCTCTACTAAGCAAAAAAAGAGACAGTTTATTTGGCCTGTATGAAATTGCGAACGTCCATTGCACTAACCGTTCACAACGCCGCGAGAAGACATCAAAGAAATAGTGATGGTCTACAAGACAAGAAAAGAGCACACAGTTAGCAGCTCTTACGGTGGATTCTGCACGACCTCTTCCTCATGCTATAGAATATACCTATGCTCCGGGCTAAGCCAATCTTGCAATAACCTGGCCACGGTTTGCCATAGTGATCTGTCTCTTGAACAGCGATCTATGCGGGGGTGTATCTGGGCTCAAACAAGAGCCAAAGAACTGGAACCCTAGCACCTACACGCCTAGACACCCTCGCGGAGAAATGAACCTAGCAAATGCACCGTAGGATAGGAGAAACCAGCATTAGGGAGAGTGCTCTATGTTGAAATGCGCCAACACTCAACACTCAACGCTCGAAGAGTTTAAGAGTACAACTAGGTAGCAAACACTCGTATGCCCGTTGACAGTTCTACATGCCCCTTTTTGGGAGACCTCTGAACCCCAACCCTCAGCTAGTTGTCCTGGCTCCCTGGACTCTGCCGGGGGGCGTTATAACCGAGGTTTAACCGGTATCTCACTTACATGGCGAGGTCTTATCGCTTATCGGTCTCTTAGATGCCCCGCGACGCGTTCAAGCGCGTTGATGGGTGTATCAACAGGTAGAGCTGCTCGCAACCAACCGACCGATTTCCATTTGTGAAGGTGGAAAAGAACTGGGAGAGAGTCACTGCGTCCCGTTCTTTTCAGCCACAGGTACTCGGCTTTCTCTCAACCTACAAAGTCTTTCTTCCTTAGACCGGGTCTCCTTGTCTTTTCCAAGCTCTTTTCACCGTGCTTCAGAAGTTCAGAGTAACCTGATGACCTTTAAGCTCACAACTTTACTCGAGCTTGGCGTGGACTTAAGACAAGTCGATCACAACAAATCAGTCAATTACCGCCCATCTCAACCCTGCACCACCAAGCGCAACACAATTACAGCCGACAACGCCATGGCTGAATCGGGGAGTCTCGTCCCCGGTGCTCAGCCGAATGCCCCCGACCCAGAATGGGAGGAAAAGTTCAGAACGACTCTAGCCGAGGGTCGAATGCTCATGGACAGTGACAATCGCGCACCCTCCATGGCTTTGCCCATCATCATGGAGGTGAGCTCAGTTCCATCGAAGCCGAATCCGGGCCAAGGCCGATCGATCGGCTAATGATGGAAAAGGCTGTGAACATGTGCCCGTGCGACCCAGCGGGCAGTGGAAAGACCCGTCACGACAAAGACAAGTCGTGCAACATCTCGCAGTGCATAGACGCTGTGCGGAGCGACAACCCAGGTGCCCTCTATGAGGTGGCCAAGCGCCCTTGTGCTTGTGGATACTCTTGGCCGTCTTGCACCCGCATAGAGCACGCCATCGCTCTCGATGCACTCGCTGAGTGTCTCACCAAAGCCGGCCAGCATGTCTCGGCTTTCTCGACGGCGCTTAGCATTATTCGCTTGGATCCCGCCTCAGCCGTGGTGAGTGTTGCTTACAGCTTGACATCAGAAGTGACGGGACATGAGGATGGCGGGCTCACGCCATCTTTCGTTTTTATAGGGCTACTGCCGGACGGCCAAGATCCTCCGGTATCTGCTCAAGAAGAAGGACCCCAAGGCGGATTCTAATGTGGCCCGTTCCTTGGGCGTCATTCTTCGGCATGCCAAGTTGCCCTCTGCCGACACGCTTCGAGATGTGCTTAAGCAGTTCGTATCGAGCGGGTTGTGGAGCACCGACAAGTATGGCAACGGGCTCAACGACAGTTACGACGTGAGCAGTCTCCCATAAGGTTCCGAGATACCAAACATGAGACCGGACACTGACACCTAGGTGCCTTTAACCAGGTCATTCTCCATATAATAGCCCACAGCCTGAAGATCAGTGCCGCCCGCATTGATCCCGTCCAGAAATTCCCCCAAGAGGTGCTAAGCATGATCTTTGCACACCTCGATACCACGAGTCTCCTGTAAGCAACCGGATTCCGTGTTGGAGAAGGATGGTGCACTTGTCTAACAACTGGTTTCACCAAAGCAAATGCCTTCGGGTCAGCAAGCAGTGGCACCGAGTGGTACTAGGGGACAGCTCGCTCTGGCTTGACGTGAGACTCATCCGCCCGCTGAATCCCAAGACGGACTTTGCGCGTTTCCTCCAGCAACGCCCCGGGATCACAACGCTTGCCATCTACGATGCCGCTGATTTCCAGGTCAATGAGACCAAGCTCAGGAGTATCATGTACGGTCTGCGCCAGCTGAAGCGCCTATATCTCAACTCGGGGAAGGCTCTTCCTGCGATCCAGAAGCTTGCTTTCAAGAGCATGTGGCTGAAGACTGCCGCGAGCCTGACCCACCTTTCCATCTCGGGTTTTGACAGCGAGGAACCAGTCGAGGCCCTCGTTAGGCTCTCCGCGAAGACCCTCCAGGCTCTCGATCTGGTCAAGACAGGCCACGAGGTGAACGAAATCTTCAAGAAGTCCCCCTGCTTTCCGAATCTGAAGAAACTGCGGATCATCAGTGGATACACGCCGCAGGAGATAGAAATGCACCTGCCTGAGATCGAAACAGTAAGCCCGCCCGGTATCCCACAACTTCCATCGTGGGAGAGCGACAGCAACTAAACCGGACTAGGAGTTCATTGTGCTTGCCACACCGGTGCTGGAACAGTTCCACCTGGACGGATTCTTCGTCTGCTGGCGCAATGAGTACAGTGGTCCGTCGACCCTCACTGTTCAGGCTAAGAACAGCCTGTGGCGCTCTCTCGAACGGGTCATCCTCGGCCCGGAGTTGGTCTTCTCGAACCATGCGCAAATATGGAGGTCTAAGCTGTGCCGTATCCTCCCTCCCTTTACCAGCAATCTGCGGTCCTTCGAGGTCCTCGGCCCTAGGTGTGCCCAGATCGCCGACAACGTTCTGTTTACCTTCGAGGTGGAGAACGCGGGTCCGGATTGGCAGGGCTACAGCGTGTACAACAGGGACCCGAACCCGCCAAACTTGGTGAACCTAGAGGTATTCCGTTGCCGGGCGGAATCGCCCGACATCGTCCGGTACTTGGCAGATGTCATCGGGCCCGCGGCACGGGCCGGCAGCCTGAAGTTCCTTGAGCTGACCCTGCCGGGGCCCATCAGTCTCTTCCGGATCGCCGACCCTGTCAGGGAGCTCTCGTTTGCCGTCTCGGAGAACCTCCACACGCTGGGCCTGCACCGCTTCAACTTCTACTACGACAGGCACGACCGGCTGGGCACCACCAAGGCCTTCGACGGCCAGCCCTTCATCGACTGGATAGAGTGCTTCCCCAACCTTCACACCGTGCTCGTCTACCCGGACGAGTGGGAGGCCGTGGATCTCTTCATCATGCAGCTGATCGCCCATCCGCGCGTCAAGGTCATCCACCAGGACGTCCTGCGCGGCGTGGCCTGGGACAACGCCCAGAGACTGGCCGAGCTGCACGGTGTCGAGCTGCACCACACCCCCTTCTTCGCGCCGACAAGATGGCATGTGTTTGAGGATTAAGTCAGCCACAGATCGTGTTGGTTGATGCCGAATCGGGAGAGGCTTTTGAAAGCTGTACTAATTCACGACCGAAATGACGAAGACGAGAAACGACAAAGGAAAGAATGACTATAAGGCAACTTGGAGTTCAGGGGCCGGCCATGGCTGGATCATCTGGACGGTAGAGCAATGGCGCGCTTGGGAACATGGCCGGTTGATTTCACTTAGATGAAACGGCATCTGCATGAGCGCTGGCATTGGCATTGGATGTAGGCGTTTTGCTGGGGGCTACCACTCGTCTGATAGGTATGGGACCCATCGAGTGAGGATGGGATGGACAGACGGGACCATTGGCCCAACCTTGTCGTAATGAAATAATGCAATGTGAGGATAGGTTATACTTTTCTGTTGGACGACTCGGGTACCTTGGGCAGCTTACGGAGTCCGCCCAAGGTGGGATGGGATCTTGATGGATTCCACTGCCAGATATGGAGGCTATCCTACATTAGGTGGGGTACTTAGGTAGCCTATGAGCCAGAACTGTAGGGTAATATGAGGAGACATTCAATCCCGCTTTGAGACACTGATTTCTTCTGACACGCCTGTGGGTATTATGTAGGTCAAGCTGCACTCTTCGGTGACTAGGCTTCTTGCTTAATTCGCTCACGACGACAGGTGAATTTCAAAATCACGGACGAGACAAGCTTCGACTCAGAGATGTCTTGTACAGCCGGGTTTTTTACCGTCGTCTCCCTTGGACCCGATGTAAGATACGAGTTCGTTCCCTACCTACCCATTTACCTGCCTAGGTATGTAAGGTACTAGTACCTACCTAGTTATTGTCCTCGCAGACGAAGCGAGCGTATTTCCTCGGTTTACTATGTCGTAATGCCAGAGTCATGACAGCCAAGTACTTTTCCGTCAGCACAGACGTTTTCCCGCTGTCGGTATAAAACATTCCTTGTGTCATTACAGCTGTTTATACTCCGTCAGTACAAAACGTTCTTTTCTCTGTTCGTACGAACGAGCCCTCACGTCAGTACCGACATTCAAAATGTCAAGATCAATCATTTCACACACGGCAAGCCACCACCCCAAAGCCCAAGAAGACGACAAGGCACTCAAGGAGCCGCCGGCGTCCGGTCTTGAAGTTATGAAAACGCAATGCGAAAGACTGGCGTTGTATAATCTTTTTTTTTTTCTGTTTGATGGTTAAATGGCGATGGCCTTTCACCATAAGAAGTGATGGCATAGATGATGATAGCTATGAATCTATGACATGTCATCAGACACTAGATAGCATCAGGACCCGACTGTCAAACACCACCTGAATGTTTCTGAGACCTAGACTCGAGGCAGTGTAATTGAATAGAGTTGACTACCTTACTTTACCTTAGTATTCGCTAAGCATGAAAAAAGGAGGGAAGAAACCAGCTTTGATCCAAATGTCACGAGACTATCAGCCGAGCAAATATCGAGGGATAAGAAGATAGCAGATCGAAGAAGAGAGTCCCTGAACAAGGGGGCAAAACACCGCACGGAGACATGAAGGCAGCATAATGTTTTGATTACGCGGATCACGGTCCAACGAGACCACACACCTATTGACTTCATATACCTCTGATGATATTTTTAGTCCTGGCGATGACTGACGGTGGGCTGCCCAACGCCATACTGACTACGGGTAGGCACAACATTACGCCCCTCTAGGCTCTAGCTACCTTGAACTTCATGAAGGATTCAGCAAAACCTTGTGCGGGGCCACAACAACCAATTCAAGCTTGAACATGCTATATTCTCAGTACTAACCGGGGCCGTTGGGACACAAGTAACTAGCCCACGACCCTGACTGATATCCATGAAGAGGCTATCTTGGTGATGATGAATCCATCAAACAAAGCAATAAAGGTAAAAAAAACACGCAAACCGGTCCGAAGGAGTAAAAAAAATATGCCTCCCCCTGTCTGATGGGAGTCCATGCCCTCGCACCATAACCGATACCACAGGAGAGGAAAAAAGGAACAAGCGCCGTCGCACAGAACCCAGAGTAGCGGCCATAACCATGCATCAAAAACAAAAAAAGAAAAGGGCAAATCAACAAAAGAATCCAACCGTCCAGCCCCTTTTTTGCCCCAAGCAGTCTCACTCGATAGAGTCGATCTCGACCCTTTCCCGGCGCGACTCCCGACTCAGGCTCGCGACTTTAGCCTTCAGCTCCTCCCGGACCGACTCCGTCCGGCGCGCCTTCTCGGCCGCAGCAGCCTTGGCGACGGCGGCGACGGCCTCCTTGGTCTTCTCGGAAGCCTCCTTCCACCCGGCAGCACCCCCAGCAGCAGCAGTAGCAGCAGCTCCCTCCTAGTGCCGGCCGGCGCGGAGCTGACGCACGCAACGTTGGGCCTGCCGCATCTTGCAGCTCATGTGGTACCCCGGCTCGTTGGCCTTGCGCCACTCGAGGTACTGCTCGTAGAGCTGCTGCTTGACCGGGTCGTGGTCGCGGGGCTTCTCCGTGACGGGGAACCACGCGCGAGGCGGTTTGGCAGCGGTGGCGGCGAGAGGAGGGACGGGGGTGGTGGCAATAGAGAGCGTGCCCGCGGCGGCGACCTGGGGCGACGGGGCGAGCAGTGGCACGGCGGTCGGCGGCGGCGGGTACGTGTGGTACAGGCCGTGGTGGGCGCCGACGGGCGTCATGGAAGGGTACGCCCCAACGCCGAGGGTGGCGGCGAGCAAGGGGCTGCTGTGCGCCAGGCCTGCCGCGGGCGCCAGTGCGGCAGCCATGGGCATCGGAGTCAGGGCTGCCAGGCCGCCGGGGACCGTTCCGCTCAGAGACCCGTACCCAGCGCGGTACAGACCCGCGTGCGGGTGGTAGGCCTCGGGGCGCGGGAGACTGCCCGTGCCCGCAGCCGGGGCGGCAGTCGCTCCATTCCGCTGAGATAGGCCGGCCAAAGTGTTCTCCTGCGCAGGGGCTCCGCGGACCGGCGAACGCGCTGACATCACGTTGGGGAAGATGTTGGTCAGCGGTTGGCGGGACAGCTTCTTGGGGGAGAATGGTACCGCATGATCCGCATCGGTCTTCATCACCGACTTAAACTCGGCAGCGGCGGGGTTCAGCGCCTTGGTGCCGTCCGTCGAGCTCTCCTTCCGCGTGTGAAGGTGGCCGTTTCGCGAGTCGGCAGGTGTCGTGTCGGAGCGGTTACTTTCACTTCGCTCGCCGCTGGTCCCAGAGGCGTACCCAGAGTCGGCCGATTGTGGTTTCCGCCCGCTGCTGCCGCTGCTGGTTCCCGGGGCATCGTCCTTCAGTTTCATGGCGATGATTGCCGGGTCGACAAACGGGCGAGGTACCGCCTTGCCCTTGCCGCCGGGCTCAGCCACCGATGGTTGGGGGCGCTGAGGCCTCTGGCTGAGACGGCTGAGCAAAGTCCGGAAGCGGGCGTCATCATCGTGCGACGGATCCGTTGGTGCATGGCGTGCCACTTGTGAACTTGTCACATCCTCGCTTTGCCGTATTATCTCCTGGAGATTAGCCAGGAGAAAGTCGCGGCCCTCGGATGTGGTGGATGGGAGACGAGTCGGGCCGTTGAGGGGTCTCAGTCTTGCCACTGCTATACCAGCGCGTGAAGACTGATTCGCACGCACGGGTGTCACCTCGAAAACAAACTGGTTCGGCAACCTGACGATCTCGTTGTTTACACTCGTGGTCATGTGGTTGACCGCTCGCAGCCTGACTGTCGCCGTTTCAAGGCGCTCCTCGTCACCCGCCGACGACGACGAGGACGAGGAGGAAGAGACCGGGCAGACGGGCGCAGAAACAACGTTCTCCCAGGGAGCGGTCTTTCGGTTGGGGTGACGGTACTGCGGGCCACATGCGGCGGCAGCTGCCGATGAGCTGGAGTCGTTCCTCCTGCGCCAGTCGGTTGACGTAATGGCCGGGGACTGGCCCAGCTTGGTCCGGTTTGGCCTCCTGATGGCAGAAGCAGGGGTGGCACACTCGCCCATCTTGCTCGATCGCGAGTCCAAAGCTCTGAGCGTCGACGGGATGTGGAGAGAGCAAGAAAGTAACAAGTAGACTCCGCGCAAGGGAGGGCAGGAGAGGAAAGAGAGCACCGGAGAGCACAAGAGACCAGCGAGACTCCGGGGTCAGTCTTCTTTTGCTCAGCGACCGACGTGTGCTTGAAGAGCGCAGTAACGATGGGTGCTGTTGGCGTGTGGGTGTGGATTGTTTTGGTCCAAGATCGAATCGCTTCCCTGGACAGTCGTCCGCAAGTCAACGCTTTGGTGTTCGGAACGAAGTCCAAGATGATGAAGTGATGTTAAATGCTCCGAGACAATATGCAGACAGTACCCAAAAAGGCTGGCGGGTGGTTGGGATTGCAACTTTCGCTTGGAGGATCCGTGATGAAGATGAGTGAAGACGGGTGAGGAAGAGAGGAAGAGAGTTCGAGTCTGGCTCTGGCGAGGCTGGAGTCTGGACCCCTGGCGGTATATAATGCGGGCGGAGAAAGGGCGAGGCATCCTCCATCACTCCTCTATACCACAGAAACGGCATGAGCAGTCCACGCATTTTCCACAGTGTGACAAGGACAACCAAATCAAGCCCGTGCGGCGACTGCCAAACAGAATCAATGACGGAAATCGTTGGGCATGGCGACTTCCATGTTATGAGGGCCCACGATCTGTGACGGCAACTTGAATGTCAATGACGTCCACGAGTGGAAGGCGTGTGTGTGCGTGCGTGTATGCCTACGTCCATGGTACTTCACAACCGCCAGCCGCCTCCCACGGCCCGCCGTCCGATACAGCTTCTCAAAAAGGACCAATGAGCACAAAAATCAAACATTGTATGGAAACCCGTAACGTACATTATCAGCGAGCGGGACATATCAGCGAGCGGGACACTCTCCACTACTCTATAACAACTAATCTCAATTGCAATGCAACAACACTAAGAACCAACTACAATTACATCAGAAACAGATGAATCAGACCCTTCTGCACCCTCCTGGCAAGTGCGGGCATTATGACCAGGCTTGCCGCATACACCACAGCACCGAACCTTCGTACGACCCCCCCCAGCACCACTACCATCCAGCTGTGTTTCTTGCATTGCCTCCCCACCTATAGCCCCCTGGCCTACCACCTCCTGTGCCTCCTGCACAGTAAGTGATCCTCCAAGCCGTACACGTGTTTTTTTGGCTCTCCGGCGCTTGCTTAGCGCCTCGTTGGCCTTGCGGAGCGAAGACACCTCTGCCTGAAGGAGGGCCACCTGGTGCATTACAGCCATCGTACCCTTGGTAAGCTGGTCCACAGCAGCCAACATCGAAGTCGGGGAGCTATTTTGATGGTTGGCAATGCGAGTCTTGATGAGCGTTGACTGTGAGTTGGCTTCTCGGGGGTTGTGTGGTGTCTGGAAGACCCAAGATTGTGCAGTGCCTGGCCGTGAGGTTGGGGGTGTTGGTGTACGAAGCTTGATATCTAGCTTCGAAAGTACCCTCTCTGGATTGTACGGCATAAGGCCAGCCCCTGCAAAACCGCCCTGGATATTCCTCTTGGTGATAGAGGCAAAGAAGGCCGCGCGAAAGGTACAAAGGAACTCGAGCTTGCTTATATGGTTGATATGTGCGCGCATTAAGTCCTCGATCTGGCGACCGTACGCCTGCTTCAACGGCCCAAAGCAGCCAACATCAAGTGGCTGGAGGAGGTGGGAGGAATGTGGAGGTATGCAGAGCGTGATAATGTTGTTCTGCTGGCAGTAGAGCTCGAACTCGGTTGAGTGGTGGCTTTCGTGGCCATCGAGGATCAACAACCGGTATTTGCCCTTTGTCCGAGGCGCTGTATGGTAGTCGAAGTGCTTGATCCAATCAAGGCCTACCGCATTGGTAATCCAGCCATTTTCGGTAGTTGCAATGCGCCAGTCGGCTGGGAGGTTGCACTCAGTACACCAGTTGGCGAGGTGGAACTGCGCCGCTAAGATGATGAACGGAGGGATAGCCCAGCCAAGGGCATTGACGCCTTGGATCACCGTCGCCCATTCGCGGTTGCCAGGCTGGGCTAGCTTCGCCTTGCCATAGCCATCCGAGGTTGTAACCACCATGCCCGGGAAGATAATGCCCATTATAAACCCAGTCTCGTCGAAGTTATAGATATCGTCATCTACGATACCGTACTTGGCCTTGACATTCCGTACAAGGGCAAACCACTCGCCAATGACCTTCGGATCCTCGCACTTTGCCCTCTGGTAGTCGTATCTTCGCGAATAACGCGTACGGAGCTCTGGCTGGCGTTTGACAAACCGATGCGCCCAGAGCTTGCCGACAGGGGGCACATCGCGTACGCGTAATAGTTGGTTGGCCATATCTTCTACACCACTCAATCTTGGTGGAAAAGCTCGTATAGATAGCTCAATAATATATTGAACAATAGCCTCCTCTTCAGATTGGGTAAGCTTCTTCGAATTGGCTGGAAGATCGCGTCGTATAGGCCGGCCGGTACGTCGGTAGCCGAGGGTTGAAACTGGCACGTTATAGAGCTTGGCCGCGGCTCGAAGGCTGTTCTATATCATTTTCAAGAGCTTTGAGGGCCAAGGTTACCCTAGCTTCCTTTGAAGTGGAAGACATCTTTAGTTGTAGGAAAAACGCGTTGTTAGAGGTAGATGAGGAAGGACGCGTTGTGCCAAGAAATTAGTGTCCCGCTCGCTGATATGTCCCGCTCGCTGATAATGTACGTTATAGGAGTTCAGATAATTAGAGCCACCTCAAGGGGGAAAGGCTAATGTAGGGTTAGGGTAGTCCCTTATAGTATACTTAGCAGAAAAATCCCATTTTCCGCAACCAGACTTCCGGAGGCAGAATAAACGCCTTATCGTCAACGAGAGGTCTGGAAAAGCTCAACAGTTGGAAAGTTAGGCCTCGTTTGGCAAGAGCAGCTGCCTACGGGTGTTCAAGCCGGAATGAGGCAGTCGCGAGGCGGTCCTCCTACTACTTAAGTTGGTTCAACTGTTTGTGAGATTCCCGGCTTCCAAGATCAAAATAGTAGAATTTCCGAGCTACTTAAAAGTATAACTATAACTCTTTAGTTATAAATTTACCTAACTATATAACTACGGCTTACCAAAATGGCCTGATACCCTAAAGTAGTGACTTATATTGTTCTGTATGTATCTTATATTATTATATAATGTTAAAAGCTTTAGGTGTGTCACCTTTCCTCCATCTATGCTTCCTGCTCATTGGAATGTCAAGTTGATAACCATAGCTGTGACGAAACCACAGGCAGTCCTGCCTCTGAAAGGGTTCGCCGGTCGAAGGTATCTGCTGGTCGGACTGTAGGTCTCGGTGAAGCCAAAAGGTTCACAACAATGCTGTTCGCAGTGTCTGCACAATAGGTAGAGGCTATTGCTTGTAATTGCTCACTGAGGAAGCTAGCTATCTGAATGAGTGGCAGAATGGTAGAACTATATACAGCTTCCTCCCCTAGGTATCCCGTACCTAGATCTCTGGAACAACGTTCCTTGGCGTTGTTCCCTAGGAACAATCGTTCTTGGCATTGTTCCTGATCTCCCCAATCCTCATTGGTCCTTTCTGACTTCGTAATGATTGGACACGGGCGCCGCCCGTCGACCATGCAGGTCGGCCCCCACCGGCCTCTGCAGGTTAGTTCATGACAATAGCCGAGATAGTTGTGCGTCCATGTTCTCAACACCGTGGGTGAATATCACGCTCATACCATGCAAGAATTCACTTCACCCGCTACAGAATCGGCAATTCATCAACAGTCCTCCAGATTCAATATATACGAGATATCCGGGTTCATCAAAGCAACTACACTTCATTGACCAACGCTTAAAATACATACCTAAAAGACCGACAACCAATTCTCTCCCCGTCATCACTCGTCACATCCCACGGATTTTGGGTCCTGCAGCCTACGGAGCCGCTTGCTGCCCAGCCATAAATGCCATGAATGATTTCTGTGGAATTGTCAATCCATATGCTCGCCATAGAATAAACCCCTGCAAATAAGCCACATACCGCATTCCGGGTCTGGATAAAGACAGTACCCGGTCCAGTGAACTTGCACACCAGGCCTTCACCGGATGCAAGGCCCGAGATGAGGCCGCCGGAAGCGACCCGCTCCATGACATACTTGGTGTTCCAGGCGACGAGATGCCCGTTGTCGACAATGTACTTTTCGCCGTCCGCGAGCTGAGAAGCCAAGTCAGTCCGTTGCCTTGAGTCTGACTTGGAAGTCACACAGCAGAGTAGAACTTACATCCTTCCGGATGATAGCCCCAAAGCTGGTCAGCCACACCAGCCCGGTGCCCGTGATCTTGTACACCCACAGCCCCTCGCCGCTGAACATGGCCTTGCCCAGGCCCTGGCGCTTGTAGTCCTTGATCACGTTCTGCGTGGAAGCGAGATAGCCGTCGTGACTGACCGACCAGGCCTCGTTGCCCGTGAGGCGTAAGCTGGTGATATCGCCCAGCATGGGCGGCGCCAGGAGGAGCTCGCCGGGGCCGGTGTAGGTGGAGGTGCTCATATCGCCGCCGGCGACGAGCTTCTTCATGCTGAACTTGATGTTGCCCTTGAGTACGATGGATGGGGACATGGCGATCATGGCACCTGGTATAGCAAGTGTCAGTCCCAGGGCTTGCAGGTCGGAGCCAAGTCCGAGCGGAGGGACCTACCAGGCCTGGCTTGCAGAGGACACCCGATGGCTAGCTGGATTGTCAAGACAGTGTTGCAGTCACGGTGGCTGATCCGGTAGCTTCCGCCGTTGAATGTGCCGACATCGTCTACTACCGCCGAGGCGCCCACGAACTGACCAGCAGCAGGAGCCCCCATCAACGCGCCCGCGGTACCGGTAGGGTCAATTACGGGGGCTTGCGCCTCCTGTTGCTGCTGCTGCTGCTGCTGCTGCTGCTTCTCCACAGGGTATGCACCATTACCTTCCTCCGAGGGGTACGTTGGAGGCGGAGCGAACTGTGGTGTGTTCTGGGACGAAGTCTGCGACACAGTCGACGGGGTCCGTAAGTGCTGAGGCAACGCACCGTGTTGAAGGGGAGTGGGAGATTGGGAGGCTTGGGGCGGTGCTGCGTATTGTTGCTGCGGAGGAGGAGCGTATTGTTGTTGTTGGGGCGGCGGCGCATACTGTTGCTGCTGCTGCTGCTGCTGCTGCTGTGGAGGAAGCGGGTATGAAGGCGTTGACCGCCCTGGTGGTGGAGTAGGAGTCGAACCGGCCTGAGGCGGAGGAGGATAGTTCCTTGGCTGGGAACTCGCTGCTGGAGGAGACGGATACGAGAACGAGGTCTGTGTAGGCGGCGCCGACATGGGAGGAGGCGGATAGTTGTGCTGCGCTGATTGGAATGCGGCTATCAGATCAACGTTCTCCAAGTCCTCATCTCACTGTTGACCATCGACATACCTGCAGAGGCTGCGCCTCCGGCTCCAGGGGGTGCTGAGAAGGGAGGTCAGCTTCAGGCTTAGGGATTTCAATTGCCCGTTCAGCCACTCACGAGGATAGTAGTTTGACATCTTGCGCGCTCGAAAAAGTCTGGATTGTATACAGTGCAACTGTGCGCTCCGGGTATGCTCTATTGGCGGTCGTAAGCAACTGTGTCGGCGCGTCGATTAACACCCCGCACTCGCACCTACCAAGCTAGTACCCCTCGCTGGCAGACTCGTGCGATACTACTACGATTAGGGGTGGAGGCGACGAGAAAGGGCGAAGCATGTAAGAAGGCAGCTTCTGTAGGACACTAAAAGAAAAGAAGCAGAATCTCGAGGAGCAGAGAACTTGCTGCGCGTTCTGCACCACCTTTTGAGGCCAGGGACCAGCGTGCGCTGCGGAAGGGGCGTTGCTAAATCGGGTTGCTGGACTGCATGGCGATCCAATCAACGAGCTTCTGCCAGAATGGAGACGCGCGGAGACCTGGCCGACGAGGGCGCTTAGCACAGGAGAGCGGGAGGTCGCCAGGTTAGCGATTGGCTGGCCAAGCCAGCGTACTGCGTAGAATTCATTTCAATAGAGCGTAGGACAAGAGCAGGACATGGACGGACGACTCGAGATAACCAAGCCAAGGTAGAGGGGGTTTCCGTCGTAAGAGAACACCGGGTGCCGCAATGCCAATAACTACTCGTCCTCTACGCAGTGATGGCAGTTCATGGAGGCGCCAGTGTGAGTCAAACACACTCATTTACCGGTAAGTGAAGTGGAATCTCCTCGGCGACGATCATGTTCTTCTCATCGGTGCCGTCACGGAACGGAGTTGAGCTGCAGAAACTTTGTGGGGAATGGGAATCTCCAGGGTCCAGACTCCAACAAAAGCTGCCAGCTGAGCATCACCTGCGAACCGTTGGTCCCGTGCCGGCTCTTACCGGCTCAGACACAGACCCGATGTACGGACAACGGCCCTGAGTTTCTCCGAGAATGGCCTGATTGCCCAATTGGAGCTGTACAAGCCCCTGCCGGCCGGAACGATTGCATCACCGGTTTTGCATGGAGCTTCGGGAGCTCGGAACGTCATGAAAAAAATACCTACCTAACGTACCTGGAGGCATTCCAGCAAAAGCCGCATCAGCTCACTAGGGGAGAACAAATCCACATCGCAGCGACATTGCCCCTTATACATTTGCAGCAAACGGCCGCAAAGGGTATCAGACAAGCACCAACTTGCTGGCCAACTGTCGCGAATTCCCCGTACTCCGGAAATCATTCTCGGCGCATAAGCTTCGGCGTTAAGCAGGCGTTGGAGGACCTGGCCTCCCGTCAGCCTTCCCGGGCCTGTTTGCGCTCTCAGGTGTCCCAAGGTCAACATCCGCTACGATGCTACGAAGTGCGCTTGGGGCTATCGATGCCCTTATTGGAGCGGGCGTGACTCCGGGGAAGATCGCAAGACAGGCTGTTGGAAACAGAGGATGGATGGGGAAGATGTCTGCGACGGGCCCAGTTGTACGTGTACCATGGCAACAGAGAGCGTTCATGTCACAGCTCAGAACAACAAGGCCTACTTTCGCTCGCTCGAGGTTTGGGCGGCCTAGGTCACCGTTTCTTATTAGGCCGAGGCGCCCTTTCCATTCATCACGGCCGAAGCGAGCGGATGCGGCGGACAAGACCGGGAATGCGTCTGGGGAGCCGTTGTCGGTTAGCGCGAGGATGAAGAAGCTGTCGAGGGAATATGGGTGGTCTGCGGTGGGAGTATACCTAGCATTGTCGGTCCTCGACTTCCCGTTCTGCTTCTTGCTCGTGCGGACCGTTGGCACCGAGAAGATTGGTGAGTTGTCTCTTTAGCCTGACTGAACCATTGCTGACAGGCACTGTTTGCACCATTAGCACACATCGAGCACGTCGTCGTTTCGAACGTCAAGAAGATCATTCCCGACAGCGTCGAGACGTGGTGGCGCGAATACCGCCAAGCGCTCGGGGAGGCAAAGCGGGAGCGCATGGGCGAGACTGGCGAGACCGATGTCATCTACCACGGGGTCGAGGAGGCCGAGAAGAGGAGCTCGCAAGAGGGAGCTAGTGAGTACCGCAAAAACCACTGACCCTGCGAAAAGCTGACCTGGTCTTGTCCATTCAGGCTTAGCCACGCAACTAGCGCTCGCCTATGCCATTCACAAGAGCTTCATCTTTCTCCGCGTTCCGCTGACGGCTGCTGTCACGCCTAAGGTAGTCAAGGTGCTCAGATCCTGGGGCTGGGAAATTGGAAAGAGGAGAGTGAAAAGCCCAGTGAAGAATTAGAGCAAGGACCTCCGTGTGGGTCATTCCACACCAGCCGTGTCGACGGTGAGCAGGGGAGTGAGTGTCTTTGGGTAGCGGCGTTAAGTGAGCGGTAACTGCATGAGCGCATGGACTAGCATCTCCCATTAGACTGTAACATCACCTTGTACCAGATACCGAAATACATTTAATGCTGACGGTCAAGCTACAGACAGTGACTCTGTGACTCCACAAGTATTACTGAGAGCCTTGTGGTCGTCGAAACCCTGCTGCAGTGCCGGTGTGAGAGCCGTGTGGGTCCCGTCGCCCGGAGCATCCTCCGCTCAGCGAGGGCAGGTGTTGACCCGTATGATTTAATAAAGCTCAGAGCTTCCATCCTTATTCGAAATCAGTTTCGGAAATAAAAACATATCAAGATGACTTTGGCAATACTGGTTACCTAACCACACCTGCATGCGAAAGCCTGACCGTGCATGTATTTCTAGGGAGAAGATGGCCAGATCTGGAAGCTCTCTGGCTGGCGCGCACCACCTGCCAAGCTTGGATAAACGGTCAATAGCCGACACATGCAGTCCTACGCTGTACATATATCTACTTATCAAGGCAGTGCATCTCTATCGAACAACCGGGACCATGGCACCATAACCCCGCCGATCCGCTCGTTTGAGTAGGGCACCTAGCAGCGACCTGGACTGCCCAGCAGCGTCTTTGGTCGCTTCAAGCTCCTCCATGGGCCCGTTGCGTCGTGACTCCAACGGTTGATCTTGGAAGTTTAACCACAGGATTGACGCTCGATTGTACTCCCCATCGGCCGCGCTTCAGCCCAATGACCATGGCTTCTTTCACTCTCGAGAAAGCTGCCATACTCTCGGTCGAGAACCAAGAATCTTTGGGACCGTCGCAGAGGACAACCCAGAGGCGCCGCATCCTCCAGGGGCTGGTCGCTCTGGTCATTCTATCCTTCTTGTCCTTCTTGATTATTGCGACAGCGTTCAGTGGATGCTCAGCACCGACCTTCTCACTCCGAACTCATGGGATCTTCCAAGTCAACCCAGCCGAGCACAACCTCAGATCCCAAACAATCAACAGCCGGTCACCGGCCCTCGATCTTCGGAATGCGGATGCGGCTACCAGCACCACATCGACCGCGGCAGCCGAGCGGACGGTCCTTAAGACCTTCGAGGTCGACCAGCCAGTTCTGATGCCCGACGGCCCTGCAGAAAGCGATGGGTCAACTCGCTCCGGCAAGGACTACTCGCCCGAACTGTGTACCGTCTTGTTGATGCGCCACGACTTCGCCTGGAGTTATGGCGTCCCCTTCGTTGGTAAGCCGGGCAACCTATCTGGATTGCCGTATCTTCTGATTTATGTGATCCCTGACGTATACCCGGGTTTCTCGGTCAGGGGACTACTCCCCGCCTGATTGTAAATTCAACCGAGTGGTGCTCAACTTCAGCGTCGTAAGCGAGGGGCGCCAGTACGACCGATTGGCGATTATGTACTTTGGTGACACTGAAGTTTGTAAGTACTGGGGCCTATCCACAAAAGCACCTCTGCGAACGTCGAACACATGGGGCTGACTGTTGTGTATAGGGAGGACCTCAACAGCGGAACCGACGGCTCATCCGGGGATCAGTTGGATCTATCTCAAGGATATGACACAGTACCTTTACTTCTGGAGGTCTCCGCAGAAGATCATCTTCGATCTTGGTAACTTGATCAGTGCGTCGCCACTACGCCCCGTGCCTCATACCTTAATGATGGCCAGTCCGGTGCTTACCTTTCCTAGATGACAAGTACACCGGCATCTTCAACACCACCATGACAGCCATCTTCTTCCACAGCGACATAGAGACCGATCAGGCACCCCCAAGCGACTTGATCATTCCCATATCAGCGCGCCAAGGGGCCAACAACTCCGTCAGCCAGTTCACCCTGCCAACGCAGAACGCCACAAACACCATCAGCTTCCCGCGGAACGCCCGCCGTGCAATCTTCTCCGTCTCCGCAAACGGGCAAGCCAGCGAGGAATTCTGGTGGAGCAACGTCCCCGAAACCGACGTCTCAACCTTCAGCGCCACGGCGGGAGAACTGCCCGGTCTAAGTCCCTTCCGCGAGGTTCAAGTGCTGATCGACGGCCAGCTCGCCGGAGTTCAATGGCCGTTCCCCGTCATCTTCACGGGCGGCGTCGTCCCCTCGCTGCACCGTCCCATCGTGGGTATCGAGGCGTTCGACCTCAGAGAGCACGAGATCGACATCACGCCCTTCCTTCCGCTGCTCTGCGACGGCAAACAACACACCTTCACCATCCGTGTCGCGGGCTTAAACGGTACGGGAAAAGCTGGATCGACTTCTCTCACCGAGACGGTCAACGAGAGCTGGTACGTCACGGGCAAGATCTTTGTCTGGCTCGACGACCCATCCTCCATCACCATAGGCGAGCCCCCCAGTATCCTCGACGACCCACCCGCCATCCACACCCGACGCTCCCTCACCAGGGCTGCCAACGGCACGAACCAAACCCTGAACTACATCACGCGTGTCTCGCGCAGCTTCAAGATCACCAGCCGCAACATCCGATCTCAGCACCAATCCGCCCCGGTCACCTGGACCCAGGACCTCACCTACGTCAACAACGGGCTCGTCTCGGCCTTCGGCTACAGCCAGCTCAACGACGTGCGCATCGCAGGCGAGGACCAATCCCTTCTCCCGGACTCCCGCTACCTTGCGCGCTACAGCTACCCGCTCTTCGCGAACCAGTCCTACGCGGTCTCGCCGCAGGGCAATCTCTCCATCTGGGCGCACGTCAAGCAGGGCAAGGAAGTTGCCGTCTCGGGCGCGAGCGTCTTCCCTTCCGGGCTGGAGGCCTTTGCTGGGAGGAAGAGTGAGAAGGGGCAGACGGCGATGCTGAGGACCACCAAAGAGGGCACGGCCGAGTTCAGGCAGACTGGGGACGGGACGCAGAGTACGGGATGGGGCGACGCAAGTCAGGTGTTTTGGTTTGGCACGGGTAAGGGACGGCCAGGCTTGGATCAGCTTGGCGGAGCCGAGGAGTTGTATTATAGGAGCGTGAAAGCTGTCAATGGGTCGGTGGTGGAGGATGTGAAGAGGATGGAGGGCCGCGATGAGCAGGGGGCGGTGGGTGGTACTAGTAGTACTAGTGGTGGGGATGGCAAGGGGACGGACGGGATCGTCTCGTATGTGGAGTGGTAAGGCCGTTTCGAAAGCCACTTGAAGTGTTTGAACCTGCCAGCCGCCCACGTGGAGGCTGGGCGCTTGACTTAAAAGTATCCAAGGCACCCCCATAACTGCAAGTGCTTTCTGTTTCGGAAAACTCGGCTGCTTCAGACCTTACATGTAGGTACCTCAGTAGGCCGTGCAGGCTCAGATATCGAAGCTGGCTCAATGCTGGGCAGTTGGTATGTATCGGACAGGAACAGCCTCGAGGCCCTTGGTTGCCGGGCCAGCTCGTGTGGGTCAGCACTGCAGCGGGTGGGCGGATCGCCGTTGTGGGACCAGGGTCCCGCAGCCAAACGATTGGCGTCGGGGGTGCAGCGGCAGATCAAGGAGATTCGCATGTGCCACACTGCTCCCCAGTCAACCGCCAGCCCACGGGAATTGTCTGGCAACAGTGTCACAATTGTTTCTCTGGATTTGTTGTTTACAGATCATGGACCGTAAGCACAACTTCGTTGGATAGCACATAACAAAGATCGCGGCAGTTGGGAAACCCGGCCTTGGCTGCATAGGAAGCTGACCAATCGGATAGCCGATCTTTGCGGACAATGAGAAGCTTGGCTCTTCCTGGCCCCACGGCTTCCGTCATTGCCCCACCTTTGCATTTGTGCATAGGGCGATTCGATGATGCTCCCTGCCAACCGCCTTCTTTCTCGTGCGGTTGCTACGACCCGGTGGTCATCAAATGTGTGATTCAAAGTAGAAAGGCTGGGAGGTCCCCACGCAACTTTCTGAGACTTTGCTTGTTCCTATTCCTGGCCATCATACCTCATAGAACCAATTTAACAAAACGACTTTGCCGACCTCACACCCTACCCAGGTGCACAGCGCACTCACGTAGTAAACATACATTGATTTGACTTGCTCTGTCATTTTCAAGATCGACAAAGTTCTGAAAACCGTGCTCCCGAGTCCTCTTCGCTTGGCCTTACAAACCCTGCGATTCCCCGAAGTGTTTCGCCTAGCATCGTCGATTACCCCTGGAAGTCAACAATAGAGCAACCAACTTTCGGCTCCCCACCGATCATAATGGAGAAAATACAGCTACTCCTCCGAGCACTCCAGCTCCTCTTCATCATCATTCTCACCGGCCTGATCGGCCACGTCATCGCCAGCAACATCCATGCTGCCTCGTCCGCTACCGCCGCCATCAACTTCTCCATGTTTGTCATCGTCCTCTCATGGCTTGCCGCTCTGCTCGGGCTGGTGGCTGGCATGGTCCAGCGTATCACGCTGCCCCTGATTGCCCTCCTCGGCGCCGACCTCCTCGCTACGCTCTTTACCTTGATCGACGCCATCGTGCTGGCAGCCAAGCTGAAAGCCGTCAACTGCGCCAACACGGGCGGCCATTCGGCGAGTTGGATCGCCTACGGCAGCGCGAACGATACCAGGCGATGCCGCGAGGTGCAGGCTTCGACCGTGTTTATGTGGTTCCTCTTCGCGACATTCGCCGCAGCGCTGGTGCTGAGCTTCCTGGGCTTCCGGCGCGGCGGTGGTAGTATCAGGTCGGGACCGACCATGTCTCAGGTTAGGGTATGAGTCTGGCTGGTTGACCAATTCGAACAAATCTCGGGCTATGGATATGGACAGTTGGGGTATTAGGGGAAAGGCGCTTGTGCTATGACTATGAAGGACACGGTACTAAAGTAATATGGATAGGGTGATTGATACCTGGGTGGGATGTATATGATGGATTATGAGTTTTACGGTATCTAATGATGGGGGCACACGACACGACTGAAGAAAAGGACATTCACTTAGGACATGACTGGGGGAAGCATGGTGCTTGGGCGTTGGACTGAGTATCGGGAAGATAACCGGGATTTGTAGGATTAGGATAGCAAATGACACCGTTGGTGCCAGAGCTTCTACCTTGGTATTGCCATCAGTCTTTCCCGAAGGGTCAGGATCGCCAGTAATATGCGTCGCTGCTATCATTTCGATTCAATGGCCAACCAACGGGCCATCTACCCATCGCGGAAGACCAGATTCTTCCATGTGCATTCCCAAATTCCGTAACGCCGTGAAAACCAGAGGACGCCCATACCACACAGGCTCTAGACAGTATGTACTCATGGCTCTTCCCAGCCTGTAAACCCCCCTAGTCATAATGACACCGCGGCCTCGGCCGCACCAGCGGCATTGAATACCCGTTTGTTCGTCCACCTGATCTCAACGTTGTGCATCCACTCCATGTACCTTGCCCAGCCTGCAGAATACCCAGCGGTCAGCAACGTGCTCTTCCTCGAGGAAAGGCAACTCATTTGCCGACAGACTCACTCCAATAAGCAAACTTGCGCCCCATGAACTTCCCCACGAACGGCATAATGATCATGGTCAGCAGAAGCTGCAGCTGCTCCAGGCTGGCTTCCCATTCCTTCTGCGCGTCGGAGGACGAGGCTTCGGAATCAAGGATGCTGCTAGAGATGGATGGCAGGGAGTCGACGTCATCTCGGTCGGAGGATGAGGAGGGGACGTCCGGAATGATGAACGACGAGGACGCAGACGAGCTCGTCATACTTGACGAGGACATACTCGACATGATGGTATGACGGTATGCTGCACCTCCAAGTTCAGGGGTGCAAGCGGTTGGCTATGAGGTCGACCGGCTTTGGATGAGGCCCTCGAAGGGAGAATGGGCGAGCTACGATTAATCGGGCGCCGGCGTCGACTTCCAGCGCGGACAAAAAGCCACCAAAATTCCGAGTCGGAGCTTGCTGTTTGACGGATGGACCAGTTGGGTTACGTTCGGTAGCGGAGGTTGTTGCTTCCTCGAGCTCGATCCGGATGCGATGCCGAGTTGCGGCGCGGTGGGGTCCCGGAATCTGCCAGTCGTTGCCAGACCGACAAAATCCCGCTTGTCAGGTGATCAAGGGCCCTGACTCACGATGGGCGGCCAACGTCATGAACATGAGCGAAACCTCAAGGCGCCAAGTCAGTAACAAACAAACTTCGCGTCTGCACAAATATCTCCTGTCCCGGCACCGAGAACAGAAACACGTTTCCTGAAACGAGTTAACCGCCGGACTTATCGTCAGTTGCTAATCAGTCAATCAACCGGACAACAATACACCTCGAAGTCAGCAACTCAAAGGCGGTGGAGAACGCCACTTTCGAAGCGCAAGGGTGGCCAAAGATGAGCACTGAAGTAAGTTTTGTGCTCGAGCCCTCCAGTCTCCCCCTCACCAAAACCGGCATCCCTCTTGCACTGATTCACTGCCCCTCCAACGGTTTCCTCATCACCTCGCCCCGTGCGTGTGTTTGTTGAGTTCATTCACCAAACCTAAGAAAACCCCCACGTGCGCGTTTTCTTTGTTGTCCTCCGCAATTGTCGGTTATCGGCACCCAAAATCTCGTTTCAAACCGGGCCGAGCCAACATTAACTCGTGCAGGAACCCACACTCCAGAGGCGGGCGTCACGCAAGTCGGTTGCGTTTACAGAAGAGAAGCTAGTTGTGGACGCCGACGGCAGCGTAACCGTGATGGCTACGCCGAACGACGATACCAAAGACACGGCGGTGTCGCACACCCCTCGTACGCCGCCTCTCGCCGCCGCTCTTCGGGCCTCTACTGACGCCTCTCAAGCACCTGCAGACGGCACGGCGGCAGACGGTGCCGATGCGAATCCTGATGGACTTGACCTGTCGCTCATGAAAAAGAAGAAGAAGAAGGTCAAGAAGGAGGATGGCGAGAGTGGCGATGGTGCGGCCGCGGCCGGTGGCGAGGAGGCGATCGACCTCTCGATGAAGAAGAAAAAGAAGAAGAAGGTGGTCAAGGAGGAGGATGAGTTTGCCAAGAAGCTTGAGGCGCTGAATCTCGAGGGCGGAGAGAGCGCCGAGGCTCCTGCTGAGGGGGACGTGCAAGACGGCGACATGGAGAAGGGCACGGGAATCTGGGCGCATGACGAGACACGGACCATCAGCTACAACCCGCTCCTTTCCCGGTTCTTCACCCTGCTGGCGCAGAAGAACCCCGACCACGCCTCGACGGGCACCCGCTCCTACAAGATCCCGCCTCCGCAGTGTCTCCGTGAAGGCAACAAGAAGACCATCTTCGCCAATTTGCCCGAGATCTGCAAGCGTATGAAGAGAGCCGACGAGCACGTCACGGCCTACCTGTTTGCCGAGTTGGGTACCAGCGGTAGCGTGGACGGCAGCAGGCGGTTGGTCATCAAGGGTCGGTTCCAGCAGAAGCAGATCGAGAATGTCCTGCGCACGTACATCATAGGTATGCAGCCCCCGGCCATCTCACTCAGCACATTTTAGGTTAGTACTAACTGGCCGCCCAGAATACGTGACATGCAAGACTTGCCGCTCGCCCAACACGGAACTGTCCAAGGGCGAGAACCGACTTTACTTCATCACTTGCAACTCCTGCGGCTCGCGCCGTTCCGTCCAGGCCATCAAGACTGGTTTCTCTGCCCAGGTCGGCAAGAGAAGAAAGATGCAGCAGGGTTAAGCTATCGTATTTTAATGCCATTCCTCCCTTGTGTCTTGTGTCGGTTTTCTGGTGGTTCCTGTCTGCTCTGCCAGAGAATGGGTTCGACGGCATGTTGGTTTGTGGACAGTCTCTGCAGACTTCCAGCTCTCGGTGGCAGGCCCTGGGACACGATGGCGTGACGATGTGACGACGGGGCTCATGGGATCTAGAGGGAGTAACCGGTTATCTGGCATGCTGCAGAGCGGCCGGGCATGGGTTCATTTGACATGGTGTGCATTCGGTAACTGGAAAAGAGGGATGCCCGTCTCTCTGGCTTGCGCCGGCCGAGAGGATGATAAATACATGCTGTATCTATAGTTTCCGAATCCCGACAAGATTGTACCTTCGGCACAGATTGGCACTCATAGAAAATGAAAAAGGTGGTTTGCGTCTCATATGCCTTTGTTTACTGTGTGCTCTGTTCAGCGATGCACTACTATGTATTAAGCTCAGGTGGGGTGCTCAGTCAGTCGGGAACCACCCAATCTTGCTTGGACTCATTGGGCCTGTGAATGGATATCTCTCCCCCTCTTCACCTCACCACCCACCATCCTTGTCTCACACATTAAGAAATATAAGCTCACCAACCTCACAAAACACACAAGCATAACCGCAAACAAGAGAAAAATATGACAATCCGTAAAGTAACCGACACCGAAGAAGGAGCATACACCGAAGGCACAGTCACGCTTCCTCCCGCAGGCCTCCCCTCTCGCAAGCCAACCCAGTCCTACTGGCTCCGTGAGCCGTCCCCCGTCTTGCTCGGCCATCGGACAACCGATGCATTGCCCGAGACCGCTGACGTTGTCGTTGTCGGAAGCGGCATCACGGGGGCGTTTGCTGCCAAGTTCCTGAAGGAGGGCTTCCCCGTCGTCCCCGGCCCCGGCCAAGGTGAAGAAGAAGAGGAAGATGGTGATGAGAAGAGGCTGGGACAGGAACGGACGGTGGTGATGCTGGAGGCTAGGGAGGCTTGCTCTGGTGCAACGGGCAGGGTAAGTCTTGTTGTTGTCTCCCTGGGAATTTTGCATTGTTTTCCATGCTCGATATGGCTGGTGGTGAGACTACTAGCCTGAGGTACTTTAGGTTGTGATTACTGATAAGAGGAGAGAGGCGTAGAATGGAGGGCACTGTCAGCCCCTTGTGTATGGGTCGGTGCCGGAGGTAGCTGCCTTTGAGCTGGAGGTATTTGAGTTCATGGAGAGGTTTGTGAGGGAGGAGGGAGTGGATTGCGATTGGTAGGTTCCTTCTCGCTCTTTTGCCGTTCATTCTTGGGCCCGCTGTTTGGGCATTGAAGGGCTACAATACTATGGTACAGTGCAGATGTTGACTGTAGTACCTAGGGTGAGCCTCACCGGCGTCCATGCCTTCCTCTCCGAAAACATGTTTGAGCTGGCCGCAGCAGAAGCCGAGCAGCTCCAACAGAGCCATCCCGAACTAGCTGCCCAGCTTGAGGTAGTCCGAGCCTCAGAATCCTCCTCCGCCGTCACAGACCAGAACGACACACTGGCCTCCCTCCGCGTCCCCTCCGCCAAGGGCGCCATCATCCAGAAAAAGGCGGCATCCCTCTGGCCCTACAAGCTCGTTGCCTGCATCCTCGAGCGTCTCATCTCCAAGTTCCCAGCGCCGGGCTTCAACCTCCAGACCAACACGCCAGTCACATCCATCTGCCGCCACGAAAGCGGCACCGGCTGGACCCTGCACACGCCGCGGGGGAACATCATCGCCCGCCAGGTCCTGCTGGCCACCAACGGGTACACCTCTCACCTTTTGCCCGCCTTCTCGGACTTGATCGTCCCCGTGCGAGGACAGATCGGCGCTTTGCTACCGCCCCGAGCGGACGACCGCGGTGCTGATGCTGTCGAGGAATCCAGCCAGCCCCCAGCAAAATTGGCCCATTCATACGTCTTCGCTGCGGACCCGGAGCCCGGTTCCGATACCCCCGCGCCGAGGGACGACTACCTCGCCCAACGCCCGCTCCCGGCGGGGGAGCTGATCTACGGTGGGGGTAAACGCTTCGCCCGGAGCCTCGGAGTGGGTGAGTGGCGGGACGATGAAGTGGAGGAAGATGTGGCCGCGTATCTGAGGTCGAACCTCTCGCCGCCCTTGGACCTGAAGCCAGAATCAGATGTTGAAAAACGTGGGCCGGAACTGCCAGGCGGTTGTGGATTGGAAGCGTCCTTCGAGTGGACGGGCGTTATGGGATACAGCAGGGACCATCATGCTTGGGTCGGGCCGGTGCCAGAGAGCTTGGGCGGCGGCGGGCCGGGAGGGGGACTCTGGATTTGTGCTGGGTATACGGGGCATGGCATGCCCGCTGCGGCACTCTCCGCGAGGGAGGTGGTGAGGCAGATGATGGGTGGTCGAGTGGCGGCGGAGGAGAAGGCTGGTGCGAGGCTTCCGCAGGAGTTCGTGTTGAACGAGGAGCGGGTGGCAAGGGCGAGGGGATTGCCTCATCTAACTCAGGGGTGGGAGGCCACTAACTTGGCCTCGCTGATCACTGGCGCAGGACTCCTCGCCAGTGGAAAGGGAATGTGAAGGGGTGAGTTGGATACCGGTTTGAGCATGTCGAAGAGCAAATCTTGGGATACCGACTAGATCAAATGAAACATGAAACAACAAGCGTTCGTCTTATTTGCTATTTTCACTGAGCAGATCGTTCACCGATTGAGTGGAGAGAATGGAGGTCGTCGGCGAGGAAAAGCTTCTGGCACAAACGAGCCACATCCGGAAGGGGAGGTGGCTCCGGAACTATGGAAATTCATAAAGGAGGGAGGGTATAGCGTTGCTTGACTTGGTATGAAGCACCGACTACTAATTTCACACAAGGCGCCGGAAGGTAGATATCTACCGAGATGGAGGCTGTGGTTTCGAACTCAACCAAAAAGGGACAAGAGGTCAAGTGTAGTAGTTTTAGGAAAATACCTATTTATCTCCCGAGAATAGGGGATTCAAGGGCGCTCTGTGTTACTATTCTAGGGAGAATACCGGAGCTCTGACTCCCAAGAAAGCAAGGGTCTTCTCAGGTTGACGGAAGGCAGCTGGTTGCAGAAAGGAATGCGTCAAGACGGTTTAGGAGAAGGCCATGCATCAATTCTCTTCGGATATTGGTCTAAGCCTCCATGGAGAGGTGGTTAGTACATAAGGTAGGTGGTCCGGCATGTTGGCAGTTTCAAGTTGTTGGAGCCCGGTGATCAGGCCAAATATGACATGATGCCGAGGGACAGTTTCCGGTACCTCAGTGTGCTTGTCAATCCTCAATAGACGTGTTCCTGGGACGTATCTGGGTGGTTGTTGGCTGGTAAAAGGAACTTGAAGCCGGTCCAGACTGAGCAGCAGCAACATGATCCACGTACCGACTTGGTGGGCGAAAGGAGCCAGGACGTGAAAACACCGATGGTGTGATTACAATAGGGATCCCGTCTTCGGAGGCGCAGAGGTCACTCGTGGCATCTGCCGACTGCGTCGATTTTGTGGTGTGGTGCATATGCTGAATCCTTCCATGCACCCTCACGCTTTCATCCGTGCTGGCGTGCAGAGCTGCATTCCTCATCCGTCCTTGTCGTTCTACTCTTCCTATCCTTGCCCCAACCCCTACGCACTTCCTCTTGCGTCATGTTGCCACTCTTTTTCTGACATCACACTGCTCGTCGTTCTTGTGAGATTGTTCAGCAGACCAACAACCATTGGGCCAGCCAGGCACTGGTGCTAGGGGCTTGTTAACTTCTACTTTGCTTCAACATTGAGTAACTGCAACGCTTGAATTATGACTTGTGAGGAAACAGGTACCTAAGGATAAGGAGCTGCTTCGCTCCCAGATGCAGCCAGCGTGGTCTAAGTCTCGAGGCCTGCCATAAATGCCTTCGGAAGGTCAAACGCTCACTGGTGACGGCTGCCTGAACTTTCACCTAGTGAGCTGGTTGCACTCTCTGATCCTCCAAGGAGCTTGTTTGTCTCCGAATGCATGGGCCATCTCCAGGCTGCTCTTTGCTCGTTGGATGGTGCTGTCGAAGTTGCAACAACGCCGCCAGGGGGTTGCCGCATAGGCAGCACCTTTCGCAAATTTACGATTATTGATCAGACACGTCTCTCTCAGCTTGCAAAGTTCGTCAGCGCTGATCATGGTAGAAGGGAGTACTTTCCATGTTGCCCTTCCGTCTGTTTGGAGGAGAGACACTGAGACTATCAGGCAGAGAGCGATCCGAATGTCTTCAACAGGACCTAGCATGATCTCCCTATAACACAAACTGAATCCTTGAAGGCCAAACAATTCCCTCCAGGGGATATAACGTATCTCGGTGGTCCTTGCGGCTTATGCCCCGCTCAGGAGCGTAGCGTGCTCGGACTCGGGATCCGAAGGATTTGCGGTTGCCTGTGAAAGTCCCATAATAGTAGGCACCAGAATATGATATAGATACGATGCACGAGTCCGATACAAATCTCGTCGTCGTTTGTTCGCGGTTAACCAAACAGCCGCATCGATGAGCGAGAAGACGATACAAACGGACAAGTTGAAGGAGGAAGGGGAAGGGGAAAGGCATGGAGGGAGGCAGGAAGCGGGAAGCTGCTGAGGGAAGGAACGACCTCGAATTGCCAAGCGCTATGAGAGAAGTGGCTTCAGCGGGTTCTTGGCTCCGGTCAGGGGGCCTCTTCCGCTAAAGAGCCGCTACACCCCGCCATTCCGCAGCGGCCCGCTCGGGCCATACACGCCAGACAATGACCGACGATCGACTCCCCGAGATCCGAGTAGTAACCATGGAAACATCCATTGAGGTCGTCATCTCACAACATCACTAGCACCCGAACGTAACGTGGTGGATCAATCACAGCCGACACAACTACCGGACCTCTCCATTCCGAGGAATTTGAAAACATAACCGACTACAGGAAGCCGAGCACAGGGCAGGAAGGTTACTACGACAACACGATGGCCCCGCTTACTGATGAAGAATGGGCCGACGTTGTCTCCCATGAGCTCCCGAAGACGTCTGACCCGGTCATCCAGAAGTTTCTCCAAAGCCGCAACGCTCTGATTGCCGAAGAACAGAAGCACCGCAGCGGTAGCTTATCCCTCATTTTGCTCGACCCGCTGTCGCACGTGGCTTTGAACCCCGTTCTCGGACAGATGACCACTAATCATCGCGGGTAGACTATTCCTTCCGCCAGGCCCTGTCACCCATCTCTAAGAAGGCCTGCGACATTGTCTCCAGGATTTGCCGCGAGGAGAGGGGAACAAACAATGCAACCGTGCCAAGGGCGACTACCAAGTCATGGCAAATCATTCGACGCATGCCCAAGGGGGCGCTGCTCCGTGCCCATTGTCACGCTCTTGTCGACATCGACCACCTCATCGACGCCACTATGGGCACTGCAGGCATGCACATCTCCTGCACCGACGGACATCTTGCCACCGAGGCGACCAGGAAAGAAGGGTGTATCCGCATCCAATTCAGGGGCAAGGCGGATTCGGAAACCTGTTCGCTCTGGACCAACGACTACAAGCCCGGTAGCTTCATCCCCTTGACCAAAGCGGCAGGCAGTTTTCCTGAAGGGGGCAAGGAGGGATTCGTCGAGTTCCTCAAAGGCCGGTGCAGGATTTCTCGACAGGGTCGTGGTTCCGGCGATATCTTGGCGGCATTCTCCAGGTCTTCCGAGCTTATAGGCGGTATGCTCTATTACGAACCCATATGGCGAGCATTCCTCCAGCGTTTAGCGTCAAATCTGGTCCAAGATGGCATCCACTGGGCTGAGTTACGGTCAGTACATGGTCCTCCCAGGTCTGCAAGATTGGCCGCGTACCATCCTATGCCCCCTCTCTTCATTCTCACCCTTCGGTGACCATAAAGGGAAGGCATTGACAAGATCAGGCAGCTGATGCCATACTAAATGACTTAGTCTTACCTTCCCATTAGCTTATTACCGAGAAGGGTCAGAGAGACCCGACCGAGACTACGACCATATGTTCCATGTCATCGGGGAGGAAGTGGCAAAGTTTCGGGCAACCGACCTCGGTAAATCATTTCAAGGACTACGGATCATATGGTCGGCGAGGCGTGGCCAGGATCCGCGGTCGATCATTGAGGACGCCGACAACTGTATCGCGACCAAGCTTTTACGGCCGGACTTGGTGGCCGGCTACGACCTTGCTGATTCGGTGAACTACGAAAGCTCGCCGGTGGACCTTCTTCCGGCGCTCTTCTGGTTCCGCAAGCAGTGTGCTCTCGAGAGGGTGCAGATCCCCTTTTTCTTCCGCGCAGGTGGATACCTCGACGATGACGGCGATAACGGCAACGGCTCAGACTCGGACAGCAGCCTCTTCGATGCCCTGCTGCTTGGGGCCAGGCGAATTGGGAATGCCCCATCTCTGTACAGACACCCACGCCTAATTGAGGCCGTCAAGGACAAGCGCATCCTGGTGGAGACCTGCCCAACACTCGACGAGATCCTCGATCCAACACCAGGCAGCATCAAGTTCCATCCTCTTCCAGCTTTGCTGGCGCAGGGCGTGCCTTGCGCCCTGTGCTATGACCACTCTGAAATCCTTTCTGAACATGGGGGTGGCCCGCGGATGACCAACGTCTTCTGGCATGTCCTGCATGCCCGCGACGGCTTGGGTCTGGCGGGATTAGGTTCACTGGCCGAGAATAGCGTGCGCTGGGCTACGTTTGAGGATCAGGATGCCGAGGCGTGGTGAGTATCTCATCTCGCATTCTCCGTTGTCGAACACTCCTTGCTCGAATGGGTCTGGCGAGTGCCGAACAAAAACGCGGCTGCCTAAGAACACTGCCCGCTCCCCATCCTCCCAAAACCCCCCGCAACAGGGCCCGGCTGACGACCGAGAATCGAGGGTACGCGATATTCGGGCAGCAAGCGTGGGGGCAGGAATCAAGGCAGCTCGATTACAGAAATGGGCTGTCGAATGGGAACGCTTTTGCTTGTGGATCGTCACGGAGTACGGCGATGCATACGGCGCCGAGCAATGATGAAGAAACTGGCCCGCTGAGTTGAGGAATGGTCGGTCGGTCGATCTCGGCAACCGAAAAGTGGCATCGAAAGCGCTAAAAGTGGAGCCTGAGCCGTGGTTGACCACCGCCGTTGACTGGCACATGCCTACTGCACCACACGCAGTAACTACCTGGTACGTGACCTGATTCTGATGAGTCGGTACGTGGTGATGTGAGTGGATCAGCTAGGTTATGGATTTGGGACCTCTTTTGGCTGTGCTCAAGTCTTAACACCGGTTGTTTCACTCGGCTGACGGTCATCTGGCGTAGCGTTGCAACCACCAGAGCCACGGCGCGGTTATCTTGTCGGTCTTTCAGGGTTTGTCTTCCTGGTTCTGCAGTCCCATCTTCCTGCTTGTCGGGTTAACTAGTTGCATGCAGGTGCATTGGTGGCGCAATTCTGACAGGACGGGAATTTGGAAAAGGGGTCCAGGTTCCGTGAAGACCCAGCCATCTCCCATCTCCCAACTGAAATAAGATATGCCAGGGGAGTAGGATCGGATCGAATCCTAGCAGTTGCGAATGCCAACAGCACCAGTTGGCCGTGTGTTTCATCTGCCAGGAACCCTGCCCGAAACAAGCGGGCATCTGCGTCGATTGAGAGCTACCTTGAGCTCAGCCTCTTCGTCCTCTTTCACTCACGTCGCCTCGAAATGCATATTTGTGCATACGCACCCCTGCCGTGTCCGATCCTTCCACCAACAAGATCCAGCCCTATCGTTTGAGATACCAATCCCATGGATGGGGGGAGGCTTGCACTCCCACCGCGGGCGGTACATTGCAGACAACCCCATTTAGGATTTCCCCCGCAGTTGTATTGCGTTACGTACCTGTAGGTGTGGGAGGACGTTCGGCCTCCATTACCCAAGGGGCTTGCTCAGCCCTGGCCAGAGATTGGCCCTCCTGGCGCCTAAGCGCCGGGAATCATGGAAAGCTTCCATGCGGCCGTCTGCACGCTGCAAGCTGAGTGGCTGCGCCGTCCACTTGGAAATCAAGTGATGTAACGCTGGATGTATTGTACTTGTATTGTACATGTCATATGTAGATAGGTAGGAAAGGCGACGGAATTGGTTCCCGGTTGCTACGTAGCATACAGCTTCTAGGTTGTTGTTTACCCAAAAGAGATAGATGGTGCTAGTAGTAGGGCCATCGTCACCGAGTGGGTACCGGTAACTCACGTATTTTGAGATGATGTAACAGTTACACAGACTTCTTGCTTACAGAGGACGTTCATTTCATGGGCTAATTAGTCAGTGTTCGGTTCAATCACTTCCGGAGATCCCATAGGCAGTAGATATACCCTGTATGTGATCATGCAAGGCACATGTGCCAAATGCATCCTTACACGGACATGGCTGCTGCATGGTGAAGAAATCTGCTGGAAAGAGCGTTGCTCGTGAAATGGTTGGCTCGTGGGAGTCTATCTATGTGTACTTGTAACTGCAATCTTACATGACTGACTGATCATAAGAAGGAAATCTAGCTGGCGAAGGGAAAAGGGGAGGCAACAAGGAGAGGATAGAAGAAAAGTAGAGGAAAGGAAAAGGGCATAAAAAGCAATGAAGAGCGAGGAAGAAAAAGAAAGAAAAAGAGATAAAAAAGGACAAGCAAGACGTAGAGCAACCATCGACAACAGTACACGGCACATTCCCCCCTCTCTTATTCGTGGAACTTGAGAGTTCACACGCCAGAGATCCACACATTCTCCAACCACCCCCTGAACGTCATAGGCTGGAACTGAACAGCCTCGTTCAGGTTCGTCTGCCGCACATGGTAACGGCCATTGGCCGTCTGAAGCAGCCTCTGGAGGTAGTGCCACTGTGCCCAGTCTCCGCGTTGGTGGTATTCCTCCGACTGGGCTTCCGCCTCCTGATACTGATGGGTCACGAGACAAATTGGGGCTGATGAGACGCTGTTAGCTTTGAGAATGCTCCATGGCAGGGGTGTACTTGGCATGACTGACTTCCAAGTGTGTTGGAGCATGTCTCCACCAATTCCTGAACCGTCATGGAATCCCCCCTCATACGGAACTCTCTAGGCCAGTTGTCGAGGCCCAGCTCGAGTGCGGCGGTGACAAACTGGGCGACGTCGTAGGCCGAGGTGAGGGAGACCCGAGCGGGCCTACCGTTGGAGTTGGTCGGGATGATCTCTGCCCGGGCCTCCTGGATGTTAATGAGATAGTCGTCCGGACCCTGGATTCCACAGCCGGCTCCGATCTGGTACGTCTGCAGGCCTCCAGGACCAAACCGCTCCATGAAGATGCCGCAGGAGAAGACGGTGTATCGCAGCCTGTGCGACCTGGACTGTGACCAGCTCTCGAGGAGCTCGAGGGCGGACTGCGAGCCGCGGTCAAGGGGGTCGTTGGCCGGCCGGTGGCTGAGGTCGCCCTCGAACTCGGAGGGAACAAAGACTCTGACCCGAGCTCGTCGTGCGGCATCGATGAGGTTGAGCTGTTCGTTGCCGGCAATCGTAGAGATCACCAGGTCCACGCCCTGAAGGGTGTACCTCAGGTTCTCTACATCTTCATAGTCCACGATGGCCACCTGGCAACCGGGACAGAATTCCTCTAGTTCAGGGTGCGGCTGTAAGATGGTCAGCATAGTGGACTCTTGTCTTGAACTGATTGTGAGTGAGACGGACTCTGCGGGACAATACGAGCAGAGCATGTGCGGTTTGGCTGATCTGCTGGGCCAGAATCTGAGCGAAGCCGCCGGCACCAGCAATGGCGATTCTCATCATGGCAGGCTGATTGGTTCTCTGTCTCATTGTGAGGGTAGAGCGGCCGTGAGGAGTGCAGTAGTAGTGATACTGTTGGTTTCTGAGCCGATACCTGTGGTGTCTCGTGCCTGATGCCGGAAGAGGGTCCTGTCAGCGGCTTCTTATAGCCTTTCCTTCCTTGAAGGGATGCTTCCATATGCCACGGCGGGAGAAGAGGCATTGCCCGCGACTCAAGGGGCACAGATTCGGCAGTGGGAGTTGTGGTTGCGCTCACAGCCCAAGGCGGCAGGTTGGAGACAGTGAGGGTAGAGTTCATGCCCTCATAGTGCGTGTGGTTGGTAGGGAACCCGAGCCACGGATGTCTCGATGCTTGGCCCCAAGTGCCAACGACATCCCGGAGCATGCCGCATCGTGAAGGCATGGGCCGTATACCAAGAGACGACCTAGCTTCCTTCTGTGTGGCACAGAGGTTGCGCGGGAGCATCGGCCAAGTTAGACCGGCCATTGTGCGGGTTCAGACCTGGAGCCCTGGGGTACACTACAGAGACCCATCAAGGCGTGGACTTGCCTCCTAATGCATGGTAGCGCAGGGGAACTGTCCCATGTACTAGGGGAGGTCGGAAGACCATGCACCATGCCGCAACCTGCATGCCGCATGGCTCCGCAGCCATGACTCTGGGTCCCAAACTGGCAGGTCCCGTACATGAGATGGTTGGTGGGGGGAATATGGTAAGCAGGCATCGACTGAACTTGCAGAATAGGATCGAAGCCGTGGCGGACGGCGGCTGATAGATTGACACCACCAACGGCTGGACAACACTCCCGCGCAAGAGTGCCGCAACAGACAGTATCTGTATAGACATGTAGCTGAGTGCTTTCATCAACACGGAGATCCAGCGATTCAAGTTTGACGCCACACCTTCCCGTCATTGCAAGGAGTGGAACAGTTAGGCTTCCGCAATATCAGGTCGAATCAAGAGCGTGGAGTCCCGGCAATGCAGAGGCTGTCCCCAGCAATTTGGGGGCATTCGCTAAAGAGAACGGAAGGTAGCCGAGAGCGCGGCGCAACGCTTTGTGTGGAGCTCGCCAGAGCCCTACTCGGTCGGGACCGCGACCTCTGTCAGTTTGGAGTCGGCCGGCAAATGTGGCCGGGGAAGGGGTTGGGTGAGGTACACGCGAGGCACAGGAGGCTTGTGAGATGGCTGAGGCTGAATTGTGAGCATCGTCAAACAAGACGTGCAGTCTCACGGTGGTAGAAGGAATGCAAGCGGTGCTGAAGAGCATAATTAGCAGAGCGCCGCGAAAGTTGGCGAAACACCCCGAATCTGACACCATAATTAGGCGAGATGAAGGGCGAGGTAAGAAAGGCAACTACTAGTACTTAGGACAAGTTAGAATTGGAAGGAGAAATGGACTGTGTTTTCTCTCACAGCCACATCGGAAATGATGATCCGTTCAAACGCCTGATGTATGGGGGCAGATAGAGGTAGGTATTATAGTACAATACGACCGGTGAGAGGATATGGTAACTTTGGTAATGAACGAACAATCGCGTGCGGAACTGAGATCGGCCAATGAGAGCCGACGGTGATCTCCTTGCAGGGAGCGCTGATCGGATGGCCCGTGCCCAAATACTGACGAGCACTTACATCGAGAAGTTGCTCTGTCCACACGCTGGATTACGGATCAAGGCTTTTCGACGAATAGCCAATTGTTACCAGCCCAGGACGAGGAGTTAAGCGCCTAAGGGACTCTTAGTGCTACCATGTTTCTGCAAAAACCGGCAAATGAGATCAAGCTAGAATGGGGGCCGTTCCCTTGCCTGCCGGGAGAAGTGAGATTACTAATCTTACAGTACGGGGGGACTGACAGTACGGTACAGAACGCATGTTACACTGTTACGCATTTTACCAGGCTCCTCCATACCTTAGTGCTTCTTTTCCATCTTCAACCCCACACAAAGCAGACCGATGAATATCACAGGATTGATACGGACAGTCGGTGCGCAAAAAGGGACGCATCCCATTAACAGGCGGTGGGACAACCAATGTTTATAGGCACACTCCGCACATCTCTGGGTTGTCACTTACCAGCGTAAATACGCTGTAAGTTACCTTCCACCTGGGTCTGTCGCGCTAAGGTATGGACCCAATTCATCTCATACTCGACCATCGACATCGACAAGTTCTCGACATTATAGGTTAAGTCGCTTTCGACGTGTGGCTTTCTACGTCCTTTCTTTATAGCGTTACTCCTCTCCTCAATGACTTAGACTATTCAACAAGTTCTATTCTCGCATGATCATCACGTAGTCTCTACTCCTCCGTATTCCGGCGATTCAGGGTTAATTAAGGATTTAAGGTAGGGCGGCGGCCACATTCGGCGACCTCATCTTCGCCTGGGTTGGAGGTCCCCTTTATTGCCTGTATGAATCCATCCCCCTCAATGACATGTGGATCTTTTTTGGCCGGGTACACCCTAGAGGAACGTTCCCGTGGTCTGGGGATGCTAAAACCCCTACCTAGGACCCTAGGTATTGTCTGTATGGATGGTACTGGAACCGTCTGCCTCTCGAACCACACTTTTAAAGTCCTCTGATGATTTACTGCCTAGAGTTCCGGACACTGCCACTAAGCTCTGACGCCGTGTTGTGCAGAAGCCATGAAGCCTGTTCTGTCATGATGGCCTCGACCAGTTCGTCAGGGGAGGCTTGGTCGTTGATCTCGGCCCCCTCGATGACCGCTTCTGTGTAACTGTTCGTCCCTTTTAATTTCATTAAGGCTACTTAACTTTCTCGCACAAACCTCCGCCAAGAGATCTAACCATCCAAGCGAGTGGTGCTGCCTATTGTGTTTAACCCTCATGTCTAGTAGCAACATGCTTACATGCAATGTGGGTACTTCTCGACGTGTACTGTATAGCACTGGTGTATTAACACAGTCAACAACTTTTGCGGCATGGGCACCAATCTCTTTATTCTCCGCTGCCTGAAGCGACCTGAAGCTACCTCATGGCGGAGTCCCATAGCTCTCAAATCATCGGAAGCCCCTTCCAAGTACTAGGGTATCAAGAAGTCCCGCCCGCGCCATGATCCATCCGTGAGAAAATGAACGCCCTTATCGTACACGCGGCTAAGCATCCACAGCTCCTTCATCGCTATTTACTGGCGAGCTTCAGCCTGCTTCTGGATGTCGTGCTCGGCGCCTCGCTGCTGCGTCTTGCCAGTGTCGTGCTTGTTCTGGTACTCGGTCTGCTTCGTCCGGTCACCAGTAAGACCTGCGGCAGCGCTGCCCACCGCGCCAGAGATTCGGTCACCGACACCCGAGGTGTAGTCCTTGACCTGGCCGCGGGCCTCCTGCTCCTGGCCAGACAGGTTCTGCTCACGGCCGGACTGCTTCAGACTCTATACAACCAAATCCGTCAGTCATCTCCTAAGTCGTCATCGAAGTAAGTAGTCGCAACGCCTAGACATACCTCGTTGCCGATAACACCGCCAACGAATTCCTTAGCGGATCCGGCCGTTTGGTTCCACGAGCCGGTGGTGCGGTCAGGGTGGTCCTTGGCGACCCCTTCCGAGGACACTGTCATGCCGGGGAGCTTGGCGGCCGTGTGAGATGCGTCGTATTCGGCCTGAGCCTTCTGCTGCTTGGTCTTGCCCTCGGCCTAAAGGCGTGGTGTGTTAGTGGACAGTCCCGACAAAGTACCATGCGTTGCATGTGATTACATGCTCACCTCGTCGCCGGTCGAGCCGACGATGTTGCCCAACGCGTTCTGGACCACACCGGTCGCAGAGTCGACGTAGGACTTGAGAGTGGAAGTGTTGTTGTTGTTGGCAGACATGATGACGTTTCTGATGGTAGCTTTCGAAAGGTGGTTTAAGTTCTATGTGTTCGTTGATTTGTGTGATTGTGATGCTGAGAAATCTTCAAGTTCCTCAAGTTTGGGTTAACCAAGGATCTTATATAGCCGGCAGTATGAAGACTCGCCCCACTGCGCTTGCCATACAAAGCCTCAACTTCCAGGTTGTTTCTACAATTACTCCTTGCTGCTTGGTGGTGTTTGTTTAAAGTGATGTCATAGCTCACGAGATGAGACGATGACATCATAGGACCCTGTGTAACTTACCGAAACTCCCCACACTCACTCAGCCCTATGAGATGATCTACGGATGTACACTACGCCAGGAAAGGGTCACGCATGTGGCATGCTAGCAGCCCGATGTCCTCGGCCAACTGTATGCTTCAATTGTGAGGTGTTTTACTTTCCTTATCCCGAATTTGCAGCCGAGGCATGAAAAAATAAAAAGGCTTTGAATGTATATGTACAATCGATACAGTGCCCGTGTATTAGGCATAGTACATGCCAGGTAGGTACGTGTACCTTGCACGTAAGGCACCTTGATTACCGATTCAAGCCCCGCAGTCCCGACCAGCCTACCCTACAGTCCCGTCCCGCCTGCCCTACAACTCTGGATTCCTGAACAAACATCACACACTATCCCGTACAGCACTTGAGTCTGGAGTAATGAGCAAGGTCCTACTTCATTAATCCATCCGCAGATTACCAAGACGCATTGTTCGTCATGATTGCGTATTGCCCTTCACGGATACACGTAGCTTTGCGTTCTGTTCTCACTGGGTACTGTACGCACGTTTATGCCAATCACTAAAGGAACAGGAGGATCAATAAGCTACCCAGCTGGGTCCACGAACAGACAGCGCGCTTAAATACTAGGTAGTATCGGCACGGCTTGGGCCTGAGGGCGCCTGAATGGCCTGAAGTGCAGTGGTTTCATTTAAGCAATCCTACCATTTCGTAGGAATTGCGTAGATAGGACCACCAGCCATATATCAACCCCATCCGAAATTAGCTATGGCCGGGTCTTGAAAAATGCATGTCATAGAGAGCATGCGCGGCGCGCTTACGTACATAGAATGGATGGAGGAATAGATGGCGGAATGGTCATTCAGAGGCAATCGCCAGCAGACGGGTGCCGGAGCTCATGGTATCATTCTCATATCAACCAACCAATACATCATATAATACATAGCCCGCCTGTTGCTGAACCCGATGAAGCATGCGCACACCTCTGCGAAGTTTTGCTGAAAATCCCCAATGTACCAACCGATCGCCCCTTACATAAAGTCATTCCGAACCCCCAGACTAGTGCTGAGTCCACTCGATGGTGTTGAGATCAACACCCTCTTGAACAAGCTCCCAGAGGGGGCTGAGCTCGCGGAGGAAGCCGACGCGCTCCCTGACCGCCTTCAGGACATAGTCAATCTCGGCCTCAGTCGTAAACCGACCAATGCCGAACCGGATGCTGGAGTGGGCATTCTCATCGCTGTTGCCGAGTGCCCGTAACACGTAGCTGGGCTCGAGCGACGCAGAAGTGCATGCGCTGCCCGACGACAGAGCAACGTCCTTGAGCGCCATGAGGAGTGACTCACCCTCGACGTAGGCAAAAGACACGTTTACACACCCGGGATAGAAGTGCTCAGGGTCGCCGTTCTGGTTCGTGTGTTCCATCGACAGCAGACCGTTGAGTAACCGATCTGAGAGGGCCTTGACCCTCTTGGAATCATACTGTCAAGTTGTCAGCGGTCGTTCAAAGGACGGCTTATTGAGGAAGTTGCGAGGCAAGGGCAATAAAGAAATCAGAGAAGGTGCTGTCTATCAACAGAATGGCCTGTGTCACGAGGCTTCAGAAAGCCATGCATGTATAAAGCAGCTCATCATGTGGAACGTCGTGGGAAGTCATCCAAGGGACGAGAAACGCTGGGGTGGAACGTACCTCGAGCTCTTCCTTCGCAATGCGGCACGCCTCACCAAACCCAACAACAAGGGCAGGAGCCAGCGTGCCGCTGCGCAAACCGCGTTCCTGTCCGCCCCCACTGATGATGGGCTCCAGCCTGACTCTTGGCCGCCGGCGGACATAGCATGCACCTATCCCCTTGGGGCCGTAGATCTTGTGGGATGAGATGGACATCAAGTCCACGTTCATGGCGTTGACATCAAGAGGGATTTTGCCCACGGCTTGGGCGCCATCGGTGTGGAAGAAGACCTTGTGCTCTCGGCAGATCTTACCGATCTCGGCCACCGGCTGGATAACGCCAATCTCGTTGTTCACCGTCATGATGCTCACGAGAGCTGTTTCTGGCCGGATTGCCTCCCTCAACTGGTCCAGGTCAATTAACCCCTTGCTGTTGACGGGGAGATAAGTGACCTCGTAGCCATCGTCCTGCAGATGCCTGCAGCTGTCGAGCACGCACTTGTGCTCCGTCTGGCTGGTTATGATATGCTTCTTCTTACCCGACCGGCCGAAGAACCGGGCCACCCCCTTGATGCTCATATTATTGCTCTCGGTGGCGCCGCTGGTGAAGATGATTTCCTTGGGATCCGCACCGATCAAGGTGGCAATGTGCTCTCGAGCTTGCTCGACTGCGCGCTCGCTCTCCCACCCATACGCATGTGTCCTGGAGTGTGGGTTACCGAAAACGCCAGTGTAAAATGGCAACATTGCGTCCAGCACCCGCGGATCTAGCGGAGTTGTGGCCTGCATGTCGAGATAGATGGGCCGCTGGCCCTCGTCCATCCTCGTTGCTTGCTTGAGCACATCTGGCCAAGATATCAGCGGGAATTCACTGCAGGTTTGCGGGGGCGAGGGCTTACCAGCCATCGGGCTGACATGTGTTGTTGACCCAGTCTGGGTGTCTAATGTAAGGCCTGACTTCTCGAGCTCTGTCCGGTCCAGCCGGATAGCCGTGTCCGCCTGGACTTGGGCATTGTCCGACTTTGTCTGTGTTACATAGCACCTCCTGCCAGCGCTGCGCGCCGGAGCGGCGGCCGTGCGCGATAGAACTATAACGCCTCGTCGCTGTGCACCAGATATGGATGACTTTGATGCCAGACGCGATGCCTGTCTAAGAATTGATGGCGCAATGGTCGCCATGATCAAGTAAAGGGCTGTGGTTGCGATTGTTGCGATGTCGGGATGAAAAGTTCGGCGTTCTGAAGGCGGAACGGAGCTATCGGTTTTGTCGCAATCCCCCACTGCAGGAGGGAAGGGTGGCACGGCGCTGTCTCTGCGATTGGCCGAGGGAGCTCAAGCCCCGCTTATTGCCCATTGTGGAATCAGTGCCGGGAACGTCATGGGGAATGACGAAGCCGACATCTGCGGTCACCTCGACTTTGTTACTCCGGGAGGCCTACGATACCTCATTTTCACAAGCAGAGCAGAATATCAGGACAAACGTCCAGTTTACTTGCATCGTTTCGGCAAACTCTCTCTTCATGTCATTCAACACACCCACCGTTAGCTAATGCGCAGTCCATTGGATTTGGCATTTCCTTTCCTAGCGCTGCAAGCGAATTCATTGGGCCGGCAGTGCCACCATCTGCACTCATCAGCCAAGGAACGCTGACGACCGGCTCCGCCCCGAGGAACTTCGTCATCGGCCCAAAGAGCATCAGGCGCAACGTGGAAGGGTTCCCAGGAAAGTCACCAAATACCTCGACGCCGAACCAACCTCTACAACTTGCAGGACGGCCTCACCGACTCCGGCAAACTACTAGCAAAACTTTGCTCGACTAAAAGCCCTCCCCGTAGAGAATGAGCCTCAGGGGTTTTCAAAAGGGGATCGTCCGCGTAAGTTGCTCGGTCCACGCTCGCAGCGGGCTTTCTCCCAGGGACTGACATTCTCCGCGCCCTTAGGCCCCTCAACAAATAAAGGCAAAGTTCAACATTGGCGAGCACACCAAAGACGCCGTCTACATCGACTCGGAGCGCAGGTTTCAAGAGCTAGAAACCGAGACGAAGCACCTCCACGATGAGAGCAAAAAGTATTTTGATGCCATCAACGGCATGCTCACGCACCAGATCGAGTTCTCCAAGGCAATGACCGAGATCTACAAGCCGATTAGCGGCCGCATGTCGGATCCCGAGACGCTCGTTGTGCAGGGCAATCCAGAGGGGATCCGCGCGTGTGAGGAGTACGAGGCCGTGGTGAAGGACCTGCAGGAGACGTTGGCGCCGGAGCTTGAGATGATCGAAAGTAGGGTGATTCGGCCGGCGAATGAGCTGCTCGACGTTATCAAGGTGATCCGCAAAACGGCCGTGAAGCGTGAGCACAAGAAGCTGGACTACGACCGCCACCGTGCGACGCTCAAGAAATTGCAGGAGAAGAAGGACAAGACAGCCAAGGATGAGAAGGCCATGTGGAAGGCCGAGAACGACGTGGAGCAGTCGACCCAGGAATTTAACTACTTCAACGACTTGCTCAAGGAAGAGCTGCCCAGGCTGTTCGCCCTCGAGCGCGAGTTCATCCAGCCGCTCTTCCAGTCCTTCTATTACATGCAGCTCAACATTTTCTACACTCTGCACGAGCGCATGCAGCAGGTAGATATTGGCTACTTCGACCTGACGCTCGACGTGGAGGAGGCGTTCCACAAGAAGCGTGGCGACATCCAAGAGCGCGCCGAGGCATTGTCGATCGTGAGGTTCAAGACATCGGGCCAGAAGCGCCCGCCCAAGTACGGCGGTCCGCGCCCGGGCACGGCGATAGAGGGACGCCAGAACGCGGGCTTGCTTACGGCGGGGCCGGCATCTTCGTCCTCGTCCACATCCACACCCGGCGGCGCAGAATCGGTAACCGCCGCCGCGGCAACGCCGTCAAAATCCGCCGTCGTCTCCTCCCTCCGGCCAACCTGGCAGCCGCGCCAGACCGACGTCGTCGAGAACCCGCCACCCCCGTACTCCCCCGCCCCGGTGTCGCCCGCGCTCGGCAGCCCAGGCACAGCATCCCTCGCCGTAGCGGCAGCGGCAAAATCGAAGCCGAAGCCGCCTCCGCCGCCAAAACCGAAACCGTCCCGGCTCTCTGCGACGCCCAAGGTTGAGACTGTTACAGCCCTGTACGACTACGCGGCACAGGCGGAAGGCGATCTGAGCTTCCGGGCTGGGGACGTCATCGAGGTGGTCACAAGGACGGCAAACGAGAACGAGTGGTGGACGGGCCGGTTGAATGGGAAGTCGGGCCAGTTTCCTGGTAAGCGCGGGTCCTACATCTTTTACGGTGTTATTGAGTTCCGCGGGGTAATGTACTAACTGTTGCGGCAGGGAATTACGTCAAGCTGAATCCATAGCGTTGCGATGCCACACAGCCTGCGAAGGTCGGGGGATCATAAAGCTCAGCGGCGGACATGGGGGCTAAGGAAGTGAGCAGGAAAAAGGTGTGTAGGCGCATAGACAGAGGATGGGCGTTACTGTGCATGAAGACCAGATTATACCACGAAGACCGCTTTGCATTTGGCGGGATGTCGTTTGTTTCATTCACCGAGAGTTCTCAGGGTGTGCTGTGCGTTGCTTCTGCCTCTTAAGTCAAGCATCTGGCTGATCACTCGCCGGTACCAAGGTGTGTTCCCGCGTGGATGAGGCTACTGTTGCTGTTGGGGCACGGCTTGCCTATCTGCGGACTGGATAAGGTCGTGCCTTCGTGTAGTTGCTACTTAGACTTCAAACCAAGTTGGGGGGGTAAATGTCAAGAGAAGGTTGAGAGTTCAGGATGGTAGGGAGAAGGGGAGGGAGGCGGGGTGAGGTTTCAGATACTTGCCGTTCGTACAGTAAGGTATTTACTCTACGCGCGGGACGCCCCGCGGTTGGGGTGATACGGGCCGAATTTGCGCTTCATTCTGTGTTGGCTCCCCGGCAGACTCCCCGTTCTTGGACACGATGCCTCGATACCAGATGCGGCCGACCGAGATCCGTTCGCGTAGCCGGGGGTTGTGCGTGGAAAGTGTGTATTGCATACATATCCCCGGGGGCAGGCATACTAGGTAAACTACCTTAGGTACCTAGCCAGTCACTTGATTGATTATCGAGCACGTGCATCTCCCTAGGCTGTTCGGTCGTCTGCCTTCACTTATGTGATGCGTGGGCGATATGGGGGTTGACGTGATCAGTGTGAACCTCACCGCGGCTGGAGTGGGGGGTTTGCTATGAATGGGCGGAGGAACACGTTGTTGGAGTGTATCATGATGCATGTGTGGTTGGATAACAACTACTAGGTAAGGGAGTGGAAACTGACTACTAGTAGAGAGGGAGAAAGAGAAGACAACTGATACTCGTCTTCACCCTTTTTTTTCCCTGCCTGCGTCCGGTTTTGGATGATTCAGATTATACGAGTATACATACTTGCAGTCCACCGCCCGTGCAGATCACGATGCTGTGCCTTGTTGGATCTGTCCCTCCTCGTCAGCTTTGCAAGTATGTGTTGGCCAAACCCCACGTATTCTCATCTCCCACATAAGTAGCTAAAACATACCCGCCGGAATATGCAATAGGTAAACAGAACTTCCTGCGAGTGGGGGTCATGATCACTACCTAAGGAACTCTAGGTATCTCGTCCGAGTCTCAGTCCCATTCCATCCTCTCGCTTTCTTCCAGAGAGGAGACTTACCAGTAAGCGGGAGCATTGTTAATCCGCATACCCCTTTCTAATCCTCTTTCCCCCTCATTCGACCTTTGAAAAGATGGACACAGATATCCTGCATATAGGGAGACCGACCTGCATCTGCAGCTTGGGCTGTGTATGCGGGAAGACTACGGTACCACGCAATTTCATTGAACGGTTTCAAAGATTTCCGCACATTACACCACATCTCAGCTGAAACGGCTAGCCACCGGTGTTACTGGGGCCGATCACCTGCGAAATGGTAGAAGATGGTCAGAGATACGGACAATCCGGTAGAGGCACCGGATGGTCTCATATTGGGTCCGTGCCTCTTTGTCTTGCGGTCTGCGGATGTCTACGAGGCTACTTATTCAACTCCCCAGTTTCTAGGCCGCAGGCTGCCGTTTACGATGAAGATGGCGTCCTTGCATTGCAGATATTCTATTGACTAGTACTTATGGAGTCATGGTAGATCTGCTTCCGACACCCGTCGACACCTTTTGTTTCCATATGAGTCGGGCACGGGACTGGGCCAATGGGGAGTATTGGCTGTAGAAAGTAAGGCTAACTCCGTGGCAGTTCATGGGTTACACTACATGACACAAGGCTCTGCCGAGTCATCTCCCGGGTCGGCCAACGTTTCACTGGCAGCCTTGTGAACTACCTACCTTAGGTACTTGACGTCGATAGGTCATATTAAAGATGCAAAAGTGTTTTCTTTAGGCATCGCTATAAACTCTACGCATCGCGTGGCAGCAATGTGTATCGACTCACCACCAACACCCCGCCCCCCCTTGCTTTTGGTTGAACTTGTCGTTTCCCCTCCTTTAGATGTTGCGGCTAGGGATGCAATGGGCTGCTGCTCCGTGGTCTTCAGCATCTAAATCTGGCAATCAACTGCATTAGTGCGCGCACTTGCATGCTCTCAGAGTGCAAAGTGGTAACCCCTCGATATCTCGCGGTATGCAGCCGGCTCGAACCGCCTCCAGGACACTTCGTTGTCTTGATGAGTCCCGCTCGTGGACTGGCCCAGATTGAAACCCTCCCCAAGACAACAGGTAGTATCAGACTGCGGCAGCGGGCCCTTTTTAGCAGTGTTGCTACCCTTTTCCTTTGACTTTCCGCCAAGGGACGAGCTACCCGAATACGGCGGCGTACCATTCAAGTAGATGGCGGGGTCGAAAGACAGGAATATCAGCGCTTGGATGCCTCCCGCCCTGTTCCCGGTTGCGTAGACAATGGACCGTTCGTCCCAGCTGCCGCGCAGACTTCCGAAATGTCCCGGGGGGCTCAGCATTGCGTAAAGCTCGGCAAGCGCGGGATCAGGATCGGCCGAGTTTGGTTTGGGTGGCCAGAAGAGGTTGCTCTCGCTTTTGTACAGTCCGTCAATCTGGCGCAGAAGAGCTGCTCGGGAATCAAGTTCCCCTTGTGCTGCCGGCAGGCATTCCGGCCGCGCAAGCCCCCCGGGGCTCCGCGGATGCCGTGAGCCGCCACGGAGGCGGATGCGCTGATCCGCGGGGTTGAAGGGGTCTGACTCGTCCACAAGATCAATAAACGTGTGGCATGGCGGGTGGTATGAGCGAATGGGACACTTGCTCAGATTCACGGCGAAAGTAAACCTGTCGTCACCCGGGTGCACGGTGTTCGGATCTCGCAACCTTGTCCGAGGAACAGTCGCCTGCCGGTTCTTAGCCGCAGACGTTGTAGAGCCTGTTCCCTCCAATGAGCGCCCAGTCACAGAGCCTTCGGTTGGATCATCGAAACTGATGGGCGTCGTATAGTATGTACGCCTGGCTGAGATGCTGCCAGCGAGCCACTCCTTTCGGGATTCTATGGCCTTGAGCTCGCCCGTTGACTCGTCTTCAAAGATGCGGAGGAAGGTCCATCTGTCGTCGATAGGGCCTTCTGTATGATTCCGCCGCCAGATTCGCTCCCGAGGCAGCGCTTTGAACTTCTGAAATCCCTGCCGAGCGAGCGGAAATCTGAAGCAGGAATAGTACGAGATCCAATCCCCTGTTTCGTCTTGGAAGTTCCCCTGGTTCGACACACCGTAGAAGTAACCCCCAAAGATCTCAAAGCAGACCGTCGCACCGATGTCCGTCCCGATCACCATCGGTATATTGAGAAGGCCGAGCCATGTGCTGGCGCTCTCCGATGTCCCGGCTCCGGCTCGGATGTCGAAACCGCCGATCGCCCAGCGGTCATAGCCATCCACCGCCTCATACGTGGTGCCGTAGAAGAGAAACTCGTTGTTGTTTCGCACAAATAACCTAGACGTGGATACCAGCTGACGGACTGCCACGATCCGGGCTTCTCGGGGGTTGACGGCCACAAGCCAGTTGCTTCGCTGCCCGGAGTCGTTGTGCCGGCGCTGTTTGTAGACACAGGAGACAATGTTGTGTGAATAGTATAGCAGCTGAAACTTGCACTTACGCCGCGGCTGAGGATCTTGGACCGCTTCGAGGAGCAGCTTGGCTATGTCGACCACGATCTCGTGACTCCCAGGATGGTGCAGGTCGAGGATGCGAAGGTTGTGATTGCGGACATAGCAGAGAATACCGTTTTCATACATCCAGTGCTCGGAAAAGGCAACCACTGCAACGAGATAGGGAGACACGGACGCAACCGCTCTTTGACGCTTGGTAAGGCGCCTGAGGCCGGATGCATACCTCTTGTTGACCCGAGCGTCGCGAGCCTCTTTGCTGTACGGTGCTTTGCTCTGTGCGAGGCATCAGCATAACGGTACGCCAAAACCCCATCCTCGCTTGACTTGGCTGGAGTGGGTAGCTTACCTCAAGCAACCATTTCGAAATATTGGCCTCCTGGAATAGAAACAGAAATTTCTTGCAGGAGAGGCTTAGGCTGAAGACGTCGCTTAATTCGAGATAGTCGACTACGTACGATACCAGTTCGTACGGCAACTTGACCAACGACATGACCCGACGCACGATCAGCGGGGGCAGAGTCAAAAGGGGTCGGAATTCTGGTCAGCATCGACGGTGTTCTTGCCAGCCAAGATCCTTGGTCTTGAACAAGTGGGAGGGAAATGGTGACCGAGAAGATAGGGCAATTTTCAAGTCTGCGGGGGTAAGGAACTAACAACCAATGCCCGATCCATCCCCCCAACCGGGACTCGGCCTCGAAGCCGACTTATAAGCGGGCTGTGAACAAAGATGATCATCGGCAACAAGGCTCTAGAAAATCCTCCCTCGTCTGAAGACTCCCTTGCTTGACACCGTGTTCCTAAATTCGGATGCATGGTGAATGGCACGCACGCCTTGGGTTTCAGTGATAGGTGAGGCTCTGTTAGACTCCAGGTCCCTTCCCCGATGTCAGGTGTATACTACTACCCCCGGGCCGACTTAAAAGTGCTACCCGCACACGGCATGCATTGGGGGCACGCAGCCCGTTGACCAATCATCGTACCATGATGTGCCCCACACATATTTGAGCCGCATTGAACTTGAACTGAAGCTTGGCAATCCTGGACCCAAGCAGCACCATCCCGAGGCCTTCAACCGGAGAAAATCATTGAGGTCACAACATTGGCCAACGTGGCTTCATTTATGTGTGGATTTCACATGTGCCGTAGCACACGCGACGCCGGCGCAATGCGATACGCCGTACAACGGGGCCTTGGAAGTCGGGATGACATTCGGTACTACCAATCTGGGCTCGCACAGCGAGGCTGAAGAACTAGCACTTCCCTCCTCATTGTCCCACTTGCCCGGGTGACGCTGGTCTCGTGCTTACCTTGTTCGACTTCATCTTCGTTGTGCAGCCGCCGCATGGCCGAGCTGACGCGTAAAATTCCAAACTGCCAGTCCAGAGTGGCTTTGCTCGGCAATAACTACAGGTATCGCAAGTTGTTTTTGCGAGCAATCTAGCATGTGGTTGGCATGCTACGCATCTTAGGTTCGTGTCTTGACGTGCGGGAGGCGGTGCTCTAAGCACCAGGCGCATGCCCTCTTCATCAGTCTGGAAACGTTCCCATGACACATTGCTGGTGTGTGGGCTTAATCATACGGACATCGAGGCTATCTGATGATTCTGATCTAAGCCGTTTCCGAGTTCGGCTAGTGCGGCTCGTGAGGTGTTTTGGGATTGACAGAATACAGGTCTTCAAACACGTCTCTGGAGACTCGAGTCTCGGGCGCGCATCGATGCGTTTGTGCCCGTTGCAGCCCTTTTTCACTGTTGTTGTTTTGCAAACAGAGACAGGAGCACCGGGGGCAGTAAACCCAGATCTCCAACAGGCGAATAGAGAGATCTGTGTTGCCTTTCGTTAGGACCCCAAAAGATCATTGAAGAGTTTCAAGGTACCTATATTCTTGGCCAGTCAGATTGTATGGAGAACTGTCAACCAGCGTGGTTTGCCAGTCTTCTCATGATATCGGACTTGAGTCAATTTTGTGGGTTCCCGGAGTCCCGGCTACTAATCTTACTCATCTTGTTACCCCGCAACAGCTCGGTGAGTCGTGACCGGAGGCCGCGTGCAGCTCACTTACACGACAAAACTTGGAGTCACTTACTCATCGCCATAAAACTTATTCACTTCCTCAGCATCTAGTACTCCCGCCGACAATGCCTCACCGGTTGCAAGATGAGATCCATCCTGAGGTGGACTTGTACCGTCCATTCACAAGTGATACCATCCTCGAGGTCCGCACTGGCAGGATGAAACCCCTCAGCGGCCTCACCGTGCAGTCTGGCATCGACAAAATTATTCGCGATGGGCCGGTGCGTGTTACCGAAACGGGGCTCGAGGGCGATGAGCATGACCCTACCTTTCACGGGGGCGTCGATAAGGCCATCCATGGATGTATGTACTCGATCAGCTTACTCAAAAGCCACACACCCACACACATGAAGTACACATATACTGACCTTTTTACACAAGACTGCTGCTCCCACTACCCGGCCTGGCGCACCGAGTTCCCCTCGGCAGCCGCCTCCTTCCGACCAGGAGCCTTCGGCGAGAACCTCGTCACCGCCCACCTCAACGAGCGCAACCTTTGCATAGGCGATATCGTCTCGATCAGCCGTCCGGCCTCTGACACAGACCGCGGAGAAGATCACCGCGTCCTGCTCCAGGTCAGCCTCCCGCGCCAGCCGTGCTTCAAGCTCAACCACCGCTTCCAGCTCAAGAACTTTGCCCCCAACACCTGGAAGACCAGCCGCACGGGTTGGTACTTTCGCGTGCTGCGGCCCGGCACAATCCAGGCCGGGGACACCATCCGCCTTGTCGAGCGTCGCCACCCTGCCTGGACGATCGAGCGCGTGCAGGAGTATCTGCACCGGAACACGGGCGACGCGGCGATGAACGAGGAGCTGGCGAGGATCGAGGAGTTCGGGGCCGAGTGCAAGGATGCGTTCCGAGCGCGTGTCGCGCGGCATAAGGCGAAGGAGCGGAGGGAAAGACTGAAGCAGGAAGGGAAGGGTCAGAAGTGGAGGGAATATAAGGTGGTGGAGAAGACGAGGCAGACGGCGAGGATCATGTCGTTTGTTCTGGAAGCTGTTGGGCCCGTAGGTGGAGCGGGGAAGGAGGAGGACGGAGACGAGGGAGAGGAGGTCGAGCTCCGACCCGGTGCACATGCCAAGGTCAGGCTTGGGAACGGCCTTGTGAGAGCATACTCCATTGTGGATGGGGATCGTAGCCGTTTCCAGCTTGGGGTGGCGCTAGACGATAAGAGCCGTGGCGGGTCAAGGTATCTGCACGAGATGGTTCAAGTCGGGCACACACTGCAGGTGGGCGCCATTACCGCCGCGGTACCCATGGCTAGTGCCGCGAGTCACCACGTCTTCGTTGCCGGTGGGGTTGGCATCACGGCATTCCTGGCACTGATCGAAGGGTACAAGAGTATTCACTATAGTGTTGAGCTGCACTATGCAGTGCGCTCGGCGGAGGATGTGCCATTCCGGGAGCGCCTAACTAAGCTTGGCGACGACGTCGTCATAATCTACGACAGAGCCGCGGGACAGCGGCTTGATATCCGCCGCATCGTGGGCAACATTCCCTGGAACTCGCAACTGTACTTCTGTGGGCCGAAGCGGCTCATGGACGAAGCTGCTAAGGAGACGCGGGCGCGCGGCATCCCGGAAAAAGAGCTGCACTTTGAAGCATTTGAGGCTGATGTGTCAGGCGATCCGTTTGAGGTCGTCGTAGCCAATAAGGGCGACACCACCATCAGGGTGGGCGAAGAAGAGACTCTGCTCGAGTGCCTGCAGAAACAGTTCGATGAGGTTGATTCGAGCTGCTGTGTTGGCAATTGTGGTACCTGCCGGGTCACCCTCAAGGGTGGCCAGGTCGACCATCGTGGAACAGCACTGACAGAAGAAGAGAAGGCCGCGTCCATGCTGACATGCGTTAGTCGTGGGATCGGACGTATCACTATCGAGATATGATGTGGGGCCCAACGTTTCTTGGGTTTATCCCGCTGCGGCCCAGATCTCTTCCGAAAGCCGCCCTTAACAGTCACCCCTTACGGCATCTTTCTGCTCTGGGCCGATCCTACTTACTTACCGGTCATCTTCACCGGTTAAGTTTGGCGCTGGGCGGGCTGGGACGAGTGTTGGGCATCTTGCTAGGTCTCGGCCTGAGCCCAAGGGAGAGGCAAGCGCTCCAAGCGCGGCCAAGATAGCCAACCAAGTTCCAGGTTGCTGAGCCTCGGTCCGGGCGGACGTCCGGATAACCAACCATGATGCTGCCGATGGTGCTGCGGAGTACTACGGTGGTGTGGTGGTCTACAGACCGTCAGGGATGCCATAGACTCCCTTCTAAAATCATATGCCCAGCTGGTCGGCCTCCCGTTCATGATGTAAAGCAGTTTACCCATGAGCGGGGTGTTGGGGAGTGCCTTCAGGGTAACGTCAAGTACTCTGTATAGCGAGGAGTGCATAGAGCTAGACATCGTGTTCTGTGCTGTTACTCCTCATAACACAGAGACAGACTAAAGGGGGAATGGAACTGCAAACCGGCCAGGGCAAAACATCAGAAGCTCTGGCAGTCGGCCAGCTCTTTGACAAACGGCGAGGCAAAGCCGGGAGTCGCAGCGCAGTTTGGAAGCTTAGCGACGCCCTGCTTACTTTGGCCCTTGGAAGGTGTCCTTCACAGACGGGGGGCACCACGGTATTGAACGCAGAACCGTCGACCATCAGCTGCGGATAGCCTATCGGAGAAAAACTCGTGGCCGAGAGATCCAAACTTACACGACTGTGGCTTCAATAACGACATTGCGGAGGACGGCATGGATCCTCCGGGACCTGTTTACATTAGTTCTAGTGTACTAGTTTTACTGATAATATATGCGGATGGCATGCAGTAGTCCGTATGCTCGAAGTCACCACGGGGCCGATTCTGGCGGTGAGCGGTGAGGGCGTGACTTCACCGTCGCCTTATCCCTTGTCTCGAGATCCGGTACAAGTACCATGCATGTCGTCTTGGTTCCGAATCCCACACGTGCTATCCTGATTTGTCTCACCGCAACCTGCATCGGGACTGCGGCTATGCCAATTGCCGTCCGAACTTCTTCTCAATCAGCACCAAACGAGCGACGATGTCACAGCAAACGAGAACGGATCAGATGTACCCTAGATAAGAAAGTAGTACCGCATGATAACCCGTACGCCGCCCCGCCAATGGCAGGCGATGCCAGCATGCCAGCCAACAATGGCGATGTTGATAGCCCATGGCCTACCCGATGTCTTTGCCAACCGTGTTAACTAGCAGCGCAAATTCGACAGACCAGACGACACCTTGAGGTCTAGCAGGGAACGAGCGGAACGGCAGCATTGTAGCGAGCCAGTAGGGATGGCAGTCCAGCGCTAACTTGATCTTCTGGTACGCCAACCTGTACGCTGAGAGAATGAACGGTATCACCGAGACAACCACGCCCTGGAAAGGGAATGTCGGTGAAAATGGGGACCCTGACAGTGAACACAATGAAGACGGTCGAGGAGCGGAACTCTGGCCCGTCTGGTCTGATTCCAAATCGTGGAGAGTGATGAAATGGATTCGTAAAAAGAGGGATGACTTGGCAAAAGTCACTTGCATCCTCCAATCTTTGAACTTGTGGCTTGTCCGAGGGCATTGCAGCGTTGCAAACATCGGAATCTGTTGGATAATATAATATACCCTCGCGAATGACCTCTTCAAGTTGTTGTATTGTTGTATGGGCCATTTGTTGGCTGTGTCCCGAGAACTGCCAAGTAATATCCTTATCAGAGAACCTGACCATGTCCAATAGGAGCCCAAAATAGGATAAAGGTGGGGCCTAAATTTTCTTGAGAATCTGTGAACGGCACAGCGGTTCGGTTCTTCGAGGCTCCACGAGTCCATGTCAGCTTCAGCTTCATATTAAAACCATAAATATGCCATCCGGTCCAGCAACGCTCGGGGACTTTTCCGTCCTTCCGGTCTCGATTCCGCCATTGCCGTCATTCCCTAATAAAGATGTATTCCACTACCTCTACGTGCGGCGCAACACGCCCAAGATTCCCACGCCGAACGATACCCGCAGTCTCTTTTTGACCAATGTGCCCGCCGACAGCACGGAGGTACATCTCCGCGCTCTCTTCGCCTCGCTAGTAGGGGCAGGGCGCTTTGAGAGCGCCGTCTTCGAGGGCGAGCGGAAGGATGCTCGTTCGCAGTCCCAGTCGCCGATCGATGCTGCCACGCCAGCCTCCGCCGCCCGACTGCTACAAGCCCACAGCAAGAAACGCAAGCGCGAAGACGAAGAGGCCGAGCGAGCGCGTGAAGAAGCCGCGGCACGTCTTCCCAGCACGTGGACTCGGCCACTGCGGAGGAGCGGCAGCACGGCGGTCGTGCTACTAGCAGACAAGAAGAGCGTGGAGCAAGTGCTGAAGGCAATCGCCAAGGTGCACAAGACAAGGAAGTACCCGACCTGGGGCGGCAATCTTCCAGAAGGCAGAGTTCCACCATTAGGCTCAGTCTGGCTCAAGGCGCACAACCGCCTTTCTTACCCAGACAAGCAAGCGCTGCAGGCGTCAGTGGACGCCTTCTCATTACTGTATGCCCGGCGCGAGCAAGAGGCAGCCGAGATTGCCAAGCGGCTGCGGAACGAGCCGGATGAGGACGGCTTTGTCACGGTTACCAGGGGCGGCAGGGCTGCGCCGGCCAGCCGGAACGAGGCGGAGGAGGCCAAGCGCAGGATGCTGGAAAAGGAAGAGAAGAAGAAGCAGGAGCTCATCAATTTCTACCGGTTCCAGCTGCGGGAGCGGAAGAAGGCAGAACAGGCAGAGCTTGTCAAGAGGTTTGACGAGGACCGGAGGAAACTGGAGGCGATGCGGGAGAAGAAGGGCAAGTTTGTCCCCGAGGCGTGAGGCCTTGGCGCTGCACGCAGATCATGATGAGCCTTGTTGGTGTTGCGCGGAGAACAGCAAATCGGCCCATTGTCTGGCAATACCCAAGCAAAGGGTGTAGTGTCGAGCGAACACAAAACGCCTCGCCCTTTGAGGTGGTAAAATGGCTCGCAAGGCCCTGCTACTGGGCGCGGCCAATACAAAGACTGTTGGTGAGTAGATCTATTTCCTCTCTTTCGCCCAGGACCTATCCACAACATGATGACGCACGCGGGGCCATCAGATCGTCCTTCTCGTTGCTCGGTGGTTTTCTGCCTGTGACGGACGAAGGATGCAGGATGACAAAATCCGCGCTCACAACAATCTTCTCAAACGGTCTGATGTGTGTTTGTACGGCGCAGGGCTGTTTCAGCAGGGAAGATGCCGACACCGGGCTGACAAACGATCTTCAGGTTAGACGTGATGGTGACGTATTGGATGTCGGAATTGCTGCGTTTGAAGCCTCAGCAATGTGGTCATACATCCCGGTGTTGGAGGAGATCGCCGGCTTGTTGGTTCGGTTGACAGCTTCGACAACAAGTTTGACAGAAGGGTTGTGCCTGGTCGGGACGGTCCACCGGGGCGGAAGTTAGCTCCGTCAAATAGCATGCCACGCTAATGCAGAAAACGTGCATTTCCACTTCAACGGAACCAATCCGGATGTGTCGTTTCCCCTTAAATATGGATCTGCGTCGAGAATCTGCGGCCTTTCCGTCTTGATGTGGCACGATAACCTGGTTGAAGATGGTGGGGAGTGGGAGGGGTTAGGGTTGACGTTGCAGCGTTGATGCGAGGAGGCGGCGCGGATCCATGCCAATTGAGTGCTGCTGCCACGGCAACGCCCCGCCAAATAAACAAGGACCAGCATCCGACGCAGGCTTCGTCAGTTGAACCCAATGTCGTATTGAGCCCGAGCTGCTGGTCGGACCCGGAATGAGCTCGAGGTTGGGCATTGATTTTTTCCGCCGAGACAATCCGAGTTCCTTCATCTGCAACTTGTTGATGTGTGTCTGCAGAATTCTCTTCCAAACTGGAAGATCGGACCACCTTCAAAATTCAAGCACTTGGTTTAGCCTGCTCTCTCTCCAGCTATTGAACTCGAAGCTCGAAAACTGAAAAGAACTAATGAGGCAAGACGTCGGCCACGATGATCGAGCCCGAGAACTTGCGTTCGGCCTCGCTGTACATTAATAACCAGCTGTTGTCCCGGGGCTTGCTGCGCGATGGCAACAGCATCGACTTCGCCTGCCCGGGCGATAGTGACGGCGAGGTGGCCGAGACCATGAGCCGCATCATGGCGGTGGTAAACGACCTTATTCTGAGGCGGGATGTGAGTAGCAATCTCCTTTGATCTGTCCTGCCTCGAGCCCATATTGACCCATACAGCGCGATGCCGAGCAGCGCGAATCCCTCTCAGCGACGTTGCGGACACTCCGCGCCGAGTCCTTGCGGCAGGCCAACGACATCCAGCGTCTGCAGGAGAAGCACGCCGAGGCACAGCGGAAGGTCGGCTTGAGCGAGGCTGCCGAGGCCACCATGCGGACACACCTCAAATCGGCGGAGGCGACAGTCCACCGCCTGAAAGAGGAGGCAGCTCGCACCAAGACACTCGTAGCCCAAACCAGAGCCTCCTGCGCAAACGAGGTGCGCAAAAGGGACCGTCAGATCGAGAGCCTCAAGAAAGCCGTCACGGAAGCCGGCAGGGCAAGAGGCACCGGGAAGGGCACGGCTGTCGCAAGCATCACGGTAGTGGGTGACGTTGGGTCAGAATCCGAGCATGGACTGCCCTCCGGCAGAGACGCCGCCGACCATCAAGGCTACGACCTCCGCTCGGAGACGAACGCCTTCTTGGCTGAGCTCGCCAAGGGCCTCAGCGAGGAGAATGAGGCTTTGCTCGACTTGGTGAGGAGGACAACGGAGGAGCTAAAGGAGATGAGTGGCTGGGAGGTCACAAATGGCACGCCGATAGAGAACGGGGACGGGCACGCCCTGGCGCTCCCCTCCAGCCCGGCGGAGCTGTCGATGGAAATCCATGCGGTGCTCGAACACTTGCGTACGATCCTGACGAATCCTTCCTTCGTCCCCATCGAAGAAGTCGTGGTTCGCGAAGATGAAATCCACAGGTTGCGCGACGGCTGGGAGAAGATGGAGACACGCTGGAAAGAGGCCGTCCATCTCATTGACGGCTGGCGCAAGAGGATGCAGGCAAGCGGACGCCCTGTCAACGTCGAAGAGCTGAAGATGGGGCTGCGGCTCAGCCCGGTGAAGGTGAACAACGTCGCAGAGACTTCCCACGGCTTTGACCTCCGGTTAGACGCCCTCCACGAGGATGAAGATGAAGATGAGGACGAAGATGAGGAAGACGAAGAGCGCGTGGATTTGATGCTGCGGCACTGCGATGAAGAGCCTTTGGACTTGGTTCCGGAACCGGAGCTCGACGATGGCGATAGCGATGCCTCCAGCGTGTTTGATCACAACGTCGACGTTGACGATCTCGACGTTGAGGAGCCGAACGTCGAGATCCTCCAACAGTCTGTCATGGCACCTCTTCCTCCGCCTCATCAGCTGGGCCCACTTCGCGACTCGCCCTCGGCGGCGAATAGAAGCGGGCGTCCGGAGTACAGAAGGCAACCGAGGTCTTTCACGACCATCGCAGAAGAAAAAACAAACAACGTCGCGGCCGAGGACGCCCCGTTACCTCCGCCCCCTTCGGAAGAGAGACCGCAGCAGTCGCCACAAAAGAAGCCACTTTTATCGCTACGACCAGTGCCTCCGGAAGAGGCGGCTGGGATTGCTCTGCCTCCCTCTGCTGTTATTGCGACACCGGACACTTCGGTCGAGAACACGTCGTTCAACTTCAACAAGCCGGGGGATGAACCTACAGCAAAGCCCGCGACAACGTCTTCGAGGACCCAGACACGCCCGATATCCCCGGCAAAAAAGAAGGACAGCACGAAGAGGGACGCGATGAAAAGGGGCGAGCGGGAAGCGGTAAAGCCAACAACTTCCAAACCAACAACCAAGCCGCCGACAAAGGCACGGCCAACCCGGCCTCCGATCACTAGGGGAAGATCAGAAACCAGGAAAGACGAAGCGGGAAGCCACCCGACGAGGCGGCCACCGCGAGCGGCGTCAGCAACCTCGGCTAAGTCAGCTGCATCCGCTACTTCTGCTACCTCAACCAGATCCACCGGGGCGAACAGGAGCGCAAACACGGGCAACCGCAAGACCGCTCCGCCATCGCCGGCACCGGCCTCAATGGAATCACCCAACCGTTCCCCGAGACGCGTCAACTCCCGGCTACCGCTGCCGCGGTCAGGCTGTAACGGCGTGCTCCCGCCACCGCAACAGTCACCCCTAACAATGGACAAGATTGCTGCCAAGCTAGCCGCCTCGGAACGGGAGGCCGATGCCGCTCGGGTACGGGCCAAGCTAAAAGCCGCCCGCCTCGGCAAGGGCGTGAGCCTCCCACCGCCGCGCGGGGCCGCGTCTACCACGAGCAACACAGCGGCGGAAGCCGAAGTCGAGGGAACAATGAATTCACGTGCGGAAAGCGGAAGTGTCACCGGTTCCGCCTCCGCCTCCGCCTCCGCCTCCGCCTCCGCCTCCGCATCAGCGTCAGCGTCAGCGTCTATGTCGGACCGCGCTCCCAGCTCTGCCACCACGGGCTCCTCCTCCAGAGACGAGGATGTCGACGAGCTCGGGCTGTCTCCGCCACAAGGGCAGCCACAGCAGAAACAGCAGCAGCAGCAACCGACAGAAGACAGGAAGCCGGCACGAAAGAGAGAGAGGCGCACGAGCAACGTGGCGTCGCGCAGGAGGAGTACGCTGCAGCCGTGGGAGTTAGACGCCTTGATCCAGGGAGGGAAAGTCACTGTCGAGAGGTAGGTCCCAGCTGCATTTTCTCGCTGGGCCCAATTTCTTTGGGGGAAAAAAGGTACTGGATGCTGATGATAGGCTTTCTTTGGCATTCATTTTAGAGGTGGCAGGGAGCGGAGTCCCCGGAGACCAGCGCAAAACCGGGGGGAAAGAGACGGACCGGAACGCGACGGCGGGCGGGGGGTGGAATACCTTAGGGGGATCTGGGAAAGCAAAGCCGGCGGGGTTGCTGCTGATGAGGAGAGATGATCGTGGGATTATCATGATGAGTTTATGACGAGATTGGCATTTTGGAGGTTTCGTTTTTTTTTTCTCTTTTGTTCGTGAGTTCCTGCCCCCCCAAGTTCTTGTTCGTTACATTGCATTTGCATACATGGATAGGTGGATGGATATTGCTGGCTTGCCTGTTGCTGTCCGTTTTTGGCTGTCCCTGTTGATCTTTCTGTCTTTCGGGGCATGCATTTTCTGGAGAATGGGCATTGGGTGTGGTGCATTCGGATACCTTACCATTCGCTTCGTCCGGTTTGTCTGCGCATTCGTTTGAAGTTGTTTCTCCGGCTCACTTCATCATCACGGGTATCTTTTGGGGGGGGTTGTTGGGCTGGCACAGAGAAATAATCAATGGGCAGCGGAGAGATTTATCAACAAGCCAAGCATACTTCTCGGACTCTCCCCTCCCCGAAGTTTCCCCTCTCAAACCTTGAACCTGAAGCCGTTGACTACACCCTCGCCAGGCACAGCGTTGATGGCCCCCTCGACCCAGATGCCGGCATCTAACTTCCTGTTCAGCCGCACCAGCACCATGCGCATCACGGTGGCGGCGCAGATGGCGACGAAGGCGGTCACGCAGTTGACGACCATGGCCACCGTGTACTGCGGATCGGCGCTCTTGGGGTACATGTACGAGGCGTAGATGCTGCTGCAGTTGCTGACGGCGTTGATGAAGGCCAGCGCGGCCGCGCGCTTGGCGGGCGGGCGCGGCATCGTGTTGCTAATCCAGGCCAGGGCGACGACGAAGCCGCTGTACACCGAGGGCACCATGAGCATCATGCTGAGATAGCGCGGCGCCACCTGCGTCGTGGTGGCGGCGATGATGTAGGCCGCCACGGCCACCCAGAGCGGGATCGTGATGTGCCAGTAGCGCTCGCCCGTCTTGTCGGCGTGCGTGGCGTTGAGGTAGGTGGCGATGACGCCGAGCACGTACGGCGGCGCCGTCAGCAACAGGGACACGACGCTGCTGCGGCGGCTCGAGGACGACAGCGCCCCCTCCTGCAGCGTGTTCACCACCGTCGGGAAGAAGTTGGTGACAGACCCGCTGGACACGATGCAAAAGAGCAGGACGAGCTGTGATTGTGATTGGTCTGTTAGCCTTTTTTCTTTTTCTCGTTCTCTCCCCAGGGCATTCATTCCGTGTCTGAAAAAGAAAAAAAAAAAAAAAAAAAAAAAAAAAAAAAAAAAAAAAAAAAAAAAAAAAAAAAAAAAGGGCCAAGTTGAGTCGCATACCAGGATGTACGTCTTGAGATCCGAGAAGGCGAGGACTGCGCCCTTCCAGAAGGTTTGCTCCTCGCTGTTAACCCAGTCGTCCTCGCCGATGTCCTCCTGAAGTCGCCTAGATTGCTTGTCAGTCGACTAGGTACTCGGCCTCTCTTCTCTCCGCTGATTCTCTCGAAGAAAAAGAAACAACGCACCACACAGCCAAGGTCTTCTCCTCCTCCGTCAGCCATTTAGTTGTGCGCGGGAAGTTAGGCAACACAAAGCCGCAGCACATGGCAATGGCAACCGTGGCCGCGCCTTCGATGATGAACAGCCACCTCCAGGCGCCCAGGCCGCGCGTGCCATCCATGCCATATGTCACACCCGCCGAGATGAGACCAGAAAAGGCACCGGATATCAGGGCGCCCGAGTACAAGACGGCGGTGCGGAAGCCAAGCTCCTTTCGCGTGTACCAGCACGAGAGGTAGTAAAGGCACCCTGGGCTGGAAGTTGGAACGAGTTTAGGTAGTTAGCCAAAGAGTCTTGATGCTCGCTCGCTCGCTCAAAGAAAGGGGAAGATCATCTCCGAACACGCCGCGGCCCACTCACAAATAGGCGGCTTCGACGATGCCGAGGAAGAAACGGTTCGCCAGCAGACCGGAGACGTTCGAGCAGACGGCTGTCAGTGCTGAGATGATTCCCCAGATGATCATCTACGGCGCGGCGGAACTGTCGTCAGTGGTTTGCACCCGGGAAGCATAGCATAGCATACCTTATGTGACGGAGAAAAAGGGGGGGCGGGGGGGGGGGGGGGGGGGGTGGATGATGGAATGAGCGGGAAAAAAAAAGCATACGCATCCCGGGAGGTAGATGGCCGGTTTCCCAAACTTGTTGAGAAACAAGTTGGAAGGTATCTGCATGAGCAGGTACCCGACAAAGAGAATGCTCACGGCCGTCTGGAACTCGGTGGATGACAGGTGGAGGTCTCGCTCGAGGCCTGCCAGTCGTGCAGCAGCGATGTTGTTCCTGACGAGCAAGCATACTGTGGTTAGCTATGCCATTTGGCTTGGTTGGAAGAAGACCCTCAGTCTCAGCAACGCACCGGTCAATATAGTTCATGATATACATGATGATGATTGCGGGGAGGATCCGATAGTCGAGCTTCCTCTTCAGGAGCTTCTCCAACCGCTCTCGCTCCTCCGGAGCCAGGTTTCGGATGAACTCGGGCGGCTGGTTTCTCTGTAGCCTCTTGTTGTCCTCGACAGTGGTTGCCGCGGCCTTTTCATCTGTGCTGCCCGTCTCGTCGCCCTTGGAGGTCTTTTCAAGCGTGGGGCCGGCCATTGCGACAGACAGTACAGGCTTGGACGCTCTACTAGGTGTAAGAAGAGTAGCTAGAGACAGTGATGAGGAGTTGGTTGGAGTGAAGTGAAGTGAAGGGAAGTGAAGAGGGAGGGACGGAGAGGGTGTGTTATTTGTTTATCCCAGTCGGAGGACATTCTTTCTGCCCGGACGTCATCCTCACCCCGGATTCTGGATGATCCTGGGTAACGGGTAATGGGTAATGGGGTGGCACAAGGGACATCACAGATTCGGTGTGCCTGCTTCGTCAAAGCTTACACCAGATAAGCAACAGCCAGTCGACGTGTCGTATCCCGGCCCGGGTACGCGGTAGTGGCAGAGAGGACAGGAACATCTCCAACCTGCTCGTCATCATTGGCTCGGGTGAATGCCCCCGGCAGGTGTGCCGGGGAGGAGTTCAGGTAGGACGGGACGTTGCCGTGCGGGGTGTTGCAGAGAAGAAGTCGATCATTTTGAAGGTAGAAGGTAGAAGCAGGAAAAAGCTCCAAAATTGGTACATGGCCAACCTTGCCAATTAACCGGTCTCTCCAAATCTTGCAGATCCCATCCTGTGAAGCCCTCGACGCAGGATGCCTGCTGCCGTGGTAGCATTTCTTACATGCCTCTCATTAAAAGTCTTAACAAGTCATCCATAATAAATGTATAATCGCCCCAACCGCCATTGCTCATCGCATCTTGAAAACTACAATGCGCCCGCTGGCTGTTGGAAAAACGGAGAAGGAAGAACGAACGAGAAGGAAGAAGAAGAAAAAGAAAAAAAAAAATAAATGGTCTGAAAGTAACATGCGCCATCCAATGTCCACACAACGGTTCCAACAACAACCCTTTCGTAACCCGTCCTGGTATAATCGTACAGAATTACAGATCATGACCACATCAATGCGTAACCGTCCTCACGGCCTGGAGGATGACCCCAAACATCAGACCCCTCGCCACCTCCTCGATCTGGAGACAGTCAAACAGCCGACCCAGCGCCTCCGAAGTGGCTGCCTGACCCATCACGCCCTTAAGTGCGGCAGGCACACCGCTCTCAATCAGCAGCTTCCTCGCCTTGACCCGGAGGTTCTCCTTCTCCTCTGCCGCCATCTCCGCCGGCCACGTCGCCCGCTCCTGCTCCGTGGGCATCGTGTTCTCCCGGAGCCTTTTCAGATGGCCTGCGATGCCGCTGTCCGATGTGTTGGCGTCAAGCACCGACGACTGGATGAGGGACTGGATTGAGAGCAGGGACGGGTTGCCCGGCCGCAGGAGGAACGACTTGGCCGCTGCGAGCAGCGTGCGTCGGATGTTCCATGCCGACGACAGAGTGTACAATTCGTTGATGACGGCAAAGATGAGCTCCACAGCCACGCGCGTGTCCTGCTCGGACAGCTTGGTATGCTGCTTCACTCCCTTCAACGGCGGGCCATTCAGCCGCTGCTGGGGGCTGCTGAACGACGGCATGGTCAAAGAGCGTGTATGGTGTTGGAAGTCGTTGGGGCGCACATTCGCCGGACTGACCGGAGATTCGTAGTCGTCCGAGATCATGTCCGGCGGCGGCGGCAACCGGAAGCCCTCGAAGCTAAGGCTGGAAGGAGACCGTGCGGGCGGCGCCCGGCTTGGCGCGCGACTCGACGGCCGGCTATGTTCCCGGCTGTTTCTCGCCGACGCCGAGGCTGACGCCCGGGAACGCGGCTGGTTTTCGGGTTCTGCATCGCCTTGCGACTGGTAGCTGGGGCGACGTTCCATCGGCGGGATTTTACCGGGCTGCAGCGCGACAACTGACGAATGCTGGCTGTCCAAGCTGTCCCGAGTTCGCCGCATCCCGCTGAGAGATGCGCTGCTGTCCGCGCGAGGCAGCGCCGAAATGGACAAGCGACTAGCTGCCGTCACGTCCTGCAAGGCCGAAGGCGGAGGAGACTGGGCAGGAGGTGCTGACTTCCGCTGTCCCAGACCGATATTTCCCAGCACTCCCGTCACGCCGCCAACCACCGCCTTCGAGCCCTCTAGCGGGGCGCTCGTGAGCACGTCCAGCACGTTCTTGCCCAGCTTTTCGAACGCTTGGAATCCAGACTTGGGGGCGTTCGGGATATGGCCGTTGTCCTTCTCGAGGAACTTCTTCAGCCCTTCGCTTTCTGCCAGGCTCTGGTGCGAGCAGGCATCGCGTAGGTAGCGCTCCAGTTCGCTCCGCAGAGATGTCCGGGTGTGTGCTTTCCAAGACGGTACGGTGCCGTGTTGCCCTGAAAACCCCGTGGCGCCAGATACTGTCGCAATCCGCCGTAGCACCTCGTGTAGGGTCTCGAAATCGCTGTATTTTCTGACAATCATCCACCCCGGGTAAAGCGTCGTGGCTGGTTCGATCTGCACTAGATAATCCCACGAAGGCTTGGACCTAATCCGGCCATCGCCCGGCTCGTCCAGCACGGTAATGGTGGCGTTATGCAGAGTCAACGGGGCCGGCTTGCGAGGCACGTTCGCCTCATTTCCTGTCTCATCTCGAGTGCGTGGAACGATCTGGTCAAAGCTTGTGAAACGGGACCCCGAATCTGCTGGGGGAGACGAGTTATGGCTCGACGAGGGAGTCACGCCAGATAATGGGGTGACGGGAGTGTGGATGGCTTCGTTTCTGCCCGTTGACCCATCACTGCTCGTCCTCTTCGGCGCGCTCGCGGAGGTGTCCAATGGCCGAGGAAAGCCTGGTTTCTCAACGGCGCCCTTCATGTCGGATCCATCACCCTTGCGTTTCGGGGCGTCGGCAGATGCACTCCCGGTCTTGGTAGCGGTCTTGGTAGGTTCTGAACTGTGCTCTTGTGATCCTTCCCTGAGTGCCGTTTCCTTGGCGATCATCTCGTTCAGGCGCTTCATCTCTTCCACAGCCAACTCCATCTCCTCCTCCGCTTTGCTCAGCTTCTTCTTGTGAGCCAAGGACTCCTTCCGGCGTGCCTTCTCGTATTCAAACGAGTTCCTATTCCCTTTGGTGAGGCCAATGTTGCCCACATTGCCGTCCAGATCAGCAAATGCCACATCGGCGCCGGGCCCGGTTTGCATGCCGACGTCGATGGCATGACTGAGGTCAGGCTCCCCGGACTCTAACAGGTATACAATCCACGAATTGATAAATTCCGGCTTCGAGCACGACTGCAGCGTCATCTCCAGAACGACACCAGCCAAGATCTCCCTCAGGAAGACTCTGGCGGCATCACAATCGTACGCTGGACGGTCCAAGAAGCCCAGGAGGTCCTCGGAAGCCATGCGGAATTTGCCCGCTTGTTGCTTCTGGTCTAGCAGGTTGGCTAAGTTGGACTCGGGATGCGAAGCAAGATAGTTGTAGACAGCATCTGCAGCCGTGGCGTTGGAGTCGGGTGGCAGCTCGGAAAAGGCGTTGGAAAGCTCAGACATAAAGACAACAAAGATGGAAGAAGAGTTGGTCAGGAGCTCGAGGAAGGCATCTGCAGGCCGTTTTCTGCTGAGGCAGTTGGAAACAGAGGTGATGAAGGACGTGAGCGTCTTGCGGCAGGCCATTGGGAAGGACTTGTCTGCAGGCACAATGGGGGAATACCACCACTTGACATAGTTGTCGATGACAGCGTCAACGAGCTCATTCAAGGCTTCGCGCGTCTCAGGCTGCAGGTCGTCAAATGAGCGCACCAGTGCGCCCTCTGAGTCCTCTGCGCTCTGTTCCTCAAGCAACGCTTTGTCCGAGTCCTTCCTGGCCGCGAGCAGCCGCGCCAAAACATCAAGCCCTCCTTCGCCCCGGACCGCGCGCGCCACTTCGATATTGCGCTGTTCCCATTGTATGAAAGACACGATCCCACCGAAAGCGCCTATCAACACAAGACCCAGTCTGCCCAACACTAGGTAAGTCGTTGCGGCTAGGCCGACAGCGACACCACCGAGGGTTTCGGGCGTTGCTGTTGCGAGGAAACGGAAGACTCGGTTCGTTAGACTCTCGTTGTCACTGGCGTTTGGAGGGTTCGACGGATGACGAGCTTGTTGTGCGTCGGGCTTAGCGGCTTCTTCTGTTTTGCTTTTCTCTTCCATCTTATCGGGTATGGCGCCCCGAATCGGCGCATGTTCTTGTTTCATAAACAGGAAGGGCCCGGCCAGGAATTCATTTGATTCGAGCTGCTGATATGTTGGCGTGGGCAACGGGAACAAGCGGACGACACGGCGCGGATGAACCTAGGCATCAAGCAACTAAACAAGGCATTGAGGTGAGGCAGGGGCTATCCACGGCATCGAATGATGATTTTCAAAGGTTTTTTGTTGCTGACCGACACACGAACCCTTGGCCGATTTCAGGGGCCTTCCCCAAACTGACAAGATCTGGCCAGCCTTGGCAGTGCCAAGCTTCCTCAAAACATCGTGTCTCCACCGCAGGGCTTGTTGCAGGCTTGCCAAGCTTTCTGTTTGATGAATGGGTGGGATGCATGATTTCAGGTCACGTGCCGACGCGCTGCACATAGAGTCGTAAATTACATATGAAGGGGTACGGTACATCGTGCCGACGTCACGACCGCAGCTGTGTCGCGCAGTCCCGCGCTGGTAGAGTTGGCGCCTCGGGTCTCGACAAGCAAACAACTTATCTTCCCACAGCTCTTGGATTGAACTCGAGTTTTGAGCACACAGTAGCGATCAGTATCGCAGAGGTTAACACGTTACATTCACAAAACATTACTAGCGCATCGCCCTCGCCCAACAATGCCGTTCAAGAAAAGGCGCCAAATTGAAGCCGACAGTGACGGGGAAGCACAAGTCACCAAAAAGGCCAAAGGCGACAATAAGCCCAAAAAGGACCTCTCCAAGGGCAATGATGCAGAGGGAAATCCATACTGGGAGGTTGGTTTTCTTACCATTTCGACATGCCAAGTCCTATTAACTCACTAATACTCTCTCCGTAGATTGGCAGCAACCGGCGTGTCGGCTCTTCGCAGTTCAAGGGTGCCACTCTGGTCAATATCCGGGAGTACTACACGACTCCTGATGGCGAATTACGACCTGGAAAGAAGGTAGGAGTATCTGATTGCGCCTACCACTCATCCGCAGCCCACAACTCCAACAGCAGGGACTAACAGTTATCTCAGGGAATCTCACTTTCACTAGATCAGTACAAGGCCCTTTTGAAGGTCATTCCGGAGCTCAATGAGGAGCTCCGCTCACAAGGGCACGCTGTGGACGAAACCCAGGTCTCTGGAACCAGCGATGCCTTGGTGAAGGCGGAAAAGCCAACTAAGTCCAAGAAGCCGAAAAAGCCCAACTTCGAGCAGACAAGTGAGGAAGAAGAGGGAGACGATGAGGAAGAGGGAAAGGACGAAGAGGAGTGAGGGAGTCGTACGTTCAGGGACGATGTGTTCGATTTGATATAATCCACGTGCTTTGGGAACGCATTTATTTATCTTGCTGGGTGAACTGGGCGAACTAGGGAAAGCGTTACAGCCTACATTGGCCTGGGTTGACTTGAACGAAGTTATGACCTTAATAACCACAGTATTCTCTGACACCGGTGTTCAATTTAGTGAAACTTGGCCAAACTGGGACGGCCTTCATTGCCATCTCCATGCCGCTCTATCCTCTAGCCTATGATTCTTATAATGCTGCACACAAAGTTACTTCCTAGGACGGTATCACAGCGTTGCAGCACCATTCAGTGCCCATACTTTGATTCCATTAATAGGCGGGTGTCCCGTGTTTTGTATCTCACACCCATTACAGTTGAAATCAGCTTTGATGTATTATACACTGCTAGATTCATGAATGGTAAGTACATGGCTGGAGTTGCCAGTGTTGATTCCGTCATGACCTCTTTTCCTCTTCGCGAAGCCGAGCGATCAGTTTCTCTCGTAAGAACGGGCTCAGCCCAAGACTGGTGGCAGCCAGGTTAGTAACCCCTGCTGACAAGAAGAACGACTAGATTGGCAATGTATCCTCTCACATTCCCTGATTTGTCACAATCCGGTATGTGCCGCTGGCCTGGAAGTTGCCGATGATCTCGCCCTTGCCGTCAACCTCGACGCTGCCGAGGATATCCTCCGGCCTGGCATGAAACAACCCAAAGTCAGCCAGATTGCAGGGTTGGCACCCAATGATGATGGCCTTGCAGAATGAGACCCTACCAGGCGATCCTCCCAAAATCTGGCGGATTGCGCGTATCGCTCAGATGCACCCATCCGCCTACCCCAGCCCCTCCCGCGCCGCCCTCGGCACTAGCACCTCCGGCCCCGGTCCCGGTGCCCCGCGAACTCCGAGCCTGTATGAAACTAAAACCTCCCGGAGAAGCGAACGCTTGCGCCTGGCTCTTCAGGTCCGGGTCATCGGCAGCGTGTTTTGCAAGCACATCGTTGAGAATCGAGAGGAAGCGCGGGTTGCCTTGGAAGGAGCCTGGGGTTGGCGGGACGACTGTTGTGGTGCCAATTGCAACAGAGGGATTAGGAGGGTTCGTGTCGAGGAGGGATAGGAGGTACGAGCTGCGGGCTTGCGGATTGGGGAAGACTTTCTGATAGAGATGTTAAGCTATGCCATCGGTTTTCAAGTGGGGAGATATAATCACAAACAATGCTAGGATTAGAGGCTAATGTTGACAATCCCCGCGAAAAGCTGCGGAATTGCCGTATCGTGAACAGGCTGGCGGTCGACATGTTGCTCGCCTTGGCGGACGAGTAGCTCAGAGCGGGAGCCTTTCTGCGACGATGCCGTCATGCAGGCAGTGATGTAAGCTTTCGGAACGTCACAGCAAAACGGAGCTCCAGTTGCCTGCCGGAAACCGTTACATACGGATCCCTGCTTTGCACCCTTGCCTGTATCCCTGTTACGCCCCGCCGCCAGACGCGTAGAGACGCGTGCATTGTCGCCCATTTAGGCGATGCCCAAGCTACCAGGTACATACCTAGGTTACCTTGGCTATTGCGAAAGTACGGGTTCCTGGACAACAAACCGCCGCGATTACCAGCAAACTGAGCCTGATCGAACCAGCGCAATACCGCGAAAATGATGATAATACAGAGTCCCAAGAAGAGCCCCCGGAAAAACCAGCCAAAGAGCCCTGAAAAAGGCGCCAAGAGGGCCAAACCACCGCCGCCGCCTTTTTTCGCGGCCAGGAACCCGGGCCCCTCGAGCGCGATCCCGTCCTCATCGCCTGCCTTCGCGACGCCTGCACACCCGTTAAAGCCATTCCAACCACCAGCTCCCGCGAAAGCAGCTGTTCTCCCCATAATCCTCCCTCCTGCGACATTGAGGCCACTGGCATTCCGGACCTTCACCAAGAAACACAGCTTGACGCTAACGTCCTCGGCGCTCCAGGAGCTGGCCACTTTTATCGGCAGGCATTGCGGCTCGGGATGGAGGGAAGAGGGTCTCGCCGAGAAGGTCTTGGAAGAGGTCGCCCGGACATGGAAGAATCGCAATGGCGGGGTCATCGTGGAGGGCACCAGCCCCGAGCTGAAAGACATCCTCAAGACCCTGGAGGGAAACATGAGCGGCGGGAAGATCCTGACAGGCCCCCGGGGTTTGAGTCGTCAGAACAGCTTGATGTTTGAGCCGGCTGACGATGCGGACCTCTCGAAGACCAGACAAGGACTGAGGCCGACAACAACGCTCGCACGGGATGACAGCCAAACCAGCTTTGGCATGTCTAGCATGGACGTTGACGAGGAACCGGACGACGAGGAACTGCAGGATGTTAGGAAGTGGCTCAAAGTTATCAACGCCTTTGACCAGCCGCGGTACACATACAACGTCGCGAAGAAACATTTCGAGAAGTCGGGCCCCTTCCCCGTTCGCCTTGTGCACTCATGGCGAGGGTGGTGCTAACAAGACCGCAGAGTCACTTCTAAACCATCTATCTTACCCTCTGCCTTGCACAAGACCGAGGCCTTCCGGAATCGATACAACGTTATCCATCAGCGACTGCTCCGCAACGAATCCTTTCAGACATCAACCGTCACAAGCTCTAGGAGCACCGTACTCCGTCGGGGCGCATCCTCCGCTATGCAGTCGCACAAGATAACGCCTATCGCAAACCTCCTCGGCCGCCACGGTACCAATCACATGCTACTCGGGATGCTGGTCATCTTGCCCACCGGAAACCTCGCCATCAGCGACTTGACGGGGACCATCACGCTCGACTTGTCGCATGCAGTCGCCATCCCGGAGGATTCGGCATGGTTCACGCCGGGCATGGTGGTGTTGGTCGACGGTATTTACGAAGAAGAGGAGGAGTCGACGGGCAAGGGGCTGAGCGGCAGCAGCGGTGTGGGAGGTACCATTGGTGGCCGCTTCCAGGGGTTCTTCATTGGCCAGCCGCCCTGCGAGAAGCGTCGCGCGACACTGGGAGTGAGTGGTCTGGAAGGCGGAGCGGATCATACCATCGGGGGCGGCTTCGGATGGATAGACTTCCTCGGGGTAGGGAGTGAGCGGGCTGTCGGCTCTCGCATGCGAAAGCTGGAACAGAGATTAATACGCCAGCCGTCGTTGGCAGATCCAGACAGCCCCGGACGAAGTCGCATGGTCATCGTGGGCGAGCTGAACCTCGACCAGCCGCGCAGCCTGCAGGCATTGAGGAAGATCCTCTCTCTCTATGCCACCGATCCGGAAGGGTCGACTCCCATGACCTTCGTCCTTGCTGGCAACTTCACTACCCACGCCGTCATGGCCCGCGGCGGTAGCGGTGGGAGCATAGAGTACAAGGAATTCTTCGATGCCTTGGCCTCCACGCTAGCCGACTTCCCCATGCTCCTGACCACAGCAACCTTCATATTTGTCCCCGGCGACAACGACGGGTGGGTGTCGGCATTCTCAGGGGGCGCCGCCGTTCCGCTCCCGAGGAAACCCGTGCCGGATCTTTTTACCTCCCGAATCAGGCGGGTCTTCACGGCAGCCAACGCTGAAGCAGGGCTGTCCTCCGCCGAAAACAAAGGGGGCGAAGCCGCTTGGACCACGAACCCTTGCCGCCTCTCGCTCTTCGGACCCAACCATGAGATCGTCCTCTTTCGAGACGATATCTCAGCCCGTCTTCGCCGCTCCTCCGTCCGCCTCAAGAGCAAGGCCGCCGCCGCCGCCGCCAACGACGACGAACCACAACCACAGCCACAGGGGGACAATGACGACGTGACCATGTCTGGCGCCAACCCCGCCGCCGCCCCCTCCTCTCCTTCCCGACCCGACGCGATGGACGTCGACCCTATCCCCCAGGATCAGCAGACCCCACCCTCCAGTCCGGGGCAGCCTCCCAAAGACGACGTACCGTACGACGTTCTTGCCGCCCGCAAACTCGTCAAAACCCTCCTGGACCAGGGCTATCTTGCCCCCTTCCGCCAGTCCATCCGCCCCGTGCACTGGGACTACACGTCAGCGCTGTATCTGTACCCGTTGCCGACGGCCCTGGTGCTGGTGGACACGACCGCGCCGGCCTTCTGTGTGACCTACGAGGGCTGTCACGTCATGAACCCCGGGAGCATCCTGGTCAGTGGTCGGCGGGGCGTGGCGAGATGGATCGAGTACGCGGTGGGGACGGGAAAGGGGGGTAGGGTTCGGGAGTGTACCTTCTGAGTGCCTAGGTCCTGGATGGCTGTTGTTCTTTGGGAGTATAGGATAACGAGGATACTTTGACCGTTTATGGATATTTGTGGGCTGTGTGTGTCGGCGATAAAGGGGTTGAACGGTCACGATGACTACGAACGCATGTATGTACGGTGCATGGTTGGAGAGGACGTATTTACTGGTGGTTCGCGCAGATAATTCATCTGAAAGCAGGACGAAAGGAATGAGCGCGGGCAGCGACAACTCTTGGATTTTCTGCTTGACTATCACAGACATGCCGAAGATGAAAGCACTCCTATACGGAACGAGGACATGTGAGATTAGATACGGTAGCTATAGCACCGTGAGCATTGGGCCAGTACCCGGCACATCTGCGGCTTTGACGGTCTGCTACATCAAGTATCACATGGAATGTGTTAGCTTAGCATAGGGTTTCTCTTTCGAAGGGCCCTCACACCGTTGACCACATGGCCCGCTAGTCACCTTCCAGCTGCTCGGTTAGCCCGCGAGCGAAGGAATTCTTCATTCTATATGCGGAAAGCAAGGAGGACTTCATGAAACCGAATACCGGCGTGAGAAGGTGCCCAAGCTCCACTTGTAAGACGGGCGGGTTGCTTGATCCTGCGCACAGAACAGTTTAATTCCCTAGTGGACTACCTTACTCGATCAATGTTGCGTTTCCGGAAGCGATGTAATGAGTGTTCCCGAACTTGCTAATGAACAGGATCCGATGATGGTCCCGAGTACGAGTGGAGCACCCGTAGGCTCCTGTTTGTTGAGAATTCAATATCTGATTCTGAACTGGGTGACTGACGACACCGGTCCTCGTCACTGTAAGTACCTAAGGCCTTGGGCTACGGTCTCAGTCTAGTCGCGAATTATTCATTTGGCAGCGCCTGCACATAGTATGTGACTTGAGAGAGGTGCTGGATTGCTTCTCACTGAACCGTTTCAGTTGTTACCGAGATGCTGTCTTTCTCGAATTTGCATTGTGTTCCCGACTCAGAGGTCTGACATCAGACTTGCTTAAAGATTAGCTAGGTATGCCCTCGTCTGTCAAGCCAGGCAAAGCTAACCATCTGAGCGATTTCCCAAAAGAGAGAGACATGCATTTCCTTTTCGCCTAAACTCTGCAGAAGGGCGTGTTAAGTGGCTGCAAGCCTCGTATTCAAAGGCGTCTGCAATCTGCCCAAGTAGTATGTGAGTATTACAGACTCATGTGCTGTCCAAAACGGCTACCGCCGTTTGCTGTTGAAGAGGCAGTGATGTGCACCGCATCTGAACCCATACAGCATTACACAGCCTGCCCGTCGATGTTGGGCCGAAGACAGGGCGGGGTTCCGCTGCTGGCCGTTCATTCAACGACGTGCAGCATGCTGTGGTGGCTGGATGAAGCCCGCCCATCAGAGGCCTGGTAACTGGCTAGGAATCAAGTCGTGTCCGGGGCAAGGCTCGGCCCAACGGCTGAACTGCTATGCTAGTGGCTTGCCGATGCTAAGTAGAAACCGCTCAACCGCGGGATAAAAGCAGGAACAACTGAGATGAATACCGAGATGATGAACGGGGATTGCCCGCTCTAGAGAGGCCAAGTGCGCTAGATCAATAGGGCTGAAGGAGCCCCGACTCTACGATTGGCTGCCCTCCGGCTCTCCCTTGTGTAGCCCCTTAGCCCCGAGAGGCTTGCGGTTCTTGGCCAGAGAAGCTCGATTAAATAGTGCGGGGTGATTAGGATGTTGATGGGTTGGCCGGTGTTGACGGATGTGGTTCTCGGTCCCGGAAATGAAGCGCCTCTCCGTGCCTAGAAGGCTAGAACCAGCCGAGTCACAGTTCAGGTCTGCGGTGTTGTTGAAGGTCATTCCCAGTCACAGAACTTGGTCATCAGAGCAGCTCCTGGCTCTCGGTGGGCTGTACGCTCCAAGCATATAAATCTCAGACCGTGCAGCAGCGCTAGAGGACATGAAATCCGTCATCCATAAGAAGCAAGCGTTATGTACGGAGGTAAATCAACGTACTGTCTGACTGTACATCCATACACCACTAGTACGTTACTGTACCAGTACACAGTACGAGCTGCTGCCCCGCTGCTCAACCCTTAGAAGCGGGACTCAGCTTGGCATGCATCCTTGAAGGGCGTTTGATTGGATGTTCGGTACTTGGGCACCGAGCCCCACATTCAAGTTCCACTCCCCCACGTGCTTTCAACCTCAGCCCGCCAAGACATCATCAGTTTGCTGCTTTGGCGTTCACAGATTCCCACGAGGCCGGCAACCTTTGTGACACCAAGCACCTTATCAAACCGAGATTCTTAACTTACATGGGACGTTGGCGTGGAAAACCGATGAGAGTCAGTTCCAACCCTTGTGGCTTAGCCACGACAGAACATCGCGGAAGGAGTGGCAACCATGAGGGCACCGCCTAAGCGGTGATTAGGTACAGGGAGCCCGTATGTAGTGCGATGTGCGGTCATAGACATACTGTACGCATTTCTTTGCCGCCATCTCCCTCAATGAGGAACGCCCACGTCAAGCAGCCCCCATACTGTTTCTACCCTTGCTTACGCTCCGTTCATAGCAGGCACCGTGATGAGATACCAGCGGCGGCAGTTGAAGATATATGCCAACGCTGTTCCCTACTCTTTCCTATGACATGCATGGAACTATGAGTGCGCTATCGAAGCGGCCGTACATCAAGCGCCGCCAACTCTCAATCTTGATGATAGCGCACAGCATCAATCCCAAGAATACCCACGAGTTACCGAGATTTGCCAACCCGACGGACATCACACCACTAGTTACTCTCCCCCGAGAGTGGCGCATGGCGAACGGAAGGAGAAAGCCAGTCGGTCCATGCAAGGGTCAATTACTCTATGCTACTACCGACATGCCGCCTCCAGATTGTGGCCATGTGCCGCCGGGCATTTGGCTGAGGTCGCGTTCGGATGCTTTTGCCAGTGGAAGGTGGGATGCGGCTTACATTATGGATGGTACCCGGACTGTCGGCAATGGAGAGACGAAATGCAGTACCGCAGGGCTTGATGTCCCTTTTTACCGGTGCTTCATAAGCCTCGTCCGATGCTTGGCAGGAGGGTCAGCCTCAGGCAGTGCTATCGGAGGCAGCTCTGGCACAAAGCACGTCATTCAACACCGAGACTCCCCAGTTACGTCGAATCTCCAGACGGGTGCAGACGGTGTAGCTGGGGCTGGCTCCACCTCACGCCCCTGGGTAGCCATCCGTATTGGCCACATCGACGCGCTCAACAGATGGGATGATACCGTGCGTGTGGCCACAGCTCTCCACCTTCTCCAACGGATTTATTAAAGCCCTTCGGTCTGGTCTGACGTCCCTCGAGTCGCGGTTCTCCAACACTCTCGTTCATCACCTACGGCTCTCAAGTCTCAACCAGTGCTCCCACCACAGCAGTCGTCATGCTCACGTCTCGCGTCCTCTCGTTTTCTTGCCTGTCCCTCGTGTTTTATGCCAGGGCGGCAACAGTTACTTATGATTTTAATGTAACATGGGTGTGGGCAAATCCTGATGGATTGTTTGGAAGGCCCGTCGCGGGCATAAACAACAAGTGGCCATGTCCAACAATCGAGGCCTCCAAGGGCGACACGATCGTCGTCAACGTCAACAACCAGCTGGGTAATCAGACCACCGGACTTCATTTCCACGGTGTCAGACAGATTGGTACGCCGATGATGGACGGTCCCAGTAGCGTCAACCAGTGTCCGATCGCGCCCGGCTCCTCGTTCAAGTACCAGTTCACGGTGAACGTGCCTGGTACCTATTGGTGTAAGACAGGTTTTATCCCACCACCCGATATGATCAAGGCTGACAAGATCAATCGCAGGGCACTCGCACAACATGGGGCAGTATCCTGACGGTCTGCGCGGTCCTTTGATCGTGCACGATCCTGATGACCCCTACAAAAGCGACTACGACGAGGAGCACATTCTCACGTTCTCGGATTGGTAAGGTCTCACCACCCTTGAAACAACAGCGCGACCGGAGTGCTCACAGCCTGCGTCTATAGGTACCACAATGACAGCACCACCGCGGTCCAGGACATGCTCGTCCCTACCAACACAGTATTCAAGCCTCCCATCCCGGACAGCTTGATTGTCAACGAAGGGCAGGGTTTGCATCTCAACTTTACAAGCGGCAAGAAATATCGCATTCGGATGATCAACTATGCCGCCTTCGGATCGGCCATGATCCACTTCAACTCGCACACCATGAACATCATCAGCGCCGATGCGATCAACGTCAAGAAACAGGACGCTTACCATCTCCGGCTTGCGCCTGCCCAGCGGTACGACGTCTTGATCGCTGCGGCGGACGGGGACAACGCAAACTACCCCTTCCTTGTCTCTCTGGACCTCAATCGCGATTGGACCAACTCCTCGTCGACGCTGAACTGGAGTCACAATTACACAGGCTATCTCGTGATGGACCCGTCCCAGCCGCTCGATTTGCTTGATGTCGTGGATAAGTGGGATCCGATTGACGAGTTTCGTTCCCTCCATCCCTACGACGGAGCTCCGGCCCTCGGCCCATATGACAAGCTGATCCTGCTTGACTTCAAGTTCTGCCTCGACCAGAACGGATACCCACGGTATGTGTCGGACCCGTCATTTTCTTCGATTGCGCTATTCAGCGGCCCCTAACTCCCTGCCCTACAGGTCGTGCTTTAACAACGTTACGTACATTAATCAGCTAGTGCCGACCCTCTACAGCGCCGCCACGACCGGTGATCAAAACACGAATCCGGTGGTGTACGGCCAGGTCAACCCGTTCATTGTGAACTACAATGAGACGGTGCAGCTGGTAATGAACAACTTCGACAATGCCAACCACCCGTTCCACCTCCACGGGCACCACTTCCAAGTGCTCGATCGCCCCCCCAGCGGCACAGGCGCCTGGTCGGGTCGTGACACCAACTACACCAACACGCCTACCCTGCGCGACACCGTCACCGTCATGCCCAACTCGTACACGGTGCTGCGCTTCAAGGCCGACAACCCGGGGGTGTGGCTCTTCCACTGCCACATCGAGTGGCACGTCGAGATGGGCCTAACCGCCACCATCATCGAGGCGCCCGACCGCCTGAGGAATATGACCTTCCCTCAGGATCATATTGACACGTGCAAGAAGTTGGGAATCCCGTACCAGGGGAACGCCGTGGGCAACACGCAAACCGTGACGGATACATCGGGCTACGCCACTGTGGCGCCTACAACTTATACTGGGTTAGTTTTCTCCCTTGTTCTTCTTCTTCTTCTTCTCCATCATCATTGCCTCCATCGTCTTGGTCGTCCTCATCTCCTCTTCCGACCTTCTTGTTACTTCATTCCCCTCGTACTTTCATATTGTTACCCGCTCTTGGGCGGGAGCCATAAGCTGACCTTGTTTGCAACTAGTGCCGATTACACTCCCGTACCCCGACAGAACCGCGATTTCATCGGCCCGAGAAGAGGGCGGCGGGTAGTTCGAGGTTTTTGAGGTTGATTGGTTATTAAGCAGACTGAATACTGCGACCTTGCCGCGAACCTGTTGGGTTTGAAAGCGTGTCTTGTTTCCCATTTTTGGATTATAGAGGGTATTAGATCAAGGAGGTTCTTTGGCGGCGTTTTGGTATACCGTCCTTGGATTAGGTCCTTGAATAGGCTATTATATAATGTTTTGATGCCCCCTTCTTGTTGAACCCGGCCATGTAGGAGGATTCGCCCTGATACCCCGTCTGCTCATTCTGCAAAATATAACGCGGCGTTTACTGTGATGGCGTAGCTGAGTGCGTCTGATATTCGCTGGGTATTAGTGGTGTTCATCCGATGTGAGTGGTGTGCCATAACCACATCCTGCGGCGACTGCGGCCTTGGCCAGTGGGAAGGGGAGGTGATAGGGCTTGAACGGACAAAAGCAAACTCGGAGGAGAGATCGGGTAGAAGATAGGAATGTGACCATACATACATAGAGAAGTTCCAACCGCAGATAGGCAGATTTCAAGCAATCCAGGACCTAAGTGTCGAAAAGCGAGGCTGAACTGCTGCTATCCGGCTTGTTGCCGATGGCCAGTGTGTGTAATATCCTAGTATTCTCTCAGCGGCCACAAGAGGCGAACGCTGTCACTCTATCGCTCGCCGGTCTCGGGTCCTTATATAGGCGGTTTCTATGTAGCAGCCGGTGGCCCAGCTGGCTTACGACCAGTCTCACGCAGATACTTCCGAACTTTCGGTACGCAACTGCAACCCGCCCCGGGACCAGGGTCATTGCTTCCCGTGAGCATCTAGATGGGCGTTAAGCGCAGATCCGGCCCTGCAGATGCAGACACACGGTAACACGATGTTCAGTAGGTTTGGAGGACGTGTGGTTTCTTCCACAACTGAGACCAGAGATCCGGCAATGCATCTAGGGTCGCCGGGGCACTCATGATCACTTCCGAATGACCTACATAGTTCTTATGATATCGGGAGGAGGTATAATAAACGCGCGAAGGGCGAAGCCCTACCAACCCTGGTGCGATTGCTAGCTAGCTACCAAGATGGGGCCATCGAGCTTCAACGAGTCACCCTCTGGGCGACAAGGGGTGGAAAGGGCGTGAGACAAGCGCCACTACAGGCCAAGTGAGCCTCGGGTACGCGATAGTAGCTGATGGGACAACCGCACATGTGTCTCGTAGGAGCCACTTCCCAATTCCCGGGAGCTGTTCACAGGAGTTCTTTGTAGCATCCAGAGGGATGAGATCTGAAATGTTCCAGTCGCACATGACTATGCCCCTGACATGATCGAGCAATCGACGATCTGTCAAGTTACTTACCTTAGGTAAGGTAGGTATGGGACTGGAAGGGAAGCACTCTTTCAACTGTGGGGATTCACCATGCAGTCCGCATAGCAACCTTGCAGAACAACTTGACGGCCATAGGGTGATGGCATGCTTCGTCTAATGATCTCAACTGTGGTAGGCTGAGACGCGGCGTGGTTCGACGCCTTGGAGGAGAAAATAGAGCTGCCGGTAACTTGTCGACCGGATATTCCTCGGGGCTGGGTTGAAAGGCGAAAGAAAGCAGAAGCAGCAAATGAGAATGTTCAGCTGTCGGTCTCACACGTGCGGCGTTTGGGAACAGCTCCTGGGCCACACCACATCACTGACCAGCTCCCAGGAGCCCAGGAATGCCTTGGACCGGGGTTGCTTCAAAGCGAAGTAATTGCAATTCTGTCACTTGACAGGCTCATAGAGCTGGGCTCCATCGGTAACGCCACATGGTGCGGCGGTGCTGCGGTGCTGCAGTGTGCCTTGTCCAGCCTCATTGAGCTCAGGAGCGGGTGCGCATACTTCACGCCGCTTGTTCTCGACGGGCTGGGGGGAGGCGCTGTAGTGTATTGGGCAAGAGCCGGCTAGCTGGAAGCTTGTTGGAATACCTCGTGTTACAGCCCGCCAAGACGAGCTTTATCGGCTAGGTTGAGTTGGAATCGCGTGGCGGGGACGGACCATCGCGGGGACGGACCATCGGGGGTCCGGAGGCGGCAGGAGACTATCTTCGGACGCAAATAGCGCGAGGTGCGACACCAGCGCACGGGCAGAACGTCGTACCCACGTCCGTAGCGAGAGGTGGAATGAGAACATCCATGAGATACGAATCTGGAGAAGCGAGCCACTTGTAGGGAAGTCCGGGTCCCCTAGGTCCTGAAGAGATTGGAGGACAACCGGAACGTCGGCACAGGCAAACTCGCCAAACGCGTCGATATTGGTCAAACCCTCGTGATTGTGTCCGGAGGGGTTCATGATCAAGGCAATTGGTAAGGAAAGACGACGAAGAACAAGTCTGTCGGACTCGGCAGTGGGGACGGCCTAGTGGTGAGCACTGCGGGCCGGCACCGGGCGGCGGGCGTCGCAGGTTGGTTCGCATGTGGACTGACACAACCCTACTAGAAGTTATTTCTATTGTATAGCTGTCTTGGAAAGAGTCCCGAGGCAGTTGTCAATCGGCCCAGACTCAAATCACTGTTGAGTTCTGAACCAGGGAGGTATATTGTTGAGCGCGGCGGGAGTCCGTAAGGGTGGCGTTGTGAGCCTCGACTGCGGGTTGCCTGCGTTTACTCCCTCTGTGCGTTGTGTCCTTGAATCCCTGGAGGACGACAGGTCTACACAGTGGGCTTTCTCCGTAGACGCCGGTAGGGAGCAGTCTTGCGTGTGTCTCGAGTTTGCAGGAAGCGACGTGGCTACCTAAGGTAGTTAAGAACGGTAAAGAACACTTGATGATGTTTGAGCCGGCGAGTAACGTTGAAGCGCGAGAAATGGTAGCGCCGGGCAGGTCCGTTGCAGCTGCTGACAGCTGCCGTCCAATGTCGTGCAAGCTCGGATAATTGCACTGGTGGTGCCATATGGTGCGTGCAATCTGCCCAGAAGATCTTTATATCGGATGTTGCGTCTAGGATCTACATGTAACGTATATGCTGATTTTTTGTGTTACATACAGTTCACGAATATTGCTTGCCTTGCATGAGCGTCCAGTCGACCTGCCGAAACCTCAAGAGGGGATCCAAATCTGTAAAAGCCCCTACTGTACGACACAGGAGTCAATGGCAACTTCGCCCGCGATGCTGGAACGACGTACTGCTCTCATTGTCCTCAATCCCAAGCGACGAGCATTACCCGCGGCTTGGAGACCGCTCCGGAACCCAAAACCAGTGGCATTATACAGTTTGGTGGGTGCCAGCAATCTGGATGCTCCAGCCGCCCTGTTCGTGCTTCGCGAGTGGCCTTAACCGGATTGTCGAGATGCGTCCGTATCGCCAGCCGCCAGCCGCACATCAACCTTGCATAAGCCGCCTTGCCTAGATATGTCTTACCACGCTGCCTCCAGACCTGGCCTTGTCAAACCTCAAGTGTCGATCAACCACCCAGGCGCAGGCAGCGCTGGTATGATGGACACGGCGACAGCGAAATTGGTGGCTTTGCTCCGGGACTCCGGGATACATACTAGCAAATTATCTCCAGTTTCGTGTCCCTGAAGGCAAGCAGGGGACCACAGATAACCCCCCTCGACGCAAAGCCCCCACTGCGAGATACGGCTAGACTCGCAGCGGGATGGCGGAGGAGTAGGACCGCATGATTGACTTTGATAGCCTTGGAATGTTGGGCGTGCCGCGTCCGATCGCGATCCAGATGCTGCATCTAGATGGGTTACGGCCACATGCAGACCCGGAGACAGCCAGAGCCCAGCAATCGGCACCTGGGTCTCAGATCAAACGGCACGAACTCATCAATTTCTGCTTGCCTTGGCTTTCGCTGCCCCGCCGCTTCTTCCTCGTTGGTTAAGACAGTGAATCTCGGACAGGTGCTTACCAGATCACTCGGCTAGGTTGGAACGGAGTCGCGGCCTGCTCGAGAGTCGGGCAACCTTCACAGCAACCTCGACGCCGCTCTGGATCTTTCCAGTTCGCCTCATGACTGATGTCCCGGGGCACTCTACATTGTACATTACATCCGTGGATGATGTACCGCACTTACCCGTGTCTAATCCTTACTACTGCATGGCGGGAACTACACACGATAGGTACTCGACCATCCTTGAGAGCTGAAAAGGGCAGGTATGGCATGGATCCGGCCTATCGCATGCCGGTAAGCTGCTTGGGTTAGTCGCCCGCCAATAGATGTCGATGAGGCTCTCGTTCCCGTCCGCGACCACAACGACACGTCGTGCCTTCCGGACCGCGCCCTCCCACCCGTGGACCAATGTCAACCCTACATCCGACGTCATCAACGGGAGAGCGTGGAGAATCCGAGGGGCAACCGCTCAGGAAGACGATGGGAACAACACCACCCTCGCTATCCTCACCCTGGAAGCTGCTCTTGAGGAATTCCTGTGTCTCTTGTGTCTTGTGCTGCAATCAGATTGTGTGCTGACGGCTTGTTGGGGTAGTCCGTTGCGGAATACTCCGGGCCGGCGCCCCGATGGATGCGCAGGGCCGGTCAACGGACTGAGTCCGCAAGGAAGTCTTCTCTCAGCGCTCATGTCACTCGGATGAGGCAGAGCTGGAAGGTTCCTGGTCGGGAACCCCAGGGGAGGCGGCATCCGCGAAGAAACCTGGAAGGTCCCGTCATGCACGCCTCGAGCCGGGGACAGGGACCTCCAAGGCTCTCCTTCACTTACATGTTCGGCTGTGAGGAAGGCACGTCCGGTTTCTGGAACACTCCTGGCAAGCTGGAAAGTCCCCGGCCTGGTTCAAGGTTCCATCCCACGAGATCCCCGGCGGTGGGCATCTGCATGCATGCGGCTGCCGCTTATCGCATTGCGCCTGCTTAACTACCCTATGCCTGCTATACACCACCTCGCCCTTTCCTCCGGGAAAGAGCCACCCTGTGCTATTTCAGTTGCAGCCGCCCTCCTCCGTTGATGGGAAGGAAGGAAGGATAAAACGGCCGGCTGACCAAGTGGAAATTTCTCCCATTGACTGGCACCCTCTCCCCCCGGAGATTGAGCGACCATCACCCAAACTTCCAGGTTTTAGGTTCACATCGTGTTGGACATCGAATGCCATCAGCATCCATCTGATACATTCTCATCCATCTTTTGTTATTAGACAAAGACGCCCGTGCGGCCATCAGGAGAGCATCTATACATCTCTATTTCTTTTTTCCTCTCAGAGTCCCCGCGCCAATCCACACAACCCCAAGGCACCAGGCAACGCCAGGTTCCCAATCATGGGCGCCAACGAGGATGACAGCTGGGCCGAGAGACCCACGTATCTCCTGCTGGGAGACCAGTCGCTTGACACACATGGATTCCTTGCCCAGTTCTTTCGCCAGGAGAAGCACGGTGAGCTGGCAAAGGCATTTCTGCGCCAGGCCGGTCACGCTCTCTTGTGGGAGATTGAGCGACTACCCAAGCTGGAGCGGGCAAAGCTTCCCGTGTTTCGGACATTACAGCAATTGAACGAGAGGTATCACAGCGCGGACTTCAAGCACGCAGGCGTCGACGCTGCTCTGTTGACCATCTCGCAGCTGGCACATTTCCTGGAGTAAGTCGGTCTTCAAAGGCTGTGTCGCTAACGCAACCGCGGTCTAACTAAACCGTCCTTTCAGTCACGCGGAGAAGCACTGCGAGGATATCCCTCACCATCAAAAGACCTTTGTCGTGGGTGTCTGCTCGGGCCTCTGGGCGGGAGCTGCCATCTCGGTGTCCCCGTCGCTGCCGGACCTCGTCCCGGTTGGCGTCCAATGCGTGGTCCTGGCATTCAAGCTCGGCGCCTATGTCCACGCGATCGGACAGCGGTTGAGCCCCACGAGTGACAGGTCCGAGAGCTGGACATACCTGTTTTCGGGAATGAGCCAAGAGGATATGGCCTCAAAGCTGGCTGAATTCCAGGATGCTGCCGTGAGTGACCAAAGACTACGCCTTGAGCCTCACGCCGTGTGTGTGTGTGAAAGCTGACCCCGGCCACAGGAGATACCCCTAGCAAGCCGCGCCTATGTTAGTGCGGTATCTGTTGACAGCATCGCAGTGTCTGGCCCTCCCACCACTCTCAAGGCCCTGGTTAACAAGGGGGTTTGCTCGGTGCGGCCGACGGCAATTCCCGTCCACGGCCCATATCACGCGTCCCATCTGCATTCGGGGGCCGACGTTCGGGACATCCTTGGGCTGGACGACCCGCAAGTGGAGGATGCCTTTTACAAGACACGGCCGCGATCGCCCATGATGTCGTGCACGACCGGGGATTGGCTCGTGGCCAGCGATACCAAGTCGCTCATGATCACCATCGCGTCGACTCTCCTGAACGAGACACTGATGTTCACCAAGGTGCTTGACGGTTGCCTTGATCATGCTCGCCAGTCGGAAGCGAAGAGTTGTCTTATCCTGCCGCTCGGCCCAACCCAGAATGCCGGCAGCCTCCAGAATCTCCTTAAGTCGCACACCGAGCTGGAGGTTATTCTCCGTGCGCCGCAGGCCGTGTCACCAGAGAGCACGGCGTCGAGCGTGGGGAACCAGGGCTCGAGCGGGAAGCCCAAGCTCGCCATTGTCGGCATGGCCGGCCGGTTTCCCGATGCCGCCAGCCACGAAAAGCTCTGGGAGCTGTTAGAGAAAGGCCTCGATGTCCACCGCATGGTTCCTCCCGACCGCTTCGACGTGAAGACACACTACGACCCGTCGGGCAAGGCCATCAACACCACCCACACGCCCTTTGGCTGCTGGATGAAGGAGCCTGGTCTGTTCGACCCCCGCTTCTTCAACATGTCGCCCCGCGAGGCGTTCCAGACAGACCCCATGCAGCGGTTGGCCCTGACAACCGCGTACGAGGCGCTGGAGATGGCGGGCTATACGCCCAACAGGACGCCGTCGACGAAGCTCGACCGCATTGGCACCTTCTACGGCCAGACGTCTGATGACTGGCGCGAGATCAATGCCGCGCAGGAGGTCGACACGTACTTCATCACGGGAGGCGTGCGCGCCTTCGGGCCGGGCCGCATCAACTACCACTTCGGCTTCAGCGGGCCCAGCCTCAACATCGACACGGCTTGCTCGTCCAGTGCGGCAGCCATGCAAGTCGCCTGCACGGCGCTCTGGGCGCGGGACTGCGACACGGCCATCGTGGGTGGTCTGTCGTGCATGACGAACCCGGACATCTTCTCGGGCCTCAGCAGGGGCCAGTTCCTCTCCAAGAAAGGCCCGTGTGCAACCTTCGACAACGAGGCCGATGGGTACTGCCGTGCCGACGGCTGTGCATCCGTCGTCGTGAAGCGCCTGGAAGATGCCGTGGCCGACGGGGACAGGGTGCTCGCCGTCATCCTCGGCACCGCGACCAACCATTCCGCCGAAGCAATCTCCATCACGCATCCCCACGGTCCCACGCAGGCTGCCCTGTCGAGGGCCATTCTCGACGAAGCAGGCGTCGATCCCCTGGATGTCGACTACGTTGAGATGCACGGAACCGGCACGCAGGCCGGCGATGGCACCGAGATGAAATCGGTGACCGACGTTTTCGCCCCCGCGGACCGCAAGCGGCCTGCCGACAGGCCCCTCTTCCTGGGTTCCGTCAAGGCCAATGTTGGCCACGGGGAGGCTGCATCGGGCGTTACCGCTCTCATCAAGGTCCTCCTGATGCTCCAGAAGAACGCCATTCCGCCCCATGTCGGCATCAAGCCAGGCTCCGTCATCAACAAGACGTTCCCCAAGGACCTCTCGGAGCGGAACGTCAACATTGCCTTCCACACCACTCCATTCCGGAGGAAGGACGGCAGGCCGAGACGGGTCTTTGTCAACAACTTCAGCGCCGCCGGTGGCAACACCGGTCTGCTCCTTGAAGAGGCGCCGAGGTTCGCCCCGGCCGCGGAGGATCCGCGCAGCCACCACCTCGTGACGGTGACGGCCAAATCCAAGGCCTCCATGATCCGCAATGCCGAGCGTCTTGTCGAGTGGATTGACAAGCACCCGGACACGCCACTGTCGCATCTCGCCTACACCACGACGGCAAGGAAGATCCAACACTACTGGCGCATGAACGTGTGTGCTGCCGACGTTGCCGAGGTCCGCAACGGCCTTCAGGGACTCCTCAAGGAAAACATTATGCCTGTCAACCCCGAGGAGCCCAAGGTGGCCATGATGTTTACTGGACAGGGCTCGCACTACGCAGCGATCGGCAAAGAGCTCTACGAGCACTACTCGGTGTTCCGGCAGGCCATCGACGAGTTTGACCTGCTCGCCCGCATCCACCGCCTGCCGTCGTTCCTCCCACTGATCGATGGAAGCGAGCCGGACGTGGGCCGGCTGTCGCCCGTCGTGATCCAGCTGGGCCTGGCGTGCCTGGAGATGGCGCTTGCCAGGCTGTGGGCGTCGTGGGGAATCCGGCCCGCTGTGGTGATGGGCCACAGTCTCGGCGAGTACGCTGCTCTCGAGGCCGCGGGCGTGCTTTCGGCCAGCGATGTCATCTACCTCGTCGGCGTCCGCGCCCGGCTGCTCCTCGACAAATGCACGCCCGGCACTCATATCATGCTCGCGGCGCAGGGCTCGGTGGAGGACGTGACCTCCGCCCTGCAGGAGAAGGGCCGCGGCGTCGAGATTGCCTGCATCAACGGACCGCGCGAGACTGTGCTCAGCGGCGAGGCTAGTGCCGTCACCGAGGCCTTGACGATCCTGAAAGACGCCGGATTCAAATGCACCCAGCTCCGGGTGCCCTTCGCCTTCCACTCGGCCCAGGTGGATGCCATCCTGGACGACCTCGAGAGCGTCGCCCGGGGCGTGACCTACCACGCGCCCAAGGTGCCCATCATTTCGCCTCTGCTGGGCAAGGTGGTCGAGGGCCAGCCCTTCGACCCGGTCTACCTCCGCAGGCATGCGCGCGAGGCTGTCAACTTTCTCGGCGGCCTTGTCTCGGCCCAACAGTCTGGCATTATCGATGACAAGACTGTCTGGCTCGAGATTGGTCCCCACCCGGTCTGCGCCTCGCTGGTGAAGGCCGTCTTCGGCGTTGCCACAGTCGCGGTCCCTTCGCTGCGCCGCGGCGAGCCGACCTACAGGACGCTGTCCAACAGCCTCGGCATGCTGCACAGCGCGGGGCTGAGGGTGGACTTCAATGAGTACCACCGCGATTTCAGCGACTCGGTGCGCCTGCTCGATCTGCCCAGCTACGCGTTCGATGATCGGAACTACTGGCTGCAGTATACGGGCGACTGGTGCCTCACGAAGAACCGGATTGCCGCGCCCAAGCCCGCGCAGACCAGGCTGTCGACGACGACGGTGCAGAAGATCATCAAGGAGGAAGTCCGCGACGACGTGGCCGTCGTGGAGATCGAGTCCGACCTGTGCCAAGAGCAGCTCCGCAATGCCGTCTCTGGCCATCTGGTCAACGGCGCCCCGCTGTGCCCGTCGTCGCTGTACGGCGACATGGCCATGACCGTGTGCGACTACGCTTACAAGCTGCTGCGGCCGGATGCCGAGAGCGTCGGCTACAATGTCGCCGACATGGAGGTCCCCAAGACGCTGATCTTCGACGACAAGGCCGTCAGCCACATCCTGCGCCTGACGGTGACGGCCCATGCGAAGCTCGGCTACGCAGACCTCGTCTTCCACACGGGCGAGGGGGCCAAGCGGACGGATCACGCGCTCTGCAGGGTCTACTTCGGCGACCTGGAGGATTGGCAGAAGGAGTTCGACCGTGTCTCGTACCTGATCCGATCGCGCGTCGACGCCCTCAAAGAGGCCGAGCAGCGCGGCATCGCTTCCAAGATCGGCCGCGGGCTGGCGTACAAGCTCTTTTCGGCCCTGGTCGACTACCACCCCCGCTACCGTGGCATGGACGAGGTGATCCTGGACAGCGCCACGTGCGAGGCGACGGCGAAGATCCGCTTCCAGACCACGGAACAGGACGGTACCTTCTACTTCAGCCCCTACCACATCGACAGCGTCTGCCACATCTCGGGCTTCATCATCAACGGCACCGACGCCGTGGACTCGCGCGAGCAGGTCTTCATCTCGCACGGCTGGGGCTCGATGAGGTTCACCGAGATCCCGCAGGCCGGCAAGGAGTATCGCAGCTACATCCGCATGCAGCCCATTAAGGATAGCAAGATGATGGCGGGCGATGGCTACGTCCTCGACGGCGACAAGGTCATCGGCTGCGTCGGCGACATCAAGTTCCAGTCCATCCCGCGCAAGGTGCTCAACATGATACTGCCCCCGCGCGGCGCTCATGCAGCCGCCAGCGCACCGCCTCCTCCTCGCCCTTCGGCCGTCGCCAAGAAGCCCGTCCCCAACAAGAAAGCTTCCTCGCCCAAGAGGAAGAAGAAGGAAGGAGTGACTCCATCCAACATCAACAAGGTGAACCAGCGGCTGAAGAGCGTCATCTCGACCATCATGGACATCCTTGCTCGGGAGGTGGGCTGCAGCCACGACGAGCTCGCCGACAACATTGCCTTCACCGACCTCGGTGTCGACTCGCTGATGTCCCTGACGGTCAGCGGCAAGATTCGCGAGGAGCTGGAGCTGGACATTCCCTCGAACGCCTTCGTCGACCATCCCACCATCGGTGCCTTCAAGCAGTTCCTGGCCAAGTATGAGCAGCCGGGCCGCAAGACGAGCATTTCCTCGCACGACTCAAACGCGTCCGCCAGCGACGGATCGCCCGAGTCGGATTCCGAATCTACCGCGACGACGCCGCCCTTGGAGGAGAGTGAGGAGGGGTCTTCGAACAAGGGTGACAGCCAGAGCCAGTCTCAATCCGCCGGCGGCGGCGACTCTGGGGATGAACTCCAGTCCATCGTCCGCAGCACCATCGCCGGGGAGATGGGCGTCGAGGTGGACGAGATCCTGGCGGCCCCGGACCTCGCCAACCTCGGCATGGACTCTCTCATGAGCCTATCGATTCTGGGCAAGCTGCGCGAGAACACCGGCATGACGATTCCGTCAGACCTGTTTGTCGCGAACCCATCGCTCAAGGCCGTGGAGCGTGCCCTTGGTATCAGCAGCGCACCCAAGAAGCCCGCCAGCCGCAGCAAGCAGCAGCAGTCGAAAGAGGCCTCCTCGGCCAAGCAGCAGCAGGCTAGGGAGGCGCCGCCATCAGCGCCCAAGCATCCCAGGATCGGCCTGGAGCAGCCTGCCCCTCCGAAGCCGCCGAGGCCCAGCAACCTGGTCGACGACTACCCGAACCGCAAGGCCTCTTCAGTGCTGTTGTCGGGAAGCCATCGCCAGGCGACCAAGCACCTGTTCATGATCCCCGACGGCAGCGGATCGGCCACGTCGTACACCGAGATCGCCAATGTCGGCGGCGAGTGGGCCGTCTGGGGTCTCTTCTCGCCCTTCCTGAAGACGCCAGAAGAGTACAAGTGCGGCGTGTACGGAATGGCGGCCAAGTTCATCGAAGAGATGAAGCGGCGTCAGCCCCAGGGCCCGTACTCGGTCGCCGGCTGGAGCGCTGGCGGCGTGATCGCGTACGAGATTGTCTACCAACTCACCACGGCGGGCGAAGAGGTCGACAACCTCATCATCATCGACGCGCCCTGCCCCGTCACCATCGAGCCCCTGCCCGAGGGTCTCCATGCCTGGTTCGCCTCGATCGGCCTCCTCGGCGAGGGAGACGACAAGAAGATCCCGCCTTGGCTGCTGCCGCACTTCGCCGCGTCCATCACGGCGCTCAGCAACTACGACGCCCAGCCGATCCCCAAGGACAAGTCCCCCAAGGTCATGACCATCTGGTGCGAGCACGGTGTCTGCAAGGATCCCACCGATCCCAGACCGGAGCCCTATCCAAAGGGCCATGCTCTCTTCCTTCTCGACAACCGATCCGACTTTGGTCCCAACCGCTGGGACGAGTACCTGGAGGGAAGCAAGATGCAATTCCGGCACATGCCTGGGAACCACTTCTCCATGATGCATGGCGAGCTGGTACGTTGTCTTTCCCCTTCCCTTCCCCTTTTTGATCTGCTATGACATGAAAATTCTCAGCAGCATCGCATACTGACTCTCGCTTTCTGGAATACTAGGCCAAGCAACTCGGCGGTTTCATCAAGGAGGCCCTTTTGTAAAAAAGATGGACAAAGAAATGCTTTGGCGTTTCACCTGTCTCCATCCATCCCCATTCTGAACGGTTGGCCATCATCAATGATGCGATGCGCTGGTCAGTCGGCGTTCACACAGGCTGAAGATTTAGAAGAGCTATATTTCGCATTCGAAACCTACCTGGTAAGCCGTACCATCCACTCAATGTGCTGCTGCTTCTTCTCCTTCGTCTTCTTCCCACTTTGATGGGTATGCTGACTCGGCCCCACAGAGTGCATTCGTCGGTTTCTGGAGTTCCGACCACGGGTTGGGAATCTGAGCGTGGTGGTTGCTTCTTTCTCTGTGACTGTTAATAACCAGCGTTACGTGTGGCTCTCTTCAGGGGTTGCTTTCCCGTTTTCTTTCTTTTTGCTCCGGATACACTCATTCTGGGAGATGGAGTTGATCATGGGATCGGGAAATCCCCAAAGGTGGTGGGTGAACGTGCGAGGGCGGCGGAAATCGTTTCATAGCCTTGAAGCATGACTACCAAAGATAGTGTTGTCTGTGCAATTCACACTTCTTTCAAGCGACTTACTCTCGCCACGGCAGCTTCCTTCTGGTGTATTGTACACGTCCACCGTTGGGCAGAGTAAGCTGTACCTATGTTAGTTTTGTTCAAATTGCACTGCTAGTAGACTCTTAGGCGTAGTAGACTTGGCGAAACCGGACCTAAGGTAGCCAGCCTACTAGTAATTTGATTGACCTTTGCGTCGTGCCCCGAGTTAGGAAGGAGTCCCATCCCGCGCTGCACCCGAACTTTAGGCAACTTGAACTCTAACCACTCAGCTATGACCATGATTCTTTCACTCGTCGTTTGCTAGAATTCATGGTAATCATGCCCTGGATGGTGTACGGAGAGATCCCGACGGTTCAAATTTGCTCAAACACAAAAAGGGGACATTCATGAACCAACATCTGGAGTCAATCTTACCTCTGGTCTTAAACGCTACAGTTCGCGTATGGCAAGAAGTCACCTCCTGGTTACTGCCCCTCCCATCATCCTTTGCAGAGTATTCCTGCGATGTTTACCTTCGAAAATCGAACGCGTAATAGAATAATTGGATGTGTACTGGTGCTAGAATGTCAGGCAGTAATTGAGTTGAGTTTTGATACTCGTACTAGTACCCGTCACTGAATACTGTTGAAAGCCAGAACGGTGATGGAGCCTGTTCGCGATGCTAGACCAGCCAACCCCTGCAACACTGCCTTCCCGATTAGGAATGCGACTTGGGGTCTTAACCAATCGCCCAACATGTGCTTTCCCACCGGACCCAGCGGACAGACAAGGGTCTTGAAGTGAGGTGGTAGTCGACGACGAAGTCGGTATTGTATGTCCCGATTACTTGGACGACACTTGACGTCGTGACTCATGTCAAACACCGGCAAGCTCAGACTCTTCCTCTCCGAAGAAAAGCCATCGAATGTTTGTTGGATATTGATCCATTACCAAGACACCTTAGGGTAGTTTCGGTAACTATCCCGCTTCAGCATTACACCTTTTTCGTGCCGAGTCACATCATACGAGCGAACAGGACAACGAGCGGGCATACAAAATGCGTGGGATTCTCCGCCATTTCAGCTGTCAACAACCATGGACGGCATGATGCCCAAACAGCGAACACCTCGGCCTCTCCCTCTCTATTCTTGGCTCAGGATGGTGATAGCTGAGTACCTACCGTAGGTAGATAACTCTCGAGTGCATGCGCATCCAATCCACTGAATCTACAACTTGGCACTTTCTCTTCCAGGTGCACATGCAGCCGTTCCCGAACGCGAGTGGCACGCCCAACCCACCATCAACATACCTCCAACTGTTGACGCTATGGAAGAAGTGCAATTCGTGGCCTAGACAGATGATGCAGGCCAGAAGCATCCTCCGAACCAAATAATAGTTTCACCACCCGAACCGGGCCCGGCCCGGCCAAGGAAGCCGCTGCAACCTAGCTGATTCCGAGCCGAGTGACGGGAGCCCCAACGCCTACCTATCGACGCATCAGCCGCACGGGGCAGTTGGCAAGCCACTGCGGCTCTTCTGTATCCGGCCGCACCATCGGCTGAGCAGACGGCTATCTCCCTCCCGCCTGTTGCTCGCCAATCAACTGGATCCCCAAGCCGCCCCGCGCGCGCTGGCATTCCTGGGCTGCAGAATATCAAGTAGCAAAGGCCTTTTTTGCAGGCCCAAACTGTCCGCCGAGTCTGCTTTTTGACTGGGTGGCGCTCCTTGAGTATTGCCGCGCTCGGGACCGAGGCGCGCTCTTCCACGGCCGATAGAACAACCACTCTCAAACGGCCTGTTACCCTTTGTGGTTCTGGCAGCTTTTTTATTTTCGGCTTGACAGCGGCGCGATATTCACGTCACCTTCAGGAAAGGTGCCAACCGTCAACCAGCCAACCGGCATGTGATAGAAACGAGACAAAAAAAAAAGAAAAAAGAAAAAAAAAAAGGTTCCGACACTGTTACACGCTGCTGACAAACTGAAACGTTGGCAGCCCGCTCTCAACTGTGATCCCACAGGAGTAAGTGTGTTCCCTTGACCCTATCGTATTATTCCGGCGAAGTCCAATCATTGTTCACAACCTCAGCATTACCCAGTAAGTATTGCATGAGGTATCACAAGGCGACGCGGTCTCGCCAGCCAGCATGCCGTTTCAACAAGGCCACGGCTTCCCGGTAGATATCCAGCCAGCCACCGCACCTCGATTCAGCGCCCCAACACGACCTATACGAGAGAGCGTAGATGCGGTATCACTCACCCAATTCCCAATGCGGTATTTCTTGCGATCAGAGTTGCTGGCTTGGTGCTCTTTCTGCAAAATATCATCGAAGAAAGAAGACGCGATGCGCTGCTCGCGTCCTTGTTACTGACGTCCTGCCCTGATGAACCCGCATGAGCTGAGCGGGCGGACAAACTTCTGATTTTTTTTTCTTTTCTTTTATTTTTGGCCGCTGAAAGGCGACACGTTTCTTCAGAAACAGAGAGGGTGGCACCGCTGATCATTACCTGCTGGGTAGAGTATGATGTAGCACAGCAGGACGATGCAGACAAGTCGATTTCATTGTTGGGTGGGGGTTTTGCCGGATTCGAGAACCACCTAGAAAAAGAAAACAGCAAGGCGCCTTTGCCGTTCGTGGAGATTCCGCGATGGTTAGACGCGAGAGACCATATAGCCTGCCCCTGATCGGTGAAGGAAACATCGCCGCAGTGCCAGCAGCAATGTGTGATTTATCGTGTTGTATGGTACACGACAGCAACCTGCCTGCGGAGCCAAAATCAGCGCCTGCCCGCAACGCGACGGGAAGGGGCAATTGAGGCGCCATGCGAGATCAGATGGGTAGGGTCTGATGGATGTTCTGGAAGGTCTGCAAGAGCGGATGGGGCGCCACGGTCGGGTTCGCCATCCGCCGTCGTGGAGTACACTACACTACATGGTGTATGTTGTCACGAGGCTCGAAGATAGGTAGGCAAGGGGATCGATCTCACCCCATGGAGAGAACCTGCTTGGACTGGGCGCGACGTGCGTCCGGGCCGGGGCCACCGGAAGGCGGCACAACCCGCGGCAACAGCATCCGGCAGCAAGTCCGGTTGGCCGGCGGCAGGTGACATTAGCCGCAGAGCCACCGGAAAGTTGCACGGAGTCTGACGATCCTTCTTTCCGTCTTCACCCGGGATGCAATTCTCCTCAATGGGACGTTAGACGGAAGAGATAGTGTATCCTATGAACTTGGACTGGGGCGCCGAGGGATTCACGGTGAAGTCTGAGATCGGCCCGGCCCGAATCTCGCCGTTGGGTTTGGGAGGAAGCATCGGGTGACTCTAAGGAGTCATGGCGAAGACGGATGGGGACACCGACCATCCCGATGACGCCAGCCTCTGAGCTCCCTACCGGAATCTCTCCACTTGTTCCTAGGAAGGGGCTTTCTTGGGGTTCGCTACCAACAACGCACTGGGTGCGCAAGGCTGTCAGCTTGGGCTAAAGTGGCCGGATGTTGTGGTGCGGGCAACGGTACGCTGGTGGGGGACTATTGGTTGTTGCTGTCTCGGGGATACGTTGGCTTTGGGCGCCGGGAGTTGGGGTGATGCCACTGGCTTGTCACAGTATATCCTCATCCATCCCAACAACTAGCATGAACGACAGCAGCCCAGGTTGCTGGTGAATCAACACTTCTGTCGTTACATGGATCCGCCGCTCTTCAAGTTGGGGTTATCCCTGATAACAACCATAGCACAGCTCATCTCATCGGAGAGTCCGGTCTCACAAAGACGTGCCTTAAAGCCGCATTTTCACCGATACCTTGGACGCCGGACCGACAGGCTTTTCGACTAGGTTACCCTCTACTGAGAAGCCAGCAGCCCGCACTTTGGCTGAAAGCTTGGCCATCTTCAGCTCTCCTCCGTAAACCATCGTGAGCTGCCTATTTTGGTTTTCGTCCTGTTGTGTACAGCATGCCGCTAGCCGTTTCACAGGTCATGGCGCATTAGGGGAACCATGACGTGCATGGCGAATGAAATGGTCAAGACAGTTCCACAGGGGAACTAAAGGCGCCGACATGTGGCGCGATGATGACTCAGAATCTGTACTGACCGTGAATCTCGTTGTTAGACATGGGGCGCTTTTGAGCCCGACATTTCGGTAGCGTAGGCGGGAAGGAGAAACAAGTGTTCAGATGGTCGAGCCACAGGTTCTGGATCAACTTGAGGCTCATCCGTCATCCTAGGAAAGATGCACGAGCGGCTGACTTAATGGCCAAGCATTAGAGTAGGACGATCTAGTTTCGTCCGCCAGACACGACCGGGTAAGTGCCTGTTCTCGCTAGTGATCCATCTTTGTCATGCGCAAGTTTCGATATTGTAAAACCACCTCGGACTGTGGAATCGCCCCGGTGCCGCGATGGTCATGGAAGGTTAGCGGGGGCAAAATGCTGCACCCCGTCAGCAATCTCCAGAGAACAGAACAGCGGAAGAGCGTTGCAACTCGGAAGAATATGCGATGTGACATCGGTAAGTCAGAGGACAGCCCTTGACAGCATTCTCGTTTGACTGCAAACTCGTCTTTGTCTCGGATAGTGCGGGCGCCCATGCTGGGCGTTGTCTGAGCTCAACGTTCTGAGACTGGGAATCCTAGCCATAGGCCAACGGAAGGGTGGAATTGGCGACGAGCATGTGGCGTCCGACAGATCTTCCGAACCCCAGACTGCGCCCCACTGCCCTTGGGGACCCAGGTCGGTGTCTAAACAATCTTGCCATGGGTAATGCGGATGTGAGCTAGTAAGCTGGTAAGCGACACGAGGTTCATACTATATTAGTTGGAGCTGCGGAGTTTTCTGCAATTGCAGGCCAGGCTGGCAATCTCGGGAAGGAGATGGGTGTCAGCTTCAGATGTGGCGATATTTTGGTCGGCCGGGGCAATGCTACCCTGCTATACGTTAATATTCGGAAGATAGGAGAGATAGGAGAGGTAGGAGGCCGCGGCTATAGCGGGAGCGTCGACCTCGAACCAGCCCAGGGCCGCCACGGAACGTTGTTGGTAGGAGTTCCCTCTCTCCTTTTCGGCGTGTCGACGCGAGACCAATGGACCATTGCTCTTGAGGAATCAAAAGCTACGCTCCTACTCTCGCACTCTGCGTTCATGACTCAGGAGCATCAGGATGCTGCAACAACCTGGAAGGTGGACAAGTAGCGAATACCCCACGGAAGTCCGACCTCGAAGGGAAACCGTAGAGTTGCCGCCTTCTGTGTCAGCAGGTGGGCAAGACGCATACGAGTGCTGAGTGTTGTTCCAGAAACCACTATAGGCAAACCACCTCAGTGGAGGATGATATTGGTGTCTCTGAAAGCTGCACGGGGAGGCAGCCTGAGGTAGATACTTAGGTGCGGTGTGTAAGCATCAAATTGCGTTCAACAACAGCGAACAAACTGCATGGATTCGCCTGGTAAGATTAATCACACTTAGCACAGGACGTTGCCACGTTAGAGGGATCTTGATGATGCTTCGAGTTCCAAAAATCCCGTATATGGACCGGACTATTTGGGAATGGCCTCGGTGCGGTAGCCTTTATGCGTGCTGCAAGACGCAGTATTCGGGCTTGAGGGGGCCTGGATCCAAAATTGGATAAGGACGTCGACGTTGTAGTTAAATGTGAACTCGGTTTGTTGCATAAGGCACCTTGTTGGTCGCTTGTGGGTCCGTGCACAGGACAGGACGTCCAGGGTCTGAAGCTGAAACTGCTCACCGCTAGCCTCCTTTGCTCAGGCGGGGCTAGTTAGGGCTGACCAGCACGCCTTACGGAGTACTTCGTACTCCCATGCACATCTACTTTGGAACGATGTTTGAGCAAAGATGCGAACACACTTGAGTGGAATCCGACCTGGATACTACGGTAACGAAACCAGGTGTACTTGCATTGATATCTCCTTCTCCTTCGTAACTTCCTTACCTCATCGATTCTTTAATATTGATGGGCTCTGGACGCAGTGCATCCTCAATCTGTAAGGACCAAAGTCACCCAACCGTTATTGGCACGCCGACGGCAGCACCGAGAGTGTGCGGCACAACGTATCTCAAAGCATGCGCTGTACGGGTCATACCACGCATACTCGACAGGGTACGCCCCATCCTGATTCTGCCGCACGTGTCCGGCATCCCTTGTCTAAGGTACCCGGGTTACCACTGGCACAGTAGATCGACTCGCCATATCAACGCACTCTCGAGAGCAACATCAGTGTTTTGGCAAAATGCTGGGCGCTTTCTGCTGAGAATGATCTGAAGCCAACAAGTGGCAAACATGGCTTGTTGGCTTTCATAGTGCACGAGTTGCTGATCTTAGCCTGCCAGTGTTGGACAATATCCTCCGGTATAAGTCCGCCGTCATACAATGTACGACAGTAACTCAATTCCCGGGCTTTGGCTCGATCCGTCTCCGAGCTTTCTGGTCAAAAACGCGAGGGCGAAGGGTCCCTACCCGGTCTTCATGGCCTTGGGTCTTCCGACCATGCCCTTTGATATTAGTCCCTGCCATCCTTGGGCTCCTCTATTGCCCAGATACGGTATGTAACGCAGAAACAGGAAGCGGGGGGCGCAGCTGTTAAAAATTGAGGTAAGCAAGCTGCAACAGGTGACACCGTACAGTACATACATTTTCAGTCTTTCACAGGGTTCCGGGATCATAAGACAGAACACCCGGCGGGCTCTTGCACTACACCGCGGAGCTGTGTGAGGTGCCATCGACATGTCAAGTGAGGCCGGTTGCCCGCCATGGGAATGGACACAGATATTCCAGGGTCTTTAATCGCCTAGGCCTGCTAAGTTTGGATTCAGGGGTCGATTCCGTGTAGCATGCTACAAGCCTCCTTGCTACCCATTTCGGTTGCTACCTGGTGTCTGCCCACCTGAGGTACTCCGCGGGACGGGATTGAAGCTACCTGCTAACATCCAACCGCTGGAAGCGAAAGGGACGAAGAGCACTCGCCTAATCCCAGCGAGCATACCCGTGTTGATAGGTATCTCTGTGGGTGACGGCTCTGATATTGGCCACCATCCGTCCCGCACCGGGGGGGCCAGCGTCGATACCGGGTTATACTGGCTGTCTGGAAGGGCCACCGTACCATCCCGCTTTCCCCACCCCCCCCCCCCCCCAACAAGAGAGAGAGATAGGCGCGACACGGCAGATCAGGGTAGTAGCGCTAGAAAATCTTCCGAGAATTGCCCCGCCCCGCCCGACACATCTGGACCCTGAAGCGGCTTCGTTGGAAGCTGTCTGGCGTCTTCATTGGATCGCTGTGCCCGGCATTGGGGAAGAGGCTTGGCCATGCAACCCGGAGTCGATTGTATCCGGTTCCACGCCCCTAGCTGACGGGGGTGTGTATGTACGTACGGAGTACGGGTGTACCGAGCAAATGCGGCTGCCAAGACGGGGTCGACCTGAGCTTATTATTCTGGGTAGTAAGGTAGGTACGGATGCTCGCGGTGGCTCCGTTGTTGTCAACCCACCAAAGTGGTAAGTCACCGCGGTAACGGCCATAACTAACGGCTTAAAGAACTCTGTCCGTTTCTGGACATCTACTAAGTTACCTAAGGTAGTTTCCGTCATTCGGAACAGAAACATGCAAGACACGCATTGTTCCACGCAGAGAAAAACACCGAGCCACCCCCGGCAATACCGAATACTACGTCTGCCGAGAGACGAGACCACTGAGACATTTCTCTTCCATGTTGTACTGCTCCGAGTCCTCGTCATGGGACTGAACCTGACCTGATCACCAGCTTGTGCCTCTCGCCATTGGTCCGGACGCCACAAGCAGCAGCCGGATATGGCTCGACCTTGTACTCAACGTAGCATGCCAAGGGGATATCCCGCTCTCTCAGACATTTTCACACCCGTCCCTGTTTTCCGATTCTGGCTCCATTTGCGTCCTTCACATACATGTATGTATTGTACAGTACAAGCACGGAACGGCGTACCGAGGGCCCCATGTCGACAGCTTGACAAATGGGCATTGACATTGACACTGGCCCGTGTATGTATGTACGACCTTCTCGAACGTGCCCCATTGTCCCACCCGGGTTAAGCTACCGTGCAGTTCCCTGTATATGGGTATCACCGTACCGTACTTAGCACAGTTTACAAGGACAAGATTATCTCAGAGCAACGCAAAAGGGGGAACATCATTTCTAGTTTCCCGCTCCCTGGCCTCACGGCCTAGCGGGATGTGTGAGTACAGGACCACCGTCCGAGAGCCAATGAATACCATATCGTTACCCTGCCATAATCGGTTAGCATCAAGACATCTCGAAACGCCAAGACTCCTTCCTAGGACGGTGCAACCACTTCCCCAGCTAATTCCAAAAGGCATTGCTGTCAGGATAAGCCCAATGAAATAACAGAGAGAAGAAGAACATAAACGTTTAGTGTAACCACCACCTTTAGTGCCGAATCAAGCCCGTCAAATACGGCCTAGTTTCCACTGCTGCCAGACGGGAATGCCGTCATAGCCTCGACGTTCCAGTTATTTCCCAAAGCGATCAACTTCCGCTTGATTCCATCGCCGATGCGCGAGCTGAAACCAGCCTCGAGGCTCTGGATAGCGTAGGACAAGATGCCGGCCGGCTTGTCCAGCGTAACCATGGTTCCGTCCGTCCGTGTCAGCATTGCCACTCCAGTACTGTTCCATACGTAGGCGTTGATAGAGGCGTCCTCAGGGGTCGCTTGGTCGATGATGACGGGTGCCGATTGTGGCGCTGCTCCAGAGTCGTCCCGCTTGTTTGTATGGGAGCCGGAGTACACCCTTGATACACTATCGACCCAGAGAATCAACGTGGCACGGTACATGGCGACAGTCCACCAGGCCGGTCGACGGTCGTTGGGCATGAGTCGGAGTAGCCGAAAGACCTGGCCGCAGTGGAAGACGGCCTCCCCGCGCTGAAATATGCACCGGTTCTTGAGTTGCGATATATCCCAGTACCAGTGGTCAAACGCCTCGCGGCGGGCAAACCGCTCAATCTCGGCAAAGTCGGTCACGGCGTTGAGACAGATGAGGTGGTAAAGAACGAGGTTGCACCGGGTGACGGGGCAGTCGGGATTTGCCTTGGCGTGGTTTGCTGAAAGGTCGTACCACCTCTGCAGCAGGTCCTGCACTTCCTCCAGCCTGTGAAGCGTAGAGCTTTTGGTGACAGAACGAGCGCCTGTGCGCCGCGGACCAGGAGTGTCCGAGAAGCATGATAGCATCTGGCGCAGATGGTAGAGCAGTGCCTGCAGCGGGTGTAGAACCAACCTCAGCTGCTGCGGAGACAGATTGCGCTGGCCCCTGGAAAGGTTGTCATGGAGAAAGTCCTGGAAGAGGTCATACAGTGACGGTGTGGCTGACGGAGTACTGAGAAGTTGGGGGTTAACGTTGGCCGTACAACCATACACCGATTGCATGGCCGAGAACCATTGCTCCGATTCAGACGACATCCAAAGCATCTCGGGACCTGGCAGAGGGCATCGAAGTTCCGTAATAGCAAACAGGGGTGCCGTGTCGTAGAACAGACTGAGCTCCTGGTCGAGCATAACGTAGTTGTAGACCAGCCTAGGGCGACGTGTAAGCAGTTTGACCGGTTACTCCCAGCTTCATGCGGATGGATGAGCTTACCTATTGCGGGTTTCACGCTGAACCCAGGCGCGCCATTCGAGTTCGGTGCTGGAAGCGTCGTTGAACGATGGTACCATGCATGGCTGCGGATCAAACATGCCAGCATGTTTGAGCATCTAGTGAGTCATTGATCAGCGACTGCTCGAATGGGAGATAAGCGGCTCTGATCACCCACCGACATGTACATGCCCCTCTGACCCATCGCAATGTCCATGAGCCACTTGTCGCCGCTCCAGACCCCGAGGACAATGAACAGGAGAGCGGCGCGGAGAGCGATGGGGTCTGCCGAAAGCCCAACGTCTTTTTCTACAATGTCGAAGAGCGAAATGCGACAGGTCTCAGCCAGGCCCGCCGCGAGGTAGCGAGCCTCTGCCATTGGCATTGCGGCGGCCCCCTGGGCGATCATAAGCAACACCAGCAGCGTCGATGCTTGGTTGTTTTGCAGCATCTCATTCGGATCCAAGCAGCCAGCCGTGACCAGAGGATAGTACATCGATAAGCTGCGGACATAGCTGCGCAGGAAGTATTCCAGGATCTTGGCCGACGGCAGCACGATGAAGTTGAAATCACCAGGAGTGGCGTAACCACTCTTGGGGTAACTAGAGCCGCCGCGATGGATCTCGAGGGCCTTGTGCAGGAAGCTCTGAGTGATGGCAACCATCTTGTCCCTGGTGCGGGAGGTCAAGGGCACCACTGACGCCAGGTCCGAGGCATCCCAATCGACCTGCTCCAAGTATTTTTCCAGGGAGCTCCATGTTCCCTCCTGCTTCGACTTCTGCTCCAGGCATTCGAGATGGACAATTGCCGTACGGGGACAAGTTCCGGTGATGGATGGTGGTGGGTTACATCGTGCCAAGTTCCATGCCCCTTCGGCCGCGATTACAACCTCAAACTCGGGGATCGAGTTGTCGGTTGGGGATGTTACTGAGAGTTCCATGGGCTTCAAGCCGTTGTCAAGGTCCGCAAGTGACATAGTGCTAGTCCCAGGGGTGCGTATGGAGCTCCGCGACGACGAAGAGGCCGTGAGGGGCTCTGATGGAGGCGACACGTCCCCCAGATCCGGGAAGGCAGACATCGAAATGTCTGGCCTGCCAAGCTCTACGTTGCTCGGATAAACCTCGATATTCATGGAGAACTCGGGCCAAAGCATGAGATCGTGGTATGTTGCGCCCTGGGGAGCATAATCGTTCGTAATGTGCATGAAGTCGTCCAGGCCGCCCTCCATCTGGTTGTGAGGTGACGAGAGTTCACCGGGGCTCACTTGGAGGTGATACGGCGAGGCCTGTTTTGAACAGCCTTCTGCAAGACCGAAGCCCGGAATCACAACCTCGATGGCTGTGGGAGAGCTGTTACCTTCTGGCTTGACGCCCGGCTGGTTGGCATCCAAGGGGTTGATGTTGGCGACTGCGGTCGGTGGTGTTTGCTCCGGCGATGGAGTGAGCGCACTGTGAAACGCGGCAGTCGCTTGCGCGGCGCGGACGGCAGCCTTGGACGATCGTCTCGCGTAGCGGGCCTCGCATGGCAAGTTCTTTTCCGTGCATCTTCCGCACGGCACCCTCTTATCACAACCCGTTTTGGCGTTGGCACAGTTTTGGCACGCAATGGGTGTTCGTCCCGCAACTGTTGGCGGTCCGCCTGGGAGGGGCTCGGTCGGATCCCTCGCCTCATGGTACGTCGTATAGTGTCTTTGCAGCAGATCTCTGTTCAAGACAAAGGTCAGCTAAGCTAGCCCTTCCCGGCTGATCACGCATCAGCCCGAAGGAGACGGTGATACCTACCGCCGAGCAAAGGATAGTTGGCAAGCCGTGCAACGATGTGGTTTCACGTTGGTATCTATGAGCAGAAAGTGGTGAAGAGAGTTCAAGTAAGCAACATGGCTATGGGAAAGAAGGGGTTTGGCGGAGGTGCTTACGACTTGGTATATGACGCTCCAAGTGCTCCTTGCGGGTGAAGCCTTTCCCGCAGTAGGCACAGTAAACCATGTTGAGGACTTCCTTCCATACAATCCAGAGCCTGATGCTGTTGGACTGAGGCCGTGATAACAGGCCAACCTCCTAGAAGCTGCGCTCCGCGAGCGGTTACTGACGAAAGAGGGAAATGGGTGCTCCCAGTGAGTGGTATGTCGCAGACAGGACGTGTGTGGCTCGGGTTTAGCTGTGTATTCGAAGCCGGCAATACCTTGTGGATGCGACGGAGGACGAGGTGGCAAGAACGGAGGTTGCTCGACAAAGCAAAGAAATAGAAGGGCACAGGGGACGACTCGTGTTCAGAACAAGCAAAATGCCGATCCCGCTGAATGGAACAGACCGCAGTATATACCGAAGGTTTAGAGATAAAGACGTATCACGGAGCGTGTAGCAGAAATAGGTCCATTCGCCACGGGACTTGGTCAAGTTGCCGGATGGATAGGCCTTTTCAATATCGGAATTGCTGACGAGGCATCATCCGTCCGTCCAGTGTTCCAACCATCCGAAGCGACGCAGCGCTGCGGAAGCTGAGTTCTCCAGAGGCGGCCCACTTGACAAGCTGGTGGCCTGGGATCTCGAAAGAGCAGCTGGCCGGGGTCTGGCCTCTATGTCTGCAGGAAAACGGTGGTCGATGTACGTGGGAAGGGGGGTATGGGCATGGGTATGGGCAGCCCGGGGTACGTACCTAGGTACTCTGAAGGTGAAACAGCAGCAACAACAGCAGAAGCTACCCAACCAGGTCGTTGGCAGTGTTCAGCCGCTGTCTAAATGAGGCGTCGTGCTCGAGCTACCTTAGTCCCGACATTCCATCCCGGGCCAGTGTTGCCGAGCCCGCTGCAAGAAACAACCAGCAACCAGACGCCAAGAGCGGAGGTCGGTGCTTCGTGACCGATAAACAGAACTTCGCAGTGAAGAAGGCAAGGTCAAGCAGCGTAAGACGGGGCTTGATCGGGTTACCAGCCCTAGGTAGTATACTAAATCAGGCCAGGCTGAACAGCTAACGTCGTCCCTCCTGGCCTTGCAAATGTCTTTACATCCACATCCACAAGACGGTAAGCCACCGACGCAAAACACGGATCATCTTCCTACCCAGTGTGTGGGGGGATAGGGTATGAACATCAAGGACGGGGAAACTCGAGTCAGGCGGGGAATGTTGCGGTCTAACAGCCATCAGAGTCGCTGAGGGCACGACCTAGGAGCCAAGGGAAGCGGAGATGCGAGCAACCAACCCATAAGAGAGTGGCACTTGCCATGCAGCATACCTTAAGCACGCGCCGGTATCCTATGTGCGTGAATGCACTAGCGCGCTTGAGTCTCGGGAGTTGCAGCTCTCGCAGATCCAGCACGGTCACGAAACCACGGAATCCTATCACGTCTTCCAGCCTGGCTGACACTTGTTTCCAGAAGACAGGTTGCAACGATAGTAAGAACGAGACGCGGAGTGATACAGGTCCTTACCAATACGTATTTTGAGTGAACGGACTCAAAACGGTCAGCAGACCGGGAGAGAGAAGCTGCGATGACTGCAATAATGTGGGGAGGACCAGGTGCTGGGGGAGGGGGCCATAGGCCCGAACCTGCGGATCGGAAGCTTTTCTCGGGTCAGTAAGGTAAGTTAATGGAAGCAGTTGTGCAACGAGAAGTGGTGCCACAGGCAGCGATCGAGAAGTCGCCTTCATGCGCGAAAGCGGGAGGTTCCAGGTTGACTGTCGCTCGACATGACTCAAGAGGCATGGACCTGACCAAGCGGCAGGGTAAATGCAGTCTGCTCACCATGCCGTCGTTGCCTGCGGCTTTCGATGGCAGTTTGGCTATCCGAACAGCCCTAGAGACAACTGTCACCACTTCAGCACCGATGTAGAGGCCGCGAGCGAGCCGCAACTGGCCAAGATAGGCAAAATCAGGAACCGTGGTACGCCCGTCTGGGCGTCCGTGATGGAGGACAAGGCTTTGATAGGGCGCCATTTTGCCAGGCTGGCGGCCGTGTCTGGTGCCATCAGGTCGTGTCGAGTGAGGTGGTGCAAGCCTCAACTTTCGAGGCGTGGTTCTGTAGCTGCAAAAAAGGTCCAGGAAGATTCAAGATTGACGATCAGTTCCCACGATTGGCTTTGGATGGGTTCACACCTGTCCGTGTACCTAGCGCCTGCCTGCCACCGCACCTTCCAGGTTCCTTCCCACTTGTGCCTGCCCTGTGCCTGCAGTCTGCAGGGCGGGAGCGAGCCAAAGAGCGGCAACGTGCCATGCCCTCCCCCACTTCTCACCCCCCTCCCATCCCGCGTTGCACTTGTAAACAACAACTGACGTCGACGGCACGTCTGAAATCATCAGACACGGGAGAGCGTATGCGGCAACCCTCTTGCGACGCTGCAACCGCAAGAAAATAGTTTAGGTCCAGAGCTGGGCGCCATCATTGCATCTTTCCCAACCGACATCTTTCTACACCTTCTGGCCCTATCGTCTGGTTTGTTACAGTACATTTCGGTGCGGTGAAAAAATTTAAGGGGGTATTCCAACTTCCTTGTTGTCGGATAAGCGGATCTTCACATCTCCCGTCTGGTGAACCACGAATGGAGAGGAAGAACAGGAGGAAGAAACTCACTGGCACTGCACCCGAATCGGGTCCTTTTTGTCGATGCTATAAGCAAAGAGGAAGGTGGTCGGGAACGAGGGTTTTTGCAGGTCACACAGCACACAGGTCTGCTGAAAATGGAGCTTTTCATCACGCCCGACCATCCCGGCGGCGCCGGTGTATGCTACACAGCAGGAAAACCTCGTTTCTTCTTCCTCTCGCCAGCTCTAGATAGGTAGGTAATTGGATGGAGGTACAAGCCGTAGAGATGACTTGAGGGAAGAGACCATTTAATTGCAGAGAGCCAGGAAAATGCCCCAATATATGTAGGATCGTAAGTCCTCCAGTTGACGTTGGAGCTACGAAAAAATTGCACTTACCCAAGGGCGGAATGTGGGAATCAGATTGACACTCTGGCGCTCTTCAAACGTAGTACTACATCGTGCCCTGTTCACTATCCCAGCGGCTTCGCATTGCAGGACGTCTAAGATGAGATGACGTCCAAGTAGCCGTGGCTCAGGGGTATTGGTACAGATAACAGTAGAGACCTCAGGTGTGGTTGTTTACCCTTGACCCCAAGCGGTCTCAGCTACGAAATGAATCACGAATAAGGCAAATCGATGTTCGCTTCAGAAGGCGTGTCGTACTGGGAGAGGCTGAAAATTGCCGCGGGCAATTTCTCGACGCCGTGATGAGACAAAAAAGAGCCTATGTGGTTACCTACCTAAGCTAGCTAAGTTATTCTCACGTTCGAACCGGAAATAATAGATATAGTACATATTTCGAGCCTCCCGCACTCCCACCAGTCTGTCCAAGCTTCAGGTTGAACTGTCGACGGGAGGAGTCAGTAACCAGCTTATCCATTTGTGAGTTCTCTATAAATAAGTTGGGCGCCGGCTTTCTCTGCGCTGATGAATACTAATAATACAGATGTAAGTCGGAGCGGCTGTGTATCGGACACGGTATTAACAGGCTGAAATACCTTTGCAAGTTGGTATTACATACATCGCTACGAACCTCAAATATCATCCAAGGCAATGCTTCAGGGACCAGGTATCTTCATAATTGCTTTACCTCGGCGCTTGTATACCTCAATGTCCTGTTCTGATTAGCTGCTTTGGTTCAAGGCACCAACAGACGGAGTAGTACACACAGTGTATTCGTAATTTCGAGTATCGATTCACCGTGCTTTGCGTTGGTGGGGCATACCTTACAGCCGGCCAATCAACGCACAGTTGGATTTCCGGATATGGACGTCGCTCCCGGGACCGGAACGCCGTGCGGGGCGCCGAAACGGCTGGATCGGGTGCCGTAACAATGCGCCACCCAAGCAGTGATGTTATTTTCCGACCGCTGAATGGCTCATCGTGACGCCTCGGGGCTAAACCTCCCCACGTTGCCGGTGATCTAGGAGATAAGCTGGGTAGGCATGCATCGCGACCAGGACACGAACAGCGAAGACAAGCAACAAACAGCACCTACCGAAGCACCGCCTGGTCAGCCGCAAACATTCGGCCTTTCGAGAGACAAGGAAACCCCGCGATCCATAGGTGCCTCCCGGTATACCTGCTTTTGAACCACGCCATCCAGAAACTCCAGGATCCTGCGGTGTAAGCTTCAATTCTTTGAGGCTGGGGGCCGTCACCGAGCAGAATGGATGATATTGCGACAACCTGGAAGGACAGATGGCGACAGCATACGGTGTGGCGCTGACACGCTGTCCTGCAGACCTGTCAGTCCAAGACGTTGGATTTTCTTCGGCACTTGGAGATGCGTTGCTGTATGTCTCAGAAACCCCCGGGGGACTGTCTGTGATGAGACTCGGGTCTCGGTTATGGGCGCGGGGTGATCGTTCTTGCGCGGTGACTGGCACTAGAAGTTACGCTCAGTTTTATAGCGGCCTAGATCTCCTTGTTTTCCGATTACCATTGCCCACGAGATCGTCGGTAAGTTGCCTCTCTGCCATTGTTGCACGACTTCCACTCGGGATCACGAGGATAGAAACGGCTAGTTGCTGCGTCGGGTCAGGGACGGCAATGAGCCTGGTCATTGAAGTCGCAAGCAAAATGCAGCGAACATCTTGACCCGCCATGCTATCGCCATTTCAAGCAGAGTTTCAGGATTCATGCTGGTCCGGAAGCCGTTGTGTCATGTGACAGTTTGGTAGTGCATTCAGTGCCGCCGCCTTCCCAGGCAGTCAGGGTCAGGTCAACGAAATTCAGGTTGAGCTTCCCCTCAGAATTTCCAATCCCGGGAAGCGGCAGCAGTGCGCGGTGGCGTTGGCGATCAACCTTATCAGACCTGGTGATAGCCAGACAGGGTCAGCCACATTACCTGAAGGAAAGAGCTCCCCACGGGCAGGCTGGTTTGCACCTCCCTGGCAAGGCGCATAGGACTCGGGACCTTCAAGCACGGCCCCAGTTGGGCCTCCTCTTCGGTCAACGAG